TGGACAAAGACAGGCATTGTTTGAGAGGGGGGAACTGTGAGACAGGACAGAATTAGAGCTCCCACACACTTACAGTACCGCTGCTGAGGTGTTCAGAAAAGAAACACGAAAACAGGCTGTTTTTGGCTTCTTGACCCGCTTCACGTCCTGTCCCAAACAGGACATGGACCGGCGCTCTGAGTCTCAGATGTCAGGAGCCCGGCCTTGACATTTAGGGACCGTCTGCTTTGGGCGTGTGAGCGTATACGAGCGTAAATACCACCCGTCAAAGGCCTTGAAGACGTGCGAGGGCGCTTGTGACTTCACACTTACTGTTCTCCTCAATGTCGAAGCCGTTTCCTTTAAAAGTCCCTTCAGAATAAGGCTGGACGTCCGCTCTTTCAGTCTCACGCTCCTCTTCCTCCTTCGGCCTCGCCGCGCCTCACTCGTAACTTTTGGGAGGTTGTTTGAACTCCGGGGCGAAGGTCAGGACATCTGAGGGACAGGAGGGCGAAAAAGTTCGAAAACGGCGTCTGGGGAAGTTTCAGGAATGTGCGGAGACAGTTTCCTGAGTTTGTTTGAATATGGAGTTTTGTGGATGTCACCTTTCAGCAAATGTGAACAACAAACAGAAAAAGAGAAATACAGGTATATATTTTTGATTCTGCGCTTTATTCAAGCTCCTGAGAGAGTTTTTGTCTGGCGGTGCAGAAGTTGTCCAAAAAAATGCCGGAAATAACACAAAAATATAAACCAATTAATTATCAATAATATCCACGCTTGTGCATTGCAAAACATGGTTTAAATGCGCCTTTCAGAGCAATGCATGCTGGTTAAAACAGAGTTTAAGACCGAGTCTATCTGCGTAATTTAAAAAAAGCTCTACACAAACGACCTTTGGGCCCGCATAGGTACTGTACTAAAAACAAGCATGACTCTGTTGTGGAAATCACCGCATGACTTGAACCATCCAAAGAGGAAACAAGATAAACTGATGATCCTCAACTTCTTTAGGTCTAAAGAGGATGGAGACCACCTACTTGTTCTTAGCTCCCGGTCCAAATCCAGCATCCCTGATGGTCTGGGACTCATCAGAGTCCATGTCATGGGTATCTTCCATATCTGTGAAGGCTCCATTAATGCTGAACAAGATCTACAGGTTTAGGACCATCAGGACTCTGTAGTTGGAGTCACCGTATGGGTTTAATATAGTGTTGTGTCGTTCATGAATGTTTCGTTCAAAAGAACGGAACTGCTGAGTCAACGACATGAGTGGAATCACTCCAAGACCTGATTCGTTCCTTTTGCAGTTAAGTTGAGCTCTACCGCGAGCCTGGCATATCGGTCGGGAATGGAACTGCCGCCTTTCACTCTTTGGCGAATGATACACAGCCAGCCAGAGAGCGAGCAGGTGGAGTCTCGTGATTTGCTCACAGCAAATGAACGATATGTATCAGTCAGACTTTGAACAAAACAAATGACTTCTGAAAGACTTGATGCAGGCAGCGGAGGGACGGGTGTAGCATCGTTCACGAACAGCTGAGTGCTGGTTCATTCACCGAGGGTAACCCGGAATGTCCACCGCATCTGGAATGGCTCTGATTCAGAACGGCAACGATTTTTGCCGTATGCGAATTCCTACTGGATTCCTTTGTCAGGTGAATTTCGTGGCGGATTACAGACAGCTGGAATCACGAGAACTAACAAGAACCCGCAGATTTGCGGATTTTGAACAATATCTCCAGGTTCAGGAGCAACATCTGCTTCCATCCAGACAAAGACATCTTCAGGGAAGACCTTCATATGATCCCAAACCACATTCTGACAACAGCATGGCTCTGTAGGAGAAGAGTCCTGCTGAGAAACTGGACTGATGCGGTCCTGACTTGTCCCCGTTAGAAGACAAGTGTCAGGAACGACCTGAACGACATAAATCTAGGGTTGAAATGATTCCTTGATCATCAGATTCTGTTTTAAGGTTTTAAAACAGCGTCTGGACTTTGTCGAAACGAGGTTGCACATCGAGAAGAACCTGAACTTTGAGTCTGAATCTGGAATGAACTGGATCTCTGCACATCTTTCGACCAAATCCACCAATAATTTCTTCTTCATGAGCTGTGTGATGAGCTCAGCTCTGCGGGAATCAAACGTCCGTAACGCCGTCGGATCTCTGATGTTTCGTTTATAAGACATTCTCTAACCGCCACGTCACCCCGCAGCTGCCGGGATCAGAGGAGTCCGAGACGAAGCGCAGGATGAGGTAAAGAGCAGACCACCCTCTCGTACCTGAGCTCGGGCAAGACGTCATGTGTAGCGCGAAGCTAACGGTGACTCAACTCCTCAACAATCTGATGATTAGCATCTTGTTAAATTATACTGCTTTTTCCACTGAGCTGTTCAACTGCATTCCTCGCTGCTAGTTAACACGGCGACTAATGAGAGGGGCATGGCGTGTAAAATGACTTTACAGCGGTGTGTGTTTGCGGTTCACGGACAACACGAGGCAAACAACTGCAGAGTCACACAATAGAGAGAGAAGGATTATAACGGTGAAAACGATGGCTTTGTTAAACTGGAGTTAATTATAACCAGACGACTGCTAGTGTGTACTTAAAAATATCTTTGCATGGAGGTAGAGTTGGACATCTAATGTAGAAATATTTGACAGATTCTTGGTTAGGGTGACCATATTGGTTAGGGGCGGAGTCGCTTGTAGTAAATTTTAAGGGTTTTTTTTGGTCTGGTCAAGTGTTTTTCAGTTACTCCACGCTACACAAACTCAAAACTTCCGTACAAAACTTGGACATTTGAAGGATTTTATAAACTCCCCCAGACAAACCTTTCAGCCCCCATAAAAGAGAACATATGGTCACTCTATTATTGTTATAAATGTGGTTTTGGTTTCTATCTGTTGGCTTAAAAGCAAAACAAGCCAAACTCTTCCCACATCTGAAGTCATGAGCTTATGTCTCACTTCCTGTTTGGTGTTTTTTTTTTTTTTTTATAATGCTATTTTTTTAATTTAAATAAATTTACATAAGGTAAATAGTTTTTGCTCATTTTTTTCACAAACAGAAGTGCTGGAAAAAATACAAAAAATACAGATTAATATTGTTATAATAAAATGAGATTCATCATAGTTATGACTATATGAGAGTAAAAAGTAAGGTATAATCAAAATAAAGAAAAATAAATGCAAAACACAAACATACACAAAAAATTAAAGTAATAATATGACGTTGAGTAAACATAATTATATAAAAAGTAAAATATATATATATAATTTGCAGTACAAAAGTGTAAGTAAGAGTGTCCATACCCTCTCCCCCCACCCACCAATCACATGAGCTAGGTTAAGTTGAAAGAGATATATATATATATATATATATATATATATATATATATACATATAGCATTTTATTCACAGTTTATATACTGTTGGGTATTTTTGACTTACACCCAAAGGATTAGAGATGGAGGTATACAGTGATTTCCAGGACCAAAGTGAGAGTCAGGATGCTGGTTTTAAGATGGACACCAGAGAAATTAAAGAGAAGCCAACCAGCCAGTAAACGTGTTTGACCTGAAGATCATGAGCCCAAAACGTCAAAATGATCTTAATGTGTAAAAAGAAATAGAGTGACCAATCTCTAAACCAACTGACTGTTTCTTCTTGATTGAAGTTTTTAAGGTCTGAGGTCCAAGTCTGCCTCCAGAGCGATCATGTGGGTCATCTACAGGTGACCAAAAAAGGCTTCAGGACCAAATCACGAGTTTATTCAGATTTTGTTGGTAGACATCTGACCCATCTTGCACGTTTCCCTCCTGCATCTGGATCTAACTAGGACGGTGTCATTTCTTCATTTTCTTTCCTAAATTTCATCCAAAAAAAAAATCATGAAAACTTTTAAGTCAGAGGCCAGACATCGAACATGAGCGCTCTCTGACAGACAGCTTCATGGAGTCAAACCCCGGGCAGGGATTTGCGCTCTGGACAGCCTCCGAGGTGTCAGCACAAGCTGTTAACGCACACGCAAGGATCCGTGTTTGTGTGTGTGTGTGCGGCGAGAGTTTGTAAGCTGATATCATCAGGCTGAACTTTGGCAGCGAGGAGGAGAGACTCTCAGGTACAGATGGAGCTACTGTGGTGTTTGATGTTACACGCCTCCACGCCGCTGAATCCGAGCACGTGTGTGCGCGTGTTTGAGGTGATAATGACACAACAAGAATCGTGTTCGCCAGCCTGCCCTGCAGCCATTTTCCATCACATCTTGAGAGGAGGGCGCACTTTGACCTCGACATGTTCAAAGCTGCGCTGAACACTCACTTCCACGTCTCTCGACTGTAAACAAACATTTTTCAGAGAAAACACGCCAATCAGATTAACCGAGCAGCGGCGAGTTGATGCAACGGGATGAAAAGGAAACTTGACAGAGGAGGAGGAGGAAAAGGAGGATGATGAAGAGTTTGACGTGAGGATGAAGAAAATCTAAGTGAAGTCCTTTTGACTCTTCCTGTTTAGACATAAATCCAGATATTACATCTCATTTCAAGGCAAAACAATCAAAAGATAAAGTTTGATGAGTTTGTGACGCGCCATAAATCCTCCTCAGTTTGTGTGAGTTAGGGCTGGGCGATATGGCCTCAAATCAATATTCCAACTCCAACTCCGCTCCAACTTTTGAACCGTCCTCCATCTCCTCACCTGTCTTTCCCTCTTTGTTATAGACAAGATGGGGTGGAGTCACATCTCTGACGAAGGATAGCGTCTTACCTCAAATTTCCATCATATTCGGAATGGCTCTGAACCAGAACGCTGGCAATTCCTACCAGATCTGTTTGTGAGGAGAATTTCATGGCGGATTACGGACCGTGGGAATCGCAAGAACTCACAAGAACATGCGGAATCATGTACAATCTCATTGCATGATAACAAGTTGTCTTTAGCCCCAGAGGGCTTCACTTGTTCGTCTCCACCTGTTTGCATAGATGTTCTATTTTGTGTCTGTGCCCGACTTCCTTTCCAGCATGGGTTAATCTGTGCTAAATTTATCCGGCATGTTCTATCGTCTGTAAAAAATAGAACTCTTGTGGAGTTCGGTGATCCATAGAGGAACCGAAAGAACCCGATGGAAATTGACACATTAACTTGAATGGTTATGATCAGCAGATACGGCCTTTTCGTAGCCGTTCCGGATGCAGTGGAAATTGGAGGTCAAAGGGACATGAGACCATAGCCTACCTACAAACATCCAAAACTAACTTTTATTTATCTATTTTTTTGACATCGAATATACCGTTATGGACAAAATGACGTTGGTAATTGTCGTAAAGTTCGGTATCTGTTAATTTTCAGTTTATCATCAAGCCCTTCACTGAGCGACAGCTACAAGATCAGTGTCATGACTGATACTGGCGTTAAATTACAGGATCCCAAATCGTAAAAAGCCGTTAAATTCAGGTCAAGATAAGGGGTCCCAAGATTGATCCCTGTGGAACCCCTAATCCTGGAAAATATGTGACCCCGTGACGAATATTTGTCCACCTTGTTTTACTTTCTTTTCTCTGGAAGTTTCAACTTTTCGAGTTAGAAATTTTTCACTTTAATGAGAGAAAAAAAAACTAAACAAAACAGACGTGGACACTCGCAGCTGCAGCGCGGACAAAGCCAAAAAACACACAAAGTGTGACAGAGGAAGTGATAAGAAGTGAAACTACTGGAGGAGTCTGAAACAGAGGGAGGTCAGAGCCGGGTGAGCGGGAGAAGACGTGTGTTTAGAGAAGAGGAGGAAGAGGAGGAAGACAGTGAAGGTCAGAGTAAATGAGAGGGAGATGGAGGACCACCCACACTTCTCTACACACACATACACACACTCTGTGGTCAGAGGTTCACCTGCAGTTCACGTTGACCATAACAACACCCCTGAGGAGGAGAGGAGGAGGAGGAGGAGGGGGAGAAGGAGACAGAAGGAGTGAAGGGAAAAAGTGAGAGGATGGGAATGATGTGGTATCAGGAGGGACAGACGAGTGGAAGGAGGGATGGAGGAGATGGAGGGAAGGAGGCAAAGTCATAATTTAGGGCCGTGGAAGCTCAAGAGAGGAATCCGTCAAATGAGAGTTTTCACTTGGACTTCTGCAGACGCTGCAGGTTCACAACCAGGTCAGCGGACTCAAAACGCCTACGCAAGATATTACAAGAGATATCTGCTGATTAGAGGGGAAAAAAGCATTTATTATTGTAGTAAAAGAGGTGACCACAGGGGGCTCCAAAACATCACAAAAGTCCCTCAAAGTAGCTCTAGGGCCTGTGTCCACTGACGCAGTATTTTTCACTGGAAGCACCTGTCTGCCACTCAAACTTTATACAGTTTGAGTTATCATTGACATATGACAAGTGATATCTGCTGATTAAGGGGAAAAAAACGTTTATTATTGTTGTAAAAGATATGACCACAGGGGGCACTAAAAGCACTACAAAAGTTGCTCTCAGTAGCTTTAGGGCCCGTGTCCACTGATGCAGTATTTTTCACTGGAAGCACCTGTCCTTCACTTAAAACAAACATAGTTCCCAATGATATATTACAAGAGATATCTTCTGATTAAAGGACAAAACTGTAATAGTAGTGACAAAGGTGACCACAGGAGGGCACTAAAAGTACTGCTAATGTCCCTCTCAGGAGAATTAGGGCCTGTGTCCACTGACGCAGTATTTTGCCCTGGAATCACCTATCCTCCATTCAAACCAAACAGTTATCACTGAGATTACCAAAAGATATCTTCTGATTAAAGGGGAAAAAAGCAGTTATTGTAGTAAAAGAGGTGACCACAGGGGGGCACCAAAAACATTACAAAATTCCCTCTCTGTAGCTTTAGGGCCTGTGTCCACTGATGCAGAATTTTGCACAGTGAAGAAATAATTCAGTTCAGACAATTTCTTTCAAATTTTTTAAAAACACAAATCAAACTTGAACCATAAAGAGCGTTTTCATGACAGATGATACATTTCGAGTTGTGTGTTCCCCCATTGGATCCTAAAAAATTGATGTACATAGAGACAGAAAAACAGTCCCTCTGATAGTCCGGATGGTCAGAAAAGTTCCAGTATTATATGTAAATGTTGATCAGCCTAACAGTTAAGAAATTACTGATTTATTGAACGTTCTGGGACTATTCTCTGTGGATTGATTTGACCTGGTGTTTGTGATCAGCTCATCTTTGGCGTTGCTCGAGTTGTGCAGAATCACCAACCATCTTCAGGGGGGTGTCAGTCAGTTTAGACCAATCAGAATTAAGTATTTAACAAAGCCGGGTGATTGGCAAGGAAGCTAGGACGTTAAACAGACTTAAGTCACTCATACAGGAAGTTCATGATTCAGTTTTTTTTTAGATCTTCTATCAATAAAAGAAAAAAAATCACACAGGACTCATCGGAAATGCGGTTTTATTGATAATACTGACCCATAATGCAGTGCACACTGTATTGCTCTTTGTAGATATAAAGTCAAATAGAAGCTTTGTCATGAATACATTCAGTCTGTATCTCCCAGAAAACATTCACCTCTCCGTCAAAAACACCGACGATTTACAAAAACAACACAGGGACTTCAAACCGGTTTCACAGAGTCCCAACAGTTCCTCATTTAGTGCAGTTTTTATGGCATCTTGAGTTTATTACAGTCGACAGCAGAAGGATCCTCGCGTTAAAGCTGAAGCACAGTGCAGCATTTTCCCAGAGAAAGAGTCAAGTTTGGTTTTTTTTAGTAGTTTTGCACATAAACCAACTACACTCCCTCTACAGCATCAAGAAAAACCTTCAAAGAAATAGTTTAACTTTTGGGTTTTATGCTAATTCAGTCCAAAGAAACACGATCTCTCACATATCACAAAGATGAAATTACGCATTTCATCTGTCTTAAACATGCATGTCTCTTTTTTTATCCCGCCCATGAGAAGGTGGAAGATTTGAAGGTGAGGAGAGGAGCTGATGTGATTGGTGAAAACAGGTCTCGACTGTGTTAAACCCACTCCACGCCTTCTCTCCGCCCTCTTAACGACTTATGCCGCTGGGAGGAGCTGAGCTGGGGAGAGGGGACACTTACATCGTGCTGCGCCGCTCACCAAAATACCAAAATGTGCATGGGCACACCTTGTCGGCACGGCAGACCTGACCTACGCCGCGCCTGCGCCATGCCGCTGGCGAGGCACAAAGATAGAGCCCTAGGACTTAGACTCAAGTCTGTTTTGATTGTCAGAACTCGTAACTCAAGATTCAACCAGGACTCAAGACTCGAGCATCAAATACTAATTGGTTTGAACTTGGCGTGCAAGTTCACCTTCATGTCTGTTCATGTCAAAGTCCAAGTTCCTGTCAACATGACCAAGACCTTGGATATACCTGCAGATAACTACGTGTACACGAAGGTACCATGGCGGCCTCGCAATCCCAGCACAGGTTGGGTCTTCACCGCAGATAACGTATTAGCCAAACTATCTGACGACCAACAAGTTCAACGTTGCTAGTTGATGAGGAAACCTACAGAAAGTCTGAGACTGATGCGTCCAAGCATGGAGGGAATCAGTCATTAGTCGCTGATTGAAAAGAGAGTTCGCTGACAAAGCCAGACCAGCTTTCTGCAGGTGTTCCCAGTCCTGATGCTAAGCTAAACTAAGCTAACAGACTCCTAGCATAGTCTCCAAAGTGTTAAACTATTTCTTCTTTCACAAAGACGACAAAGGCAGCAGGTGTGACTGTTTGTCAAGGCAGCGAAAGTTTAGAGTTGAATGTCACGATCGAAGACACAGCTGAGTGTTTTAAAAGAAATTTGCAGAATGAAGTATTTTTTTATATATACATAAAATAAAACTAGAGAACAGGATTATCTGAGTGGATCCACATGAATGTTTACGTCAGCAGGATCTTCAAAACAAAAACAAATAAAGTCCAACATCTAAAATCTGTTAAAAAAAACTCTGATACTGTCGTCATCTCAGGCAAACGACAACTAGAACACATCCTTCTCTAGATAGTAGAAATTTTCACTCTTTTTCTTGTTTTTTTTGCGCAATATTTTATTACATGAACACACTGCCAAACAAAAACACAATTTCATTAAAAAGGTCGTCAATGAGCCGTTAGTTTTAGCACTTTTGTCTTTTACTTTCAGCTCCTGTGACGAGTTTTTAACATTTATGAAACAGACTGGAACTCGTTTTGATGACATTTTACGATATCTAAAATCAAACCAATTTCCATCTCAAATATTCACGATAGATGATCGATTTGACTTTCAAAAGTCGGCGGGTAGTGTCGAACTGTTAGAGGATGTAGAGGACAAAGTTTACTTTGGCCACAGGGGGCGCCAAAGTTCTTCCCAGGAGCTTTGAGTGATTTGTGTAAACAGATTTCAAGTTTTTTTTTACTGTTTGAAGGTTTTTGGTGTCACAACTTCTTCACTGTTGTCGATTCAGACTTTGATGTCCAGTTTTCTCTGGAATCAAAACTAACGCGTCGTAGTTTAAAGGGTCGAGGAGACAGGAAGCGTGTCTGGACTGGCGCTCGGGTTCAGACGGGTTTTAAAACTCCTACGATGCTTCACTGGAGTCGGAGTCCTCCTAACCTGACAGGACCGCAGCTTTCCAAAACTCTGTCCAATAACTGAGCAGCTTTCGAGTCCATGTGACCTCCTCTTAACGAGGCCCGGTCGGCCAATAATCCGCTGGTGTGAAACGAAAAAATGAACCAAATGGGACGAAGTCAATTTTTCCACCAACTGAGCGAACACCTTAAAACTCTGAACCGTTATTTGTCACTTGGTTTTTCGGCGTGACCTGAACCGTCCGGGTTCTTGTTTGCTCTTTGGGACTATTTAAGGATCAAAAGACCCTCGACGCCCCCGAAGATAACCCCTCAAACACGTACTGTACTTGAGGAAATCCTGCACACACTGAGCGTTAAAGCCCCTCTTCCTTAACTTTTCCTGTTCCGACCTTAAACACACACCCAAAAACGTCTGCAGCAGGCGGACGCACAAACACAAATAACACTGTCTCATGATCTGACGCACACACACACACACACACACTGGAGTCACACGGGTTAAGCTCAGGCTAACTCTCTGGGTTTCTTTGGCACCGCATGAGTGTGTGTTTAATGTCCTTATCAGCGCACATCGATCTCTCTGAAAACACACTTTGTCCTAATAAAGCTCAACATCAACAAGAGCAAATCCCCGACTTAACCCGCTAAACCCTGAGAGAGGAGGAGGAGGAGGAGGAGGAGGAGGGGTGAAGCTCAGAGAGGAGGAGGTGTGACGCAGAAGGGAAGACGAGGAGGAGGAGAGATGGGAACTTTAGAGAAGAGTGAGGACGCTGTGATATGAGGAGAAAATCAGATTTCTGTGGTTTGCATCACTTCTGTAAACCTTCGGGAACCATGGAGACCAGTTTCTGGAGTTTTCAAAGCGTGATGTAGATTTCAGCAGCTCGAAAAAGTCAGCGAAGGATCCAGCAGGTCCACGGTTTCCAAAAAAAGAGTCGTCCAACTAAAGGACGGTGTCTGACTTTGACGGTTACCATCAATACCGATATTGATAAGTATTGGTATTTATGGTATCTAGAGGCACATGTGCGCATTAAAAAAATTAGCCATATTGAGGTGAAGTTAGTTTTAGGTTGGATATCTGACGAACGTTCACTGCGGTACCCTCGCTGTCAACGTCGGGTGTTAATTGAGGGACCATCAATAAATTACCGGTTGATGTTCTTGGAAAAAAGGCTGTTTTCCTTCAATAGCTTCCATGTCATGTGACCAATTGACCTAAAATTGATTTCAAATAATCGTACTAAGGTCGATCAATAAGACAAACATTATTTGATCAATTCTCATTGTGCCCCGAAAGTTCTTTGTGTGCTCCTTACTTTTTCAACTTAGGAGAACTTGTGATAAAAGTTCGTGTCGATCCCTGGTGTCATTATCAGAATATGAAATCTGAAAATAAGCTAAAGGTAATACGGTGAGTTCAGAGCTCAGGTCCTAAATTTGAGAAGATGAAGAAGAAGAAGAAGCAGAAGAAGCAGACCATCTTTCTAACAGTTTAAACCGTTTTCATTCAATTCCATAATTCACGATCTACGGGGAGAAGCTAACAAGGGGATTCCACTGGATCCAGAACGATTCCGCTCCACTCCCGACCAATAGGCGGATCAAATACGCAAGCATACAGCGCCCACCGGATCTGGTCTTCTGCCGCCATTGGAAGAGAAGCTCTCCCGATATTACCGATAGTTCTCGCGAGACTAGACAAGCTCTCATGACATCTTGCATGTTGCCTTGCCTATCTGAGCCGCAGCGGAGCCAGACGGCGGGCGGATTCTGTGGAATCACTCACATTGATTATAATGCTTGCGTATTTGATCCACCTGCCGTGCCGGATCAGAGCGGAGCCGTTCCGGATCCTTTGGGTTTTGCCCGTAAGACTTCAAAATAAAAGCACATATCCTGCAACATAGTAAATAAAACAACCTAAATTAGGGATATAAGACATAAAATTTCTTCCCACCCTGACCTCTGAGGGACTCGTCTTCTCTGAAATGAGTTTTTAGTTTTTTTTGTCTCCGTCCAAACTTCTTTAAAACATCCATCAAATTTAAATCGAGGACATTTTATCATCTAACTGTTCTATTTTTCAGTTTCAGCGTCTGATATGAAGATAAATGATTCACAAACGATCAGATCCTGTTTTAAGCATCCTGTTTTTTTTGGAATCGGACAGAAAAAGAGGTGAAGATGGAGTAAAGGAGGAGAAGAAAAAGGAGGGGCATAAACAGACGCAGAGATATGAAGCTCAAGAGAAGAAAGAAGCAGCTAAAAAAGAGCTCAAACACACAGAGAGCTCAGACGTCTGATTGCACTTGAACGCAGCACATGATGATGTTAGCATTAAAGTTGAATCAAAGAGGATCAGATCCTGTTAAAGATTCTTCTTCACAGAGTTTTTAAAGCCAGAAAGTTTTGTAGGCGCTCCGTCACCGCTGCCTGACCCGACGCTGCCTCGCTGAGCGGCGCAGACACAGCAGGGGGCGAAAGATCAGGCAACAACATCACAACCTTTGATTCCGCTTCCTGCTTTTCCCAACATGGCCGCGTTTGTTATCCTCCCCTTCTTCTCTGCGTGAGCGCAGACGAGACGGGGAGAGGGATGAAAGAGGTGACGCAGGGATGACGAAGAGACGCGAGACACCTGCTGAGATCTGACGGGGAGCCGAGGAGCGCGCTCAGTGCAGAGAAGCGGGGTTTGTCGAGAACGGAAACGCACAGATCTGACAGGAAAGGCACAAAACGGACACAAACACACAAATGACAGCGTTTGTGAACCTCGGGCGTGAGCGAGTAAACTTATCTTCACACGCACAGTCTGAGCGAGGTCACGAGTTCATCGCTGCGGCGGAACGCTCGCCCCGAATAACCTCCGAGACGTGACGCATGAACTCAAAGACTCAAAGAAGAAGAAACCTCATCATCACAGCCTCATTTCACTCCTCGCCAACTCCACACTGTCCCTCATGTCCTCAGTTTCTCCTCGCTTCCTTTCCTCCCTCGTCTCCTTCGTCATCACTCGGCCGACTTCGCCGGTCCGAAAGGTCCCACCATCTTCATGGCGGCGTAGTTCTGCAGAAGAAGAAAGAAAGCTGAGTCATTCGGACCTCGTTTCCTCTCTCTGTCTTCGTCACGAACTCAAACCTACCGGGAAGGAGTAGAGGAAGACGCCGAGGAAGAGGAGGATGAAGAAGAGGATGATGAAGAGGATGATGAACCACTTGAACCGCCTCCACAGGATGAACTTGAGGGTCTTATAGGGGGAGGAGAACCACAGGAAGGAGGTCTCCGGCCGCCTGGAGGAGGAGGACAGGATGAGGACCCGGATTTGTGCGTTACGTAGATGATGTGTGTGTTTATGTGCAAGACTCACTTGGGCTCCTCCAGGTGCGGGTTCATGTTGGGTTCGTCCCTGCCGTGTCCCGCCGGGCGCTCGTCTTGTTCCTGCTCCGTCACGATCTCCAGAGACATCTCCACCTTCCCCTGAGGACACAAGAACAAGACGATGAGTCCTGTCCTCGTTTGGTCAAAGTGGTTTAGTTTGCGTGTCGGTGTTTCTCACTGCGATGATCTTCTCCCCGTTCTGGTCGCAGGTGCAGGGCCACCATCCTTTCACCGTCTTCTGCTCGAACAGAGACACCAGCTTGTCCGCCGGCTGATGGAGCAGCTGCAGGGTGCACTTCTCCGGAGACTTGGCGGGGCGCAGCATGTGGTTCAGGTCCATCACCAGGTGACCTGCAGAGAGAAACAGGATAAGATCTCAGAAAGGAAAACCCTGACAAGGACGCCATTACAACTATCGGTCTTTTTTGACGAGCACGAAGATTGACAAAGTCTGAACGAGAAGTTCTTGCAAGTTCTGGCTACGAAAAGGCCATTTCCGCTGATTGTAGCTGTCAAGTTAACGTGTCAATTTCCACCGGCTTCTTTCTGTTTTGCTGAGGGAGTTCTATTTTCTCCGGACGCCGGAGCATGCCGGATAAATTCAGCACAGATCGGAAGGAAGTCGGGCACAGACACAAAATAAACACTTCGTATTTCAGAAGGATCATCTGGCAATAGGAATTGGCGGACGGAGCTGTTTTGAATGTGGTGGAAATTCAGGGTAAGACGCTGTCCTACATCAGAGACGTGACTCCACCCCATCCAGTCTGTAACAAAGAGGGAAAGACAGGTGAGGAGATGGAGGACGGAGAGAAAGTTGTAGCGGCTGAAGTAGACGAAGTTAATGTGGGAGGGGGTGAGCAGCTCGTGGAGTAGTTATCGTCCATTTATCGTTATCGAGGTGAACTGATCAATATATCGTGATATCGATATGAGGACATACGACCCAGCCCTAACTCAGACAGTTGGAGGGTGACAGTGATCAGCTGACACAAACCGAGGAGGATTTATGGGGAGGTACAAACTCATCAAACTTCATGTTTTGATTGTGACGCCTCAAAGTTCTTAAAGTTCCTCAAGTCTGTTTATCCACCACGAAATTCGCCTCACCAACGGATCCAGTTGGAATTGGCAGACGGTGAAAATCGCCGCCATTCCAGATCAGAGCCATTCCAAGGTGAAAATTGGGGGTAAGGTTTTTTTGAGGTCCTTCTGACCTCTGCATTCCTTGATGTTGGATGTGGCTCGTTCTGGGTAACAGATCTGGTCTTACTCTCCCTCTAAAACCAAACGAAAACCTCAGTGTGAGACCAAACTATGAGCCGTATCAGGCGAGGAGACGGTTCGAGGATATGAGCCTTGAGATCTATATGAAGCAGGATTATGGACCATCCTGTTGGCGCTGTTTTGATCGGTGTTGACTTTAACTCTGGAGGGGAGATCCTCGGTGTCCACTAAAAGTCTAACGGCGTGATGGAGGGAAAACGGCTCGTGTCTGACGCTCACGCCGTGCAGGAACATTAACCGCCAGCAGTCCCAGCTGACGAGCCGAAGACAGGCCGGAATGAAAGAAACGCTTTGAGGCGGCCGAGCGCAACGGTGACAGACAGGAACGCACCGGAGCCTGGATTCCCCATCGTCCTCCCCGCAAACGCACGCCCCTTTGCCCCCGTCTTTGAGGAGGTGAAATGGAGCAGGAGCGAGCGAAAGAGGAGAGGCAGGGCGGTGAGTTATTCGAGGGGACGAGGCCGGGGCAGCGTCAAGGGTGAAGGAGAGGCGGAATTTTGACAGCTTGAGCTCCGGAGGAGAGAAAATAAAAGGAGGAGGCCTTCCTGCGTCTGAAATGTGCCAACACGGTGGAAATGAAGGAGCGTTAATTCAGAAGATAAATGTTATCGCTGGAGTTTGTCTCACATGTGGTTTCCTGGATGGATTTATCGCTCCGACACGAGCCAAAGATCAGGAGAAAGTGTCTGTGTGTCAGAAACTAAGTCCGCTCGGCTTTTATGATCAGCCCTAACTTATTTTAATAGATATTAATCTTGGACATATGGAGTCGTTTCCAGTAAGCCTGTAGTTATTCTGGTGTAAATTTAAATTAAAAACAGTTCTCAGAGTGTTTTCTGTTTTCCGAGGGAGTTTGATGAAAAGGGCATTACCTTCCGCGCGTTCAGGTTCGAGATTTACCTCAAATATCATCTCAAAAAGAGCCAAAATTTGACTTTTATGGTATTTTTCTGGAAACGACACCCTCTAAAGCTGCAGGATTATATTTACTATCAAGTGATTTTATTATCGGGGTCATGGAACCAGAAACATCTGCGTTTATTGCCAAAGACTTCAAAAAAGATGACTGAAATTTGACACAAAAAATAGGCGAATCAAAGCGTTTGGCGCATTTTTACCCAGATAGTCGTCGAAGGAGAACTTGTCGTTGTCCCAGACCTGGATGGTGAGTCTCGGCGCCACTTTGGTTTCTGCTTTATCCAAACTCCAGAAGTGTTCCTGCGCAAGAAAAACAACAAAAACAACAAAAGATACATAAAAATTAAACAATCTAACCTTTAAGAGACCAAAACTTCACACCCATAGAAGACGCCCTGGAATTAAACTCTTACTATCTTGTTTTTGCAAGATAACAACCTTGAGAAAACTAGTTATCTGTGCAAATAAGAGAGTTAATTTTGGTGAATTTAAGGCTATAATCTCGTGAAAATGAGTTAATATCTTGTGCGCACAAGATAAAAAAGGTATCATGTCAGATCAGGGTAACTAAACAGGAGGTCAGGATATCATTTTCTTTTGTGCTCAGAGGATCGTTTTTGGAGCACAAAGGTGTAAAAAGTTATCTTGGACGCACAAATAACAACATTGAATAAATGAGCGACTATCTTGCACGTTCAAGATAATTATCTCCTGAAAGGAAGATCCGTTGTGCACTCAAGATATACATCTTTTAGAAAAAGATACTCTAGGCCCACAGGAAAACTATTTTAAGCATCCAAGACAGTGTCATAAGTTTCTTGTTCGCTCAAAATTGGAATCTTGCGGAAACTAGCAACTGTCTTTAATGCAAGCCATAATTAATCATTTGAAAACAATGTAAAAGATATTTATGTTGTTAACTCTAAGAAGTTTGTCGTTTTCTTTCTGCAGATTCATGAATTAAACAAAAATTTAAAGGTTTTTATTTCATCTTGTTTTTTTGGACGCCGGTGCAGCAGAGAGGAAAGACGCTCGTGTTCGGAGCAGGACTCCATCGCCACATTTCGAACCGCCTCACCACTTCCACGCCGGAGCTGCTCGCTCACATCTGTGTGTGTGTGTGTGTGTGTGTGTGTGTGTGTGTGTGTGCGTGTGTGTGTGTGTTAGACCTATTATCACCTCTGACAGACTCTCAGCAGCCTGGCAGACACTATGTGATCCTGTATCACCTCTGTGCTAATGCTCTCTCCCTCTCTCTCTCACTCTCTCTCTCTCTCTCTCTCTCTCTCTCTGTTTCCATTCTCTCACTCCTCTCCTCCGTCTGACTGTCACACTCTCCGGCTGTTATAACGCTGATAAAATAAAATACAACTTTTCACACTTTAAATCAAACAGCTCCCCCGTGATTCACAGCGAACGTCGACATGTTTCTGTAACTTTTCAAGAAACGCTTAAAGAGACGATTTCCCACAAAGTTAAAGCTGCTGTAAAAACTGTTTCAACCTTCTGTAACTGTAAATCAGTCCACGCCTGATTTAAAGTCAGGAAAATCACTTTTAGACAAACTGTTGGGTGTGAATTTTCTTCCTTATTGCAGCTTCTTTCTACTTTAAATCAGCTTTGTGAATCACACTTACAGAGTTCACTGTCGTCCTTTTTTATTGGTGTAAATCTCTTCAATAATTTCACCGTCTCAATCTTAAAGTCGGCCTTCTTGTTTAAAAGTGGATTTTTAATGTTTTTTTTACCACAGTGGGATCCCTCAAGGCTCCATTCTTGGACATCATTTTTTTCTCTATAATTAAAAAATCTCTGCAGTGTAAGTCTAATGTAAATGTTCAAATATACGCAGATGATACCATATTTTTTCTTTTTTTAGTCACCTATACCCGTTTGATATTTACACTCATTTAGTTCACTGTTAAGCATTTCTATCAAGTTAAATCTCTTAACTTTTTAATTGTTTAAATAGTTGTAATTTTGTTTTAATTTGTTGTTTTGGTTTTGTTTTCTTTTTGCAGAGCACACTGGTTTACATTTGTTCTTTTAAAAAAAAGGAGTCCCACAAGGCTCTATATTTGGACCTGTTCTATTCCCTCTAATTTCTTTTTCAATTTAAGTTATTTTTTCATTATTTTTTTTCCCTTTTTTGCAGAGCACTTTGGTTGGGCTCTGTACTTGGACCTATTTCATTTTCTATAAAGATTAATGACCTCAGGAATGTCTGTCCTAATGTTAATTTTCAGATCTTTAACTAATTTTTTTGTACATTTTTTAATATTTTTTGTATGTTTGTTTGTTTAAATTAGTTTTTTTTTCCTTGTATGCAGAGCACTTTGGGCTCTATAAACCATTTTATTGTACATTTATAATTTTTTTCTTTTTTCAATTTTTTTTTTAAATTAGTTTAAATTTTTGAGCTCCTTTGGTTGGACTCCATAATTGGATCTCTTTTATTTTCTTTAAAAATTTATCAGCAGCCCTGTGATTGTCCAAATGTTAATGTTCAAATGTTTGCTGATGATTCAACCCTTATAATTTTTTTTATTTATAAACTCATGAATTACACTCATTTTGCTAACTGTCATCCTTTTCTATTGACTTAAGTCTCTTTAAAAATGTCATTGTCTCAATTCTAAAAAATGTCTTTTTTTATTTAAATTGGCTGTTTTTATGTATTTCTTTCTTTTTTTGTTAATGTTTGTTGTGGAGTCCCTCAAGGCTTCATACTTGGACCTACTTCATTTCCTTCATGTTTTGATTCTCTCCCTGATGCTCGTCCTGATGTTCATTTCCACATATGAGCGGATGGTGAGGTAATTCTTGGTGAGTTTTTTAGTTTTATTCATGCAGAGTCCATCTTTCTATGGAGTCAAAGGTTCGAACGCTTCTCGTGTTACGTCTTTTTTTTATGCACCTGAACCTTTTCCACAGTTTTTCCAACTTTTCCTGTTTTTTTTTTAAATATTCTGTCAAATTGTCAGCGATAGTTTTTTAAAAAGACAAACACACAGTCGGGTTTGGCTCGACGATAAATCACGTTACACAAAAAAGACTCAAAATGACAAACGACTCGCCTCTTGTGTCGCCGTTATGACTTCACACCGACTCTCCACATCGGAGTCTAAATCCACACCATGCTCTCACACTTCATGACAACACACAAACAGAGAGAGTAAACACACTACACCCTGTCTGTGTGTGTGTCTGTGTGTGTCTGCTGAAGCACGTACTCATGTCAGTGTCAGTGTGTGTGTCTTTGTGTGTGTGTGTTTGGCTCAGTTTGTTCACTAACTCTGTCCAAGCACATTAAGATATCACTCCACAGCTGTCACAGGCAGGGGTGTGACGCTCTATTATCCAAGTGTGTGTGTGTGTGTGTGTGTGTGTAGCCGCTCTCTGTAATATCTAACAACATCAATCAGCTTCCTTTTTCTTGCCAGTGTGCTAAGTAGAGAGTCCTGTTCAGTCCTCTCCTTCATTTCCTCCCTCCATCCGTCTCCCTCTCTCCTCCTCTTCATCATTTTCGATCGCCTCTTCGCTCGTAAACGTCGTGATAATTTATCGCCCGAAACTAAATTACATCATTTCGATTTAACGATGGAAGAATAACGCGTTTTTACTCAGTAATTCAATCATCCGAAGCTAACAGACGGAGTTTATTTACGGTGATTCGTCTCAAAAGCAAATGAGAGAATTAAGAAGAGAATGAGGACAAAGTCAGAAATACTATAAAGAATAAAAGGGTTACTACTTTGTCCACAGGGGGCGCCAAAGTCAACACAGACGAAAAGATCCAAACAGGATTTTAAAGGGATACTCTCCCCTCCACAGATGAATGTTGTCGACCGCTTACTTCTCTAGTTATACCAACTTTAGTAATGACCGCAGGATAGAAATACAGAGAGACACGCCCCCAACCAAAACGCCACTCTATAGCCACAAATAATGCTCAGAACAGCACCTAACTTCATCAACAGGACATATAGGGTCACAGACATAGTACTAGACACCAAACATCTTTTTAACTTTGACTCTTTTGTTTGTAGCAAGACCTCAGGCCAGTCCATTACGGACTACAGCGGGGTGACGCAGCTCAAGGAAGAACATTTATGATCATTTCTTTATCATCACCCCTGTCCTCTAAAAACTTTGCTGGCTCCCCATCTCATACCGCACACAATTCAAAATCCTCCTGCTCACCCACAAATCACTCAACAACCTGGCCCCCACCCACCTCACAGACCTGCTCCACCACTACACCCACTCCCATGCCCTCTGACCCTCAGAGGGAAATCTTCTTGCCCTACCCCCTCGGACCAAGCATCGAACTTGGGCGGGACAGAGCCTTCTCTGTTGCCACCCCCACCCTCTTGAATTCACTCCCCAAACCCATCCGAGACTGTACAGATCCCCACATAAATGTTCTTCCTTGAGCTGCGGCACCCCGCTGTAGTCCGTAATGGACTGGCCCAAGGTCTCGTTACAAACAAGCGTCTGCTGGAAGAGAGTAGGTGAGTTGTGTTTAGTCTCTTTGCTAAAGAAATGAGTCAAAGTTAAAAAGATGTTTGGTGTCTAGTACTATGTCTGTGACCCTATATGTCCTGTTGATGAAGTTAGGTGCTGTTCTGAGCATTATTTGTGGCTATAGAGTGGCGTTCTGGTTGAGCGCGTGTCTCTCTGTATTTCTATCCTGCGGTCGTTACTAAAGTTGGTATAACTAGAGAAGGAAGCGGTCGGCAACATTCATCTCTGGACGGGGTGTCTAACTTGGTGTTTGACCCTTAACCAATTTTACGCTGGAATATCCCTCTAACAGAAAAACTCACTTTCTATCCCGGCAGTCATCACCGATTCCGTCCCTTAGCTTTTCAGACACATTTGAAAACTCATCTTCTCCTCTCTTCTCCTCCTCTCCCTTCACTTTAGAAAACTTTCTGAGGATTCATAGAAGAACCAAACTCTGAGTCGAACTCTCTGATCTGACTTAAAAGAGCAGAGAAAGATAACAAGTGTGAGTGTTGATAGAGCTGTTGATCGGCGGCGGCGGCGGCGATGACTCAGTCATTATATCACCGACCGCAGATCCTTCTGGCTTCATAAAGCATGTTTCTGGCTGCGGCTCTGTTTTGGAGGGAAAACTCTCCACCCTGCAGAGTTTCTTATTTAAAACTCCCTCTCGTCTTCTCAGCCGCCCGCTGATTGAGGATGCTGCTACAAGACGGGAACGCCGTCGTAAAACATGTCGGCTGCGGACGGCTAAAGAGCCCGGCTCCCGCGCCAAGAACAGCAAATGACAGGCGTGTTGTTATTCCAGTTTTCAGTGAGGTGTTGTTTTATGGTTCTCCGCTCCGTGTTTCTGTCGAGTCTCTGGGAGTCAAAAGCATCTAATTCACTCCCGTTAAAACGTCACTTCATTATTTTTGTTAATTGTTGTACGGCGGCTGTAGATCAGGATCTGGACCGGCTTTGATCCGGTCTAACCGTGGGGGGTCTCTACTCAGTTCTAAAAGAATAAAACTGGACTCTCTGTTCGTACACGACAAGAGTTTAAACCCCGCCTCCTTACCTTCTTGTCGACCACGCAGAGCTGCTCTGCAGGTAGATAGTGGAACGGAAACAGGAACCTGTAGTTGAAGTTCCCCTCGCCGCCCAGAGAGCGATAGTGGACGTCCGTCTTCTGTTTGTTGTGTTCGTGTCCCTCCAGCCAACTAAACACAGATCCTCATTTTCACTGATTTTATTACTGACTCGTTTATTATCTTGAATACGAACGTCGGGAATAAAACGTGAAAAATGAACCTTTTCGCTCTTACCCTTTCACGTAGATGTCGCTCATTTTCTCGCCGCTGATGCTGACGTCGTCCAGGATGACATCGCTGGTGTTCCAGATGATGCAGCGCAGGAAGAACCTGAACGAAGACCGAAACAAACTTTAGTTATAGATTTATTTTAGCATTAAAAAATAAAATAATTAAGAGTCAGCAATTTAAAAAAATGTCACCGCAAAAGAAAAAAAGAAACACACTAAATGAAATAAAATTTACACATTTTTCCAAACTGTTAATTCAAAGAAAGAAATATCTAGTTTTGTTTTTCATGATGTTTTTGTGAATTTTATTTCACAATCATAGATTCACATCATTGTCCTTTTTCCATTTTTTTTTCACTCTGAATTTTTGCTCATTTTTTGTTTTTTCTTTTTAAAATAAATTGATCAGGAGGAAACAACTAATCAACTCACCGTCTAAAGAATAACTTTATGAATGAATGAATGAATGAATAAATAACTCAATGAATATTCATGAATAAATAAAGAAAGAAGAAAAAGAAATGGATAAAGAGAAGAAAAGGAATAAATAAATAAATAAATTAGTAAAAAAAATAGATAAATTATTTATTAATGAACTAAACAAATTAATAAATAAATGACCAAATCTACCCCAAAAATTTAAACAAAGAATAAATTGATACACAATTAAATAGAAAAGGCAATTAATGGATAAATAAATTAATAAACTGGTAAATGAACGGTTAAATTATTTATTAATAAACTAAATAACCCTAACCAAATCAACTAAAAATGAATTAAATAAAGAGTAAATAAATACAAAATTAAATAAGGAAGAAAATGAATAAATAAATAGATAAATAAATGGGTTGATATTAAGATTGATTATTTATAAATGAGCTAAATAAATCAATAAATGACAGAAACTCCTATAAATGAATTTAATAAAGAATAAATAAATAAAGGACTTGATCAAAAAACTAATTTAATTAATAAATGAAAAAGTTAATTTAGATGAGGACTAAGGTATTGAATAAGGAATACATTTATAATTAATAATTAAATAAACAAATAAACAGATAAGTAAATAAATAGATTGATGAATAAATAAATAGATAATGAAACTAAGAAGAAATCGATTAAGTGAACAAATAAATAAGTATAGAATAGATTTATAACTGAATAAATAAAAATGAAATGAATAAAGAAATCGATTAAATGATTGAATAAATAAAATAGACATTAAACAGACCAACAAACTTGTCTTTGTGACAGACTGACAGATCCACTGTTTTATTGATCGGTTGACTTATATATATCTCCATTATTCCCATTCATTGATTATCTGATCCGTTATCTGATTGGTCGATTGTTTCTTGAAGTCTAATTTTATCTCCAGCTCTCATGTCGACAGTGTCATGTCTGCGTTCCTACTTCTTAGCCTTGCGCGGCGTGATGTTGAAGGGGGGTCCAGGCGGTCCCAGGGACTTTGGGAACAGGTCCACCCACATCATCAGACGCCCCTAACGAACAGCATCAACAGCCAATCAGAAGACAGCGATGTAAAAACAAAGGAGGGTAAAAAAAACGAAGGTGGAGTAAAGGCGTTACCTGCTCGATCTCCGGCTGCAGAGGGCTGAACAGGGTCCGGGTCTCCACGTGTTCCGGTACCAAACCCATTTTCCTCAAGATGTGGAGGGACAGACACTCCTTAATGGGACCGAGGTGACGTTTGGGGACGTTTTTGTCCTCTGAAGACACACACACACACACACACACACACACACACACACACACACACACACACACACACACACACACACACACAGATATGGAGGTCTAAGTGAAAACTGGTCATGTGACTTTTAAAGAGTGGAGAATGGAAACACAGAATACAGGGTGGACTCATACAGGAATTATTCATCATCTCAGCACACACACACACACACACACACTACACACACACACACACACACACACACACACACACACACACACACTGTAAGATGTTGGAAAATCTGCGTCTGTTCCAAGAAAAACCCAAAAATCAAACGAACATCAAAAGTTTACGACGGTAAACCCCGAGTCACCTCGACTGTACGAGGAGAGGAGGAAGGAGGGAGGAGGAAGAGAGGAAAGGAGACAAGGTGGTGACTTAGGAGAGGAGGTAAAGTGAGGAAAGAGAAGGCACGAAGAACAAGGCAAGGAAAGGAGAGAAGGGAAGATGGGAGGGAATGAGAATGTTGACAGTAAAAGGAGAGGAGGAGACAAGGAAACAGAAAATAAAGGAGGGAAGAGAGGAAAGGAAACAAGGAGGTGACTTAGGAGAGGAGGTAAAGTGAGGAAAGAGAAGGCACGAGGAACAAGGAAAGGAGGGAAGGGAAGATGGGAGGGAATGAGAATGTTGACAGTAAAAGGAGAGGAGGAGACAAGGAAACAAAAAATAAAGGAGGGAAGAGAGGAAAGGAAACAAGGAGGTGACTTAGGAGAGGAGGTAAAGTGAGGAAGAGAAGGCAGGAAGAACAAGGCAAGGAAAGGAGTGAAGAGAAGATGGGAGGAAAGGAGAAGGTAGGGTGCGAAGGAGAGGAGGGGACAAGGATACAATAGAATAAAGGAGGGAAGAGAGGAAAGGAGACAAGGTGGTGACTTAGGAAAGGAGGTAAAGGGAGAGAAAAAAAGGTGGATATGAAACATGGAAGAAAAGAGAAGAAGAAAGGAGGAAGGAAGGACAAGGCAAGGGAAGGAGAGAAGGGAAGATGAAGGAAATGAGAAGGTTAGGTGCAGAAGGAGAGGAGGAGACAAGGAAACAAAAAGAAAAAAGAAGGGACAGAAGAGGAAGAGAGGAAAGGAGACAAGGTGGTGACTTAGGAGAGGAGGTAAAGTGAGGAAAAAGAAGGCAGGAAGAACAAGGCAAGGAAAGGAGTGATGAGAAGATGGGAGGAAAGGAAAAGGTAGGGTGTGAAACAAGATGAGAAGACAAGGAAACAAAAAAAGGAAGGAGGAGAAGGTGGAGAGAGGGAATGATAAAGACGGATAAATGGCAAGATTGAAAAGTGAAGAAATGAGAAAGTATGGAAAAAAGAGAGATCGAGTCGAGAGAAAGTGATGAAGAGAGAAAGAAAGTTTAAGAAAAGGCAGATCCAGGAGAAAGAAGTCAAAAGAAAAAAGTCTCTCAACAGTTTAGCAACCTCGTTTGACGGACAGCGGGCTGACGCACGGTAACCACGGCAACCGTGGAAAGAGAACGCTGCGGCGCTCGCCGTTTAACAGAGACGACCGGCCGGGGTGTTGACGTTGGCGCTCAGACGTTCACAAACAGAAGACGTGACCTTCATCCATGAACGAGTGTGTGTGTGTGTGCGTGCGTGCGTGCGTGCGTGCGTGCGTGCGTGTGTGTGTGTGTGTGAGTGTGTGTGTGTGTGTGTGTGTAGAAGTGAAAATTGCTTCAACATTTATCACATGTTGAGATTCTCAGGTGGTCCTGAGGTTTCTCCAAGAGAGGAGAGAGGAGGCAAGGATGTAGGAGAGGAGATAAGGAGAGAAAAGATTAAGAGAAGGGCAGAGGAGACAAGGACAGAGGAAAGGAAAGAAGGAGTGAAGACAGAAGACTTCGATGGTTCTGACCCAGGTCTGCTGCGGTGTACTGATCCCCTCTGAAGTGGACCACCTCGTCCTGGTAGACCGGTTTCGGCAGGTTCCGGCGCTCACACAGTCGTAACAGAAGCTGCCGCGGCGTCAGCTGGTCCCTCCACTGGTTCACTCCAGACCTGAGGGAGGAGACACAGAGACGGACCAGGATTCAGGGTTCAGAGAGGAACCGGTTTGGTCTGCTCAATCTGGATTTACAGATCCGGGTCTACTCACACGCAGTAGGACTGCGGCAGACCGCACATGGCGCCGTATTTGGACAGGAAGCGGTTCTCCAGGTCGATCACGGTCTCCCCGATCTTCTCGTCTTTGGTCAGCATGTCGTGGTCGTACACCATCACATGGAGGTCCTTCTCCAGAGGGAGGGAACAGGTGAGCTCGAACATCCTGGAGACAGGAGGAACTCAGCGTTCAGTTCTGGTTCTGATCGTGAACTTATCGTCAAAATAACCGAGACGACGTTCTGACTTCAGGTTTCACGACAAAATAAGAACTTTCTACGTTTTCAACAAGATCAGGCGACAAAGTTCGCTAACGTAGAGGTGACGTCTGTTTAAAGGGATAATCCGGAGTAAAATCAATTTAGGGTCAAACACAAAAAAGACCGAGTTAGACACTCGTCAAGAGGTCGGAAGGGAAGAAGGAAGGATAGAAGGAAGGGAGGAAGGAGAGTAAGGGAGAAGACAGGATGGATAAAAGGGGAGGGAGGGAGGAAGGAAAGAAGGAAGGAGAAATAGAAGGAAGGAAAGAGAGTAAGAAAAGAAGACAGGATGGATAAAAGGGGAGGGAGGGAGGAAGGAAAGAAGGAAGGATAGATGGAAGGGAGGAAGGAGAGTAAGAAAAGAAGGAAGGATAAATGGAAGGGAGGAGGGAGGAAGGAAAGAAGGAAGGATAGATGGAATGGAGGAAGGAAGAAGGAGGCAAAGACGGAAGAATGGATGCAAGGTAGCAAGGAAAGTAAGGAAAGAAGGAAGGATAGATTGAAGGGAGAGAGAAGGAAGGAGGCAAGGAAGAAACAGATAGATCAAAGGTAGGATGGAGAGTAAGGAACGCAGGAAGGATGGATAAAAGGGGAGGAAGGAGAGAAGGAAGGAGAGATGGAAGGGAGGAAGAAGTGTAAGGAAAGAAGGAGGGATAGATAAAAGGGAGGCAGGAAAGAGGAGGGAAAGAAGGAAGGAGAGTTAGGAAAGAAAGAAGGATAGATGGAAGGAGGGAGGCGAGTAAGGAAAGATGGAAGGAGAGGTTGAAGGGAGGCAGGAGAGAAGAAGGAAAGAAGGAAGGATAGATAGAAGGGAGGAATGAGAGTAAGGAAAGAAAAGAGGATAGATGGAAGGAAGGAATGAAGGAGTGTAAGGAAAGGAGGAAGGATAGATGGAAGGATAGATAAAAGAAGGAAGAAAAGAAGAAAGGATAGATGGAAGGAAGGAAAGACAGTAAGAAAAGAAGGAAAGGATAGATGGAAGGGAGGAAGAAAGAATGAGGCAAAAAAGCAAGGAAAGGTGGAAGGGAGCAAGGATAGAAAGGAAAGAAGGATGGAAGAATTAAACATTCATCTCTGGAGGGAGAGTCTATCTCTGTGTGTTTGACTTAAATTAATTTTACTGCAGATTATCCCTTTAAAGTTCCGTCCTCAGAAGGTTCCTGGTCTCTGCAGTGGAAACGTCACTTTAGTGGAAATTAAACTTTTTCTCTTTTTTTTCTCTTTTTTGTTGTTTTTCTCGTTTCCTCTCAGCAGGACGAACGTTTCTCTGTTTCTGTAGGAACTTTAAATCTCGACTGACCCTGAAAAACAAAGAGTGAGTGTCTGTGTGATCGGTGTGAGTGCAGCGACCCCTACTGGACAAGAGGAGGACTCACAGTCAGGGACTAACAAATCAGAGATCTACTCACTTTCCAAAGACGGGGTCCAGAGTGGAGGGGATGTAGTGATCGTGGTCGTTGACGGTCTTTTTCCCCAGAGTGATCTTCACATAGGGGTCACACTAAAAACCAGAGACAGACTGGATTTAGACCAGGATTAAAACCCAGAGACAGACTGGACTTAGACCGGGATTAAAAAACAGAGACAGACTGGACTTAGACTGGGGTTAAAAACCAGAGACAGACTGGACTTAGACTGGGATTAAAAACCAGAGACAGACTGGACTTAGACCAGGATTAAAACCCAGAGACAGACTGGACTTAGACCGGGATTAAAAAACAGAGACAGACTGGACTTAGACTGGGGTTAAAAACCAGAGACAGACTGGACTTAGACTGGGATTAAAACCCAGAGACAGACTGGACTTAGACTGGGATTAAAAACCAGAGACAGACTGGACTTAGACCAGGATTAAAAACCAGAGACAGACTGGACTTAGACCAGGATTAAAAACCAGAGACAGACTGGACTTAGACTGGGATTAAAACCCAGAGACAGACTGGACTTAGACTGGGATTAAAAACCAGAGACAGACTGGACTTAGACCAGGATTAAAAACCAGAGACAGACTGGACTTAGACCAGGATTAAAAACCAGAGACAGACTGGACTTAGACCGGGATTAAAAAACAGAGACAGACTGGACTTAGACTGGGGTTAAAAACCAGAGACAGACTGGACTTAGACTGGGATTAAAACCCAGAGACAGACTGGACTTAGACTGGGATTAAAAACCAGAGACAGACTGGACTTAGACCGGGATTAAAAACCAGAGACAGACTGGATTTAGACTGGGATTAAAAACCAGAGACAGACTGGACTTAGACCGGGATTAAAAACCAGAGACAGACTGGACTTAGACTGGGATTAAAAACCAGAGACAGACTGGACTTAGACCAGGATTAAAAACCAGAGACAGACTGGACTAAGACTGGGGTTAAAACCCAGAGACAGACTGGACTTAGACTGGGATTAAAAACCAGAGACAGACTGGATTTAGACCAGGATTAAAAACCAGAGACAGACTGGACTTAGACTGGGGTTAAAAACCAGAGACAGACTGGACTTAGACTGGGATTAAAAACCAGAGACAGACTGGATTTAGACTGGGATTAAAAACCAGAGACAGACTGGACTTAGACTGGGGTTAAAAACCAGAGACAGACTGGACTTAGACTGGGATTAAAAACCAGAGACAGACTGGATTTAGACTGGGATTAAAAACCAGAGACAGACTGGACTTAGACCGGGATTAAAAACCAGACCCTCCTCCCTGGATCGGACTCGGGTCCTCGTACCTTCCCGTTGGTGTCTTTGGGCTGCAGGCCGTGAGCCTGGATGACGTAGACCCGGACCAAACACTCCTCGATGCCGTTTGGAGGAAGCTTCTTGAACTGTCTGGGCGGAGGGGGGACGGAGGGGTCGTCCGGCAGCTGGTAGATCTTGAACATCCCCTGAAGATGAGTGGGCGGGGTTAAAGTGAGGAAGACGAAGAGTCAAGATTTAGACGAAGAAAAAACAGTTTTTAATAACTCTAGAGCAGAACTGACTTACTTTAAACTCTCCGACCACAGACGGATCTTCTCCTTCATCCTGAGTCTTTCCTCTGAAGAGCTTAAAGGTCTGACAGAAATCTGAGAGACCCTCCAGACCCTCCACCTTCTCCAGATCTCCGTCAAACACCTGAGGAGAGAGGGGGAGAGAGGGGGAGAGGGGGGAGACGCAGATTTACAGGAACTCAACGCCTGATATTATGACTACAGAGGGATTAAAACCAAAAACAGTTTATTAACATCAACTAATCAAGAGTTAAAGAAGGAAGAAGGAGGCAAAGAAGGAAGGATAGATGGAAAGGAGAAAGGAGTGTAAGGAAAGAAGGATGAAGAGATGGAAGGGAGTAGGGAGAGTAAGGAAAGAAGAAAGGAGAGGTGGGAGGTAGGGAGGAATGTAAGAAAAGAAGGAAGGAGAGATGTAAAGGAGAAAGGATTGTGAGGAAAGAAGGATGAAGAGATGGGAGGGAGAGAGAAAGGAGAGATGGAAGAGGGGAAGGAGAGTAAGGAAAGAAGGAGAGATGGGAGGGAGGAAAGAAGAAGAAGGCAAAGAAAGAAGGGAGGATGGAAGGAAGGAAGGAAGGAAGGGAAATAAGGAAAGAATGAAGGATAAATGAAAGGTAGGAAGAAAGAAAGAAAGAAAGAAAGAAAGAGGGATGGGAGAAATGAAGGACAGTAAGACAGAAAAGCAGGATGCAAGGACAATTTGTAGGATGGACAGAAGGAAGAATAGAAAAGAATCAAGGATAGAGAAAAGGAAGGAAGGTGGAAGGACAAATGAAAGGAAGGATAAAAGGTTGAAATGAGAGATGGAAGAAGGAATCGAAGGTAGAGAAATGAGAAGAAGGAACAAAGAAAGAAAAGAAGGATGAAGAGGAAAGGGAAAAAGAAAGAAAAGAAGGATGAAAGGGAGAAGATGAAAAGAGAGGGGGAAAGAAAAGTAAGGAAAAGAAAGAAAGAACAAAGGACAGGAGTAGGACAGAAGAAAGGAAGACGGAAATAAAGTAGGAAAAAGGAAAAAAGATACAGGAAGAAGAGAGAAAGAAAGAAAGAAAGAAAGAAAGAAAGAAAGAATACTTCTTAATTTGAGGGATGAAAGAAAGGTTGGAAAAAGAACATGAAAACAACTTTTTACCAAAATAAAAAGGTGAAAAAAGAAATAAGGAGGACAAAATCCTAACAGGGAGAAAGAAAGAGAAATAAAAGAAGGAATGACATGTAAAAAAGGAGAAAACCAGAGAGAGAGAGAGAGAGAGAGAAAGAGAGAGAGAGAGAGAGAGGAGGATGAAAGAGGAAGAAAACAAACAGTAAATATATGAAGAAGCTGAAATCTTCAAACAGAATCTCCCTCTCTCTCTCTCTCTCTCTCTCTCTCTCTCTCTCTCTCTCTCTCTCTCTCTCTCTGTCTCTCTCTCTCTCTCTCTCTCTCTCTCTCTCTCTCTCTCTCTCTCCCTCTCTCTCTCTCTCTCTCTCTCTCTCTCTCTCTCTCTCTCTCTCTCTCTCTCTCTCTCTCTCTCTCTCTCTCTCTCTCTCTCTCTCTCTCTCTCTCTCTCTCTCTCTCTCTCTCTCTCTCTCTCTCTCTCTCTCTCTCTCTCTCTCTCTCTCTCTCTCTCTCTCTCTCTCTCTCTCTCTCTCTCTCTCTCTCTCTCTCTCTCTGCGGTGAATTTGACGTCAGCCTGATCTTTATTTGAACAGTTTTTATCAGTCTGCCAACACTAAATCCACCAACACAGACCCTGAACCAGATCCAGGATCTTCTCCGCACACTTTCTTATTATTACACTCAGACGACGGCGGCGGCGGCGGCGGCGTGAGTGTGTCGGAGGATCTGGGCGGGGACGTCTTTGTGTCAGGAGCACAAAAAGATTCATCGTTTTCATTAGTGCTGTTTGTCCACATCAGTCACACTCGCTCAGATATGACAGCTCCGCCGCCGCTGCCGCCGCTCGCTGAAAGGGCGAGCTGGAAACACCGGGAGTGAAGACCCAGAACTTTCCAGGGAAAACAAGAAAGAAGAAGACTGATGTTCAATATCCTTCTTTTGGGTTATTAGGGACGGGCCTTAAATTCAAAACCTCGAGAACATGATGGAAATAAAACCACATGACGAGTTTCTCTCAAATCTTGTTGGCAAAGTTCCTGATCAGACTCGAGGTTAGAGAACCACATGGGGAAGAAGAAGTCTTGACCTGAAGTCCTCGATCCCTAAGCGGTGACTTCACCGCTACAAAAATAGACCAGTGGGTGGTGAAGTCAGCTAAACGCTCCCTGGGGGGCCGTGTTGTCGTCAGGCGAGAGCCGAATGGGTCCCAGATTTGGCCAAAGTTCGTCTCACAGAAGAGCATCGGGGAATCTCTGTAACGTGTCGGTCTTTAGTCGCCAATCCCGATCAGTTACTTGAACGCATCACTCCGAGACGGTGCAAGACGATCAACGTGAATATAATATCTCAGGTTTGTTTCCGTTTTACTAAAGTGTTCATCAACAAACACTGTTTGAATAAAGTTTACAGCTCAAACCGACCGGAATCGTCTCGAACTGTAAAGTCAAAGTATCGATCCAGAGTCTGTGAGGATCAGCAGAAACAGGACTATCTTCGGTTGTCTAGAAACTTTTGATCCGATTCATGAACGAACGTGGGAGATTCACGGGAGAAATGACAAAACAAGAGGTGGGTGTTAGAGAGTCTTGGGAAAAACCGGAGTGTTGGCAGGTACGGGTTAATCTGTCCAAGGACACCTACGATACGATCCACTCATGGACCACAGAGTCAACTCAATCCACCACCGAGACTCTGCCACAATACCATCCGTGCATTGGAAGAACCGGGAGTCCGATAACCGGTCTGGACTTCATTTTCTACTCTGGACAAATGTAGTGATCCGATTCAGGAATGAAGGTGGGAGATTCACGGGGGGAAGTGACAATAGAAGAGGTGGGCGTTAGATATGGGAGAGTCTTGGGAAAAACCGAATTGTTGGCAGGTACGGGTTAATCTGTCCAAGGACACCTCAACCCACAATATGATACGATCCACCACCGAGACTCTGCCACCATCCGTACGTGGGAAGAACCATGAGTCCGATAACCGGTCTGGACTTCATTTTCTACTCTGGCGCGTCGTCATTCCTCACATTAAGTAAAGTTCCTGGTTTGTGCACATCGTTGAGATGATGCTACGAAAGACGAAAGACCATCTGCTGCTACTTCGTTATAATTACAGGTAACGAAGGGTGAGTTGGGAAAGAGACGAGTGGGTCGAGGGGTAAATGGTCTAAGTTCTGGGTGGAGGTGGGGTGGAAAAGCTGGAGAAGCAGAGGAAAGATGGGGGAGGAGAAAAGGGGAGCGATGAGGGGATGATGTAAATGAAAGAGAGGGTTGGAAACAGCAAGTCATCGAAGATTGAACACCAAACCCAGTACCGAGGGAGAGGAGGGTGAAGACAAAACATGAGGGGCTGAGGCAGGTGTAGACGGAGGACGTGGACGGAACCACGAGACCCACAAGGTCACAAATATGAAAAACCAGGATCAGGATCAGGATCAGGTCCGTGTAAACAGACTCCGTGAATATTCACATACGAGTAAAGGTGAAGCCGAGGTCGACGTTAAAGTCCCGATGAAAGCTGAGGATGATGAAAATGACGGACAAGTCTGGAAACACCGACTCACTGGAACACAACGAATCCCAGTCCACCAGAACCAAACCCACTACCAGGGGAGACGGTGAAAGAAGGGAGGAGGAGGAGGAGGAGGAGGAGGAGGTGAAAAGTGAAGACGAGGGTTAACCAAATCCAAACAAAACTGACCCACTCAGCTGTCAAGACGAGGAAGGGGAGGAAAGAGACGGACGTGGAAAAAGGAGAAGAAGAGAATCAAAAAGGAAGGAGAGGGGTGAGACGAGGACAGAGGGAAGAAGGGAGGACAATAGGAAATAAAAGAGAGCAGGAGATGGACAAGGACAGAGGAAAGAAGGGAAGACAACAGGAAATAAAAAGAGTAGGAGATGGACAAGGACAGAGGAAAGAAGGGAGGACAACAGGAAATAAAAAGAGTAGGAGATGGACAAGGACAGAGGAAAGAAGGGAAGACAACAGGAAATAAAAGAGAGCAGGAGACTGACAAGGACAGAGGAAAGAAGGGAAGACAACAGGAAATAAAAGAAAGCAGGAGACTGACAAGGACAGAGGAAAGAAGGGAAGACAACAGGAAATAAAAAGAGTAGGAGATGGACAAGGATAGAGGAAAGAAGGGAAGACAACTGGAAATAAAAAGAGTAGGAGATGGACAAGGACAGAGGGAAGAAGGGAAGACAACAGGAAATAAAAAGAGTAGGAGATGGACAAGGACAGAGGAAAGAAGGGAAGACAACAGGAAATAAAAAGAGAGCAGGAGACTGACGAGGACAGAGGAAAGAAGGGAGGACAACAGGAAAAGGAAAATTTCAGGTTTTCAGGTGATGTGATGAGCTCGAGCTGAAAACCGTTCAACTCTCGGACGCCTCGGGGTTCATGAATGTTAACGTTCTCATCAGTTTCAAAGGTTGAATTCTGAGGTCTGACCCGGTCCTGAGTCCCGGTCCCGAGTCCAGGTCCCGAGTCCTTTCTGTTATTTTGACATTTCCTGTTTAGGAACCAGCAGAACAACTTCAAAAGAGCCATGAGACAACTTTCAAAACTTGGCGACGGTTTGAACCAGTCAGCATCGATTTGAAGTTCACCGTCAGTGGAAACAGGCCCTTAAACCCTGAGAGGATATTATCTTTAACGTCCACCAAGAGTTGACGTTCTCTGAAAATCCTCTCTTTAAAGTCTGGAGCCGAGGATTCGCACAGTTTTTGTTTTCTTTCCTGTAATCGAGGACTGGGCAGCCCAACAGAAGACTCTCTAGTTTTGTCTGAAAAGTAGTTTTGTCTCGTTTGAAAGACTCGACTCCGAAGCACCAAATGCTAACGGCTGTTTCTCTGGTGAGGGTGACATTCTCTCAAGCTTTGAAGGTGTAGGCCCCCATTCATTTGCTTTTTCTTGAACGCTGACCAAAATAAGTAACTTGTGCTGGATGCATCCTGTCTTCTTCTGAAGACGTCTCATTTGCCTAAGTGGTTTTGACATGCTAAGCCATTTCCATAACTCATTTTCTAGAGGACCTCCACGGTGGCGCCAGAGGAGAGCGCTGCACTGCTGATTCGACGGGTTTGCAGCAGCTTGAGGACATGGAAACAGAAACAGAAAGGTGACATAAAAAGAGGGGACGGCCGAGAGAGAAGGTGAGGATATTAAAGACGGGGTTGACTTTGGGTCAGACACCAAAAACTGCGAGTAGCCGCCCTTCAACTGTAAAAGGGCAACGGAAACAGAAAAGGTAGGATGGTGAAGTAAGAGGAGGTGGCGTTACGGGGTGAGAGGAAGGTAAAGGAGGTTGGAAAGGTTGGAAACAGTGGCTCATTTCCCTGTGACAGTAGCCGATCTGACTGGAAGAGAAAGGAGTAAAGGAGGAGGAGGAGGAGGGAGTAAATAAGCAGGTCGTTCATTGGTCGTTTCGCCCGTTTCCATCCAACTGTCAAGTGAATTTTGAGCGAAGGTTTGAAATGTCGCAAAAACTAAAAGGCGACTTGGCCGAGTTTCCACCAATTGAGGTGAACCCGTTTAATGGGCTTCCTGAATGAAAAAAATACACCCACTAGATGGTTAAATGGAAAGGGCCCTTCAAGGGTCAATCGCTATTGGGCAAGCGGTTATTGTTCTCCGTTGTACCGTTAGTTTTTTTGCCATATTTTCATATTTTCATCCAAAAGGAAAAGAGCGAGGAATTAAACTGTAAAACAACTGGAAGATACAAACTTTCCGAGGCTTTTTCTGCAGGATTGACCTCTAAATGTCCTACAGTTATCACTCCAACTCAAGCATTCGAACATAACTCTTCTTCTGCGTGTTTGTGTAGACGCATTCAGATGATGGACGCTCCACAAATGAAGAAGAAATACGGTCTGGAGTCGAAGCTGCTGCGCCGATGTGAAACGGCTTTCAGGGGAGAGGTTAGAGGTCTCATTTAAGAGCAATAAAGGCCAAATTCTGACACGATTAGTCATTTGTTTGGGCATTAGACAACAAGACTGACGTGTGGTTTGAGTCCCGACGGGAGGAAAGGTCGGCATCTGGGCCAAGAGAATCGGGATAAGGGTTGAACAGAGCGTGGGCGAAGGCTGAAGGACTCGTGGGACGGCGGCTGAACCGTAGCAGACTCCTAAAGAACACGACTTAAGAGAGACATTGACGACTGACATTATCCTCGTTTTAGACCTGCCAACATCGGAGAGCTGACTTTTCCCCCTGAATCTGTCCCAGCGCTGCGATCCCGAAGTGAATTCAACACGGATGAATCATCCGAGCTGTTCGGAAAACGGCTAAAATGTCACGGCGCCGGACTTCGAAGACGGGGCATGAGAAAACAGGAGGAGTACGGCGCGACGGGCTGACGGAAGAAACTGGCAGGAGGGCAAAGTTGTGATTTAAACGGTGAAGTTTGGTATAATGAGCAAAACGTTTCAAGAAAAGGGAACAAAAGGCTCCTCTGTCTCCATCGTATTCATGTATTCCTCTATCGTCCTCCATCTGTCTTTGAGTCGTCTAATTCCTCGCAGAGTTCTTCTTCTCTTTTTCTATCTAGACAAGAGAGGATGAACTCAGCTGAGATACGTGCGCAAGAGCAGACCGCAAAGGCTGAAGGCCGAACCCAGAAACCAAGACATCCAAAATGAGAGAGCAGTCAGGAGATCTTTCCGGGTGTTTGACTAGATCGCGCCATAAATATAATTTCAAAGCATGCACATGGTGAAAAAAAGGTGCAAACGTCTCAAAAACTGAACACTCACCTTCAGCGTGTCGAAGCCTCTCTCCAGGTACGTCCCATACTTGTTTTTCTCTCCTGTCGAGGCGTAGAATTTACTCCACCAGTCCATGAACTCCTCTTCCTGTTGGTCACATCATTAGAGGTCAGAAGTTTCTTAATCAGCAGCAGCATTACAGTAAAAATACGATCATGTCTTCACTCCTGACCAAAGTTCACTCAGTACCTTGCCCTCCTCACGACCTTTGGAAACCCATGAAACGCTAAGGAGAGTGCTGTTCGCCCACCTCCGTGCTCAGGAATAACTTGCATTTCATGATTTTTCCAATGATCCCAGAGCAACATGAGGTACGCCAACTCACGTCAACACATGTAAAAGCTGCCTCTGGTGGCTCTGTGGCATTAAGGTCATGGTATATGGGCGTACTGAGGCAATGGAAACGGGTAACATTAAGATGGGAACAGGCGCAGAGTGGACCGAACCAACATGGAGATCAGAAAAACAGTCAGAGCATGTACGATTGTTTTATTGGACGTAAAGCTGCTTTATATCACTCCTCTGTCATACTAGAGTTTTACAGCACTATACGTTTATATTTCATGTCCTTATTGAACATGGGTGTGCTGGATTAAAACACAAAACATGTTCTTGAACATCCTGAACTGAATCCATCAACAGGGTTCACATGAAGGTTTTCGTCCACAAATGAAGTCAGATTTTCCCCCTTTTTTGTCTCTGGGTGATACTTGTGCTGAATATTGCTTAACGGCAGAGGACCGTCTTGATTTAACGTCCCCTGTGACTGTAGTTTCCGATGTTAGAGCTTTTGAATCACCAGCGAAGAGTCATGAGCTTTAGGTCAAGATGTAAATGAGGCTAAAATCAGTTCCCCTTGAGAGGAGGATGGACGTATCCTTAGTGACAGCATCAAGAACTTGGATAAACGGGGTTAGTTTTGTCTGGTGTTCCCAGCCAGCTCCCTATTTTTATAATGGTAGATGAGTGAGACTCTTTCTTACCAAGTCCAGACACACCGGACCAATCATAGTTCTTTACTCAGAAAGGACCAGGCTCTATCTGATGACGACACAGGAGCCGAGGAACCAAGATGGCTCCATTGAATCGACTAGTATGGTTATTTATTCACTACGCCACATGCTGCATTGATTTGATTAGTTTTAGGTCCATCCAGTGACGTGCAGATGTTGCCAGTGGATTAAGACCCTGTCCACACAGAACCAATTTTGGATAAACCCGAAATTTTTTGTTATATCGGTTTGCCTACCTGTTCCTTTCCTGATGCCTAATGTCAGACACAGTGCAACTCCCACAAGGCGCCTGCGAAACTAGGGCCAAAACACCTTCATATGCATCCTCCCTATTCTTCTTCTGTTTTTTGATGCATTTCCGGGGCAGCATTACAGCGCCATTTACTGGTGTGGCACATGCACTACATCATTTTCAGTAGTTTTGTGTTTACGCAGATATTTCTTGAAACGATTCCATGTGGCATCTGGTTAGGACGCCTTCTGGACGCCACCCGTTAGAGGTGTTCCAGACATGTCACACCGGGTGGAGACCTCGTGGCCAACCCAGGACCAGGTGGAGGGATTATATCTCTCGCCTGGCCTGGGAGTGCCTGGGAATCCCCCCCCCCCGGAGGAGCTGGTGGAAGTGGCCGGGGTTGAGGGACGTCTGGGCTTCCCTCCTGAAGCTGCTGCCTCCACAATCCGGAATAGGAATGGGAATATATTGTTTTCGGTTCCGTGTGGACAAGATCTAAGAGGATTCAGATGCATTCTGGTATGGTGATGCCAGGATAATTGAGCCATTATTCCTCTGTGTTTAAAAGGACCAAGTTCAGGTGGATCACATGGTATATGGGAAGTACACCCCAGGGTTGACTGAGATCATGCCCAGGGGATTATGTTTCCTATCTGGACGAGGAGTGCTTGAGCTGAAAGGCAATGTTGGGCCTTCTACCACCTGAACCTGGTTTCATCCACAAATGGATGGATGAATGGATGAATGGGTTACATCACACTGTTTCAGAAAGGACCTGCTGACAGATTTCATCGAGTTACTGGAGCTGATCCCCAGAAACATTCATGTAAAATTCCTCTGAAGTCATCGCAGAGATTTGTTGATGTTTCTGCTGCATTAATAAACCGTCTGAGATAAACCACAGTAAACCATAATTCAGAAAAGTTCTTCAAAACTTACCCACTGTAACATCTAGCGTCCGCGTTCACAGTGAAAGACAAGGTAAGACAAAGGTCATACACTTCACACTCAATCAGCACAAACACAGACTGCAACCGCGCACTAAAACAACACAATTAGACTCTAAAGAAGCTGTTTGCGTTACACAAAAAGGGTTTCACTCAAAAACGACATCTAAACCAATAAAAAGGAAAAATAATTGCATCTATTTGAAAGCCACTGCTGCCATAAAGAGGCTGTTTAAGTCTCACTGTTACAGTCCTGAGTCATCCTGAGGCCGGCACTTACAATGTCGTTCTGTTTTAGTGGGTAAAGTATCTTTTTGTTAAATGTTAACGGATGGCTTCTGCGGTTTTGGAAATGAGTCATTTTGATTTATATGATGTGATTTTTTGGAGGAAAAAATGACATCTCCGAGTGAACCCCCGCTCGGCGTATTTATCAGGGTTTTTATTTTCTTTAGCGTGAAGCAGCGACATCCATCAACTTTACTTAAAGTCTGTTCACATTGGCAACATCGAGCGGTTGATTCAAACGGTTATTTTTGAGTGTGTGTGTGTGTGTGTGTGTGTGTGTGTTAGCCATGACGCAACAAGGAAACAACGACTACAAAGACGAGGAATACCGAGGGGACAGATCAAACTACCAGCCCCCTTCACTCGAGCACTTTTCAGCGCGATGCGACCCCGCCCTGCAACCTTCAACCCTCAGAGGAGCACTGCAGATTAAAACGCACTCATGACGCATGCAGCACTTTTTCCTTTGTGTGTGTGTTTTAGTGTGTGTGTGTGTGTGTGTGTGTAGGCATAAATGTAGAACAGAAGTGCTCTTATGGCACCGGGTCGGCGTGGAATCCCCTTTCTCCCGCTTCCCACAGACTCCCAGAAACTCACAAATCAAGAGGGGAAAACTTCGGAATTCCTCATTATTCCAAAGTGGCGGCATGGCATGGAAAAGGGCGGCACGTGGAGTTTAACTGGGACATGGCGCTGTGTGTCTGAGCCGTGAAGTGTCTGCTGTGTGTTAATGTGCCCTCTGTGTGCGGCTGGTGCCAGGCATTGATGACAGGGGCGCCAGAATGTGTGTGTGCGTCCGCTGCAGCGCGTATAAAGGTGTGTTCCCTCAAGTCCGCGACTTCTGATTCAGACAGATTAGGGTCGCCAGTGGAGCGTTTCAGACTGCGACGGGTATTTAATACACACTCAAGAGACCGAACACACACACATACACACACTCGCAGTGGTCTGTTCAGGGTGTCATTGTGGTTTGCAGCCTATCATTACGCCCTGGAGGGAAAGCCAGGCTAACCGAAGCAGACTGGCACTGCCAAGAAGTGTGAGAGCAGGGAGGATGGATTTACATAAGAGCGCTGAGCTGCACCATAAAGGCTTCTGGTGGGGAAACCCCATCCACAGCTGTGGAGTCAGGGGTCAGAGGTCAAAGAGGAAAGACTGCAAGTATTGCCGAGACAGACTCTGAGGGTCCGACACTCAGCGAGCATTCAGCAGTTTTTTTTAAGTTATCAACACGGCCTGCAAAACTACAAGAAGTTTGATTTCAGTCAGACTGTTGCACTTTTATCGATTGATTGGTGTTTGTAGACCGGGATGAGGACAAAAGCCAGACCGGTACTGGGTTAGACATGCACTGAACCATCTTCTATACACAAGGTCCAAAACTAGACCTAGACACTAGACACAGATCACTGAGCGTCTACAATCTCAGTTCTCAATTAGTGCCAAATCCTGCAGACTGATGGACCTGAGTGATTGGAAGAACCGTTCCTTTGACTGAATCTTTAGAATCTGTTCATTAAAACGATTCGTTCAAAAGATTTGTTTACTGAATCAGGCAGTGCTTTGGAGCCCCATTCTGCCGGTGCAGTACGCCAGTGAGTGACACAGCGGCGAGTTCGTTCACTGATCACGAGTCGTCGTTCTTTTATATCGCGGAAAAGTGGAGAGATTAAAAATACATAAACATGGCAGCTGTAGCGGGGATTCTGCTACTTTTAAAGATATCACCCACTGCGCAATGCAATGTCAAAATAACATCTATTTAACGATGAGGTGCAAACATCTAACAGAGGTCCAATAATGACGTCCAAATCTTGGATCCATTTTGCACGTTGTGCCGACGTCTAGATTTGGTCTTCAGATGACGTCCAAATTCTAAACATCAGAGAGACGTCTAAAAAAGGTCCAGTTTGGACGTCGACCTATTTTGCACGTCGCACTGACATCTAGCTGTGGTCTTTGATGGACCAACTCAATACTGACTTGATCTGCACGTCTCTTCAATGTCCGATGTTTGGTGGGCGAATAGTGTATCGCTTTAAATCGGCTGAAATTAAATCCGTCTTGCAGGAAACTTATCAAGTAAACCCACAAATCTCCTCCAGGAGGACGTACAGGTCTTTCTTTAAGGTATCTAGACTTTCTAGACTTTGGCGGATCCAGCACCAGAACTTAAATTGGTTTTACCGTCTCACTTTCGCAGAAGTTTCAGGTTCCTAAACAACTCCTGGTTTCCTTCACCCTGATGTCGTAACTCCAAAATAAACGGGTCGATTCAAAGGCTGTGAAGAGGCGTTTTAGCCGTCTGTGTGTCATTCCCTCCGCTCTGGAGTCGATTCGGTGACATTTTCACATAAATAAACGTCTTTGTTGCTCTAACTGATTGACACTAAACAGCCGTGACTCGACCTGTGTTCGGTTCCTGCCCAGCGGCTCGTTTCCGTCTTAATTCTTTTGACTTGTGGGAAATTGTGCGTTCAAATTTCTGGTAGGTTGGTGGAGAAAAACTTTGTTGAAATGTTGGCAACAAGAAATCCCTCTTAGTCTCACCAAAACCGATATCTTTGACCCCAGGACTTTCCATCTGCGTAAGCACTAAGTGAGGCAGTTTTTGGTGTACTTTCTTCTGACAAATTCTCCAAAGTAAGAGTCAAAAAATAAGTAATACATCTCGATTTCACAGCTACTTTCATCCTTTAAAATTTATTTTTGGTAAAATAGAAGTGCTGAAACTGCAGTACCCAGAGCGCCCACTTGAGGCTTGCTGCAGAAGCACAAAAAAACCACATACTCACTAATTCAAAACAGTCAATTTTAAGGAGCAAAAGTAAATGCAATAGGGATGGGTTTACCTGATTTCTGCAAGCTGCTTGTGAATAAATTGGTTAAATATGGTGCGTCATTTTTAAACAGTAGTTTAAATAAAATAAATGGTTATAAAATAATAATAATGAAAATGAAATAATGAAAAAAAATTGTTATAATAAGAATAATAAAAAATAAATAAATAAATGAAGATAATAATAATAATGATAATAATAATAATAATAATAATAATAATAATAAAAACAATAATAATAATAATACAATTATATTTATAAAATAAAAATAATAATACAATTATGTTCATAAAATAAAACTAAATAGAATATTAAATATAAATAATAATTATAATAATAAAAACAATAGTATTAATAATAATAATAATAACAATAATAATACAATTATATTCATAAAATAATCATAAGAATAAATAGAATATTAAATGATAATAATAATGATAATAATAGTAATAATAATAATAATTATTATTATTATTATTATTATTATTATGAAAATAATAATAAATAAATACATAAATAATAAAAGAAATAAAATAATAAAAATAATACATAAATAAATAATTTATTTTTAACAAAGTTCTTATTTTTATAATTATGTAAATATATGGAACAGCTCACTGTTGCTTCTATCTTCTGTTATACTCCCAGATATGAAAGGTCATGACTTTTCAAAGAAATGTGTTTTCAGTTTAAATGATGGTAAAAAAGTAGGAAACATAGTCAGATGAAATATTTTGCGTGGGGTCATGACTCATGACTTCAAAAATTATAGTTTAAATGAGACATCGGTGAGTTTTAAGTTATTACGTCACAGACTGGCGCTACAATACCCAGTGATGTCTGTTTTTGTGTGACATTTAGGGACCATAAACTCTGAAATATCATTTTTGCTTCAGTCTGGTGTGAAATGCCAGCAGTGGACTTATAAAAGCGCTACACCCACGTCATCCCAGACGTGCACGGACACATTTGGATGTCATTTTTGGGCAGCAGATATGTACGGCGCGTCGATACATGGAGGCACAGTGCAGCTTACATCAGTCTGCAGCTGTAATTAGCATAACAAGAAAAACAGAAATGATTTACTAAGCTATTTTGACATCTTGTTCCTGGTTACGGTGTCATTAAAGTACCATAAATGTGTGTTTCATAAACCCCAAAAATGCCGCAAAGTCACCTGGCACGAGGCCACTTCAGTTAGTTTGTCTGCTCTCAAAGCAGCCAGGAAGGATTTATGGAACGAGAGGCGCGCTGCAGCATTTTCAGAGCGCTTTCATAAGCAGACTGGACGGATTTTTGGCGCCGTGGCGGAAAAGTTTGGATGACCAGTAATGATCGACAACAAACATCGCCAGAGGGAGAGTGACACGAAAAGCACCTTACATGGAAACGGCTTTACACCGAAGTCGATCATCAGGCTTTAATGTCGTGTTTGAAACGAGACACACGATGTTCATTTTCTATCCAAATATCGTTTGATCCCAAAGATCTCAAAGGGGGGTGAGCGCCGCCGAACGCCGCTGACAGCCGCGCCTCTTAAACCTCTCCAACTCTGAAACTGAATCTGACTGATCCTGCTCTCCGCAGAGCGCACACACACAGCGGCGGTAATCTGGTAATCATCAGACGTACACCCATGACCTGTTTTCTGGTCGCAGCCCAGAGATGAAGACGGCAGAGTTTATGGCACACGAGAGGGCGAGTTTTCTTCCTCTGGTGCCATGAGATCTCGGCCCTCTTTCTTTTTTCTCTCTGCGCTCCTCGCTTCATCTCTCATTTATCCATCCCTCCCTCTGCATTTAGTAACTGTCTGCTTACGGAGATTTGTGGCACAGACGATCTGTAGCAGCTCTGTTGACTTTGGCCTCAGCCAGACAGAAAAGCGAGCCTTTAATTTGACTGGTTTCAATATCTGACCCTTAATAAAACAAATATCTTTGTTTGGAGAGAAAGAAATCACCCTCAATTACTGCCCAGCGAGGAGGGAGCGGGCTCTGCTGGATGTGTGTATTTGCAGTCTGGTCTGGGTCAGAGTAAGTCTTTCAATTGACCTGGCTTAGGTAAATAAAAAAGAGGAGCGGGTCCTCACGTTCAGGTCTGGGGTTAACTTTCCCCTGAAACCACACCGCTCGGTGCATGATCGTCTGAAGAAGGTATTTCCATGAGCCGGGTTTTAAAACGTTTTAAAAAGTTTGAATATTTTATCCAGATTAACAGTGACAACATTAGTGTCTGAATAAGTGATGGTCAGTTGTTCAAATTTTAATTTTAATTCAGATTTTTCAGCTTCAGGTGAAAATACAGAACAATTCATTCAGTGCAGCAGCCAAGCTTATAGAGAGAGTGGCTAACATTAGCAGAGCTAGCACCACCAGTCCGCCTTTCAATTCAACATCCAGAGTCAACTTAAGATCTCAAACTTTAAATGTTTAGTGAGTTAAATTAATGACTTGGAAACTTGGAATACTAATCCTATCCACTAAATATCAAAAACAAAAGGAGCAAAAGACTTGGGACTTGGTTCGAGGCCTCTAAGACCTCCTATTCCTGAGGTATTGCAAAAAAGTCCTCCAGCCAATGAAAGTTAACGTACATCCCAACATCATAGAGCCAGTAGATAGCTTATACCCCAAAATGTGGGTGTGGAACCTTAATCTGAGTATCTATAACCTTCTCATCGTGAGTTATTAAAGAAAATGGGATTCACCCTCGGTCTATAAAAGGTTCAAAAATCTAAATTTGTTATATCTCTGGAACAGAAGGTCGTAGAGACTTGGGACTTGGTTCGAGGCCTCTACGACCTCCTGTTCTTGTGATACTGCAAAAATGTCCTCCAGCCAATGAAAATTGACGTACATCCCAAAGTCATAGAGCCAGTGGAAAGCTCACATCCTTGAATGAAGGTGTGGAACCTATCTGAGTATCTACAACCCCTCCATCATGAGTTATTGAAGAAAATGTCATTCGCGCTCGGTCATTAAAGTGTAAAAAAATCTAAAATTGTTATATCTCTGGATCGAAAAAAGTCGTAGAGACTGGGTAGTGGGTGGCAAGTACGCTAATTCGGGATCCCTGAACACACTGATCTTTCGGTCCTGTGTCTCTACAACCTTCTGTTCCTGAGATGGGACATTTGAGGCATGAAATTTTTCAACCAATGAGCTCTTACCTCATCAAGAATAAATCAGTCTAGGCCCAGATTTTGGATCATGGGACAAACCTACCAAGTTTGAAGCCTCTACTATGTACCAGGTCCCCCCCCCCCCACATCCCTGAACTTTCTGGTTGGTTTCTACTGTCCGATATTGTAGCACGCTAACTTTGACACGGGGGAGCAGCGTCTGCCTCACAACCAATCAGGTTAGAGGAGGCGGATATCAAAATACAGCGATATCGTTATATTACATCAATGACTGATAGCTTTTGACTGATATTAAAATATGCTTCTTTAACGGAATCCTGCCTACCCCGCCTTTAAACCTGGAAACAAGAAGCCCGGTTGCATGATTTTGTGGCGTAGATATAGATTATAGATGTTATTTGAATATATTTGTTGCCGATGTGAACAGACGATTATTGTTTCTTGGATGTCACTACCAACATACGCATGTAAAAATGGCATTTTTTAAATTCCAATGAAAAAGAAAATTATGACGAAGAAGAAGGGAGCAGCACTGTAACTGTAAAAGTGGGATATCAAGGGTTAGTGCAGACACACAGACTCCGTACATGAACGAGTGAAACTTGTTAGGAGTTGAGTTTGTTACCTACATGAAGACTGGTGCTAGAGGTGGAAAGGTTAATGATAGCCGAGCCGGCGCCGTCTGCGAGCTGAGAGACAAACATCCAAACAGACACGGATAAGACAGACGTTTTCAGGTTAGCAGGTTAGCGTTAGCAACGACATTAGCATCAAAGAGTGACTGTCAATCAGAAGAGAAGATAATTAAAGAATGAAGGTTAGTGACACGTATTTAACACACTGATGCAAACACAGATTTAACACCAACACAGAAGAGGGAACATGAACGTTTCTTGAGGGTGTTGACCACATGTTGAACTTCTGCATCAAAAGATTTATCGATCGTCCCAAAACCACGATCGTACCCTCCGGTTTCATCACTGTTATTGTTCAAACGCACGCTTGTTTTCACGTCAAAGCTCTTTAATTGGACGAGGGCGTTCATGTCGGGGTAATTTCGACACTCCGCATGCCAGCGCGTTCATAAACTCTCTGATTAGCATTAGCTGAGGTCATATTTTAACTTTTGTGGACCTCCCAGTGTCACCAAAGATTTCATCGAATGAGACACTCGGGTTTGGACATCAGGGCAGGATAATGATGGAGTTTGTGCATTAAAGTGTTTGTGGGAGAGAAAGAGGGTCATGAGGAGAGACCAGAGTTAGAGATCACAGGAGGGATAAAACGAGGGTGAACAGGAACATTTGAGAGAGAAAAAGAGAGAAGAAGGAACAGAAACAGAGAAGTGAAGAGGAAGTAAAGATGTGCAGGGATAAAAAGATGGTAAGAGATCACTCATTCATCTACAGAGCTCAAAAAACAAAAAACGGTGTCCCACATGGGTCCATTTCGGGTCCCATTTCATTCTTTTCTTAATTGCATTTATTTGATAATGTTACAAATTTAAAATTTTGCTTTTTTGCAGATGATTTAACCATATATATTAATGACCTATAAGTAGCTTTTTGATGAAATTTTTGTAAATCACAACTATAAATTAGACTAAAACGACGTTCTTCGTTCATGGTCCTCAGTCCGAAAAAGGTAGATCGCCTTCTCCAGGTTGGAGAGGAGGTCCTGCCTCAAGCGGAGGAGTTTAAGGGATCTTGTTCACAAGTGAGGGTAGGATGGAGCGGGAGATCGACAAGCAGATCGGAGCGGCGTCAGCAGTGATGCGGACGCTTAACCAATCTGTCGTGGTGAAGAAAGAGCTGAGCTGTAAGGAGAGACTCGATTTACCGGTCGATCTACGTGCCGATCCTCACCTATGCCCATGAACTTTGGGTAATGACCAAAAGAACAAGATCGCAGATACAAGCGGCTGAAATGGGTTTCCTCCTCAGGGTGTCCGGGCTCAGCCTTAGAGATAGGGTAAGGAGCTCGGACACTCGGGAGGAGCTCAGAGGAGAACCGCAGCTCCTCCACGTCGAGAGGAGTCAGCTGAGGCGTTAGGACGCCTTCTGGACGCCTCCTGTTAGAGGTGTTCAGACATGTCCCACCGAGAGGCCAACCCAGGACCAGGTAGAGGGATTATATCTCTCGCCTGGCCTGGGAGCGCCTGGGAATCCCCCCGGAGGAGGAGCTGGTGGGAGGGCCGTCCGGGCTTCCCTCCTGAAGATGCTACCCTCACAACCCAGACCCGGATAAGCGGAAGAAAATGACGACAACGACGTTCTTCTCAAGGTCTACGAGGACGGAGAAACTAAACTAAGAGGCGATTGAATGAGTTCTCTTCTAGAGGACAGTAAACGTGGAATCGAGGAGAAGATGAACCCACCATCATTACGAGAGGAAGAAAAAGGACGAGTGGAGGACTGACAGTGGAGAAAAAGAAAAAAAGAAAAGGGTGAAAGTCAACAGCTGACAGGAGAAGGGAAAGAGGATGTGAAGGAGTCCAGAACAGAAGTCTTGAACCATTGCGTCTACTGAGAGACGATCAGAGACAGTCACGATCCTGGAATTCTTTCCTGAAATAAAAAACTCGACTGTCTCTAAAAGTTAATTTAACATTTTACAAAAGGGCCAAACGAAGGTTTTCCACGTTGAAGCTCATTAACTTCAGATTCTGAACTCGTGATTCTCCAACTCTGATTTTCCAGAGTCTACCGTGATACCAGAGCATCCTCTGAGAGAGAACTGGTGTACCCCATTTCAACTTATCCCATTATGTTTAGGAACAGGGACATAAAAAAGGGGGAAAATTACTAACCTTTAACGGGTTAGTCACATACCCAACAGACTCTAAATATGGTCACCCTATTGAAATAATAGCCAAAGTCATTTTTTGATGAAAATGAGTTTATTGCCTAAATCATCTCAAGAGATGATCTAGGCCAAAAACTCATTTTCGTCAAAAAATGACTAAGGCCCATTATTTTGAGAGAGTGACGATATGAGAGGAGACTTGAGTGAGCAAAATAATTTTCCTCAGTGTGTGAAAAACCAAAGGATGTAGAAATGTCATCATCTAGAATCCTGATGAATCTCTGCAGGGACAAGTCTGAAGCCAACAGTGGATGGTTACCAACCTTCTCTACTTGTCTAAAATCGATAAAACAGACATGACTCCGTTGCAGAAATCACTCCATTGACTCAAAATCCAGTTAATTTGTTAATCACAGCATCGACACGTGCAGTTTAAAACCGAACTATGCAAAAAAAGACCTACGTATCAACAAAATCCAGAGTGGTGGCTCTGAGATTATTCAAGATAGACTGAAACACCTGTAGACCCGGGGTCATTTAAGAAATCCCGACATGTTTAACGAGAGAGTTTGTCTTTAAATGCTGCCGTATCAGCTGTTCAACACTGATACTCCAAACTCTTTAACAACAAGGTCGCTGAACTTTTCCTCTTTGATTCAAACTCTCTGAGCTAACGCAACAACGAGGACATTAAAAACCCAATAATGAGTTTGTTTGTTTAATGTTTGGATAATGGACTACGGGGACCACAGTTTTGATGACAGCGCATTCCTGAGCCGACCCACATCCCCGAGGTCCTTATTGGTACGAACGTGATTTACACAAGGAACGCTGCGGTCTCTGAGTGCGTGTTTGTGTCCTTGTGTACATTATTTATGCGTCCCCCCCCCCGTCCAAAGAGTGCGTGACAGCCTCATGTGGTCCGCCTCGCCAATAAGTCCAAATTATGTTGTCTCCTGATTGGAAACATTCCAACGTATAAACAAAGACAAACATTTAATCGACCGCAAATTGTGAACATTCCTCGTTTAACAATAGTTGAATAGTTCAGGCGATGTTCTCCTTAAGCTTGTTTTCTTTAGCTGACATGATAATGACACCGCCGTGGAGAACAGTAATAACTCCAGGAAGATGAGGCGCTGCAGCCTGCTGGCTTCCATCTTTCTCCAACTCTTCCCTGTTTAAGGTGGAACATGTTGACTTGTCTTCTGGTTCTGGACTTATTTTGAGTTTTCAACGATAAAAAAAAACAACCTTGAAGTCTGAAGGTCCTTTCACACCAGGAGCGTTTTTTTAAGGCGATTATTCCAGACGTCAATATTTTTTTCGAACCCGTATCCTGTCAATACAAGCGTTCACATCAGTGACGTTTTCCCGTCCAGCGATATTGCGGCATTTATTTTTCGCATCACGGTCGATTTTTCTAAAGTTTCGCATACTGTGTGTCCACTTCTGACCAATCAGATTGCGCATTGTTGTGACGTCTGATTCACCGATATATCCAACATGGCCGACAGCTGATTGTTTCCACCAGGACGCGTCTTTTTCCACCCGGAAAGTTGCAAAATTGCATTGCCCATGATGTGTACAGTCAGGCGTGTCAAAATTCGCCTCTGAATATTTCGTAATTTCGCGTCTTATATTTGCGTCATTCCAAGTGTGTAAGGACCTTAAGTGCAGTTCCAGGAGTGTCCACTTGAGGCGTAAAAGGGGCGTGGCTAACTTGACTGACTGTCAGGCACATTTAGTTCGATCACATGTTGTTCGAAAAATTGATTTACTGCATTAATCCGACTTAAACTAAAGTTTAAGATGACGCCGTTGAAGATCGAGTTTCTGGACTGATGCTAAGTTATTTGCGTAAATGCGCTGCTGCGAATAAACAATCATGTAACGATGTTTACAAAAGACGTAGCTGTCATATCGTAGAGACAAAAGGTACAGATCTGTAAAAATGGGCTACAGTTGTTCGTAAACTGGGAGTCGTAGCCCACTGGATGTAGAATTAGGCTTGGAGGCTAAAGGACCGACTCGACTCCACCCCCTCCAATATGGCGACCACCATCCTTCGGCGTCGGGACTCTTCTTCAATTACCAACACCTGCTGTCACTGAGACTACAGTGTGTCCGACATGTTTATTTCTGCTGTAAAAAAACAGTGTTTAAGGATGGGTATCTATGTGGAATGGGGGTTTTTGCAATCAGCCTCTAGTGGACGCTGGAGGAACTGCAGTTTCTGCCACTTTTGCATTAGTTTGTTTCAAAGATCGCTGTTTTCTACAAACTAAATGACAAAACTGTAGAATCCTAAACATTAAACTTTGGTAACACTTTACAACAACCATAATTTATAAATGACAAATAGATCGTTTATTAATGTGAGTTAATAGTTACTTTACCACCAACAAGCAATGAAATTATGATTAATTATTTTCATTTATTATTGATGGACTATTTATAAAAGGTTTATATAGGGTTTAAATATTGGTTGTAAAACATCTAGATCTAGATGTGTTAAAATGTGTGTCAGTAGCACTTTGTAAATGATTAATAAGTGGTTTATAAACCATCTATAAACATTACTTAGATGGTTATTGTATATATATGGTCTTTTTACCATTTATAAGTTAAAGTTATTGTAAAAGGTTACCAAAACCTTTCATTTACAGTAGTCTACATTGTTTTCTTTAAGTCCTTTATGGTTCCTGTACCCCCATAGAATCAGAACCCCGTTTATAGGTACCCTGGACTCCAGTATCTGCCGTTCCGTCCGTGTGTTTGGGTGAATATTAAAACTGTTTATGGATGAGAGGAATTTCACTGAGAGGAAAATAATTTTGAAGTTTCCAAAAGCAGCAAGAAGAGAGAAAAAGAACGAGTGCAAAAAAAGACGGAGGGGGAACATTAACGATGAGTGACGAGCAGGGGTTTCGTGGTCGCCTCGGTAACCACAAACCACAGAGACGGTTGCCATGTCATCATGGTAGAAGGTGTTTATTAATGCCGCTGGTGCCGCTGAACACACTCAGACGAAGACACACACACACACACACACACACAATCAGATCCAGACTCGTCTTCTAACCGGACCTCACTACTTCACAATAACACACACACAAACACACACAAACACACAAACAGATGTTCAGACTTGACCTTCACACTTATTGGTTGAAACGCTCCCCACAGACATGAACGCTCGCCGATAGATGGAGAAATGTCGAATCATGAACAAATTTATCCTGCATGGATTTGGAAAATTCCTGAATCGTGAAGTTTTGGGCCGAGAAGGTTCGGCTGTGATGGAGAGACACAACACAGCTGCGGCTTGACTTACGCTCCAGAAATCCGAGCAGAGCTTTTTTTTTCAATCAATAACCGTCATAAGAGAGGTAACGACGCTTTTAACCAGGTCCTAATCCAGGGGATTTAGAAGGACCCGGCCTCCTTTAGGTCAACAGGAACTGAGATGGTCAACCCTTTGGGGGATTGCGTCTTTTCGTCACCAATTTGATGGTAGCGTCATGTAGCATAGCAACAGGTGGCAAAAATTGGCAAAAAAGTTTCATGACTTCGACTGTAGCCAATCAGCAGAGGGAGCTCTACATCTTTTGGCCTCACTTTCACGTGGCGTTTTACTGAAACAGAAAGTCTCTACCTGGTCGGGCATGAGCGGCTCCTCGTCATCGATGTCGATGAAGACCTCCCCGCTGGTCGAATGGGGGATGTCACCTACACACAAACACAGTAAAGACGTTTTCATCAATTTATTGTTTTTAAAGTCATGGTTGACGATCGGAGAGGTTGGTAATTATTATGAACCTCGTTTCTATGGCGATCATGGTCCTATGGTGCGATCTCGTCAAAGGAAAGAGAAAAAAGAGCGGAAAAAATCTGTTCAGGTCTGCAAAAACATTGACCAATGGGAGCCATCCTTCCTGGACTCAATACTTTTATGGTAGGGGAAAGTCCCGCCTCCTTCGCCTCTGATTGGCTAGAAAAGCTGGAAACGTCATCACACGCTCAAGCCAAACGCGGACTGTCGGCTCTGTACATCGAAGAGAACATTATCGCAATTCTGAATCTCCTAACCCGACAGACGATGACGTTTCACAGCCATGAGGAATGACCAATCGGAGCCCAGTACTTCTAGCCAATCAGAGGCGAAGAGGGGAGGGAGATACAGGTTCAGGGGGAGGAGTTATCGTGGCGCACAGAGGGGAGGGGTTTGTGTGTTCAACTGCTTCTCAGATGGTCAACCATGACTTTAACCTTTAAATGTTCGTTTCCGTTCGTTTCTTACGTCTCCATCCGTGGTCGCCCTCCTCCTCTTCCTCAGCTGCTCGCTCCTCTTCCGGGACACACCTGAACTCCTCTAGAGACCGGATCGTGCACTGACCCACCACCGGCTTCCTCCCGAACTGGCGGTTGTCGATGACTTTGATGACGATCGGCGGCATGTAGAGCTCCTCGCAGGGAAGTCTCTGACCGAGGGAAAAAGAAAGGAACAGGAAGTTTATAGACCATTCCAGGATCGATTCTGATCTGTTGCGCCATCTGCCTGCCGGATGATGATTGGGTATGTCTGCTGACTATCTAAATCTGGTCCACTCAGGACATTGTAACCGTAACGCTGTCTTAACTAGTAGATCTGGGCAGAGGAGATGATACAGGAGAGAGTATCTGAGTGTGCCTGAAAAGCCAAGGGACGAAGTGAAGCGTCGGTAGCCGACCAAGGACGACCATCGGAAGATCGTCTTATGTCTTCTAAGATGATCCTGTGGTCTGAGGTATATTAAGAATGAATTAAATATTAATCTTGTTCCGTATTTACGACCAAAAATCTTCAGGTGTGCGGGGAAAGCCGACGACCCCCGAGTCATGACTCCGTGAATCGTCACGTGAAACGGAATGTAGCCAATCAAGAAGCGAGCTGACTGAGGAGCAAGGAACCGAATAAAGTGAATTTATTTGTGTAACTAGGATAATCACGCCGTTAGCTTACTTTGAGAACAGCTCACCTCTAGCTCGCTCAGTAGACGATGAAGTCTTTTCTTTTTTTCAGTGCGGGATTTTTCTGACAAAAATACTCCAAAAAACACCATCATTCCCCTTTTCTTGTATGTTGTTGCTATGTTTCTTCTTCTTCGTTTTTGTCAGATCACGTTTTATCACGTGAGATTTCTGTCTTGGAGGACTAGATTCTCGATCGGTGGTGGAACAGAATCGTTTTGAGATTATCGGAGAACACCACACAGAGGACGATCAAAACTGGTCAATGCCTGATTTTCGATCGTCATGTGTGGGGTCTCTAACAGTTCTTATGTTTGTTCCCCGCTTTAGTTTTATATCCTATGTTTGTCAGTGAGACGCTTCAGGAAGCAAACAGACCATCACATGTTGAGAAATGTCGGAGACTTTAGGTGTTAGACAGCAGATCTGGATCTGGCAGAGTTCAGACGTGTTTGACGAAAAAATCAGTTTAAGCTAAAAGTACAAACGTGTTCGAACAAACAGGCAAGTTAGCTAAGCGAGGGCTGATCCTCTGGAAGCGAAAAAGAAATTTTGTAGGATGGTAGGGGAAGGTCCCGCCCTACTTCGCCTCTGATTGGTTAGAAGTGCTAGGCTCCGATTGGTTATTCCTTTTGGCTGTGAAGTGTGATAACATTCTGTTTGACGTACAGAGCCGACATCCCGCATTTGGCTTGAGCGTGTGATGACATTTCAAGCTTTTCCAGCCAAACCAGCCAAAGAATTGCTTTCTTACTTGTTTTCTTACCAACTGTTTTCCTGCTGACTGTTTTCTTGTTGACTGTTTTCTTGTTGACTGTTTATGGTTGAGTGTTTTCTTGTTGACTGTTTTCTTACTTACTGTTTTCTTGTTGACTGTTTTCTTGCTAACTGTTTTCTTGTTGACTGTTTTCTTGCTGACTGTTTTCTTGTTGACTTTTTTCTTGCTAACTGTTTTCTTGTTGACTGTTTTCTTGCTAACTGTTTTCTTGTTGACTGTTTTCCTGCTGACTGTTTTCTTGTTGACTGTTTTCTTGTTGACTGTTTTCTTGTTGACTTTTTTCTTGCTGACTTTTTTCTTGTTGACTGTTTTCTTGCTGACTGTTTTCTTGTTGACTGTTTTCTTGCTGACTGTTTTCTTGCTGACTGACTGTTTTTTGTTGACTGTTTTCCTGCTGACTGTTTACTTGTTGACTGTTTTCTTGCTGACTGTTTATGGTTGACTGTTTTCTTGTTGACTGTTTATGGTTGACTGTTTTCTTACTGTTTTCTTGTTGAGCAGTTTGGTGTCGACTGTTTTCTTGTTGACTGTTTTCCTGCTGACTGTTTTCTTGTTGACTGTTTTCTTGCTGACTGTTTTCTTGTTGACTGTTTTCTTGCTGACTGTTTTCTTGCTGTCTGTTTTCTTGTTGACTGTTTTCTTGCTGACTGTTTTTTTGTTGACTGTTTTCTTGCTGACTGACAGTTTTTTTGTTGACTGTTTTCCTGCTGACTGTTTACTTGTTGACTGTTTTCTTGTTGACTGTTTTCTTGCTGACTGACTGTTTTTTTGTTGAATGTTTTCCTGCTGACTGTTTACTTGTTGACTCTTTTCTTGCTGACTGTTTATGGTTGACTGTTTTCTTACTAACGGTTTTCTTGTTGACCGGTTTGGTGTCGACTGTTTTCTTGTTGACTGTTTTCCTGCTGACTGTTTTTTTGTTGACTGTTTTCCTGCTGACTGAGCACAAGTGGATTTAATGTTAATAAAATGACCCTTTAAAGGTCTAATGATGCTAAACTCCCACGATAACCTGAGAGAGCTCAGACAGGAGCATGAACATGACATTTTCTCCTGGCGTACGAAAACACTTACGCACTCAGACTTTAATATCGTTAACATTAAACGCCTGGACTCGGTTCAAGGGTTGGGTTTGAGGGAAAAGTATTTCCACAGGCTGTCACCCCGGTACGGTGGTCAACACGAGAGCTTAATCTTGTTAACGCTGAAGCGCCAGAGTCAGAGCGAGATGGTGTACATGAGGGGGAAAAGGCTGGTGTTTCCAAACTCCAGTAAAAGCTGTCATAATAAAAGAGTAAGGTGATCGACCTCAGATCCTAATGCTGCTAAGACTGAACTCTCTGAGTCAGATTTTCATTTTTCAGTTTAGGATTTCATATAAAACCTTTAAAAACATACGTACACTCATGGAAATCATGGCAGTTTTACTTATGGAGGATAAACAGTGACTCTTTATTTGTTTAAACATGTTGATTACAATAAATGACTGTATCCACTAACGCTGGAATAATAATAATGGGGTCAAAGTAGACAGAATAATGCTCTGATTGATTTTTGTATTGATTAAATACTTAATCAAACAATGGTTATTAATTCTAATAACAAGAGTAATACCAGATGACGCACAATCTATCAAACCGGGAAAAGAGGTCGGGCAAAATCCGCCTCGGAAAAAAGTGAGTCTCAGTTCTCGTGACAAAAGTCTTCACTGAGTGACATATGTGGTGGACTAGAGTAGGGGCAGGGGGGCAAGGATTCGGTATTTGAAGGAGCAACATTTGGAGGATCTCCTTTTTGAAGGACCAGACTTTAGAGGAACACCCTGTGTAGGACGAGACGTTGAAAAGGACCATATTTGGAGGGATCCAGCTTTTGAAGGAACCAGGATTTTGAATGACCAGCCTTTTAATGACCAGCCTTAGGAGGACCAGGCTTTGAAAGATCCTGCTTTTAAAGGACAAGCCTTTGAAGGACCAGGATTTTAGGGATCCAGCTTTGAAAAGAAAAGTCCTTTAAAGGTTAATGCTTTTAAGGATATGGCTTTTGAAGAACTCTTTGTTTAAGGACTTGGTTTTCATTAGACCAGCTTTTGAAGGACTGTATGTTCAAGGACTGGGTTTCTATTGGACCATTTTTTGAAGGACCGGGTTTTCCTTGGACCAGCTTTTGAAGGACTTTCTGTTCAAGGAATGGGGTTTTTATTGGATCAGCTTTTGAAGGACTGTCTTCTTAAGGACCTAGATTTCATTGGACCTGCTTTTGAGGGACCGTCTGTTTAAGGACAGGGTTTTCATTGGACCAGCTTTTGAAGGACTGTCTTCTTAAGGAACAAGTTTTTATTGGACCAGCTTTTGAAGGACCGTCTGTTCAAGTACCGGGTTTTCATTGGACCAGCTTACAAACAAGAAGCTGCTGGAATAGAGTAGGCAAGTTGTGTTTAGTCTCTTTGCTAAAGCTAAAAAGATGTTTGGTGTCTAGTACTATGTCTGTGACCCTATATGTCCTGTTGATGAAGTTAGGTGCTGTTCTGAGCATTATTTGTGGCTATAGAGTGGCGTTTTGGTTGAGGGCATGGCTCTCTGTATTGCTATCCTGCGGTCGTTACTAAAGTTGGTATAACTAGAGAAGCAAGCGGTCGACAACATTCATCTCTGGAGGGGTTGTCTAACTCGATGTGTTTGACCCTAAATTAATTTCACACCGGAATGTCCCTTTAAGAGTTCCATATGGTAAAAATCTGCAGTTCTACCAAGTTTAAGGTCTGCTCCAGTCTGCTCCACCTATTATTTACCCGAAGGTCACACATGCACACACCCTTCTTCTGCAGACGTGCTCCTCTCTGGGCGGATGAAACAGCATCTAAACGTTTCTAATCTCATTAAACATGCGTCCTAGTTTGGGAGGAGAGAAACAGTGGAGTGGATTATTGTGGTTTTTCTGATGAAGATTAACGACGTGGACAAACCGCAGCCCAGCAGGACGCTCATTAGCAATGAAAGCGGCGAGCCTCAGCTCTGATTACGTCTGTGTAACGTCTGCGTGTGTGCGGCGGCGGCGCGGCGTGTTCCCTGCGCTCTCACCACATCAAGGATGAGCTTGTTCATGTCAAAGTTGGGCTTCTTCTTCATGCTGCGGATGACGCAGCTCTGGATCATGGCGCCGCCGCACTCCACCTGCAGGCTGGGGGAGGTAACGCTGGCCAGCTGGAAGCTCTTCAGGTTACGGACACCCCAGGCTAAGATCTGAGGGAGAGACACAGATCTTTAGATGTTTACTTTGAGGATATTTGAATCAACTGGATGAACTTTTTTCACCTCGATGGCGGTTCTTTGCAGCACGGGTTTGATCCCCTGAGGAACGACGAAGACGTTCAGCTCCCTCTGAGGGGGAGGAGGAGGAAGGTCCGACTCCTCCGGCTGCCGATGGAAACACAGAAGAGTCAGCGACGTAAAAAAGAGACAGAAACTAAAACAAATAAAAAAGTGAGGGTTGTAAATGTGATGATGAGACGTGAAGTATCGACGTGTTAAAACTGAAAACTGAGACTGGAGATGAACTCGCTTTAACACCGACGTTAATGCGAACGCACTGACTAACCCTAACCTCCAGGTGGCGCACTAACTAGAGCGCTCAGATCTGCTGTAACATTTCAGGAGTTTAAAGCAAATACGTCTCCAGACTCGTTATCGAAAAACCAAAGAAGACATGTTTGATTTTTGTTCGTTTATTTCATCTCTTATTTCTCTGAAAAATGTCCTCTTTGGCTTTCCGTACGGTTAAAGCAAAACAAAAGACACATGAGAGGTTAGAAATGTTTTTGTTTTAACATGCGTCAGTGTTTTATCGGCTGTGTTTCGATTGTACCCATTGCTGCAGGTTTTCAGAGAGGAATCCTGGAAACATCAACTGAGGGAGCGACGTCGAGAAGAAAAGAGAGAGGAAGACGTAAAAAGAGAGAAAACAGCTGAAGGATCAGGGTTTAAACAAAAGGAAACAAACACAATCCAAGGTAGACTCTTATCTTGACTCCAATAAAGTCTCGTCCTTGTTGCTAATTCACCAAACTATCAACTGTTCGCCTAATATTTGGAGATATTACAAACCCAAACTAAGACCAGAATCTGTAAATTGAGTTAGACATTTTGACTTTTTTTTAGATTTTTTGAATATTTTTATTTCCAAACCATCAGCAGATTGTTTGACAATAGATGTTCAGCAACGACTCTTTATTCAACGATGAAGACAAGACGATGGCGAGCTGAGTTCAACTAAACTCAAGAAAATTATTATTAATCCAGGAAAGATTCTTAAGAATGATATCACGAACCTTCTGCTCCTCTCTTTTCTAAATACTCCATCTTAAACTCAACGTCTTTCACTCGTTTGTTTGTTCGTCCATAAATCCATCAATAACAAACAAAACCGTCCTGAAACTTTCCGAAACTTTTTTACCTTTCTATCCGACCTTCACCCGTACTCAACACGACAAACATCCATCTTCAGTTACCTTCCTGTTGAACTTCTTGTCATCAGTCTAGTTTCACTTTTAGAGGACTGAAACTGTGGAATAATCTGGACGTGTCTCTAAAATCAAAATTATCCTTCAAATCCTTTAAAATATCATTAAAACCTTATCTAATCGTGTCTTAAACACATCATGATCTGTTATGATCATGTTTCTTTCCTTCTTATGAATACTTAAATTGTCTCTATCTCTGGTTGATGATTAGTCTATATTGTATTTATGACAGTTTGTATCTGTTTGACCTTTTCCTAATCATTGTATATCCATAACCCGTCTATGTCCTCATTACTTTGTCGTTTGCACCCTACGCCTTCTCTGCCCTGACGAGAGCGGAATTCTGGGTACGCCTATCGCCTCGTTTCCTCCTCGCTCTGTTTTTAATCTGTGATAAATAAATAAATAAATACCAATAATAAAGAACTGAGACAATTATACGGCTCTGTTTTTGTTGTCGAGGTTAAATAGTTTCAGATGGACCGCCTGACTTTTTAGATTCTTCGACTTCTTGTTCGAATCTAAAGATGGACAAAGTTCGTCTTCCGTGGGCTTTACCTCGTCCAGAACGTGGGTGGAGGTCAGGATGTCTCCCTGCAGGCGAGAGAAAAAACAGATACGTTCATATTTTAAAGGTTTTAAACGCTCGAGTCGGAAAATTAAAGATATTCGTAAACGAAGAACCGACCTCTTGACCGGGAATATGGTGAACTGTCGGCTGTGAACACATGAATGTGAAAAAACAACATCTTAAAGAGTTCATCAGAGAATATTCAGAAGCAGGAAACGGTAAAGGTACGAGGTTGAACTCTGACCTTTTCTCTCTGTATGAGCTCAAAGGCGGCCAAAAGCTCGCCGGCGTTCTTGCCCCCCAAGCGAATCGGGAACCAGGCCAGAGGAGGAGAGGAGGAGAGGGAGGGCTGACACACACAGCGGCCCATGAACTCGTCCGCACCCTTCAACGGAAACACGACAACATCAAACGGGAGAGTTTTCGAGTGGACCGGAAATCCACGTCCAGAGAAAGTTCGGAAACTCACGTATGTGTCCGAGTCGTAGAGCTCCACCACCACGTTAGGCGGGGTCGCCATGGTGACCTCGGGGTCGCCAAAGATCTCCACCTCGTAGAAGATCAGCGTCTGGTCCCAGGTGGGGTTGAGAGTGTTCCGCACCGTCACCGTTTTCTGGGACTGATGGAGGAACGACACGATGGCGTACGAGTCTGAAAAAAAGGAAAGACGTGTTTGACGAAAAAAATCTGTTTAAGCTAAAAGTACAAACGTGTTCGAATGAACGGGCAAGTTAGCTAAGCGAGGGCTGATCCTGTAGAAGCGAAATTTTTTTTTGTAGGACGGTAGGGGAAGGTCCCGCCCTCCTTCGCCTCTGATTGGTTAGAAGTGCTAGGCTCCGATTGGTTATTCCTTTTGGCTGTGAAGTGCGATAACATTCTGTTTGACGTACAGAGCCGACATCCCGCATTTGGCTTGAGCGTGTGATGACATTTCCAGCTTTTCCAGCCAATCAGAGGCGAAGGAGGCGGGACTTTCCCCTACCATCCTACAAAAAAATCGCTTTCTTACTAACTGTTTTCTTGCTGACTGTTTTCTTGTTGACTGTTTTCTTGTTGACTGTTTTCTTGTTGACTGTTTATGGTTGACTGTTTTCTTGTTGACTGTTTTCTTGTTGACTGTTTTCTTGTTGACTGTTTATGGTTGACTGTTTTCTTGTTGACTGTTTTCTTGCTGACTGTTTTCTTGTTGACTGTTTTGTTGACTGTTTTCTTACTAACTGTTTTCTTGTTGACTGTTTTCTTGCTGACTGTTTTCTTGTTGACTGTTTTCTTGTTGACTGTTTATGGTTGACTGTTTTCTTGCTGACTGTTTTCTTGTTGACTGTTTATGGTTGACTGTTTTCTTGTTGACTGTTTTCTTGCTGACTGTTTTCTTACTAACTGTTTTCTTTTTGACTGTTTTCTTACTAACTGTTTTCTTTTTGACTGTTTTCTTGCTGACTGTTTTCTTGTTGACTGTTTATGGTTGACTGTTTTCTTGTTGACTGTTTTCTTGCTGACTGTTTTCTTACTAACTGTTTTCTTTTTGACTGTTTTCTTACTAATCGTTTTCTTTTTGACTGTTTTCTTGCTGACTGTTTTCTTGTTGACTGTTTATGGTTGACTGTTTTCTTGTTGACTGTTTTCTTGCTGACTGTTTTCTTGTTGACTGTTTTGTTGACTGTTTTCTTACTAACTGTTTTCTTGTTGACTGTTTTCTTGCTGACTGTTTTCTTGTTGACTGTTTTCTTGTTGACTGTTTATGGTTGACTGTTTTCTTGTTGACTGTTTTCTTGCTGACTGTTTTCTTGTTGACTGTTTTGTTGACTGTTTTCTTACTAACTGTTTTCTTGTTGACTGTTTTCTTGCTGACTGTTTTCTTGTTGACTGTTTTCTTGTTGACTGTTTATGGTTGACTGTTTTCTTGTTGACTGTTTTCTTGCTGACTGTTTTCTTGTTGACTGTTTTCATGTTGACTGTTTATGGTTGACTGTTCTCTTGCTGACTGTTTTCCTGCTGACTGTTTTCTTACTAACTGTTTTCTTTTTGACTGTTTTCTTGCTGACTGTTTATGGTTGACTGTTTTCTTACTGTTTTCTTGTTGACTGTTTTCTTACTGTTTTCTTGTTGACTGTTTTCTTACTGTTTTCTTGTTGACTGTTTTCTTGCTGACTGTTTTTTGTTGACTGTTTTCTTGCTGACTGTTTTCTTGTTGACTGTTTTCTTGTTGACATTTTTCTTGCTGACTGTTTTCCTGCTGACGGTTTTCTTGTTGACCGGTTTGGTGTTGACTGTTTTTTTGTTGACTGTTTTCTTGCTGACTGTTTTCCTGCTGACTGTTTTCTTGCTGACTGTTTTGTTGACTGTTTTCTTACTAACTGTTTTTTGTTGACTGATTTCTTGCTGACTGTTTTCCTGCTGACTGTTTTCTTGCTGACTGTTTTGTTGACTGTTTTCTTACTAACTGTTTTTTGTTGACTGATTTCTTGCTGACTGTTTTTTTGTTGACTTTTTTTTTGCTGACTGTTTTCTTGTTGACTGTTTTCTTGCTGACTGTTTTATTGACTGTTTTATTGTTGACTGTTTTCTTGTTGACTGTTTTCTTGCTTGTGTCGGCAGTCGTGGCCAAAGGAGGATTCAGACAATTTAACGGATTCCTGCCTACCCTACCTTTGATATATGTTAAGATGGATAAAACAAAACTTTGAACATCTTTAGAAACACTAAGCCAAACTTGTCTTGTGTTGTTTATCTCTCTCAGTCCTCCTTAAATGTCCCTTTAACCTGTTTTTATATGGTGACAGCCCTGTCATCAACACTTAGAATACTTCAAATTTTGAATGGGGTTTGGTGGGAGAGGCAGAGGAGAGAGCGAGGTTATAAAAAAAGAGAAAAGAGAGAGAGAGAGGGAGAAAAAAAACAGAAAAGGGAAAATGTTTTTCTTTTATTCGGAGAAGGTCATGGAAACTACGGCTTCTGTGTGCGTTAATCAGAAACCAACCGCAGACTCAGATGTGAAAACAGAGACGAGGCTTTAAAAAACAGAGGGATGAATAGACAGAGGAAGAAAGAAATGATAGATGACGGAGACGGGCCGCTTAAAGGGAGGGTTCGAAGAAACACACACACACGCGCGCGCGGCGTAATGGATGAGTAGAGTTGATGGATGGACTTCAGTCGTGTGTTAATCTGCTGTTTAACGGCGTCTGGGCGGCCATGATTAAAGACCGCATCAGCTATCAAAACGGAGCTCTTTATGTCTTTGTCGTTTTTAACCTTTTCCATCTGTCTGTTCGTCTATTTTCACTTTTTCTTCTTTCTCCTCAAAAATCTCCTTTAACTAAATTTATCCGGACAGACGTCTTATTTCAAAGAGGAAATCGTGAATCCCCGATCTGAGTGAAAACAAAAACACCGATAAAGAGAAACTCGCTTTTTTTCCTCGGACCTCCGCGCTGCCTTACGTAACCCCCCCTGGGCTGTTTGTGTGGCTGTTTATATGAGCTAATGGGCTGTTGGGAATAAACGGTAATTGAATGGGTCACCATGGGTGGTGTGTGTGTGTGTGTGTGTGTGTGTGTGTGTGTGTGTGTGTGTGTGTGTGTGTGTGTGTGAGCTCCAAGGTTAATTGAGGGCTGGTGGGAAAATGCAACTTCGCTTCTGTTTACTCTTTCGCTAACGGCTCCACAGAGACTCTTTACCCGGCCTGAAATAACAAACTACTCACTCTGTGTGTGTGTGTGTGTGTGTGTGTGTGTGTGTGTGTGTGTGTGTGTGTGTGTGTGTGCTACTGTACGTTTACATGTGTTTTTATGCACGGCTCCACATTGCGAGCCGTGTGTGCGCTAACATCAGGGGAGAGCGGTTGTGACCTGGAATAACAAACTTGTCGCGGCGGCGGCGTTCCCAGCTCTCCGGCATTCCCGAGCCGCCGGTGTCACCGATCGTTTAGAGACACACACATGTTTGTTTTGCAATACTTATGAGGACCCTCGTTAACACCGTTACCCCTGTATGGTGGCCGAGAACCGACACTGCTCCAAAGAAGCCACAACGGAAGTTACCGATGCAAAAAAAGAAACCGAAGCCCGCTGCAAGTAAAAAAGAAACGGTGCAGATAAAAAAAATTTAAAAATCCACAACGGAAGTTAACGAGGTGAAAACAAGTGGCGATGAAAAGTTGCTTACAGCGAAAATAAAAGATACGATTTATGATCTAGATCACAGACGATGACGGCGAGAAGACGATCAAAGAAGTTTGTGGAAAGGTTATTGTTTAATTCTGCTTTATAGCGTGTCGTTTGGTTCGGACACGTTGCGCCTGAGTCGATACGAAGTTGATCTGGAGGACGCCGCTGTGGTGTTAGCCTAACCACAAGACACATCGAAAAGTTTATGAAGAAAAATTAATCGATAACCTTTCCACGAACTTCTTCATTCGTCTTCTCGCCGTCGTCTTCTTTGTCTAGACCGTAAAACACCGGTGCAACATCGTTACTGGTCCCCGACAGCTCGATTCCGTTGAGGCTTTTTTTTGCATCCTTTTATTTTCACAGTAAGAAACTTTTATTTTTAATTTTTTGTTGCATCGCCACTTTTTTTGCGTCGTAAACTTCCGTTGAGGCTTTTTTTTTATCTGCACTGTTTCTTTTTTTTTGTTCGTACCCACTGCGCAATACGACCTCAAAATGACATCTATTTAACGTATTTTTTTGACGACAAGGTCCAAATGTGGACGTCATGTCAACATCTAAAAGAGGTCCAATAGTGACGTATAAATCTTTAAATTGATTTTGCACGTTGTGGCGACGTCTAGATTTGGTCAATATTCTAAACGTCAGAGCGACGTCTAAAAAAGGTCCAATTTGGACGTCAAAATTTCTAACCGTCTAGATGTGGTCTCTGATGGACCGACCCGATACTGACTTGATCTGAACGTCTCTTCGATGTCCGATGTTTGGTGGGTAGCGGGCTTCGGTTTCTTCCGTTGTGACCGTACCTCTGGACTCCAACCCTCCACTGAAAAACTGACCCAGAATCTACCCAGATATAGTTTAATTTTAAGACCAGTGAGACAAAGAGGACATCTATCAATCCGACAGTACCTGAGAAACTGTCCTTGTCCATGGGCAGCAGGTCTCTGGCCTGGTACAGGTAGCAGCGCAGGTGGTAACGGGTCCCACCTGGACACGAAAACACAAACATGTTGAAATGTTTGAAAATGAAAAGTGGAAAATTGATTAAAAAGGACAAACTGCGTCTCTTACGGTCAAAGAAACAGGAAATGGTGGGTCTGTTGACCCCGAAGGTGGTCGTGACGGACTTGTCGTCGTTCTTGTCCTCGATGCTGCTCTGTGGGAGGAAGACGGAGATCTCATTCAAGTGTTGGGAGCTTCACTCTCAGGACATAGATGTCTGTGTTTGTGTCTTTACCAGAGAACACTCCAAAGCAAAGATGGCCGCCGGTCCCGTCTTCTCCAGCGGCTCCATGCGGCACCTCCACCTGCGCCTCCTGAAGCTGTCCGTCTTCCTGGGCTTCAGGTGGAACCTCCAGCCGAACAGGGAGGCGTACTCCCATCCTTCCCGCTCTGTGTCATCTGGACGCTGCTGTGAGAACACAAACCAGAGAGCATCAGCCTCTCTGTTGGTCTTTGGCGCCATCTAGTGGCCGACAGGAGGAACTTCAGCTGCTCTCACAAACCCACAGTGATGGTTGACACTCTGGAGGTTTTCTGTCTACCTTTCTGAGAGCCTCCATCTTCTGCTGGTCTCGCCGCCTCAGTCGTATCCACCGCCGTCTCCGGTTGGTGTGGTACATCTTCTCAGCCGGCACCCATGACTTCGGGCGGCGGTCTGGAGGGATCGTGATGCCGTACTCCCACCCTAGATTCACAAACACGCTCACAAACATCAGAAACAGGACTCGTCTGCGTTTTGCTTCATTGTGTTTTCATCGTGCGCACCTTGATCGTCCACGGCCCTGTTGAGATCTTCGCTCCACTCCACCTCCTCCCAAACCCAACCTGGAGGACACTCGATCTCGTCTTTCGGCACCGCCTTCTCCCCGTTCTGACACACACACATTTATCGATTTACACACAGTAGACCAGTAAACACCAACACACAAACACTATAAACACACACACACACGTACCACATCGGTGAAGCCCTCTGGCATGCCGATCCACTGCCCCCCTGGAAGCCTCATCTGGTTTTCAAACACTTCCTCTGTGAAGGTCATGTGACCGGCGTCCACGTCAAACAGCAGCCTGAAGGTTTATGATCGTAGACACAGTTAGACTTATTTAATTTAAAGGTGAGGTAGGCAGGATTCCGTTTCAGAAGCATCTTTTTTTGTGGTGAATTTACAAAAAAGCTTCTCATATCAGTCAATAGTTATTAGTTATTGACGACATTTGTTAATGTCACAATATCTCTGTGTTCTCTTCTGTCTGTGTCGTCAACATTTGAACATTTTTGAGCGGTCCGCTCTTTCTGACTGTAAACAAAGCCGTTCTCCACCTCCTCTAACCTGATTGGTTGTGAGGCAGACGCTGCTCCCCCGTGTCGTTCAGGAGCCCAAACAAAGTTAGCGTGCTACAATATCGGACAGTAGAAACCAACCAGAAAGTTCGGAAAATTGTCCGAATCCTCCTTTGGCCACGACTGCCGACACAAGCAAGAAAACAAAGTAAATACCGGAGACTCTGGAGGAATAACGGGCGCTTAAAACGGAGGTAGACCGGACAAGAGCTAAAAAGCCGGGTCAACATAAACGATGGGGGATGCTTGGGGATCTTGGTGACCCTGTAACCTTTCTGCTGGACAGGTAAACCGCTTTAACAAAGTAAGACAAGTGTCTGTAACAGAAGTGTTTCTTGTCAAACGGACCTGCTGTAGCGTGTTGTAGCGCCATCGCTAAACTGTCCTCCCTCGGGTCCTGGACTATGTCACTTTATCCTCGTTGTAGAAGTCCTGCAAACATTGTGTTTGCTGGTAGTCTGTTGGCATCTACAGTAGCACCAATGCTTTTGACTTTCACCTTGACTGGGCCCCATTTGTAATGATCTGAAGTATTTATCTGCATTATATCTGAATTTAATTGGAACGATACGAGCGAGCAGGAGCGTCTGTTTGTGGGCGGGGCTCAGAGGAGAAAAACTGATAAAGAAGAACAACAAAATTGACCCGAAATGGAAAATTTTTCGGTATTTAAACATTTTAACAAGTATTCACATTAAATAAAACAGAAAGTGTTGAAATTATGGAGGACAAAGGGTTTGAAAAGTAGGATCACATCTGGATTTATAACTTTAATGAACGTTTGGTGATCGTTCGCCTGTATGAAGTCGACTAATCTCAATCTAACTAGTTTTAAAACACCCATGCCGTCCAAAGACCGCACACTCACGTCTTCTCTGGACTGATGAACCAGTCCCCGGCCCAGGTCCAGCCAGGCGAGGGTTTGAAGCTCTCTTTGGGCAGTTTGACTCTCCCGGTGACGTCGCTGAACTTGGGGTACGTCAATCCTGTAGTTCCCCAGCTGCCCACCAGGGCGAGTCTGGTCTGGTTTTCATACTGCGACAAAAAAAAAAGAAACAGACTCAGTTCGTGGACTCAGACTTTTAGGTCACACCAGCAGAGTCCAGATACTTCTTTTTTTCTTGTATTATCGCCCCCTGCTGGTGACACATAGACTGCAAACTGATAAATTATTAAATTACAAGGAATTACAAAGACGAAGAAAATTAGGACTGAAAATCTGAATTAGTAAAAGTAGTTTGGACTCTTGTTGATAAAAGGACTCGACAAAAGGGGGCAGCGTCTACCAAACAGTTGGCGTCCATTTAAAGACAAATGTGCGCTCTGTATCCTACCGTCTCGGCGAACACCGACAGTTTCCCCTCGGCGTATTGGTTGAAATGTTTGACGTCAGCAGCCAATCCGAACCAGACCTTCACCCTCAGCTGACCTGGAAGTTTGGCTTCACCGACGCCGCTCTGTGGATGCTGCCGAACACGAAACGCAGGTCAGTAAGCCTCCTTTTGGGGACTCGTGTTTGAGACCACCAAATGTAAACATAAGATCTAGAAATGGACCTAAATGTGTGTTTGTGTGTTTACTTTGAGGAAGACGGTCTGCAGCTGCCCACAGTGTTTCCCACAGTTCTGCTGGGAGAAGATCACAGTGTGCGCCGGGATACGATGGTACGCCACCCTGCGGTCGCCCTGCAGCATCCATATTATGATGTCGGGGAGACTGTTCTGAGGCTGGAAGGAGAGAAATCGAGCACACAAAGAGAAACAGAGAGGAGGAATTTACTAAACTTTATTATGTGGTCACTTTGGTTTATGACGAGCAGCAAAGAAGTGCCTCAGAGGAGAAAAACTGATAAAGAAGAACAACAAAATTGGCATCATTATACCTCCTCGGCCATGAGCCTCAGCCTGTTGGCCCAGTCCTCCGCCTGCTCCATGACGGTGGAGAGCTCGGTCGCAGGTCCGTGTTTGAGAGCCAGCGCGCCCGCGACGATCTGCTGCAGGTGGAGAGTCCGGATGTGTCTCAGAGAGCGGTCCAGAGGAGTGCAGCACTGCCAGTGGTCGAGGGAGGGCAGCTCCTCGCTATTTCCAAAAAAAGAGTCTCACACACAAAAAATACGATGGTAATAGAAGAAGACAACTCGTTTTGACTTGTCGGAGTGTTTACCTGCAGTCTGTGATGACCTGTTCCAACAGCTCCACCACCCTGAGCTCCACCTCCTCCAGGTCGCTGCCTGCCTTCACTTCCAGGTTGACCCGCTGCAGGTTTGCCTCCTGGACGGACAAAAATACACAGAAATGTTTCTGTCCTGAGAGTGTTTTTAAACACGGCTGCTGCACAACAACTCAGACGGGAAGATTCGACACCCACCAGTCTGTCGAGGATAGCCAGCAGCATGTTGAGAGCTTCAATCCTTGGTTTGACGTCCTCCCACTCTGAGGACAGGACCACCACTGGTTTGATGTTTCCCCAGGGGAGGTAGTAGTAATGGCAGCCTGGAAACGGATTTATGAAATATTCATTTACTAAATAAATCGATTCAGAAAGATTACGATCGGATAATTCTACGACTGAAACTCTTGAAATGCATAAATCCGACCTTTGACCTACCGTCAAACACAGCTCTGCTGAACTGGGTGGTCGAGGCCAGAGGGAGGCAGGTGTAATCGAACTTGTTACCATAGTTACCGATGCTGACCTCAAACTGGATGGCGTCGTCGACGTCCTGGAGGAGCGTGGCCGAATAAAACGCCACGAAGAGAGAGTATTTCCTCTTCCTGAGGAACTTCTGTAAACGGAGAAGTTAAAGATGAGCGGAAACCTTCATGTGTTTTAAAACATTTTTAAAAAGTGAGTTAGAGATCTCTCTCTCACCTCCACCACGATCAGATCGTCCGATGATATGTCCTCAGATCTCTGTTCTGGTTTGTCGGACAGTTTCGTCGTTAGTTCCATTAAAATCCGGCCCCGGTACGCCACACCCTCCCCCTAGAGAAGAAAAGAGTGAAACAACAGTGTTTTTAATATCCATCCTAGGCATCTTATCACCAAAGAGCAGTAAAGCAGTGAAAATGCTAACCACTTATGGCCAGTCACTCTCGTCTTAACCCTTTGTCTACCCCCTAAAAACAGAGGGCCAAGGGGAAGGCCTTGTCTCTTGCTGGCTGTGTTGTAGGCTGATGCGAAAAGTGGGAAAACAACACCCACTGTTGTAACGTTTAGCTGTTGCCAGTTGAGTCCGACATCAGTATAGCAATCATTCGCTATAGCTTTGTTAGCTAGCTCGTCACAGTGCGCAATTTTTAAAACATAAACAATTCAAAACATCGCTAATATTCACGTGTTGTAGCAAAGGATGGAATACCTAAAATAAGTGTCATTACTTTGAAAATTATATTAAAATCTTACCTTTTGCTTTCAAGTGAGGTCCCTAACCCTAACCCTTAATCTTACGTAGAACTGGGTCACTCCTTCACTTTACGTAAACATGCAAAATCGAACACTACAGTTGGGATTGGCTGTTAATCTTGAGGAGGAGTTTGGAAGGAAGACGTGTCTGAGCTCAAAACGTTGAAATAGTGCCGTTATTTTACTGCCATGGCTTCACAGCACTGGTTATTGGTAACCGGTTGGTTGATTGGTTGGTTCTGTGTGACTTTGATTGGTTATCGGTTAGCTTCATGTGATGGTTACTGATATTTGTCCTTCTTGATCGGTGAAGGTTGATCATCAGTAATTGGTGAGTTTTATATCATCACTAGTGATCAATATGAATTACTAGTCCTACGAACGAATGCTAACCAGTCAACCCAGTTTACTCTTACTGGTTTTAACGTTTCTTTAAAGACGAGTTCCTGTATTTAAAGATGAAGAACAAAAACACCAAGTTACTTTTCCGAGGTTCAGTGCCTCGTGTGGATCGCTGAAGGCGGTGAACTCTCTGAGGCTGCCGTACAGGTTGACGAAACACGGACCAAACGTTGGGAGGAAACCAAGAGTGTCATCGACTGGAACGACAGGAAACAGAGGAAAAGTTGAGAGGATGTAGAGGACATCGGTTGGACTGATTGGACTGAAAATCACGACAGAGTCGATTGAAAGAGATTTATCAGAATTAAACGAAGGTGGAAACAGTTATGAGTTTGGAAAAGGAGGAAAATATTCATCATCTGACAGCTGATGAGTTTCACACAAGAGAAAAGAGGATGGTGGACGTACTGCCAGGCTGGACGGTCCTTGGAGTCAAGTCGTCTGAATGCATAGAGAGGAAGGATGGTTGAGAGTTACAGAGAGAGAGGAAACAAGTGTCTTTGAACGCTACGCAAAACCAAACAAGTGCAGCGGATCACAAACTCATCAGAGGGCTGAATCCAAATGTCCAGACTTGACCTTGACCGAGGGCGAACATTTGGATTCAACAAATACAACAACAAACCCCACGACAAAGACGGGGGAAGTGTTGTATCTTCACAAAACAGCAGAAACCAGATTTAGATCAAGACAGTTAAGAAAACTTCACACTGAGCACGACTCATGCATGTCTTCCTGAGCTGAGACGCTCCAAAGTCGATCCGAGAAAAGCATGTCACTGCAAAACAGTCCATGCGTGGTTAGATTCACCGATCACAGACGTATCAGACATCAGAACTTTACAGCTAACTCTCAAAACCCAAATGATATCTGATATTTGAAGATGTCACAAAACCAGGAGTTAAATATGTTCTCGATAAAGACTGTAGATCAAATACAACAATAACCAGTCTGAGCTGATAAAGACAATTTGATGAGGACAGCTGGACTTGATCACCCACCAAATATCGTCCAGTTTGAAGGTACTTTTATCTAAACGTTTGTGTTCAAAGGTTTAACATCTGAGGTCATCTTCTGGTTAATGTGACCATGATTGAAAACGTCAACACTTGTGTTAAGACACCGGGATGCAGCCTGACCCCCAATTTCCGCCGCATCCAGAACGGCGGCAAAAAGGCCGTATCTGACAATCGTAGCTGATCGTTTCCATTCAAGTTAACGTGTCAATTTCCACCGACTTCTTTCCGTTCCGCTGCGAATCACCGAACAGCTGATCGCAAGAGTTCCATTTCTTCCAGATGCCAGAGCATGCCCGATAAATTCAGCGATTACCCCTGTCCTAAATTGGACACAAAATTCTCCTCCCCAACGGATCCAGTAGGAATTGGCGGATGGCGAAAATCGCAGCCGTTACAGATCGTAGCCGTTCCGGACGCGGTGAAAATTGGGGGTGAGTTATTCAGAAGGAGAAAACGTCACAGTATGCAGAGAAAAGAAGACGAAGAGGAGAAGGAGAAGGTAAGACCATACGAGCCTTCATCGGTCCAAACCAAACCGGCAGAGTCAAGTCCAGTTCAGACCGGATTCGGCTCGTACTTACCATCTATCTCTCCACCGGGGGCTGAGATCTTGGACATGCACAGATGGGTGGTGCCAACGACGTCGTTGTGACTGGCTCTGTCCCTGAAATGAGGATAAAGAAGAAGAAGAACCCAAAGTGTGGAGGTGATGAACATCTGGAGTTATCGCTACCAGACAGAAGTTTCCAATCCAAGGAAAGATGCAACGCAGAGAGAACTTAGACCAGGTTTTCCTGGGAGTCTCTTATTTTGTTAAATCAACCTAGTGCACCAAACGTTGGAATTACCAGTCCAGGATTCTGATCCTCATCTTCTCACACATGGAGGGAAACTGGGGAAGGAAACAGAACCTTAAATAAGATAAAACACTGATCCTGGTGAGCATATTTGTCTTCAAAAATATAGAGTTTGTTTGTTTGTTTGTTTGTTTGTACCCTGATGGGCATCGACAGACTCTGGTTCCACTGCGGATTGGCGTTCTTCTCCAGAATCTTAGTGCAAATCTGAAACAGAAAGAAAATACAGACCTCAGAGGACTGGATTCTGGATTCGGTGGACTAAGAGTTAGAACTGGATTTAGTGGGATGCCGTACTGTTTTTCCAGCAAAGTGAATCTCCACCAGAGGATCCACCAGGTTCTTCCTGTTGCTGTCAAACCCAAAGATCTGCCTCATCCCGTCCATGAAGGCGTCATCCACTGCAGAGAAGAACCACAGAGACGTTAGAAACTGTCTCATCTCTTTAATCTCGGATTAAACGACGACATTCACAGAGTGGACTAACTTTGTGGTAAGTCCTCCGCTCTGAAGATCCTCAGATTGAAAGTAGCTCCCCTCAGAGACAGACCAGCCGGTCTCAGCAGGTTTCCCTCGATGTCTTCTTTATCCTCGACACAGTCCCGTTTATCGGCCTGAGAAACACACAAAGATGAAAGCATCTTCAGACATTCGGTTAGGAAGCCTCCTGAGACCCTTAATTCGGTGGAGATCCCAGGGTACTCATCTAATCTGGAAACCCCTTTGGGAGCCACCTCAAACCTTGTCCCAGATCAGTGAAAGATGGACGAATTGACTTATTTCAAGAGTTTTTGTTCAAACTCTCCGATCAGACTCACCGGTGGTTCATCTCCAGCTGCCAAAACCAGCAGGCTGACCTTCAGGTAGCCTTTGACCCCGGCCGAAAGATCGTCGGGGTCACACAGCAGCAGCCATTTCCTCAAGAAGCAGTGTCCTAAAGAGTTCACACCGAGCGTTAACGTACGAGAACATCAGATCGAGAAATCAGTTCGACAATCAGGTTAAGGTTAACTCACTGTGCTCGTTGTAGACGGTTCCAACGTCTAACTGCAAAGAAAAGGTCAAAGGTCAGATGTTTGTGACTGAGTTTGCAAAAAGATTAACAACCAAGGAACAAACAAACGGCGCCCTTCATCAAATATCTTCTTTATTTCGTCAGTTTGTACCTTGAATTCTCCGATCACGGCATCAGTGCGGAGCGAGCGAGAGTCACACACCTGTCAGAGAAGAGGAGGAGAGTGTTTAATCAAACTGGAAGAGATGGATCCGAGTTAAAGAAGAGCTCAGACTCACAGTGATGAAGATGGGCTCGTCAAACAGGTCCGACGGAGTCTCGAAGAAGTTCATGAAAAACGTCTGTGGAGGAGAAACGCTTCAGTCTCAGTCAAACATGAATGAACTCAAACGTTACGATGACGTTAACTCGGTCACGTTTACCTCGTCAAAGATCGGGTTGTTGCCTTTTCTGATTCGCGTCCTCCTGGTTTGTCCGGCCACTGTTACCTTGACAACAGGCTTGATGTTGATGCCGGGCAACTGTCGGCCTTCGATGACTCGCACACGAACCTGGAAAGAGTTAGCGTCATGTATCAACGAAAAAACGTCAAAAACACGCCCTTTAAATCTTGACCCTTCCTGGGTGTGTTGACTTTGGCATTGGGTCTGTTTGGGGTTTTTAGTGTAATGAACCAAAATGACCACATGGCGGCAGTGTCAGCATGAACAAGAAGTCCGTTCATGAGCTGCTACTTAGAGGGAACGGTTACAGAAACAAGTCGCTTCTGGTTCTGGACCTTGCTAAGTCCAAACCTGAAGGTCCTGAGGTTTGTTGGGCAGTGGTTTGGGCTGACTGCTTCCTCCTCCTCTCCTCCTCTTCCTCAGACCTCCGTGGGTGTTGTAGGTTGGCGGCGAGCGCTTGGGGGTCTGTGCAGCAGGGGACTCGTGACCTGAGGTCCCCTGAGGACCGACGATGACCATGGAGCGTCCATCGTCCTGAACCTGGTCCTCCGGTGGCTCCACCATGATCATACTCTCGGTGTCCTCCTCGCCCAGCGTGTCGAGAGAAATCACTGAAACCGGCAAACAGAAAACAGTCTCAGATGTGAGGATGTTGAATATTTTTTGTATTTGAGTTTGATGTTTTTACTTGTGACGGTGTCCAGCTCCACGCTCGGGTTGTTGTGAGTCGGAGTCTCCGGCTGGTGAGGAGGCTGGTAGATCGGAGCCGATCCTGGAGGAGGGAGGTAGGAAACCTGCAGGGTCAGGGTGGCCTGATGGGAAAAGGAGGCGGATAATCACGTTTGTCAGATTAAGCAAAGGATTTGATCTGTTCACGTCAAGATTCAGACGTTCCCTGCTTCTAGAATTGATTCCTCACACACACAGGGTTAAACAAAGACAAAGATGGTGTTTTTTTTATGACTGTAAGAGAGAGAAACATCAATCAGATCCACCCTGACACCGAGAGGAAGACTTTGTTTTGGCTCCAGGAAACGAGGATGTGAGACTGAACATTGTTCCCTCTGATGCCAAAAGCAGAAGATGGTTTTAGGTGAGCTTGAAAGAGAGAGAGAGAGGGGGGGGTACCTCTGGAGACGTTTCATTTTATTTAATCCTGAGGTCAGGTTTTATTACCCCGCTGTGTGAAATACATGGTTCTGATTGGTCAGAAGTGAGAACGGTGCCAGATCACAAAAGTCATATCAAATCAGTCTACAAAAGTTGCCGCTTTCCTTCTTTCCTTGTCGGCCTAATCATTACAGGGCTCGACCGTTTCACTCACGACCAAAAATAGATGTGTGTGAATTGTAAAATGTATTTAGGGTCACATGTGCGCATAAAAAAATCAGCTGAGGCAATAAATGTTTTTTCCTGTAAATATGGCGGTGAAGTTAGTTTTAGGTTGGATATTTGACGGACGTTCAGGGAGGATCTACCGGTGTCTTCTCACTCTCCAACAGCAGCGTGGTTAAATCTACTCTGCACCCTCGGTATCAACGTCAGGTGTTGAATAAGGGACCGTCAATAAATTACCGGATGATGTTCTCAGAAAAGGCTGTTTTCCTGTCATTAGCTTCTTTAATATTGTTCTTAATTCATCTGGAAGAAAACAAACTTTGACTCAGACTGAAACAGCTGTTTGAACAGGTTTATTTTTGCTCTAGTGGGCGCTCTGGGAACTGCAGTCTCCACTAAAGAGCCGGACATCAACCAAACTGAAGAAAACAGACACAGAGAGCGAAACTGTTGGAGCTTTGAAAACAGGGAACAGAAAAATTAGAGAAAAGGGGACCTGATACAGGTTAGTGTGGTATCTTCAGTATCTGTTCAACATGAAAACAGAGAAGAAGAAAAACTGAACTGTTAGGACTCGGCGCAGAATGACTTGACACATAATCTGTGAATCAGCTTCTTGAGAATAAAACCTTTAAAGGTAAAAAAAAGAAAGTGGAAACATCGGAGAAAGTGATACTATAACTGGGTTGATTTTACCGTTAATATGCAGATAAATTTCCTGATTTATTAAAGAATAAGTTTCTTAAACAGTCACAGTGAGACATAAAGGTGTGGTTATTAATCAAACTCAGGAAAGTCTTTCTCTAATTTTAGACTCCAGGCCGGAAAACTCAGGCTGATTAACGAGTTTTATACAATGAGGCTGTAAATTAACCTGTCCGGGCCCTACTGTGTGTGTGTGTGTGTGTATGTGTGCGTGTGTGTGTGCTCACCCCTGTGTTGTTCCTCTTGGTGTCCACTAAGGAGATGGTGAAGGAGGCGGCCAGGTTCGGAGAGTTGAGCACGTCTCTGAGAGCGAGCCGACACTCCCCAGAAATCCCAGAAATCTGAGCAGACACACACACACACACACACACACACACACACACACACTTCATTATCAGTACTGTAGGTGCGTGTCTCTTTGGTTTTAGTCTTAGTTTTAGTTCCTTATTTGTTTGGGGGGCCAAACTGAAGCACAGATCTTTGTAGGGGTGGCCAGACATGGAAACTTATCCTCCACAAATGTCTCATACAGCGGCGTTAAACTAAACTCATATTTTTGTTTATAGTTTGGCAACTCTACAAGGTAAAAAGTCACCAAAACATTCCCTCTAAAAAAGCAAAGAGCCAATCAGGGTTTAGGGGTTTCAGGGTGGCCAATAGGATGATAAATACCAACGACAAACACCCCTGACTCTGTACCTGTTTCTCCCCATCTTTTCATGGTCTTTGACGACGCAGTGCAGCTCTGCTCCTGGATCCAGAGGAATCCCTTTGAGGTCCCACTCAAAACCCTGACAAGACAGGGGACAGTGTTAGCTTCAAGTCACAGACAGCGTGAACATTTTTGTTAAGGTTAAAACACTTTCAGGTCAGTCTCTGGGATTCCAAAACTTCTCCTTTTGGTAAAGAGGCGCCAATCCAACCCACAATTGCCCCACTTCAGGAGGACGTACCTCATTCCAAACAGGGTTAGGGTTGTTCTTGATGACCTTCGTCTTCTTCTTCGAACCTGGAGGCAACAGAGGAAGAGGAACATTAAGAGTAAAGATGTAAAGGCTGCTGATGAAAATTTCTGGTTCTTATATCGCATTTTTGAAAACCTCCATTTCCGGTGAGCTAAAACTTCACATGTGGACGAGAGGCCAAATCACAGGCATGGACGAGGCTTTAGCTTGTGAGCCTGTTACACTAAGTACGTTTATATGACACCCAAGAAAACCGAAATATCGCCTTACTCCGATTAAGTCCGGACGACTGAAGTGCATGTAAACACCTTAGTCTTACTATAAACAAAGCTGCAGAACTCCAATTAAGACATCCAGATAATGCGGTTGGAATTAGATTTTTTCTACCATGTAATTGGCGTAGTCAGAGTATGATCGGACAATGTACGTGCGCCACGCCTCCGTAACCCAGGAACAAAAACACCAGAGAAGAAGTGGCGCTATCATTTCAAGGACTTTCAACTCAGAAGCAGCTGAAACACAAAAGAATGTCCACTTCTGGAAAGACGAGGAGAGTGTCGTTATCTTTTTCGTCCAAACAGAAGTGGACATTTTGAAGTATATGGACGGTTGCAAAACGAGGAATGGAGACATGTTTAAAAAAGGTCTGGAAACGGCGCCGCTGAAAAGACCCATATTGCCCCCTCGTTTTGGGGAGGAGGTCACATTGGCGTCAACAATTCGATTTTCTCAGCTGCATGTATACGCCGACAAGGAGAGAAGTCCGATACCATGAAAAAAAAATGAATTGTGAACTTAGTCCAATTAAGCTGTGCATGTAAACACACTGACTAAAACATCAGAATACAAGACACTATTTTAAGACCGAGAATGATCGTAACTTAACGACATTTAACTGAAATCATTCAAGGGTTTCTGTGTACTGCAAATACCGCTAACAAAGGACAACAGTCTTGCCGGTGATTCCCAGAAGATTCTGGAAGATTTCTCCTAAAGTTTCAACAATCCAACCACAACTGCTTTTAATGTCAGAGCCATGAACTTTGAAACCACTTCACCTTTCACGTAAACACACACGGCGGACTGAATATTGTGTTTCAGCGTGTGTGTTTGTGTTATCTTTGCGTAGCTTCCTGCAACATGGTGTTCAGAGCTCTGATTTCCTGTCTGCTGGGCACCGTCGAGGAAGTCAGATGTAAGCCCGACCAATAAGCTGCCAGGTTGTATAATTAGCTCCCGAAGAGCTCTCAGAATAGAGTGCAAACACATGCCGGGATGTGATGAGAGTTATCCAATCGGGACGACGTATTTTGATTTCCATTTGATTTCGGTATTAAAGAGGGAAAAAGGAAGCAGAGACAATGACTATTGTCCAGTTTAAGAAGACTCTTTTTTTTCATTTCCAGGGATAAACACACAGACGGATCATGAACTAGACTTGAATTTAATGTATCTGTAAATGGGAATGTCTTTGGTTTGGGGGTTAGATGTTGGACTGAAGATCATGCTAGTTGGAAAATTGAAATTCGGGGTGTTCCCAGGCCTGAGGAGGTAAGTAATCCCTCTCAGGAGCTCCAGGCCTTCCAACAAAGCCGATGTGAACAACATCCTTTAAAAAGTAAAGATGTCCAAACCCTCCGTCTCTGCATGACCCTTTACCCCAGACATGGTTTCCAGCTCACCCTGGAGGATCCCAACCCCTGAATCCTGCAGGACACATGTGCATCATGATCTGCCAGCGTCACACAGTGCCGGGCTGATCTGGTCAGTAGGTTTTAGGGGGTATGGCATGACCTGGATGGATGGGATCTCCCCTCAGAAGCATGGGCACATAAGGTACCCTGATCAGATACCTGAACCATCTGAACTGTCTCTCTTTGGTGTGAAGGACATTGCTGTGCTCTAAACTTTCTCTAAATGGGGTTACGCTTGGTCCTGCAACTTTTTGCAAGAGGGTGCTCAAGTTGTCATCATGATTCCAAAGCCTGAACTATTTCTTCCAACATTCAAAACTGCATTGCCTTCAAGAGGGAGCATTTTGAGAAGAAACACAATCATAAATTAAACACTATCACCTGTCTGCCCTTCCTGTGCAATAAACACACTATCCCAAACAGGTAAGAGACTCCACCCATTCACAGGAAGTGCACATACAGAATGCACACAGATAGGAAGTTTGGGGATGTAGTCATGGACATGAGCCAACTGTTCACTTAGTTGCTCTTTACCCGAATCTGAGATTGGGGGAAAGAGGGCAAGATGGAGGAGCAGAGTCATCAAGGGTTTCCAACTTTTGTGCCTCAACAAGGAAGAAATACAAGGAAAACATAACCAGGTAATCCTCACTTAAGACCGGTCGGCCAAAACCCTGAATGTATATAATTCAGACTGTCCACTTTGACGGATTATTCTGCACAGCTGGAGGCTTGTTTGGATCCACACTTCATGCACTCTCAGTCTGCAAGCACACACACATGCACACATTCTTTCTCTCCTAACACACACACACACACACCCAGAGAATGGCTGTTTTCTTTCCTGTTTTCTCCGCGGTCATCACCCAATGTGAGAACACACACACTCACAGACACACAAACAAGGACCTTATTACGCACAAACACCCACACAAATACCTACGTTAGTGTACCTCCGCCCCTGGAAGATTTCTTCAAAAACACCTCCACCCTTCCACAGAGGGGTCAAGAGGGTACTTTATTTTTGTGTGTGTCTGTGTGAGTGTGTGTAAACCTCCCAGAAGCTGAAATCGGAGCTAGCATCTCAGAGACAGGACATGGCACAGCATTGACTTCCTGGTTGGCCTTGCTTGGCACAGATTCTGTCATGAGCCGGGAATAGAACAAACTGTGACCCACAGGCCTGTTGAATACGTATGGAGGTCTATCTTTAGACGGGTGGGTGTGTCCGTGTGCGTCTGCCTTTGACTTGCAGGCAGATCTAACTTTTAAAGGAACGGTTTCCATTTATCCTTGAACTGATGACGTAAAAAGTCCAGAGTCGAAACACTGCCCATTCTCAAAGTTAACAATGAGTGTGGTGTATCAGTGAGAGGAGGACTTCTTCCTGCTTGGGGACCACGAGCCAATCAGAGGCTATGTTTGGATGGATGACAGGGTTCTCTGGAAAGTTCTGGGAAATTAGACGTTTGCTGATCTGAATTCGATGGATACATTGCAGAGTGTCAAAGTTCACCCCAATATGACTTCACTCAGGTCTGGGGTGAAACTGAGACACTGATAGTGACCATGGCGTTTGAATTCAAATACCATCCTCTTCACAAGAGTGAATTTTGTGCGTCCTGCTCCGATCGGAGTCCACCGTGAGCGTGATGGCACCAGGAAACAGAGTCAGAACAAAGGCAGGAAGTTAACGGCTCACCTCGTTATGAGGGCGGACACTGACTCATGACGAGTACAACAACAAAGTGATGGAAAAACAGGCCAGGTAGCCAAGTCACCTTCACCTCCTGCCCTTCAGAGGGAGGGGCGCTAACAATGCTCGCCGCTATCCCCACTCAACCCAGAATCACTCCTGCACTGTGTTTACAATGAAAATAAGTCTTCAGACAATGAAGCTGCATACTGGAGGTTAATGGTTTCCATTCCTTCATATAGAAGCTGGAATAAACTAACAGTGTGCACATGTTGCATTAAACATATCAGGTTGCATGCAGGATATTAAGGGGTCATTCCATGTCAATTCAACCAAGAATCTCCACTCACGTCACAGATTTTGATGAAATTTGGTGGAGTGATTGGCCTTCAGGAGAAACTGTCAGAGCTCAAATATTTTTGTTCAAAGCCGTCTAATTAGTGAGATAGGGGCTAATGAATTTTTGGCTAACTAGCATGACATGCGTTACAAAAGTGTTCATATCTCTGGAAGTATGGCACCTAGAGAGCTGATTTAGGTGTCATTTTAAAGCTCTCTTCGGTGTCTTTTTGTTCATAAAATTTTAATAACATAAAAACCAAAAACTTAAATTGAGGTATGAGGATTTCTTTAGCAGCTCAAGGAAGAACATTTATGATAATTTCTTTTCATTTCCTCTAAGTAATAATCATCATATTAATCATTTTTCTCTGCAGACACGGTAGTTCTTCTGCCTTAGCGTCTCGGTCTGTTTGTATTTCCATAAAGAAATTATCATAAATGTTCTTCCTTGAGCTGCGACACCCCGCTGTAGTGGACTCATCTGCGGTCTCTGTACAAACAAGCGGCTGCTGGAAGAGAGTAGGTGAGTTGTGTTTAGTCTCTTTGCTAAAGAAATGAGTCAAAGTTAAAAAGATGTTTGGTGTCTAGTACTATGTCTGTGACCCTATATGTCCTGTTGATGAAGTTAGGTGCTGTTCTGAGCATTATTTGTGGCTATAGAGTGGCGTTTTGGTTGAGCGTGTGGCTCTCTGTATTTATCCTGCGGTCGTTACTAAAGTTGGTATAACTAGAGAAGCAAGCGGTCGGCAACATTCATCTCTCAACTGTGTGTCTAACTCAGTGTTACGTGTGTTTGATCCTAAATTAATTTTACGCCGGAATATCCCTTTAAGGTCCCAATCCACAGTCAATCCAGCTACGATCATCAGCTGTTTTGTGCAATCAAATGGGACTGTCCTTGTCCCAGTGTACAAGCACAGAGAAGGACTAAATCCACTGAGAAAAGTACATCCACTTCCACAGCAGTCACTGGGGAAATACCGCCTGTCAGCTAGTTTCTACTGGACCTTCTCTTGGTGAACCTATCACGTCATGTACCAAAGTAATCGATGGAGAAGTTAGCAGGAGCAAAATGGTGAAAACATGAACAACTTCACAGCTCTGAATCCTCCTCCTCCTCACTTCTGGTAAAAGTGTGCTGCACCTCGAGGTCGTGGTGACATACCTATACTTCCTGCTACAGCTATCCACCTCAAGTTTACTATAACGATGATCCTCTTACCTCTAAAGCTGACACTAGCCACGGGGTGCGAGTGTCTCAGGTTGTTGGCTCGCTGGAGAACGCAACGCAACATGGCTGAGCCCTCAAGAGAGTCTGGATAAAGTCCTACGATGCTCAGGTCAGGTCAGGGGTCAGGGAGGTGATTCAGTTCACCAGGTGAAAGGGATCCAGAGCATGAGGAACAGGTAGTTACATGGCTTAGAAAATGATGACCGGTGTGCACGACCACCGAAATAAAAAGTTAAAAATATGTTGAAGCGCCAAAGAAAAGCCGAAATGGGTCAAAGATCTTGGATGTCACTGATTCAAGTCCTTCTCTGACAAAGTCCCAGGACTGAAAAAAAAAAAACACAATCATCCAAAGATTTCCCTCCAGTCTGTCCAACAGCGTCAGTAAAAACTCTTCTTTTTTAACCGCCTCTCTTCATCAAATCTTCTCCTTTCTTGTCCGGCTCTCTCCGACACGCTCGCAGGGAAAGAGAGCAACAACTGAGCATGTTGGGTAAACCCGCGCACCTCACATCCAGAGGAAATCTCTACATTTCCTGTTCTCCTTTCCTCTTTTGTCTCCTGGTTGTTTCCTTATCTTCGTCCACATCTTTAACTCTTAGTTTGCAGGCGTGTTCTCCGCAGACGCTTGGTAAAATTCTGCTTGTTGATTTTGGGAATTTATTTCAATCTGGTGTTTAAATAAAAGCATGAAAACAGAGAGATTATCCCTGACTAATCCATGATTATTAGGAATAGTCTTTTAGAGCTGTAAAAGCTCATCAACTAACTCAAGGATTGACTTTTTCAGGAATTTCAAGGATCGTATTTTGTGCAAATTTCACTCTTTTGTGTCCCGGATCGAGAGTGTGGTGAGCCCAAGGTCGCCTTTGGAGAGCAGCATCTAAATCTTCAAACCCCTAAACTATTCTTTATAAATCCAAGCACTTTCAAGCACTTTTCAAGACCTGTTGCTCTTGCATGAAAACATGAAAACAAGACGGAGGAGTCAAATTTGGAGGGGAAATACAAAGAAGGCACAAAGAAGGTAAAAGAGCGCCACCTCCAGAGGAAATCAGGAAACACAACATTTTTACAAACATTACCTCTTTGTACGCCTTTTCTGGCCACAAATGTGGTGTGGTGTTAGTCCAGGCAGGCCACAGGAGTCAAGGTAAACCACATCCATTTAGATAAAACAGGCGCTCTGTTGAGACTGTTTCAGCCTGCTCGGTTTCACTGTTTCCTGGACCTCAACTCACCAGGCTCCTTCCTTCTGACTTTTACAAAACCATTTTAAAGTCAGAATCAGTGAAACCAAGTCATGAGATGAAACCCTTCAAAGACTGATATTAGACTAGATTTGATGATTTGATATGTAAGAGGGCGACTTTATTTAATGTGATGAAGTGGAAACTGAAGACATGACGCAGCGGTTTTTCAGAGCGGGTCCCAGCAGAGTCAGCGCTCGGCTCTGAGCCAAGAAGTTAAATATCAGATATCAGCCGGTGAGGAGCCTGCAGATACGACCCAGCTAATACCATCACAGTGTTTCACAGATTCGATGTGGAAGGATGGCTCTGTAGGAGAAGAGTCCTGCTGCTGAGAAATCGGACTGATGCGGTCGTGACTCATCGACTCCTGAAAACTTGGTGAGTCATGACACAAAGAAGAAACGACAAAGAGGAGACCCTGAACGGGACAACATTTCACTTTACAAACTCAGGGACTGTCTCCTCTGATTGTAGATGTTTACAGATAATCTTGGTCACAAGTGCAACATTGTGATGTATGTGTGTGTTCAGAGTGTGTGTATGTGTGTGTGTTCAAGTAATGCACAAGGAAACTTTTATGCAGCAAAACAAAGTGTCATGAGTTCATGACACGTTTACCCTTAAGTCATTCTAACTCACAAGTTTAAAGGGATATTCCGCTGTAAAATTAATTTAGGGTCAAAGACACCGTAACCCCGAGTTAGACCCCCCCTCCAGAGATGAATGTTGCCGACCGCTTGCTTCTCTAGTTATACCAACTTTAGTAACGACCGCAAGATAGCAATACAGAGAGCCACGTCCTCAACCAAAACGCCACTCTTTAGCCACAAATAATGCTCAGAACAGCACCTAACTTCATCAACAGGACATATAGGGTCACAGACATAGTACTAGACACCAAACATCTTTTTAACTTTGACTCATTTCTTTAGCAAAGAGACTAAACACAACTCACCTACTCTCTTCCAGCAGCCACTTGTTCTTAGTGAGACCTCGTGCCAGTCCATTACAGACTACAGCGGGGTGTCGCAGCTCAAGGAAGAACATTTACGATCATTTCTTCATGGAAATACAATCAGACTGAAACGCTAAGACAGGAGAACTACCGTGTCTGCAGAGAAAAATGATTAATATGGTGATTTTTACTTCAAGGAAATGATAAAGAAGTTATCCTAAATGTTCTTCCTTGAGCTGCGGCACCCCGCTGTAGTCCGTAATGGTCTGGCCTGAGGTCTCGCTTAAACAAGCGGCTGCTGGAAGAGAGTAGGTGAGTTGTGTTTTGTCTCTTTGCTAAAGAAATGAGTCAAAGTTTAAAAGATGTTTGGTGTCTAGTACTATGTCTGTGACCCTATATGTCCTGTTGATGAAGTTAGGTTCTGTTCTGAGCATTATTTGTGGCTATAGAGTGGCGTTTTGGTTGAGGTTTGTTTATGGCTCCTCAGACCTCTCTGTATTGCTATCGTGCGGTCGTTACTAAAGTCGGTTTAACTAGAGAGGAAACCATTCTGCATCTCTGGAAGGGGTGTCTAACTCGGTGTTACGGTGTGTTTGATCCTAAATTAATTTTACGCCGGAATATCCCTTTAAGTTAAAGTTAGTGTTAACATGATCACTCAGTATGTTACTTAAATCTACAGTGGCTATCAGATCGAGGTCCACAAAAACCCTAAAGGAGCCCCTTTGGGAGTTTCAAGATAAGCTTATCTTTGAGTCTGGTCGGACGTTACACAATGACAGAAGTTTTCTGAGCCGCACTGATCAGATGGAGGACAGTGATGGGAAAATCTTTGCCTGTAGGAGTCTAACTCTCATCGCGTTAAAGGTCAAAGTGCAGGAAAGAGAAGCGGAGATAACTTAGATCGCGTTATAGACGGAGTGAAGGGCTTCAGAAACAGTGGTCTGATACAGCCAAAGAACAGATGTGGTTCGATTTATGGATGATCACTAATTGATGCGTACAGATCGGTTTATTTTTTACTGTGGCACATGGATGGCATGTTGGAAAAGTCTCTGGATGTCACAGAAACGCAAGAAATGAATGTCCGGTCTCACAAACAGAGTGGATTTTACAGCAAGTCTGTACATCAGACCGTCCTACTGTCAGACACAAACATACTGTGTTTGAAAGTGAACTAAACAACCCAGTCCACGATCTCTGCTGCATCCCCCCTCTGCTCTCCCATCATCACCTCTCTCTCTCTCTTTCTCTCTGGCGCTGCCCCACCCCAAACAGACCAGGAGCCACGAAACAGGACTAGAATAACCCTCAGCTGTCCCGGAGAGGAGAAGGTGAACTATAATGTCACTTCACACAAAAACACACTCCGACCATCCTTACCTTCGTAGGTGACGGTGCAGTAGGAATCGCTGATGTCGTCATCCGGCGTCTGCAGACGCTCTGCACACAGAATAAACACACGCAGCATGGCTTACACACACACACTCACACACACAGCAGATCTGTCAAATCCCAGCTGCAATCACAGCCAAGTCCATATATGGGCGTCAGGACATCCAGGAAATATCCTGAAATACAGCAAAGATCCAAAAAGTAGAAGTCAAACAGAGAGAGAGAGAAAAATGGGCGAGAGACATAGAGGAGGAATAGAGACTGAGAGCGAGGCTGTTAGAGCTGCAGCCCTCAGCTGTCTGCTCACCCCCTACCCTCCCTCTCACACACACACACACACACACAGTAGGCATGGTGCACTAGCTGACTCATGCACACACACTCACACACACACTGTCCCTTCAATCACAACTGGCTTAAAGGGCCAAAGGGGCAGCAACACACACACACACACACACACACACACACACACACACACACACACACACACACACACAGAGGCCTTTATTTTCAGTGCACACATGCCTTCACACAATCAACAGTCCAATCTCGGCTAACTAAACCAACACACGTGGGTCGTGCACACACACAAACACACACACACACTCAAAGGTCAGGAGTGCGACGAGAAAATGCGCTTGTTGAAGAGAAGAACAGCGTTAAAATTTAGCGATGATTACGACAATTTTGATTGAATTAATGAATGTTGATAACGTAGGATCAGCTGTTCGAGGTCTAGCCGCCACGGTCCCACCGTTCCCACAGAGTTACTTCAGGCAGGCTACAAAGTCAAGACAGCATCTAGTTATCAAATGTCTAAGTGGGCAGTCCGTGTCACTAGTGGACTGGGACTCGCAGTTGGATACGACAGGAAACAGGAATAAATGTTCCTGAGGGCCGGACTGTGAGCTGACACACAGCTGAGGGGATTTCTGTTGCTCGACTATTAATAGTCTGACCGACTGGGCTTCTGTCGTGTCATCTACATAATGAGTGTGTGTGTGTGTGTGTGTGTGTGTGTGTGTGTGCTGAGTTACAGACGGGAACTACTCTAACTTTAGGACTTGTTCCCGCTGGTTAGAGGGGTTAAATAAGAGCAGTGATTGAGCACTTGCTCTGTCGGGTTTCTTTGTTTTTCGGCGGTGTGGTTGCCTAGGTTACAAAAGCACCAACATATCAACCTGAGGTTATTGATTCTCGATTAGGTTCTCCTGCCGGGAGGAAGCTGTGATTGGATTTCCTCTCAGATTACTTAGGCCCTGATGGAAGACGCCTTTGCTGCTGATTCTTAATGGGCCATTATCTCAGCTTGTGTATGACTGCAACAGTCAGTCTGAGAGCCAAGGCAAAGAATCATTGCCTTTTTTTTCAGCCTCATCCGGGTCCAGGTTTGGGGGCAGCAGCCTCAGGAGGGAAGCCCAGACGGCCCTCAACCCAACCAGTTCCACCAGCTCCTCTGGGGGGATTCCCAGGCGCTTCCAGGCCAAGCAAGAGATATAATCCCTCCACCTGGTCCTGGGCCGGCCACGAGGTCTCCTCCCGGTGGGACATGTCTGGAACACCTCTAACGGGAGGCGTCCAGAAGGCCCGAGCCACCTCAGCTGACTCCTCTCGATGTGGAGGAGCAGCGGTTCTCCTCTGAGCGCCTCCTGAGTGTCCGAGCTCCTTACCCGATCTCTAAGGCTGAGCCCGGACACCCTGAGGAGGAAACCCATTTCAGCCGCTTGTATCCACGATCTTGTTCTTTCGGTCATTACCCAAAGTTCATGGCCATAGGTGAGGACTGGCAAAGAGTGTAGTTGCATGTAATTGCCACAAGATGGCTGCAGTTACTGGATTTTCTCCATCACAGTCAGTGGCTGTGTCCCAATTCAGGATCGGAGTGCACTGCCCTTCTGTGGACTTGAGTACCCTGGGTGAGGTGGATCGGCTTTTGTGAATTGAGACGGTCTACCCTTCGGAGAACTTCCTGGCTAAGTCACCAAATGCAACTGCCCTCAGGCTCACGTTACGACTGACTTAAAGAAAAGCAGCAGAGCGCAGTAGTTGTTTTTTAATTGTGCGACCTTGCACAGACACAAAACAATAGATACATACAAGCACACAGGAGTTACTGTATACAACAAACAACAAAGTGACAACCACAAAATGGAAAGGACTCATTCAATGATGGCATGTTTTGCATGAGGGAGTATAACTGCCATCTTGAGAAAAAGACTCTTAGATTAAAGTCGTGAATTTATGAAAATAAAGTCATGAATTAATGAGAATAAAGTCTTTACAAGAAAAATTCTCGATGTGGCCCTGAAACTCTGACGTAGTTTTGTCAGCTTTCTTATTTCTAATGTTTTTGATTGTGGCTGCAGAGCGGATCAGTTTGTCTCTAAAGACTATTATGTTTGGTTTGCTGCTGCAGATTTTCGTGAGTTAAGAGATCATGCGCTCATACAGCCTGAGCTGACTCTCTTCTGTTTTTGGATTTACTTAAATTTTCTTTGAAGACAAGCAAGTCTGGCCTCTCACCCGAAATGCGCAGCTGTGCAGAGGCACGCAAAGAATTCTGGGGATTTCAAGGCCACAAAGCATGCATAAATGCATGTTTGAAAAAGGGGCGGGGGCAGGGTGGCATTTTAAACGCGCTCAGCTAGGACACCTTTAGTGCCGCATGAGGATGTCACGCACACTTGAAATCCGCACTTTGATGGTGCAGACCCTGAATTGAGACACAGCCAGTGTTTCACAATGGAAGCCTTTACTACATGAAAACTTGTGAGCTGGAACCAAATTTGGCTAAAATGAGCAGATTTCTGTAATGGAATCCAGGGACACCTGGGAACATCCAGGGGGTGGGGGGTGCTAGGCAAAATGTGAATTTAGGCCCAACGTTTCTGGAGAGCAGGGGAGGGGGGGCATTGGCTGTGTGATCACAGGTAACAGCTCGGTACTACTTGGTAGCAGAGCACGCCCCCCATAAAAACTTGTTGTTTGAGGACTGTGCGCAACATGCTTACTTGTGCTTCCTACCTACTCCACTACCATACTAACCATTGTTCTAATCTATACACAACATTTTTTTCTTATTCATGAAATGCTTAAATCAGGGACATTTCAGGGCTAAGCTTTAGCCGGGGACAGGTCATCTAATACGAAGACTGTCCCTGGAAGTCAGGGATGTCTGGTCACCTTAATTTTGGCCCCACCAAGGTCTTAGATATTGGACACGCCCACAACATTTCATAACAGGGACATCAGTTATCCAGGCCAGAGTTATTTTCCAAATAAGGCTGTAAACATGTTGGCTCTTTTTTAGGGAGAAGTGGATGTAGTTCCAGCCTCTAGTGGACACTGGAGGAACTGTAGCTTTTAGCACTTTCACATTGACATGGTCCTTTTCATACTTTTTTGGGCATTTTAAATAAGGGATAAACCAGACTCAGAGACAGATTCTGTTTTCAGGTTTAGTGTTTTATTTGGTATAAGAGCAGAAAAACTCCTTAGAGTTTATCTGACCTAAACCACAGCAGGTTTAGGGGACTGAGGTCCTGGAGGAAAACTGTCATCACATATTCATGGCACAGACAAACGGCTTCTCAAAATCACAAGGTTGATCATCGAATTTCTTAGCATCTGAAAAAGAGAATTAAGTGATGATTAGGTAAGAACAGTTTTTATTGATTTTAAATCTGAACAAACAATTGAAGAGGACGCAGAACTGTTCTGTGAAATATAAGCAGTCATAACATCTTCAATGTCACCTCAATGTTTCACATGAAATACAAAAAACACCTGAATTAAAACTCTGACAAAAAGTGCGTTAGCCGCAGGGATGTTAGCTAGGTCGGCCCTTCACTGAGAAACCTCTGGAGACTAAGTATGCTCCAGTATTTCTACAGATGGGGCCAAAACACGGAGGCCCAATATAAATACTTAAGGAATATTGAAATTTACCTCCAAAGTTCATCAACATACAGTCGGAGTTTGCCTGATTATCAGGCTGTCCCGCATCCCAGTGGGCAAAGGTAAAAGGTGTGCCATCACTCCAGAACCAGGTACCCTCCTGAGCGGTACAAATACAGAAACAGACGTTGGTGAGTATGGCTGTATAAAAAAAACAGGATTTCAGAAACTTGTCAGTTTTATTTCACGTACCTGTTGAGCATCTGTGCCTCCAAGCCATGTGAGCTCATACGTATTGGTGGCCCTCAGTACCAGTCCTTGGACAATGTCATGCTCGACATGGTCACGCACCGATGCAAGGTTTCCACCTTGCTCCAGACAATGTTTCTAACCAGAAGGACAGACATGGAGAAGTTCAGAGGAGCCAAACGGCACAAGAACTGTAAGCCAGTAAGGATGCATTTCCACTCCTGACTCTTCAAATACTGCAGATTGGCCTTTCTGGGCCACCAAAGCACTCTGCGGGACAACAAATGACCCTGATTACCTCAGCGTTGCCCCAAGTTTTTGGTGTTCCAACAAACTGGAAACAGCGACCACCGAGGCCGCTCCAACCAGTGGGACAAGATGGAGATTTGTTGATGTTGACCTGGAAGACGTTAACATCTTGGAAGAGAACGTGCAAAACACAAACTAAGTAAGTCATTTAAAAGACGTGATATCTTGGCTTTTTATCCAAGGATTTGTAAATACTCACCAGAAGCATTAGTCAGTGCCACTATGGCACAGGAGAGGAGAAACACGGCCCACATGTTTTAAGCTGAACTGAAGTGGAGAGCAAAAACCGGTGATCAGGTCCTCTTCAGGTTCAGTCTTGTGTTCAGCCGTTCTTGGTGAAGAGACTGAACAGATCAGCTCTTATATACAGTCACTTTTCAGTCAATCTTTGATCTGGATCAATACTTGGCAGACCCTTTACAGATGAAGGTAACGTTTGGAGCCAGGTACAGGGCCTGACACAGCAGAAAAACTGCTGAAGTGGCCTTTTGTGGGTCTAATTTTAGAGCTGAGAGACAAAGTCTCACCAGGGTGTCCTGGATCTTCCCCATGGTCTCCTACCAGAGCGACGTACCTTAAACACCTCATTAACAAGGTGTCTGGGAGGCATCCTGATTAGATACCCAAGCCACCTCATCTGACTCCCGTAGGTGAGGGCAGGAATGTAGATCGGCCGGTAAATTAGACCAGTGCAGTGTCCGCATCCCTGCCGACGAGGGATGGGTGATAAATTATCGATCCTGATTTATCGTCAGAAATATCCTCCATGATGAATATTTGCCATCTCAAAATAAATGCGATAAACTTTACTTCAAGACTGGTGTTTAGACAAGTGTAATCAGGTATGTCTGACATCAGATAGTGGATCTGCTGCTGTTTGCTCTGTGCAATAAGAGTTTTCAGTAAATGTTGAAAGAGTTTTCTATATAACTTACCGCTTAAACTCATGGTCACTTATCTGATTGGACTATGCCAACTGGTAAGTGCCATCCAAGAACAATATTTGTGGGTTTCTCAAGAGAGAGTATGTCAAAAACATGGATTGGAATTGCAAAACTTTTCGGAATTTTAACCTTGTTACCGCACCAATCCATCTGTTGATCTCCAGCTCCATTCTTCCCTCACTCATGAACAAGACCCTCAGACAAGATATCAAATCTATTAACTGAAGCTGTACCGGTAAAAGTTCATTACAGCAGCATCAGTTCCAGTCAGTGTTTCAGGCTCAAAGTAAATAAGGAGACTGTAATATCCTGGAAGTGGCGTGCCCCTGGACAAATACTTAGATCTGGTCAAAGGGCGGTGTTGTGAGCGTTGGCCCAGTGGTAGGAGTGCAAACAGATGGCAGGTGGGGTGGAGGTGGTCAGCTTAGAGGCGGCAAATCCTCCTATCAGCTTGAATCAAAACAGGTTCGGAAGAGGTGAACACGTAGCCATGTTTACAGCTCTGTGCCCTTTGTCACATAAGATTCGTCTTTTTTCACCCTTTATTCACCTGATGAGGTTCTGGTTACCACATGGCTTCCTGGTCTAGGGATCTCCTCCCAGACCTAGATCAGGGCACAAGTCATCTTCTGTAGAGTCTGCTGAGGGGTGGCAGAGGTGAATGCAACAAAACATGAAGTCCCAGAGGTGCTGGATTAGATTCAAGTCTGGGGAATGAGCAGGCCGGTCAACAGCATCAGTGTCTTAAGAACCCAGGGCCTGCTGCACCAGCACATGGCCCAACAATGGGTCTGAGAATCTCCCCCTGGTACCAAACAGTAGCCAGGATACCTCTGGTTAGCATGTGGAGCTCTTTATGATGTCTGATAACTCACACTTATATGAGAAGAGAGCAGGACTTCAGTAACCAGTCTGCCTCTACGGTGATCTCTGGGAAATACAATCAGGCTGCATGATACCGGGCTGTGAGCTCAGGTCCCACTTGTGGACGTGGAGCCCTCATGGAACCAGTTTCTTTCAGCATGCGACACTTTGAATTCAGACATAAGGAAATAAAGACCAGTGCAGCTTGCAATAAAGAACGTGTGAAAAGTATTTATTTTATTATAAACTGATTATTGTCCAGTTAAAAGAAGGAAAAGAAAAAACAGACTTCAGCTCAATTTGAGTTCCTTCACTGCGTCAAACGAAGAATCAATACATGGTCATTGCGCAGACAAACGGGTAAGGTATACTGCACCCTTGATCATCCCAGCATCTTTCACCTGTAAATATCAAAAACAGGAGCGTATTAATTTTGTCCTGTTGACCAGTTAGTGGTGGGGAACTAGGAAAATGCCAGTGCTGTAGGTGGTAAAATCCTTTTTTTCCTCATGACTATCTGCACAGAAATTATGAAGTTTTATTTACCATAAAGACTCATCACCATACAGTTCTGGTAGCCATCAAAGTTGTTGGGTTGCCTTGGACACCAGTCTACGTAAGTGAAATGTGAGCCGTCGCTCCACAGCCAAACACCCTCCTGGACGAAAACGCAGTAATTTTGAGATTTTGTGTTATTTCCAGATGTTTGATACAGAGATTTTGTGTTTTAAATACAAATACCTCTACTGCATCAGAGCCTCCAATCCAAGCAAACTGAAACCCCTGCGTGATCCGGGAGATCATGTTCTGAACAAATACGTATTCAACATGGCTGTGCACCGAAGCAAGGTTTCCTCCCAGATCCTGACAATGTCTCTAGGGATGTGAAAAGACGGAAAAAAGTGGTGACGTTTAAATTCTGATAAACTTAAAGATAAAAATATGCCAATTATAAACATGTGCAAGCCTAGAGAACAAATCCTCAAATACAAAAGTATCCCTCATCCCTGTGGAAGGTTCCTGTGGTGGAGATGCAGCTCTGGACTGGACTGAACCCATCAGAGGGTTGATGATCAGATTGTTATAAATGTTTGAAATCAGTCAAGTCATGAATGAAAAAGGAAAATAAGGTCTGATCCCTTTTTTCACCTGCAGGCGTGCAACAATCCCAAATCTACAGTCAGCATCATAGGACCATGACCCTGTGCAGCTAGGAGAACCTGAACCTCACTGAAACCTGTCCATCTATTTACTAAACAGCAGGGGGAGCCAAACCTTTCAGCTGTATAAAAGATATCGGATATCGATTGGTTTGTTTATCTCCTCTAACAGCCAACTGAGGTATCCAATGTGAGCCAAAGTCAACACAAGAGAAACTGACCAACAGGGTTTACAGAGAACCCGCCGCAGTAACAGCAGTGAGGATGTGATGGAGAAGATCTCCACAGATCTGAGTCCAGATCATTTTGATTACCTCAGCCTGAGCCCAAGTCATTGGTGATGAAATGTAGATGAAACAGCGACCGTTGTGACGACTCCAACCACTCGGACAGAACGGGAATCCCCGGGACATTAGACGATTACCTGCCAACAAATCCAGAAAGAGACTGAGCATGGGGGACACCAAGTTCATCAGTTTCAAGTTCTCTGAATAAGAATCAAGAATCCACTTACTCTCGTGAATGGATGGTCCATCTGGCATTTCATCTGACTCCTCTTCTAGAGCAGCTTGAGATACAAGAATAAAACAAACCCAAAGTCTTTGAGCTTAGTTTGATAAACCCTTGTATGTGCCGACGTGGAGTACAGAGCTGTTGAGACAGGTACAAACCCACCTTCCTGAATGAATAGTCCACCCGCCATTTCATCTAGATCCTCTTTGAGATTAGTTGGATAGACGCTTCTGTGTGCCGACGTGGAGTTCAGAGCTGTTGAGGCAGGTACAAACCCACCTTCCTGAATGGATGGTCCACCCGCCATTTCATCTGGCTCCTCTTCTGGAGCAGCTTGAGATACAGAAATAAAACAAACCCAAAGTCTTTGAGCTTGGTTTGATAAACCCTTGTATGTGCCGACGTGGAGTTCAGAGCTGTTGAGACAGGTACAAACCCACCTTCCTGAATGGATGGTCCTCCTTCCTCTCCGACAAGCTCGACCTCAGGAACAGCTGAAAGGTTTCACACTGCACTTTAATATCTCATCAGTGTTTTTATAAGTTTTTGACATTTCTCTTAAAACTCACCGGCACCGTAAGTCAGGGTTGTCATGGCGCAGACCAGGAGCAGAACAGTCCACATCTTCATGGTTGATGGTGATGTTATCGTCTTTCTTCTGTGTTTCCTTGTTTTCCTCTTGTGTGGAGACGCTGAACAGATCCTCTCTTTTATAATGTTGATTATCTGTGTCATAAATTAATATCTAAACCCAGCGTATTGGTAAATGCTTACTCCAAGATTTGACGCATCACTTCCCGGTTTAATGACGGGCTAAAGTTCAAATAAAGGAATAATATTTCCTCTTTTTAGGGTTTTCCCCAGTTAATCAGTAGAGCACCCCAGGAGGTGCACCACTCAATCATAAAGTCCAACATTGAAACAGGTGAGACGGGCTGCATTTGAAACCTTTTAAAGGGAGGTTATGTGGATTATCAAAGTTTTCAGAGCTTCCTTCGGACTAATTTGCTCAGGGACTTATTTTAAACTAACATTGAGTTTTCTTGGCATTTTCACTTAATATCATTGACTTCACCGTCAGACACCGAAATTCCCCCACTTTGGAAAACGTTTATGATTTACAGCCACAAACATCCAAAGTGTAAAATAGTTTGTTTTTTGGGGCCATAGAATTTGAATTATTAACCACTGACACAAACTGGTTCATGTCAACACAGTCCAGTAAATCCAGCGCTTGTTTTTATCTTGAGACTCATGATTGATATCTGATCTTCTATCTAACCTGCCATCAATCAAGTTCTTGTTTTATATTCTCTTTCATCAGATTTCTATTACAACACTTATTTGTTGGCTATGAGGTGTTATCTTTGTCTGCAGTTCAAGCAAGACTTAGAAATACATGAAAACTTACTTGTACAGTAGCTGTTCCGCAATTTCTGTTGCGGTGTTCGTCTCTGGTTGGCCAAAATATCACCAAAGTTCAATGCCAAAACACGATTTAAGACTTATGGGGCACTCACAACAAGTGCGAGTAAAATCATCTACTCGCTTAATTCGCGCGAATGAATAGTATCAACTCGCTTCATTCACGCGTCAACGGTAATTTTAACTGCAATTCCTGCCAATTCAGTGAGATCAAGTGTGAGACAAAGGTTTTTTTTTATGATTTACCAGGTAATCCGACCCCGTCACTCACTTGCATCGAGTCAAGCTCCTTTTTATTCTGGTTTCGTAAATTGAAAGAAAAGGTATCATATCAAATCAGTTTGTCCTCCACGCCGCCAGAGTAGCAGAGGCGTTTAATCGCGTCTTTGCATTGACTTAACATATGATTCACTCGCGCGAATGATATGATTCACTCGCGCGAATGATATGATTCACTCGCGCGAATGATATGATTCACTCGCGCGAATGATATGATTCACACGCGCGAATGATATGATTCACTCGCGCGAATGATATGATTCACTCGCGCGAATGATATGATTCACTCGCGCGAATGATATGATTCACTCGCGCGAATGATATGATTCACACGCGCGAATGATATGATTCACACGCGCGAATGATATTACTCGCGCTTAGTGTGTGGGGACAGTCAAACTTATAGAAAAATACAGTAATCTGCAACAGTAAGAAGTGTCATAAACATGTGGCAGAGATATAATGACGTCTGAGAAATGTGCACCAGAATTACCATGAATCATCTAGCAGCCACCGTGTGTCCCCGTCATTCAAAAACAAATGTGGTGCAAACAAGGAAACAGTGATTAACAATAAACATTAAAAGAAAAATAAAGGAGGAAGAAAAACTGAAACCCAAGAAAGATTCTGTGAGAAAGTGACGCGAAAATCTTCAAAAACTGATCCGCGTGATTTTCAACTTTTAATTTGACGCTGTACAGAAATTACACTTTTAACACTTGATTAAACTCTGATCACATCACCTGGTGAGTGCTGCAAAGAAAAAAAAAACAGTCTATCATGTTCTTATGCAGGAAAAACTGTGTCAGGACTTTGTTACATCGATGATGCAGAAGCTGAGAAAAGGTGTCGACTTAGATCACTTTGAAAAAAAAGAGATGAACAAAAACAAAAACAAGAGAAAGAAGAAAACATCTTCACATGGTCACAGAGAGAGTCAGAAGTGCGAGTAACACTTCGGCAATCATCGCTCAAACTGTTGAGAAACTTCTGAAAGAGTTACTCTGACAGATCTGGATCCTTTTAAACATCTTCAAACTGGTTTCAGTATCAGGGGCAGATCTGTCTGATGGACCGCTGAGTGACAGTACGACCAAAAGGGGGCGTAGTTGCACCAGACAGAAGGTCTCAGTGATCTCTCTCTGATCAAGACTTACCTGATTGTTGCACGAGTCAAATCCTTTTAAAGATATAAGGTCTGTTCAACAAAACTGAAACTCTGGGATCGTCCAAATCCGCGTTCTTAGAGGACAATGATTGAGGTCATGGAAAACCGATGAGGTCTGAAGACTTCATGATGCGAAAGAAAGGGAGGCAGCTGCAGAGCAGGACAAGGCACAGAATCTGTGATACTGATGGGGTCTTAAAAACCGAAGAGGAGTCCGTCCTTCACGCCGAACACTCGGCTGTTCGGATCAGTCCGAGAGAGAACCCGGACAACTCCGAGCTGAACTTCCTGATTTCTGCTGAAGCTTCTGAAAATGTTTCTGTGGAGGAGAGGAGAATGAGAACGAGACATTTACAGCTGCAGAGAGAGTGTGTGTTCATGTGTGTACCTTCAGGTTGTTGTAGTGTGTCTGGCTGCTGCAGTGCAGCTCCTTGGCCGTGGTTTCGCTCGGGTAGAAAACGGAGCAGAGGTTACAGAAATAACCCGGGACGACGAACTCTTTACCTGTGAGGAGAGTCGGCGAACGCTCATCAGTCAGAAAAAGATAAAGTTTGTGTTTTTAATTAAAGTTGTTTTCTGATCAGATTTAACTCTCGGGACTCACCGAGGGGGTTGTTGGGTTTGAAATCAGGCAGTTTGAAGTCATGAGGGACCGACGGAGACTGAGAACGGGATCGCTTTGATTCTGGTCCGATCGGCTCCCTCCTGTATTTGCTCCCAACTAAGAAGAGAAAAGGAGAGATGGTCGAATCAGCGGTTTTAACCTCGACAATCAAAGGTTTTTGTCTCATCTGGGTTTTCTCAGCTCTCTACCTTTCACTTCCACCCGCCTCCATCCTTCTCTCTCCTCCTCTCCTCCCTTTAGAGTTTCGCTCTCCGGCTGCAGCTCCGGCTCAGCAGCGGAGGGATTCTCCGCCGTCTCCTGCGCCTCCTGCCGGTCATCATTTGAAACCTCAGTCAGCTCCTTCTCCTCTTCTTCTGGCTCCTCTATCGTACTCTTCGTGTTCCCTCTGGTGGATTTTCTCACTGCGGTGACAGATGATGAACGAGTTTAAGAGAAACAGTGCGGCTGAAAATGTTGCTGAGATCTAAGAGGAGAGTTTTTTTTTTCTATCACCTGGAGTTTGTCTGCTTCTCTTCTTCCCTCGACCTCTCGTCTTGGGTGTTTCTCTGTTCTCCTCGTCCTTCACCTCGTCCACGATCACAAAGTTCACGCTTTCCACTGAAACAGAAGGATGACAAACATTTGCGTTTCACTCGCATTTGCGACTAGAAATAGATAGTACTAAGGTCGGACAATAAGGCAAACATGATTTGATCGGTTTTCATTGTTCCTCTAAAGTTCTTTTCGTGCTCCTTCTGAAAAAAGTTCTCGTGTTATCAACGGAGAACCGTGAGGATATTACTGACCTGGGTCGTCGTCATGGTTGCGTTTTGCCGATCCTGGAGTTCTCCTGGTTCTCTCCAGATCTGGTTTGTTGTCGTCTTCGTCACAGTCGGCTTCATCCAAAGTCACCAAAGTCTGAAAAAACAGACGAAAGTGATTTGAATCTCCTCAGACAGTGGAGACGTTACAGATGTTTGGATGTGGATTTGTACCTCGTGGTTCAGGTCCTCCCCTGACCCCTCGTCCTGGCTCAGGGTTTGGGGTTTCTGGTCCCCCTGCCCCGTCTTCTCTTCTTCTACGAACTCGTCCAGAGTGACCATCGCTCGCCCCTCTCCTCCAGCTGACTCCTCTCCCCGCTCTTGTCTCTTCTTCTCATCCTCGACATCGTCTGAACCCACCTCGTCCAGAGTCACCAGCTCTTCAGAGTCCACATCCACCCTTCCTCGTTTCCTCCCCCTTCGACTCCCTCCTCCTCCTCTTCTCCTCTGTTGCTCCCTCTCCTCCCTCACCCCTGACCTCCTCGCTCTCTGAAGCTTCTCTTTCGCAGCAGTTTGGCGTTTCCTCAGTTCTTCCTCCTCGGCGGCGTCGTCAGAGTAATCCTCCTCTTCGTCACTGACTGTGTCGAGGTTCACCAGAGTGCTCTTCATCTGCTCTTCATCTGCTGCAGCTCTGACTGATGAAGATGATGGTGATGGAGAGTCCTCTTCCTTGTGGTCTATTCTGGGGGTTTCCTTCCTGTCCTCCTTACCTGCACCTGCACTGACCTCCTCTGGATCTCGGACCCCCTGAGCGAGACTCTCCTCCGGTTTTTCAGATCCTTCAGAGACCGTGGTGAAACCTGATTGAGGGTCTTCTTTGACGGCATCTTCTCCTGTCTCTGTGTTGTCCTTTCCTTCTTTCTCAGACGCCTCTGTGATGGTCTGCTCTTCTTCGAGGGAGTCGACTACCTGGAACAAAGGTTCCTCCTGCTCCTCCTCCTCCTCCTCCTCACTTTTGGTCGATCCTGCTCCACTCGGTTCTCCCTCCTCTGTGTTTTGAATGATCTCCTCTTTCCTCTCGCTCTCTGGCTGCTCGGCGATCGGCCTATCATCTACCAAGTCGTCCTCCACAGAATCCAGAATCTGGTACGTGGCCTCCTCTTCGTTCCCCACCTTCTCAGATGTTTCTTGATCGACCTCGTTCGGTCCTGTATCATCTTTTTTGGTTGTTTTCAGTGGTTTCTTCGGCCTCCCTTTCGTCCCTCTTCCTCTTGGAGCTGGCTGATCTTCCTCAGGTCCGTCCTCCACAGAGTCCAGGATTTCGTAGGTAGTGATCTCCTCGTTCCCCTCGCCTACGCTCTCCTTTGGAGGAAGTGTCTCCTCAGTCTTTGGTGTCTTCTCCCGGCTCCGTGTCTGCCTCCTGCTGGTCGGGGTTTCTTCTCTCTGCATCTTCTCGGTCGTAGCCTCCTTGGATGGTCTCCCTCGTCTTCCTCTGGTTGATCTGGTTGTGATGGTTGGTTCATCAGTGGTCGTCTCCACAGAGTCTAAAATCTCATACGTGACCTCTTCTGGTTTTTCAGCTTCTTCTGCAGGAGCCTCTTTCTTTCTCCTGGTACTTCTTCTTCTACCAAAGCTTTCTCTCGTTGGATCTTCAGCCGGTTCCTCTTCCACAGAATCAACGATTTCAAACACCACGTCCTCACTGACCTCCGTCTTAGTCCGTATGTCCGTCTTGTCTTGTTTTTTGGGTGATTTCTCCGTCTCGTCACTTTTCGGTGTCCTGTTTGTGGAGCCGCTCCTCCTTGAAGATCTATCATCTCTTCTCGCTCCTCTCCTGGGTCTCTGTTGTCTACTTGTTGGCTGATCTTCAACAGAATCGATCACCTGATAAGCGTCTCCCTCGTCCTCCACGGGTTGATCATCTTTAGATGTCTGCGAACTGAGAGTTTCCAGTTTTGCGGGGTCGTCTTCTGTCTCGGTCTGATCATCGATGGAATCTAAGATTTCGAAGGTTTGTTCAGGACCTTCAGGGTCCTTCAGGTCCTCTTCTTGGAGAGGCTGGTTTTCTGTAGATGTTTGACCCTGAGGTGTTTCTGTGCTGGACTCAGGTGAGAACATTTTACTACCTGTCTCCACCTCTTCAGCGTTTGTCTCTAACCCGTTTTTATCTTCAGCCTGGTCGGTTTTTGAACCATCATCTTCCTCACACAGCTCAGAAACCTCATCCAGGACCTGTGAAGGCCCGTCAGGATCCATTTCACCGGACTCCTCTGTCTCAGCTTTGACACCTTCAAGGACCAGGTCTCCAGGCTGGGATTCAGACCTTCCCTCTTGGCCTCCATCTGTCATCTGCTCAGCTGATTGATCACCGGCTGGAGTGAGGGTTTGGAGATCATCATGTTTGATTTCATCCGTCTCTTCTTCGTCTTTCTTCTGATCCTCATTTGTTCGATCTAAATCAATCCCCATATCCTGGATCTGGTTCAAATCAAATCCTGGTCCCTGATGAGGAGGATGCATCTCTCCTCTTGCTTCCATTTTTGTCTCTGACTCAACAGTTTCTGCAGCGGGGCCCTCTGCTGACGCTGTGTGGTCAGACAGAGGTACTGCACGCTGCTCTGGCTGAGTCTCAGAGGGTGCAGAGCTGGATGACGGTCCCGGAGGATCTGTTTCGCTCGGTTTTGCTCTCTGATCGGGGGAGGAAAGAGTTTCAGGGGACACAAAAGGAGAAGGGGAAGCGGATTTGCTCGCGCTTGCAGAGGATGAGGGTTTGGTACTGGATCTGGAGGGTTTGGACGCGTTTCTCTCTGAGCTTGAGTTGGCAGCTCGTGTAGTTCTCTCTGATCTAGAAGAGGAGGACGAGGCTGAGCTCCTGTGGTCTTTCGAAGACCTCGACGAGGTCCTTCCACCACCTGAGCTTGCCCTGCTGTCTCTTCTGTCTCTCGAGGAGTGCGTGGATGAGGAGGGGCGACGACGCTCAGAGCTTCCTTCTCCAACGTCATCGTAAACTTCGTCAACAGTGACAAACTCGTCCTCGTTGAACTGCAGCCCGTCAAAAAAGTCTGCGGGGGTGTAGTCTTCTGTGAAATTAGCATCACCCTGAACAAAGACAGAAGCAGAGATTTGAACGTAGATTGACCTTTCTTCAGCGGAATCTCCAAAAACTCAGAAAACACAGAGAGACTCAAACCAGGACTCACCCGCCTCTCCGGACTCAGAGACCTGCTTTTACGAACTAGTCTGTGTGGGCCCACCGTCACCGTGATGGTCTTCAGCTTGGACTTGTCGGTCTCAGGGGGTTCGTTAACCTCACTGACGGCCTCGGGTTCGAGGTCTATAGTGTCCTCACCGGCCTCCTGTAGGCGCTGTCTGAGGCTCTCCAAGCTTTAAACAAAGGTTCGATTATTGTGACAGTCAGAGGTGAGCTGGTCAGACTTGTGAAACACATCTCTCTAACACAAAAAAAAAGGTTGTGCACTTACGTCTCGAAATTCTGAACTTTGCTCCTGTTGAGAAAGAAACAAGGACTTCACTCAGTGACGACAAAGCTGTGTAAAAAGTAACACCCACATGTAGGGCTGGGCGATAAAACGATAACGATATATCTCAAAGATTAACTTCCATCAATATCGATATGAAACATGGTCAATACGCTTCTCAATAGTCGCCATTCTGCCATGTTTTGGTAGAGTTGCTCCGGGTCCGCTTCGTGCTGAACCAATGATGTGCTAAATTAGAAATACATATATATTCGAAAAAAGAACGAGATTTGAACTCACAAAGCAACCACGAATTTTTTATTCCTTATTAGTTTTTCTTCTCAGTTTTTCCCCGCTCTTTATTTAATATTCGAATATAAATTTTTGCGAGTGAGCGCGCTGACACAACGGGTCAGGGACAGGTCACAGGAGCTGCACCTGCAGTGAGACTCGACAAAAACCGTCCGTGACAGATGCAGAGAGAGATGCCTTGACGTTCGGAGCCAAACTCAGAGACACGGTAGACGGAAAAAATGCTGAGCTGTGTAAGCCAGATATCGAACGTCATTTTAGAGCAATTTTGACAGCCCTGATTAGAACCAAGTAGCAAACAACTGCGGCATAGCAGACAGCAGCTACACCCAACCATACACTATAATAAGAAAATGAGTGCTACCCCCGACAGAAATGCAGATGAAAACTCAACAAATGACGACATCATAGAAGCGAAAACGTCGGTGGTGTGGAGGTATTTTGGTTTTTCAAGGGCGAACATGAAGCAGAGTAATGTGGACTGCAAATTATGTCGAGTCCCTGAGCGAAGCGAGTACGAAGCAGCCCACGGCAGCTGAAACAGCCGACCATTCAGTCAGCTTTTTTAAGCTTTAGCGTAACGCCTTACGACAAAACGTCAAAGAGACACAAAGACCTCACAGATGCAGTCGCTTATTGTATTGCAAAAGAAATGCTACCCAAAGCACTGTCAAATGTAATTTTATATATCGTGATATACATCGATGTCGTGATATGAAAAAAATACATCGTTATAGACTTTTCCTTTTATCGCCCAGCCCTAGTAACACCCACATGCCGAATAGTGCTCAAATGACTCCATGGGGCGCCAGTTTAAGATGATTACAAAGGTTTTAAACTACTTTAAAGATGTACCAGTTGATAATGAGTACAACAGAACCACTAAAAATCCACATTTGATCCCCCAGAACTTTTAAAAGACATGCGCACCAAGCCGGGTCCTCTGTGAAAGAGCTGGGGGTGAGATCGTTGTATCTCTCCACCACTTGGGCAACACTGGCGGAGTCGGCCATCTCGATGCAGATCTGATCAGGAAGGACAATATTTTAGATCGTATCTGCTTCTCTTTAGAAGTTATGAGGACGTTTGTACATCTGGATGAGAAGTCTTTACCCTGTTAGCCAGCGGCAAGAAGTTGACGAAGCTGGTAATGGACGCGACCATTTCTACGACCAGCGTGATGACGTCCAGAGACACCTCCGAGACCTCCACACACAGCAGCCGCTCCTCCAGGGACGCTGGATCAGGAACCCTCTGAGAAAGAAAGAAAGCGTTGAGGACCTCAGGAGCAGAAACAGAAACGTGTTTTCACACGATCGAAAAGTGACTTACAGCGTTGCTCAGCTTCATCAGGTTTGTGTACATGGCCTCCTGTCGGAAAGAGTCAGACACACGGTGAAGGATCTGCATTTTTTTGGGTTTTTACCCCAGAATGACCCAAACTTTGAGTCCATACCTCACTGAATTCAGGATGCATGTTTTGCAAGACCAGGTGGACACTGATTGCGCGCTTTTTGAGAGAAGTCCGCTTAGTGATGTGAGCTTTGACAAAATCGAAGCAGGTCATCCAATCAGCGAAGAACACAAAGGCCTGGAGGAGAAGACGGGAAGAGCAATGACGTTTAAAAATGTAAAGAAATAAAAACGGTTATCATGATTAATCGCCTTCAGCTGGAGGATCATTACCCTCCTCTGCAGCGGTAAGACCGTCACATTGTAGTACAAGGAGCGAAGATCCTGTTTGGGGAAAAACGGCCAGACCAGCCTCGCCACATCCTCATGCTTGTATTCTCCCTCTGGTAAACCGGTCAACATGACGGTGGGACACATCGAACCTCTGCGACTGGCCCTCTAGACGGACAGAATCAGAGCCCTGAAGTTTACGACTGCATGGTGGGACTAAAACCCGAAATACTTCTCATCCCTCTGAGCTTGGAATTTGAAGAAGTCAAACTTACCTCGATGTCATTCAAGCGCTTCACAGTCAGGTACTCTGGGAAGAAAAAGCAAACGTTAGTCCCCTCACTGGATATCTTCGCTCAACGCTGAAAAAAAGACTCACAAACCTGGGATGATGAACCACGGAGAAATGGAGGGAAACACGAAGGGATTGTTCCTCAAGCTGATCCAAAACGGCGACGCGCTGCCCTGAGGAACGCCGGTCTTTACAGACGGGAGGGTCGCCCCTTCGATCAGATCTTTGCAGTCCAGCTGAGAGTCCTCTGGAAGTTTGGGCGCTACGAAAACAAAGAACAGAAATCGAGAGCGGTTTGAGTATTAAGCTCGTAAATGTTGTGTGTTTGTTTTCCAGAGGTTCAACTTTAGTTTGAGACTGGTGAGGCTCTGGTTAAAATCGGTATGTAAGTACAAAAGAGGTGGACTTTTTCTAAGGATATAAACCGGCAAAATATTGTGTCATCGGCGTAAGGATGAACCACAGAAATATCAACGTTTTGGGGCAATAGAATTCGTGATTGTCTTTTCTGGGAGCCCCTGAGCTCCGTCATCTCTTATAGGACTGGGCGACAATAACCAACGTCTCTCTAGGTCGTCCTCAGACGAGCCTTCCATCGTCGCTTCCAGTCGTCCCGATTCTCCACACACCTCTGTTGGTACTCTGAGCTCCAGCATCCTTCTTGAGTGTGTCCACATATGTTAGTGTAGGACGTCCTCTTGACCGATGCCCATGCGTTGGTTCCCACAGCACCAATTTGCTGGCTGGCGGTTCCCGATGCCTTTGGCAGTGTCCCTCGTACAGTGTTCTTTTGGTCACATGTGCGTTCTTGCTGACATTAAGCACATCCTGGTGTAGCACCCATTTAGGAATTTCTCCAGGGTTGGCTTCAGGGTCTAGCATTCACCGCCATAGAGGAGAACGGACTCTACTGTCGCGTAGAAGAAGCTGAGTTTGATTTGGCGTGGGAGGTTGGAGTTCCATTCACCGGTCATGCCGTTCAGGATTCTCCATTCAAGTGCCTTCCTCACTTTTAGATCTTGTTCAGTTGAGTTGATCCATGAGCCCAAGTATTTGAAGTCCTCGACTTCTTTCAGCACAGCGCCTCCTGCTGTAGTCAGAGGTTGATGTTCTGGTGGAACGTTGTAGTTTTCTTGGCATTTAGCCTAAGACCAACCTTGGCGCACTCTAGCTCTACCCTGTTCAGTAGTTCTTGTGCTTGTTCCACGTTGTCGGAGAGCAGACTTCTGTCATCCGCATAGTCAAGGTCTGTGAGGACCACTGCAGGGTGTCGCCTGGACCTCTTTGGTGTTAGCGTCCAGTCCGTAACAAAGAGGGAAAGACAGGTGAGGAGATGGAGGACGGTTCAAAAGTTGGAGCGGCTGAAGTAGACGAAGTTAATGTGGGAGGGGGTGTGCAAATTGTGGAGTAGTTATCGTCCGTTTATCGTTATCGAGGTGAAGTGATCAATATATTGTGACATTGATTTGAGGCTGTATTGCCCAGCCCTACTGCGATTTAACTGAGCTCACCGGGAGAAGAGCTGTGTCCGCTGTGTGGTATCTTCAGCCTCTGGATTCTGTGGTTGGGGGGATTTTTCAGAAGACTGTACCAAACTCCGAGCCAATCAGCATCGCAGGGCGTCTGGAACTCTATGAAGACCTGTAAAAACATGCGTACAAAGACCTGAGCAGCAGGTACAAACAGGGGTTTTTCTTTCAGGTGATTTTAACATGAATTTCTACCTTGTTGAGAAGGGGCCAGAAGTTCCTAACAGAGTTGAGCTTCTTCAAAACGTCCCTGAGTTCCTGGATCTCAGCGGGTGAGATGTTCCTGATGAAGATGATGCTGTCTCTGTCCTCTGTGACAGGCTGAATGAAGGGACAGGAAGTGAGCGTCCAAATTTAGCCGTTAAGCAGATGAAGCAAAGAGTCAAGTGTGTTTGTTTTACTTACATAGTTTCCCAGATCCATCATGAACTTATAAAACCAGAACTAAAGCGGGAACAACAAGAATGTCGGCGTTAATAAATAAAGAGACTTTCACTTCGGAAATTTATTTATCATCATCGTTTGTTTTTGATGACTTGTGCTCACCGGTCTCAGCGAAATCTCGTCGTTTACGGCGTGGAAAGTAAGCTCACAGCCGTTCAGTTTGATGGGCTCTCGTTTGGAAGCTCTCAGCACGTCAAACACGTGCCTCGACGTCGGCATCTGGACGAAGGCCTGAGCGGACAGAAGCATCGTCATTGTGAGATCAGTCTGGGGAAAAACTACCATCAAGTTTCGGAAAAAAGGTGTTTGAACTCGTCGTACCAAGCAACCCTGAGGGAAAATATAGATGTTGTGGTCTTTGTGTTGATACCCGAACGGCGTGAGCAGTTCGGTGATGTCGTCCTCGGCGCAGCAGCAATCCTCGAACAGCCAAGTGATGAGCATCTGATGAGGGACAACAGAGTCGTAAACAGCATCTAGTCTTTAAAGTCTGGGTGGTACGAGGGTACGATGGAGCTCTGCTTTGAAGTTTAACTCCAAACTCTACTTTTTTCCTATGTTTGCTGCAGCACCAAAATGTACGATCGCATAAAAAAACAGATTTAAAACAGAAACCTACTTTTGGTGTGTTTGCAGTTTCACTTTTGACGGTGTCTGTGGAGTACAAGTAAGACAAGACCTTTTATTGCGAGGAAGAGAAGAAAAAAACAGACGATAAAGAGTTTATTACTCAAGAGTTCTCACCGATTTGTTTCTTCGTCAGGACGTTTTCAATTGTCTCCCCGAAGTACCGATCTTTGTCCTGGACTGGTTCTTTGTCTGCAGCTGCAGGACCTGAAGAGAGTCAGATTTAAGCGAGATGAACATCACCTCCTTCTCGTCAATCTCAGCGGCACAAGTGGTCAAAGTAACGACGACAAGACTAACCCGACTTTTTCAGCATGTTGACCTCATGGCCTGGGGCGTGGCTTCGGCGGCTGTACCAATCTTTAAAGCGGAGAGCATCTCCGTAAGTGTTGAACTCTATATAAAGCTGGAGCACACACAAAGAGGCGACAGGTTAGACTGGAATCAGGTTCTCCTGGAGGCGGATCTCTTCAACAGGTCGGTTTGTACCTTGTTGAGGAGCGGCATGAAGTTATTGAACGGAGCGTAATCTTGGAGAGCCTCACGGAGCTCCTTCATCTCAGTCTGGGAGATGTTCCTGATCAGGACGGTTCTCTCTGCTTCCCGGTTCACAGACTGGACCCAGAACAGAACATTAACAAGTCATATATATATTTCTGAAGACCATCTAAACTCGTGTAAATGTGTGGGTGTGTCCGTTACTTACACACTTCAACAGCCTTTTCACAAAGGTGTAGAATTGCAGCTAAACAGAAACAACAGAGCAGCCGTGTTAAAGATGATTGTTCCACCGATTCAGAACTTTGAATCTGTTTTCCCAGGTACTCACCGCTTTCATCGGATAATGAAGGCTGACCACTCTAACGGAGAGTTTCTTCTCTTTGAGGAAGATGCCGTTCCGTTCCGACTCTCGCAGCACTTTCAACACGCTTTTCATGGAGGGCATCACGGCGTAGGCCTGAGAAGAAACCACACCTGTTAAGAGTCGGGGTGAGAATCGATAGCCGGTTCCGGTTCCGGTTCCAGTTCCCGGTGATTCCATTCCTAGGAATTATTTGTCTGCCCCCTAAATGGTTCTGCTTATCGGTTCCTCTTACGTCTCTACGCGAGAAGTGTTTTTTCGGAACTTTCCAGTGTGGCGTCGTGGCAAAGGCACTCCAGAGTTTGTATTTCACGTGAAAAGACGATACCGGGGCTACTTGCAACACTTGCAAAACTTTAATTTCGTCAAGGGGGGAGAAATACCTCCGATATGTGGAAACATTTGTCCACCCACCATGCGATTGATCCGCGGAAGTGTAACGTTTTTGATACGCTACTTAGCAAAGGCGAGACTGGTACAGACAAAAGCAGGAGCGGAGCTAACGTCTGGGCATCATCAAGGTAACGTTTTAACTCCTTCAGGGCCTGTCTGTTGTGTAGATGTTAGCGCCACGTTAACTTAACCCCTCTTCACTATACAAATACTCTCCATCTCCTTAAATTACACTTAGATGACGATGACTGCCAGAGTCATGCTTGCCGGTAGGTCTCGCGCTCCTTTGGCGCAGCCCCTTTAATCGAGCCAGGGACAAGTAAAATGACATTATTAATGCATGGATATGTCTAAAAGAGTTAACCCAAACAAACCCATTTGTCTTATCTTATTCCTCAGTCAATGAGAATCGATAAGAGAATCGTATCGATAAGCAGTATCAATAATGGAATCTGAACTGCTAAATTCTTGACAATTCCCATCCCTACTGAGCTGTAATGAAATCTTTGATGATAAAACTCCTCGAACACGAGGATTCGACGCCTACCATGCGTGACTGAGGAACGACAAAGAGTTTATCTTCTTTATCTTGAAACCCAAACGGGACCAGCAGATCGGCGACGTCGTCCTCTGTGTAGAGACCGTCGTGAAACTTCGGCAGTCCGGTTAGCAGCAGCTGTCTGTCATTACCCTAAAAGGAAGAGACACGATCAGATCAAGAAGTCTGTAGACAGCCCGTCTGGTGATGTGAGATAAAGAAACCTACCAGCGGAGAGAGGGTGGATAAAGCGTGACAATCTGTGGAGGAGACAAAAGAGAATCCTGCTGTGAACTTGGAAAACTCGGTGAAATCGCGTTCAAATAAAGAGAATCGATCTTTCTTTAAAGTTCGTACAGATTTTGTGTGCGAACAAGCGCTTCTCCAACATCTCCCCGGGGGTCGGTGGACGGACAGCAGACGACGACGATGAGTCTTTCTTCTGCTTACTCGCCGCTGCTGCTGGTTTGGAAGAAGATGAGGGCGCCTCCACCGACACGGCTGAGCCACCGCTCGCAGTTTTAGAGGCGTCTTTGGTCGTCGTCGTAGCGGTCCCTGTAATCAAAGGAAATCCAGAAGATCTAGTGAAGTTAAGGCGAAGATCAGGATTTGGAGATCTACAAACTACCCCGGTTAAGTCTCAGACGAACCTTTCGGAGCTGGTTTGGCTTCTGCTCCTGGGTCTTGCTTTTCCTTGGGTTTGTCTGAAGAACTTTCTGGAACAGCGCCCGAACTTGCAGTTTCGTCCGATTTGGGTGCTTCAGCTTTTCCTTCTACTCCTTGTTCCTCGTGCTCCATGGGCTCACCTGCACCCTCAGATTTATCGGGTTCTCCTGACTCTGTAGATGTTGACGGTACACTTGGATCCTCTCCTGCTGTTTCCTCAATCTTCTCATTACTTTCAGCTTTCGACCCGACAAGCTTTCTTCCTTCAGCTTTAGGTTTCTGTGGGAACACGATCTCTCCTGACTTATACACCAAGACCTTTTTTCCTTTAGGCACAGGTGGGACACTTTGAGCCTTTTGGGGGGCCTTCTTCACCGTCACAGGTCCTTCAGGAGATGAGAGGAAATTTGGATGAACACAACTTCTTCAACTCAAACCTTTAAAGCTCATGGGTTTGTTCATTCTCTTTTCAGTCTTACCTGCTGGTGCCAACATGATGACCTGTCTCTTCCTCCAGACGTTGGAAAGAGGAGGCGGACACGCTTGATTGTACCACTTTTCAAACCGTCCGGCATCTTCAACAGATTTAAATTCAACGAAAACCTGTAAAAAAAACAAAACAAATGAAGGTGAGGAATCAGAGTGTCAGGAGGCTGTTCGATCTTTAACAGTTGCGTGTTCGTACCTTGTTGAGGAGGGGCAAGAAGTTTGTGATCGGGGCAAACTCTGTCAGGGCTTCGCGGAGCTTCCTGATGTCTGGTTGTGAAATGTTCCTGATCATGACGGTTCTCTTCCCCTCATCGTGGACGGACTAGAAGAACAGAAGGAGACAGACACCCACCCATGGGGTTAAGACAACGAAGCTGATGAGACACTTGAGCTTTGAGAGGACGGAGGTGAGCGTGGATTACTTACACACATCAGCAGCCTCTTCATAAACATGTAAAACTTGAGCTAAATCAACAAAAAAGAGAGAACATCGGCGTTACAAGACAAACATGGCTAACAGGGATGTAGAGCGTTATTTATGAAGAATGTCCGCTTGTTTGTCAAACTCGTCAAAAGCAGGTTGAACTCTTGGGTCACTTGCTCACCGGCAACATTTGAACCTGGCTGTGCATCACTTCGATCAGGAGTCTGATCCCTCTGAAGTAAATGCCGTTCGTTACAGACACGGTCATCAAGTGCATCACAGTGTCCCTGGACGGCATCGTGGCGAAGGCCTGAAAGGAAACGAGACACGGGAGCGACCTTTTAAAAACTAAATATTGGACAAAAACGAGGAAAGACTCGTGATGCGGCACCTACCATTCCAGTCTGAGGAATGACGAAGATTTTGTTGTCTTGACTCCGGAACCCGAACGGAACGAGAAGGTTGACGATGTCCTCCTCCGTGTAGAAGCCGTCGTGATAGAGCGGCAGTCCGCTGATGAAAACACTTCTGTGATACTGAGGATAACGCTGAAATAAACGGAGACAGAAAAGCATTTTAGAGGAGAAAGTGAGACCTAGACCCAAAACTCAAGACCCTTCCTACCACATCCTGATATCAGGGTATCATATTATGGCTCCTCAGACCGCTGTGTATTGCTATCGTGCGGTCGTTACTAAAGTCGATATAAATGGAAAAGCAAGCAGTCGGCAACATTCATTTCTGGTGTGTTTGACCCTAAATTAATTTTACACCGGAATATCCCTTTAACCTAAGTTTGTTGGCGTGGTTTTGGACAGCTGATTTGAGCTTATGTGGTGATTTCCACAGTATGGTTTCTTGCCTTTTTCTGGTCCTGAGTTTCTACGACACTTTTCTGAGTCGAGTGATTTCAGACACCTACCTGTGGTAAGACTTCGGGGGGTGACCAGCAAACTGTGAAGGCAGCAGAAAACGACAAAGCTGTAAATCACTGAGAGGGAGAGAAAGTCTTTTTTCTTAACCTTTTTGAGTTTCTTACAGATATTCTGAGGATCCAAAGTCGTCTTCAGCATCTCCCCGATGGTCGGGCAAACGACGGCAGCGGACGGCTGTTCGGATGTCGTCGGTTTCTGCCCGCTCGCTGCTGCAGCTGCTGGCTTAGCGGAGGACGAGGGGGTCTCAGGTGACACAGCTGAGGCCTGGCTGCCGGCTTTAGCTTTGGAGACCTCTTTGGTTGACGGTGATGGGATCTGTGTCGTCACAGCAGCCGAGGGACCTTAAAGAGATCCAATAAATCAGATAAATGGAGCTATCTTAAAAAAGTAATATCGTTAAACGCAAAGGACAGGAGACAGGACAGAAACTTGTATCCAATCAGGTCTAAGAAATACCTTTTCCTGTTGTGATCGTCTTAGCCCCTCCCCCTGGAACCGCCTCCTCCACAGCAGCTTCATTTGTGCCTCCTCCTTCCTGCTGTTGCCCTTCAGCCGTTTCCGTCTTGGTCTCTGGTCCGTGTGCCGTTGATGCCGGTCCATCTTTGTCGGAGGTTTCTGTCACCTGGGTCTCATCTGAACCTGTCGGAGGTGGACTCTGGCCGGGTTTGTCCTCTGCACTCTTGTCTCTCTCTTTGTCCTCAGGCTTTTCTGCTGTAATTCCTTGTACTTTGAGCTCCATCGGTTCACTTGCGTCCTCAGCTTTGATAAGGTTTTTGTTTTCTCCCTGTCCTACGGCTTCAGATTTTCCTACATCAGGCTGATTATTCGGAGCAGATGTTGTTCTAGTCGGCTCACTTGCCTCTTTTGCAGTCGTTCCGCCAATATTTTCTCCAGCTACACTTTCTCCTGCAGAGGCTGAAACTGTTTCTGTTTTTATCTTTACGCCTTTTACTTGCTCTGTAGTTTTATCTTTGTCTCTCAGCTGGACCACAGATTCCTCAGTAGCGATTTTAGACTTCTCAGGTGTAAGTGTTTGTTTGGAGTCACCGGAAACAGGCAGACTTTCAGAAGACTTGGACTCTGTGGGGGTGACCTGCTCTTTCACAAGTCCCTCCACAGCCAGCGCTTCTGTTTTCACCGTCTTCTTCACTTCTGGAGTAAAGGCTTTTTCTTCAGTGGTAGTTATTCTTTTGGGTGTGGTGGATTCAGAGGTGGACTGTCTGTAAAAGAAAACAAAACAAAAAAAGATCGTTTCCTAAAGACATGAAACCGAACAGAAGGATAAAAACCTCTAGCCTGGCTGGGCCATCCTGTTGCATGAATCACTTGCCGTTCCTTCCCACAACAGTCTGGACTTCGGCCCATTGGGGGCGTGTATTCCCGATCAGAAAATAACCGGGCCAATCAGTGACTGTGTTTCCACTGTTACCCGGACAACAGGGAAAGACAGCCCCTGATTGGTCCATGTGTAGATGGTGACGTCAAACACATGCTGCGGGACTTTCCAAAGCACCGTTCATTCAGAACGTTGTTAATTCTGCAGTTGACTTTACAAAGTCGGCAGAAATAGTTGGATATAAACGATTCCTGCGATTCACACAACAGGATGGCCCAGCCAGGCTAAAAAACCTCCACAATCTATCAGCCTCATTCGAGATCTAACCCAGGATTTCCACCGCATCCGGAATGGCGGCGATTATTGCCATCCGCCAATTCCTACCAGATCCGTTTGTGAGGCGAATTTCGTGGCAGATCACGGACAGTTGGAATTGCAAGAACACGCAGATTCACAAGTTGTCTTTAGCCACAGAGGCTAACCATATAAGCAGTAGATTGTGTCCTTCCAGAGGAGGAAATCTACTTCTAGACTTCTAGAATCAGCATCTCCTCATCCATGGTGTCATCGGGGTGAAATGACGTCTAAAAACCTTTCACATGTTCGTCTCCGCCCGTTTGCATGGTGTGAAAAATGATCTGCCTGAATTTATTTGACATGCTCCAGGAAAAAATAGAACTCTTGCTATCAGGTGCGGAACTCGACTATCTGCAGAGGAACGGAAAGAAGTCTGTGGAGATTGACACGTTAACTTGAATGGTTCCGATCAGCTACGATCGGCGGATACAACCTTTTCGTGGCCGTTCCGGATGCGGTGGAAATTGGGGGTAATTGACTCATATCTCACCTCACAGGGGGGGTCTTTCGCTCCTTGCACACCGACTCCTGTGGACGGACGAATAAAGATTTAGATAAAATTGACTGGATTCTTGTGAGTGAATTTTAAAGGAAGGATCTCGTTACCTTTTCGCCAACGACAGCGACTGGAACCCCGTTCACGTTGAGGCTCTTCACACTCCTCAGTTTCTGAGCGCCCTCCGCTTTCTCAAAAATCACGATCGCCTTTGACGAGAGAGAGAGAGAGACGTCTGGGATTTTTCACTCATGACTGAAATACATAGATGGATTTGACATTCTCACTTAACGTACCTCCAATCTTGCCCTAAACAGAACCACAGACTTGGTTTTTCCGAAGTTCTCCACTGCAGAGAGGATATCACTGTGGGACAGAGAACTACAAATCCCGTGGAGTTTGACCACGGTTGGAGGTGAAGCTTTCCCCGACTGAGAAAAAAAGAGAGAGAGAAGAACAGATCAGACCCAGACCACGTTCAGTCCTGCGGCTCTAAAACCTGTTCCTTGGTTTTCACCTACCTCAGCCGTGTCGGCCTGCACCTCTGGAGATCCTGGAGCTTTACTCTCAGACTGACTGAGCTTCAAACTTTCCGCTCGTGATTCCTTTCCTACATTTGCAGATTTCTGAGGTGTTTCTTTAAAGGTTTCACTTGGTTCAGGTCCTGATCCAGGAGGCTTAGGCTCCTCTTTGGGTTTCTGTGTGGTCGGGGTAGTTTCTGCTTCAGTCGATGGTTCTTTTCCTGCTTCTGTAGCGGTGTCACTTGTGTCCTTCTCAGCGTCTGCGGTTCCACTTTGTCCGACCCCGGATTTGTCAGGTTTATCTTCAGAGTCACCAGCTCCGGCCTGATTCTCGGAGGCTGCAGATATAGAAGGTGTCACAGCTTCTTCTGCAGCTTCAGGTTCCTGCACAGTTTGGACGGTTTCAGTTTCAGAAGACGAAATCTTTTCTTCCATGGGCGTCCCTTTTAGTATCTCGGTAACTTTGACGGTGTCAGCAGCAGAAGTGGAGTCACTTTCTTCAGGCGGGGTTTTTTGTTCAGTGCCCTGATCTCCCTGCTGAGACATGTCCTCGAGTCCTGAGGTTGTGTTTTGTGTGACCGGGTCGGTCTTCGCCGCTCCTTTGAGAGGCATCTCCCTCAAAGTTCTGATTTTTCTAACCTTCTTGGTGGAGACATTTTTGGCCTTTGATACGAGGACTTTAGCCGCAGTTTTCCCACTGAGAATCTTGCTCGTTGTCTTTCTGATAACTCCAGAGGGCTGAGGCGTTGGTGGAGGACATTTTGGCGTTGGAAGAAGCGGCTTTTTAGTGGAAGTAGTAGTCCTTGTGAGTCTGGCGGTCTGGGGTGCGGAGGCGCTGGATTTGGAAGATTTTCTGCGAACAAAGAATGAATGTTTAAAAACGGGTCGTCACTGAGGAACTATACAGGACTTTGAAATCAAACACACCCACAGTGATATCTTACCTTTGAGTGGACTTGGTGGCGGCGATCTGTAAACAGAGAGGTTTTTCTTTTAAATGACATTAAACTGACTTTGAACAAAGTAACCAAACTTCAGCAGATGGATGTTGAAAAGGAAGGAAAATCCGCTCTAAGTACCTTTCCTCTCGCCACGACGACTTGTATTCCTTTGATCGTGAAGGACCCTGCGTACCTCAGGTTCTCTGCAGCTTCGAGTCTTTCATACTGCACTATCGCCTACATGTTCACACACAAAAACACACATCTGTCCATCGCTTGAATCGAAGAGAAACATGACGGGACAAAAGTAACAGTTAACATAACGGCTCTGCTTCAATGTTTCTTCACTCACCCGTTTTGTGGAGCGATTAATTTTAATCGACTTTGTTTTTCCAAACTGTCCCAAAAGAGAAGATAAATCGTTGTCAGGAAGACGTGCGTCGATGTTTTTGAGCTCCACCTGGGTTTGAAGAAGAAAAGGCGTCAGTGTTTGAAGCTCAGACGGATAAACACGCAGACGTCCACCAAGAAAAACTCACCGTCCTCGAGGAGCTTTTCACTTTGGAGGAAACTGTTTTTGAGAGTTTTGTCTTTGCTGCAGAGGAGGATGGAGTCGAGGAGGAGGAGGTCATCTTGGCGAGCTCAGCCAATAAGGCAGGAGCCAAAGTTTTAACCACGGCGGCCAGGTCAGACTGGTTTGAAAGCGACTGAACAGCTGGTGGGAAAAAAATGAAATGAATGTTTGATCAAATCTTTGAACGTGAGGTTGGATGTGAAATTCCTCTTACCTGATGTTTCCAGCAGCTTCTTTGCCAGACTCTCCGCGCTGTTCAACCCCATCTTCGGAGGGGAGGAGCCTTCTCTCGATGACCGTCTCTCCTGGCTCCTTGCCTGTGGCGATCTGCTGTGGTCACTCCTCCTTGACGGCGACCATCTCGCGCTGACCCTCCTTGGCGGAGAATGTCTATCATCAGCTCTTCTTTGCGGCGACCTCCGCTCATCGAATCCCCGAGGTGGCGACCATCTCTGGCTGCCTCGTCTCTGCGGTGACCGAGACCCGTCATCCCTCGACCACGTCTCGTTGCTCTTCCTCCTCGGTGGCGAGCGTCTGTTGACGACGACCCTCCTTGTTGGGGACCTTGAGTCGTTACTCCTTCTGAAGGGCGAGCGTATGTCAGCAGCTCTCCATGGCGAAAGCCGCCTCTCGGAGCTACGGGAACGTGAGGAGTAGCAGGGGCTGGCTGGGCTGTCATACCTAGAAGAGCGGTACGGAGACCTTCAGTGAGATCTAATAAACTGTGCTGCAGCGCCACAGGCTGGTGACGGGATGTCCGATTTATACATGCTAGCATTCCACGCACCTGCGACTGTATTTGGAGCTCTGTGGAGATGGTGACCGGCTTCTCCGTTTGCCCTCTAAGCCACGCCGGCGTTTTGGGCTGAGTGATTTTGATTGGGAGTGGCTTCTGGTACGTTTAGTTTTCTTCGCAGAGGTCGAGGTTGAGGGCTTGGCTTCTTTACCGACAGGTCTAAAGTAAGCAAAACAACCAGGAGGTGAAGCTACCAAGCTATACATGCTCAACTTTCTTTATTTCAGATATAATAAAGGATCTGGAGTCAGTTGCATAAAATCCGTGTTTATCTTTAAGCAGTGCTTTCTATCTGGTTTCAAAACTGAACTGGGCTGAGAGTGAAATGTCTAAATGGAGGTTATGAGAGCAGCATGCAAACGAGAGAAACCGAATGTGCAGACTAATAAGATGTGCAGCTGCACGCTCGTCAAAACAGGTAGGAGGACAGAGAGCAAACAACCCTGAGAGACATGTAAAAGGAGGACACTGAAGGCAAGGCCAACGTTCAGTTCATCAACATTTTCCATCTCAGCAGTGCTTTCTATCTGGTTTCAAAACTGAACTGGGCTGGACATAAAGCACTGGTTTAGCTGGGAGGGAGTAAAGGGATGATCTTCGCAGCGAGTTTACAGAGTTTCTACGTCTTCGTGGCTCCAGAAACGTACCTTGGTCCAAAGACAATCTCACCGTCCCACTTTGGGTAGCTGTGGGGAAATAAAAAGAGTACATGTCAAACAGAAAAACAGACTCGAGAGGATCCCGAACAACTTCATGGGTTCTCAGAATCAAATGAAGAAGATCTATCATAGATAAAAACAGCAGAACAGAGACTGACTGTTTTTTGAGGCGTGTGCAGCTCTCCAGGTGATGGCTGCTGTTCTGGTGGGTGATCCAATCCTGGTTAGTCAGAAAAGTCAAAAACACAGAATTAAGATTTGCCTCTTTAACCACCAACATTTCCATTACCTTCACATGTTTGACTTTGACATCATGTTATTTATTCAACAAAACAGCCGCAAAAGCCTGAGAGGGTCCGCTGAATCGTTCAACTTTGCACTCATGGCTCCTGCTGGCTGTAGAGTCCAGTTCTGTCCGTCAGCCCTTCAAAAGCAGCTCGTCTTGGTGGTCCATAAAAGCAGAAATATTCTTAATCCAGCGCTTCTGTATCTTCAGTCGACAACAGTCATGGAAAAAGAAAAATGTAATCCCACAGGTGAGAAAGAAGTTCAGTACAGCCAGTCTAATGTCAGTGTAATCCATGAAGTTGTGGCAAAAAAAAGTCAATCTGGAGAAAATCATCAAGGATATCAAAACCCTTGAATTGTCCAACCTTAAACTTTGGGTTGTTTGACAAATTCAACAACTTCTTATCGGGTTTCAGGAAGTGAAACATCGTGTTCCTCTGCAACACTTGGTATCAGAGTGTCCAAAAGTTCACTGGGGGGGTCATCTTAGTCGATTCAGTCCAAAAAAAATCTGCACTGGCCAAAATACGGTGGTAAAATGTGGAAACTGGGAGTGGGTGTCTTCATCCTGTGGACCAAAGGATGTAATGTCCAAAAAGGGGGGAAGGTAGCCCACTACAAAACCACCTAAAGTTGTAAAACAATAAAGCAAATGCCTGGCTGCTTTCAAACAGAAGTCACACCTACTGCTAAAAGTAGCACAAAAAAGGAACAAAGAATACAGCTCTAAGTTAGTACAAAAGAGAAATATCATGCTCACAAAAAGAGTTAAAATCATAAAAACTAGATCCAATTTAATCACACAAACAGGATTCCTACACAGTTGGAATTTCCATACCCTACTTTTTAGAATCATCTTGAAAATACCTACTTTTGTATTTTAGACAACAGCATTTTTTTTACTGTGGTAATAGTCCGGAAACTTAAATATTTTTCCAAACTTTATTTCTTATTTACCATACTTTTTAAGACCTGGAAATTTATCAAATTACTTCCATACTTTTTCATACTTTCCATTCTTGCATAGGAACCCTGCATAAATGAGACAGTCAGCTATACACAATAAGTCTGCTCAGGCTGACATCTTTAAAACAAAACCAAAAAAAAACCAAGTATAAAATACTTCCATCTTAATCAATAACGTACTAGAAATCTAACAAATATTTGCAAAACATCTTTAATTTTGTATTTATTTCCCCCCTCAGCAGTTATCAGTAACCATCACCTGATCACAGGAATGATTTTTAAAAGTCCATCAAAGTTCACTTAGAATTCCTGTCAATAATCACATGCTTTATGAGGAAATGAAAATCACAAACATCTGATACAACAAGTCACTTTAGATTTGTTCAGGAAAATAATCAAACCCACTATTTCCAGAAAAAAAGGGAGAGATAACAGGGGGCGGTCTTCTACTCACCTGCATGTTAGCACAGTCTTTGTAACAAAGAGTACAGGTATGAGGAAAGATTCTCGGTGGGGCAGCTGCATAGTCATACAACATCTCCGGCGTCGGCTGATCCTTGTCCACCTTATCTTTGGGCAGCTTTTTGGACGTAGGCGGCTTCTTCTTGCTCGGGGGAACTGATCCCCCGAAATCTGGAGGCAACCCTTTCCTGGTCTTTGATGGTAGTTTTTTCTTGGACTGCTTGGCCTGTCCTTTTGACTGTTGCTGCTGCGCCGGCTGCTTCTGCACCGGCTTTGTCGTCCGCATCTGTTGCTGCATCTGCTCCTTCTGCTTCCCCCGATGCTTCATGATATGTTCGATTACTACAGACATTTTGTTTCGAGTTTTACTCAGTTCGTCCTCTGTTCTACTGGGGTCACTGTCGCCGATGAGGACAAGGCCATGTCCGCTGGGATGCATGCCATGGGAGGAAGTCGAGGATGCTTGAGTTTCTGGTTTGGAGGCTTCAGACATGAGACCTCTGGTGGCTGTGTCTTTCTTTGGTAGCTGAAAAGAGCTCAGGATATTTTGGAAAGCCTGTTTAGTCATTTGTTTAGTCTGGTCACTGCTTGTGGAAGCCACAGAGCTCGGTGCCGGACTGTATGGAGAGCTGAGACTGGTGAAAGGACTTTTCTGCTCGTGCGAAGAACCCAAAGCACTGCTTTTCGAATCTGTGATTTTTTTCTGCAGTGGTTCTAAGTTCTGTCTGTTAGCAGCAGTTCCAGTCATGAACACAGTTTTACTCCCACCACTGTTGTCTCTGTCTGATTTCCTTCCAATCTCATCCCCGATCCCTGCGGTATATTTCCCGGTGTGTCCGTAGTCAATAACTTTGCTCGGCTGTAGAACAGAGGTTGAAGTTTCTTGGATGTGCACATCTGTCCCTCTGCTCAACCCGTAACTGTCCATTCCACTGACAGCGCCGGTGGGTCTGTGTTCACCATAAAGGTTTGACTGGACACCAGTCACGGCCTTCTTGTCTTTCTGCAGGCGTATTTCACGCAGGATGAAGGGCAGGTTTGCAGGAGTAATCTGGTTTTCAGGATAAGAGATGAGATGTTCCAAATCCTCTTTTTCAAGTCCAAAGCGTTGGAGGATGCTCACAGCTGATTCTGAGGTGTACTTGGGTTGACCGGGCTCTGTGAAGGGATGGGATCTGCCTGATCCTGGAGAGTCATAGTCACCTAACCCTGGAATAGCCCGCAGATCATGCTGTACCTTACTGGAGGTATCAACCCTTCCGCCATTACCACCAGCAAGGTTTGACAAAGTAGAAGATGAGCAACTAGGTGAGGGTCCTGGACAGCTTGTCAACCAATTCAAGTTGTTACCGCCACTTTCAATGGCAGCCTTATTGGTGTACCTAGAGGAAGAGGCTGAGGTCACAGGGTAGGCAGCTATTCCGGCGCCAGAGGATCGAAACTCATTCCTTTGAGCACTGGTAAAGGGGGCACTGTCCATTGGTTTTCTGCCTTTGCTGATGTGCATGTCCATAGAACTCTTTGCATCCATGTCTCTAGTCATGTCTCTTCCCCCGGAGTTCCCAGGTACTGCAAGGGGAGCTCCAGAGGAACTAAAGACTGAACCATGTCCAAGAAAAGAAGATGGCCTCTGGGTATCTCTTTCAGTCTGTCCATACTGCCCCTGTGTGGAATTACGCTTCCCAGAGGCATAGGGGTTATACAGGGGATGGGACATTGTGCTTGTGATCTTCAGATGCTGATGTCCATTTCAGTCCAAGAAGGGGCATAAAACTGCCAGGTGCAGAGGGGTCAGGGGTTGCTGTTTAAGGTTGCAGCTTTACAACCAAAAACAAGGGGAGTTGACATTTAAGTGTCAGTTCAAGACGAGCTTCTGGCTGAGCTGACCACAAGGAAGCAGTCTGCTGGCGTATCAGGAGCAAGCTTCCTGAACTCCCTTGACCTCTAAGGGGTCAAGGAGTAGAGGAACGGGCAGAGCTCCGATAGAAATGCAAAGCTGGAAAATTTAAAAAAAACAGAAAAACAAAGGAGGGGATTACTGGATGGGACTGTACAGCAGGTGTTTGCTCGGGGTAATCCACCATCTAGTCGACCGGTGTCTTGACTTGTATTTCCTGTTGGACAAATACATTAATTCCATAGATTCAACTTACAAAACAGAAATGAAAAACGGTAAAGGCAGCAAATAAAGACAAAAAAAGAGTCAATGATCCGAACAGACAACAGTCAGAACTGACACTTTTTTTGTTCTGGCGGATAACTTCAACTTTTACACCAGAAAATGGAAAATTGCACATCAAGATTTTTTCCCTACATCAGTTTCCTTCCCAGTATGCCGAACTACATCACAAAAGAAGATCCTGTAAAAAAAAAAAAAAAAAAAAAAAAAAAGGGGGTGTCGAATGCTAGTAGGAAAAAACTAGATGCAAGACTGAACTTCCAGAATCATCTTTGGGTTTATTAGGTTTGAGGTAAGGTAGTATGACAACATGAGAATACACAGATTGAAGATTATATGATGTACAATGTGATGGCCTGATAATGATACACAGAAAATATGGATACAATAGTTTGGACTGTGATCCAATCATTGGGCTTAATGACAAAAAAGCATTTAAACTGAACAGGAACAGCGCTTCACGACGTCTCCTAGTGCCTTTCTGTCCTGTTAGAACACAAAGTTTTCAAAATGCATACTAACGCCACGGGACCCTTTTAAGTACCTGCTGCCAACCAGCCTCTTTTGAAATTTCAGCAACACAAGGACAAGGTGCCTCTGTGAGCATAAAAAAGCCAAAACTACTTTAACTGAAAAGGTGATTGACATAAGTATCGCCATTTTTTGATTTACAATCTTTAAAATTGATTTTTTTTTTGGTTCTAAAAGAATGAATCTTAAAAACTGACTTACATGTGATGTGTATTTTTTAGGGAAATATGGTTCCAGGAGTAGTCAGTAGACAATCATAATCATTCAACTTTTTCACTGGTGTTAAAAAAGTAGACTAAAAATTGAGAGAATAGACAATATCATGGAATCGCAATTTAAATCGAATCGGCATCCAAGAAATCGTAGAAGAATCAAATCAGGAGAAAAGCATACCAGCCCGTCTTCATCCATTAAAGTACCTTACAGAAGGATAAACAGATGCTCCAAACACCTGTCTCACGATAGTGGCTTCTGACTTTTGGGTGCTGTAGGTTGTTTTTCTGTATTTTTGTGTGACATGTGGCTGTGTGTGTTTCCCTGTTGTTTCCTCACCGGTCTGATCTGGCTCTTTCTGAATCGTTGGTAAGTGGGTCACATTACGCACACGTTTTCATCCTTACTGTCTAAACCATCTAAATGCACCGTTGAATGCACCCCTGACTGGAGCACCGTTGAAAGAACATAATAAGGCGAAATAATCCAAGTTTTTCTTACCGCTAGGTGGATTCAAGAGCGTGTGCCTTTAATGATTTCATTCAGAATACTCAGATAAGCCGAAAACAATAGCCCTCTGATTCTGAGTATTTGCTTTCCCGAAAATATAATGCTCTATACCTTGACAGCTTACTGTACAGTTTATATACCCAAGTACATCTCTATATGTGCATTTTTGGGACACATAAAAACAGAACGAAAGTTTGCTGCTCCATTTGACATGTTGTCATGATCCAATGCTCGTGTTTTTTAAAATATCAGATCATATCTCCTCCACTTTAAGAAGCTGATGAGCGGATGGGATGCATTGTGGACACGCTCCGACAGTGCTTTGGGTAGCCGCAATGCATTGTGGGTGGCCACGCATTGTGTTGTAAAATTTGTTCATTTTCTTTTTTAATGTTCCCGTTTTTGTTAGGCTGGCATTAATGTACTTAATTCGAGAGTTTTTGGGGATTTGGGACTACATTTGTGGCGGTTTATTTGTACATTTTGCTACCGAGGCTTTGACACCGTGGGTAAGACTACAAGCAGGTTAGGTTAGCAAGTACTCGGCTTCCCTCGCCTCTACTGAGTGACGCTGCATCTCGTCTTTAATTTATAATTTTGGAACGATTATTACAGTACCTTACGATATCATCATCGCGGCCGTCTAATATCGCATATCGCGATTAAATCGTATATCGGCACATCCCTACTTGGCACCCTCGCTGTCAACGTTGGGTGTTGAATAAGAGACTGTCAATAAATTAGCTGTTGATGTTTTTTTCTTAAAAAAGGCTGTTTTCCTTCAATAGCTTCCATGTCATGTGACCAATTGACCTAAAGTTGATTTCAAATAATAGTACTAAGATTAACAATAAGACACACCTCCTTAGCTCCCTAATTTGTCCTCTAAAGGATGTAATTTAAAGGCAAATTTTTAACCATTCCTTTCACAGCTTCATGTGACCAAAAGACCTCAAATTGATTTCAAATAACAATACTAATGTCGACCAATAAAATACACATTATTTGATCAATTTTCATTTTTTTCTCCTTACTTTTTTAACTTAAGAGTACATGTACAAATCTTGACTTCAAATATGGGGAGACAGATTAAATTCTAGCTGAGTCATACCACCACAAACACACATATTTCTTCCTAAATTCAGGACTTAGATAGAAACTAGCCTGAGAGTAAAATACTGTTTAACAGAACCGGGGATACCGAAGATAGATAAGGGTGTAGCTGAGTAATGTTAAGTCACAGGCCTGACTCCAGCTAACCCTAACATCGTAGAGATACACGTCAGAAACTTCGTTAACTGTCGTGTTTAAACTTTATTTAAAACGTCGTGTATTATTAACCTCTACCGAGCTGTCGGTTAGCAAAGACAGCGACAGATAACTCGGTGAAACTAGTGTCGCGTGCCCCTGCTAGCGAACGCTAACGGTCGTCCTCAGTTTCAACCGAGAACCACAAACACGGTTTCCCACCGATAAACACACACACCTCAGCTCTTAAAAGTAGCAAATATTTCGCTCCGTGTCTCTATTAGAGTGTCTACATTGCGTACCTTACGTTCTGAGTGCGTGTCTTTCGTCTACCTTGTGCAGAAACTCCTCTTCGGACTGTGGGACAAGAAGGAAACACAAGTTGTTTAGGAGAAGCGGTAGTGACGTTCCGCTCTGATATCCGGCCTTCAAAATAAAAGCACAGTCGTTATAATTCAGAGAACCAAGCAGGGGCGCGCCCAAACTTTGGCTGTGTCCGAAATGAATTACTCAACCCCTAACCCCTAACCCCCATATTGGGTTTCACTATATAGCTGACTGGCTGTGTCCAAAATTGATCTCTCATCCCTATATAGGTGACTACATGGGGGTTAGCACCATTTTGAGGGGTGTCCAAAACCTGAGTGAAGGGAGATGTCATCTTGGAGAGGCTTTCGACTTTGCACAAGACAATGGATCAATATAGAGACCAGGATGGACAACCAAAGTAGCCGAAGTCTATTGGAATGTGGCTACTCGCCCTAACCCACGCCCTAACTGACTCTACCAGTCGGCTCCCTCGGTATCAGTTTTGGCCAAGGTCAATGCTGGCACAACTCCTCCAGGATATCTCAGAAATTTGACGCGCTGAACTTTCCTCCCCAACCTCCTCCTTCACAGACACCTGCGGATTGTTGACTTCATCTGGAACTCAATCAAGGTCATCACCACAGCAACCGCTGTGCTTTCGCGCTGACACCCTGCGGCACCAAGATTGTGGCGATGGACGGAATCCTCCTGGGCCTACGCACACACGCATCCATGAACCTTCACACACATTCACATACGCACACACTCACTCCTCCCCCACCCAACGCTTCACTCCTCAGTGCGGTGGGTGGTACCCTGACTGGCGGGTACCACACACTGACTGGCAGTAAGTTGTATACTTACTGGGTTTTTTGGTTGATGCTTGTAGAAACACAACAAAGAAAACGATACAACAGAGACCACCTTATCAATTTACTGGACAATTATTTACAGAAATGTCAGACGACAACTGAAACATCAAAAATTTAAATTGATCTTTACAATAAAAGAAAGTAAAGAGATGGTACAGGAACTTTTCAGCCTCATGTATTGAAATGTTGAATCAATGTGTAACTTTTTTTAATCAAAATTTTGAGTTTGAGCCACAAAAGTAACAAGTCATTACAGAGCAAAGGTTGTTCATCCCCCCTGTGTACAGAGGATCAGTCAGAAACGGAGCCCTGGGAGCTCTCGAGTGAACTTCTTGCTGATGTATGTTGAAGTTTCTTGTAATATTTCTAAAAAAAATAAATAAAGTTACATTGTTAGTCTCAGGTTAAACTTCAGCACACTGATGTTTTCTCTGTTTGTGCTCACCTTCAGGTTGTCGTAGTGTTTCTGGCTGCTGCAGTGGGTCTCCTTGGCCGTGTTCTCGTTGTGGTAGAAAACAGAGCAGAGGTTACAGAAATAAGCCATTTTGGGGACCACAAACTCCTGACCTGAAGAGAGGAAGACAGACGTGAGAGTTTAAGAGGAGGGAGAAGCACCAGAACGTCTTCTCTCCGGAGGACTCACCGAGGGGGTTGTTGGGTTTGAATGATGGTAGTCTGTGGTCAGCGGGGACAGAAGGAGACTGAGAGCGAGATCGTTTCGCTCTAGGTCCGTCGAGTTCTCTCCTCTGTTCAATCAAAGCTAAACAAAAGAAACATAAACTCAATCCAGCTGTCTAATCCTGCTAACACCTTAGAGTCGGACGGCTCTCACCTTTAATCTCAGTCCTCCTCCTGTCTTCCTCTTCTACATTACTTTGTCTCTTTGCTCCTTCCTCTGCTGTCTTCTGGACCTCAACTTTCGACGGATCTTTGTCCAGCGAAGAGGAGGCTTCACGTGAAGAGGAAGGTGGTTCATGAGTTTTCCTTCTGGTCGATTTTCTCACTGTTTTCAAAGACAATTGAAAAGTAGAAACATGATGATGGACCAAAAGAAAAATGATCTAAAGATCTAAGAAGACCATGAATGTGTTGAAGTGTTACCACAAGTCCATCTGGTCCTCTTTGCTCTGCCTCTCCTTTTGGGTTCAACCACATCTTTTTCCTCCTCCTCTTCCACCTCCAACACTTCCCCTTCCATTTTCGGGGGGTTTGGTTGGTTGTCAGCACTGCCCAAAGTCTGCATGCTCTCCTCATGCAAAGTCTGGGTTCCTGCAGGCCCGGTTTGCTGGTTTTCAGAACTGTTGTCTCGGTCTCCACGTGTTTGATCGGCACCACTGATCTCCTCCTCTTTGTCATCAGATTTCGCAGACTGTACCCCTGAACTCTCATCGTCTCTTGTGTCCTTCATGAGCTCTTCTGGAGGAGTCTCTGCTGACGCCTCAACAGGTTTGACTTGGTCCACTTCTTCTGCGGCTGAAGATGAGCGTGTCCTACAGGAGGACTCCGGATCTGATGACCCGGCTGGAGACTTTGAGCTGCTCTGTTGTGCTTTCTGATGGGAGGAAATTTCAACCGAGGACAAGTCTGGCGTGTTTGGAGATCTGTTTGGAGATCTGCTCTCTATGGCGTCTCTGTGCTGGTGGACTTCAGCAGCGAGGGCCTGTAGAGTATCTGTGTCAATCTGAGGGAGTCCTTCAGGCTCTTCTTCAGGCGTGACCTCTGAGGACGGAGGATCAGGTACAGAAGAAGTAGGAACTTGGTTTTCACTCTCAACTTCAGAGGCCGCCTCCACTGTACAGACCAAAGATGTTGGCGGTTTCTCTTCAACATCCATCTTCACAACATTTTCATCACAACTGGAACCGACAACAGAGTCCATGACCATCCCAGTCACTGCGCTCTGAACATCCTCTTGAATGGCAAAAGCACTCGGTTCAAAAACGCACCATCCAGTTCGGTCGCCGGTTTCCAGAGTAGATGGTAACTCAGCGGGACGATCTGAAGTTTGACTCGCTGAAGGTGGAAGATTGATCTCAACACTGGCGTTGAAGCGCTGAAACTTCTCTGACGCCTCACCGGAGTCTTGTAGGCGCTTTCTCAGGCTCGTCATGCTGAAATCAACGACAGTGAGGTCGTCAATCGATGAGAAATGCAGAATTACTTCTGAGGTTAAGTAAAAACTAAACGTTGGTGTGTTTATATGTTCAAATCCTACGATAGACTCACCTCTCAAAACCCAGAACTTTGTTCCTACAAGATGAGAAAATGAGAGCGGATCAGTTTGGTTTCCATGACAATTCAAACACAGAGGAATTCATGGAGATAGGTTAGAACAACACAAACTATTTTAAGGGGATATTCCGTCATAAAATTAATTTAGGGTCAAACACACCGTAACACCGAGTTAGACACCCCGTCAAGAGATGAATGTTGTCGACCGCTTGCTTCTCTAGTTATACCAACTTTTATTAACGACCGCAGGATAGTAATACAGAGAGCCACGCCCTCAACCAAAACGCCACTCTATAGCCACAAATAATGCTCAGAACAGCACCTAACTTCATCAACAGGACATATAGGGTCACAGACATAGTACTAGACACCAAACATCTTTTTAACTTTGACTAAAGACTAAACACAACTCACCTACTGCAGCAGCCGCTTGTTTGTAGAGAGACCGCAGATGGGTCCACTACAGCGGGGTTTCACAGCTCAAGGAAGAACATTTATGATAATTTCTTCATGGAAATACAATCAGACCGAGACGCTAAGACAGAAGAACTACCGCGTCTGCAGTGAAAAATGATTAATATGATGATTATTACTTCAAGGAAATGATAAAAAAATGATCATAAATGTACTTCCTTGAGCTGCGAAACCCCACTGTAGTCCGTAATGGACTGGCCTGAAGTCTCGCTACAAACCAGCGTCTGCTGGAAGAGAGTAAGTGAGTTGTGTTTAGTCTCTTTGCTAAAGAAATTAGTCAAAGTTAAAAAGATGTTTAGTCTCTAGTACTATGTCTGTGACCCTATATGTACTGTTGATGAAGTTAGGTGCTGTTCTGAGCATTATTTGTGGCTATAGAGTGGTGTTTTGGTTGAGGTTTGTTTATGGCTCCTCAGACTGCTGTGTATTGCTATCCTGCAGTCGTTACTAAAGTTGGCATAACTAGAGAAGCAAGCGGTCGGCAACATTCATCTCTTAACGGGGTGTCTAAATCGGTGTTATGCGTGTTTGATCCTAAATTAATTTCCCGCCGGAATATCCCTTTAACCCTTTACTTTCACTTACGAAAACTTTTTCATCTTTCCAATGGTGTCTGGGTCGAGTAATGGTATCTTAAAGGTTTCCAAGACTTTGGTGACACCAGCTGGTTCGGCCATCTCGATGCAGATCTGAGGTAGAGAAACAAGTCCAAGTCAGACCTTCACAAACAGAACTGAGCTGAGTTTGAGTCTGCTGAGAGGAGTTCTAGAAAAGCAAGAATGAGTCTCTGTGATGGAACAGTTCTCCTGATGATCAAACTCAAGCAGGTTTTCGGGATTTACCCTGTTGGCCAGAGGCAGGAAGTTGACAATAGGCGCTACAGATGCCACCGTGTCTACAACCGTACTGATGATCTGCACAGACACCTCTGAGACCTCCACGCACAGCAGCCGCCCCTTCACCGGAGGGTCCGGATCAGGAACTCCCTGAGTGAACAGATGATTGACGATGAGGAGCAGAAATCCAAGAACAAGATCTTTGACACGGATTCAGGACTCACAGCACTGCTCAGATTCATCAGGCCTTTGTACAACAGCTCCTGCAGAAGCAGCACAAGAGAAGAAGAATTCATGGACGACCTTGTTTATAGAGCATATTTTGTTCGAAGGAAGGTCGACATGCTTCACACTGAGGATAAAAACTTCAACACAGAGAAACACACGGAGTTGTTCCCTCACCTCGCTGGATTCAGGATGCATAGGCTTCAACATACACTGGACTCTAATCAAATGGTCCCCCATAAAAAGCGGTTTGGAAACCTGTTCTTGGATGAAGTAGCTGCATGTATTCCAGTCAGGAAAAAACACAAAGGCCTGGAGGTGAAGAGAGAGAAGGACAGTCATTCAAATCCAGCTTCATTTTTGGAAACTACAGATGACAATATTTGACATTCCTCACCCTCCTCTGCAGAGGTAAGACTGTCACTTTGTAGTACAGGGAGTGAAGGCTGCGATCCTGCTCTCTGAAATATGGCCAGACCAGCCTCGCCACATCCTCGTGTTTGTACTTTCCTTGTGGCAAACCGGTCAACATGATTGTGGAGGGCTTGTAATGCCGCACCGCCTGAAAATACAACATAAAAATACAGCAAAATACTGTTTTAAATCCAGGGATGCCTTCAGCTTCATCATAGTTACTTCATTTCAGTGTATAAAAGACTGACATTGCTCCAGTTCAACTAGCGTCACGTTGTAATTCATCCTTTGAAAGATAGACCCGCCCCTTTTTTATTCTTATTTACTTATTTATAAAATATTCTTTTAATTTTTATGTAATTTCTTTTTTATTTGATTTATTTATTTTTTATTATATTTTATTTTTTTATTTTTATTTCTTTATTCTTTATTCTATTTTATTTTTATTTCTTTATTCTTTATTCTATTTTATTTTTATTTATTTCTATTTTTTTTTTTTTTTTTTTTTTTATTGATGGATTCTTTATTCTATTTTATTATTTCTTTACTGATTTCTATTTTTATTTATTTATTATTGTATTTTTTATTTTATTTTTTATATTTGTTTCTTTATTCTTTATTTTTATTCATTTATTTATTTTTTATTTATTTCCTTTTTTTCTTTTTTTGTTAAATTTATTTATTTTTTTTTGTGATTCATGTAAATCATATAAAGATATCAAAGAGGGGTCAAAGAGGAAGTCTAGAGTCTGAAAAAAACAATTTGTTAGAAACTGTCTCACCTGAATGTCGGCCATGTTTTTGATGTTATGGTGAGCTTGGAGATAAAAAGAAAAAGCAACAATGTCAATCATCCTTTTCAATGATGTTTAAAAAGGTCAAATCGAAGCGTTAAAGACAACAAGGAAACACAAAATCTCTTCCTCTTACGAGGGATGACAAAGCAGGGTGAAAGGCTCGGGAACACAAAGGGGCTGTTTCTCAACGTGATCCAAAACGGTGGACTGGCGCCCTCTGGAACCTTAGTAAGTAACGATGTAACAGTTACCCCTCCAATGTCCCTCATACAGCCGCGCGGGATGCGTTTTGGAAATTTTGGAGCTGCCCAAAATAGAAAAAAAAGGTCAATCCAAACTTCATATGTGAGAGATCGTAAGGACAAACCAAAAGAAAGTCTAAAGGGATGTGAAAGACGGCGGTCTCGGTTTTTTCCTTACATGGCGCTGTATTGTTCCCGACCGGTATCTTCAGTCTGTGGACGATGTAACCCGGTACTGGACTCTGCAGACTGTGCCAAACTCCGAACCAATCAGCCTCTCGAGGTGAGTCGAACTGTATAAACACCTGTATGAACACAAACACGAGCACACAGGAGTGTTCACGCACACAGGATCTCCCACCATATCAAATCGATCAGTTTTTATTGATTATGCGTCTTACTTTGTCGAGGAGAGGCAGAATGTTTTGGACTGGTGTCGCTTTGAAAGTGTCGGTGAGCTCCCGAATCTCTCTCGGCGAAGCGTTCCTGATGAAGATCAGTCTTTCCCCGACTTGCTTTTCGTACTCCCTCTACAACAGGAAGTGGACACACAAACCGCTAATTTGAATGTAATTAGCTAAAATCTACTATAATATAGAAGGGTTTAATCAGGCTTGACGTGTACTTTTGTGTGTAGTATTGTGTGAATAATGTAGTACTTACACCACACATGAGTTTCATCAGTGATGTATAAAAGTTGATCTGAAAAAGACGGAGGAGGTCGAGTTAAACGCAAACAAAGAGGACTTTTTTTTAATCTCATGTTTTCTCTTTTTTCTAAACTACATGTAATATTTTTAATTTAACTTTAAAAAATGCAGATCTTTTTTGTTTTTTTTCTTTGCATAATTGTTTCAGTGAGAGCTAAAATCACATGTTTATGTTATCATTATCAATGTTAATCATCTTTTATGATTAATGCATCTAAAACTATTACTGCTTTACTCAGACACTGAACATAGGAAGGAGATAAGGAGGAGGGTTAGGGCCACATGAAGAGAAAAAAAAGTATTAAAGGAAGGAGATTAGAGTCATAATTTTGAGAAAAAAAATTATGTGAATTAAGTCAAAATTTTTAGATTAAACACTGAAATTTCTAGATTACAAAATGTCGTGAATACTGCTGAAATGTTCAGATTAAAATCACGAAATCCACGTCATTCCAATTTTTTTTCTCGGAATTTATATTTTAATCACCAAATTTAGATTTTTTTTTCATTTAGACTTAAAATTTCAACTTTTATCTCGAAATTACGATTTACTTATTTCTTGACATTTCTATATTTCCCTTTTTGACTTGTTTAAATTTCAACTTCAATCGCAAAATTTTGACTTTAATCTCGTGATTTCAATTTGATTGATTGATTTTTTTTTATTTAGTCTTTTTTCAAATTACGACTTTTATCTCAATTTTTTTTTCATTTCAATTTTTCTAAAATTTCGACTACAATCTGAAAAATTTAACTGTGATTTTTTTTTTCTATTTCGCCTTTTTTTCACATTTCGGCTTATCTCAAAATTAATATTTTTTTCGTTTTGACTTTTTTCAACTTTCGACTTTAATCTCCAAATTTCATTTTTTTTCATTTTGACATTTTTAGAATTTCGAGTTTATTTTGAAATTTTGATGTTTTTTTTAATTTCAACTTTTTAAAATCTCATCTACAATCTCAAAACTTTTACTTTAATCTCGAAATTTGGATTTTTTTTCATTTTAACTTTCGTTTTAAATTTTGACTTCAATCTTGAAATGGAAATGTAAAAAATCTCCCTCCTGTAATTATTTTTTCTCTCCTTGTGGCCCTTATCCTCTTTCATAAGAAGAGGCTCTTCAGTAAAAACGCTGATTCCTCGGTCAGAGGAAGCTACCCGACTCCTTCAAAGTAAAAGATTTTAAGACAAAGGTCACACTAAGGCAGATGCAGTACAGTTTTTCCCTCTGTTTTATCATCATCGCTCACTGACGCACATCTGTTCAGATCAGGGGAGAGGAAATGCTTACTGGTGGCATCTTGATGTCACTGGTCACGACATTCACAGTCAGTTCAGACCCCTTTAAAGTAAGAGGATTCACTTGGCAAGCTCTCACAAGTTGTTGTACTTCTTGGGTTGTTTCCATGAGGACAAAAGCCTGCAGAGAAAACCAGGAAACAGAACGTCATTATTATAAAAATAGGATTAATGAATGCGTCTGCTGCTGCTTACCGTGCACGTCTGAGGGACAACGTAGATCTTGTCATGATGGAAAAGGAACCCAAAAGGAATGAGCAGATTGACAACATCAGCCTCAGTGTAGGCACCATCTTTAAAGGCGGGCAGCCCAGATATGAGCAGCAGCTTCTTCTCACTTCGCAAGAACTGGAAAACAAACAAAGGAGGAGGCACAACAACCATTTACACACTTTTCAAACTGCGACATATTCAGCACACAAACTGTCAATCTTCAACATCCACTTTTAGAGTCTAATCCTGTGAAAAAACTTGAGGTCTAAGTTTTTAAAAGGCTCACCTGAGGTGAGAGGACGGTATGTTCAGGGAGAATACCTGAAAAAGACAGAGAGCACATTGATCAAGAGAAAACAAAGAATTAAAGCTGTATTATGAAGAGAAACCGAGTCTTTCTTACAAATTTTGTTCGAGCAAAGACCGTCCTCGAGCGTGAGCTTCAGGATCAGATGGGGGCCGTCTGCACTGTAGACCATACGTGTGCTCCCTGCATTATCTTCAGGAGATCAGATTAAATATCAGTACCTGATAAAATCTCACTTTAAAATCATTCAAGCCTAGAAATGTCAGCTGATGAGACCTGCAGTCTGGGCTGAGAGTGTGTCCCACGAGCATCCGCTCATCGGTGTTCATGATTACCTAGATTCCAGCTGACATCACTATAGAGCTTTTATGTGATAGAGCTGACTCACATGTTTCTGGAGTCTCGTACTTGTACCCGCTTAGCAGGTGCACTTCACGGCCCCGCCCCGGTTTCAGGGAATCGTACCAATGTCCAAATCTTTTAGCGTCGTAATAGACCAAGAATTCTATGAAAACCTGCAGCACACAAAGTCACATGTAGACTCGAGAGAGGACTGACTTTTTCTCACAGAGACACTCCAGTGCAGCTTTTTCTACCTTGTTGAGGAGCGGCATGAAGTTCGCAAAGTGGCCGAAATCCTTCAAAGCCCATCTCAGGTCCCTGACCTCCTTCAGCGGGATATTCTTGACGAGGCACACGTTCTGCAGTAGAAAGGGCTTTTGCCCAAATAAGCCAAATAAGTGGAGATAGAGCCATCACAGAGAGATTCACCGACAACTTTAAATCAGAATAAAAACAACTGAAGAAGTTTGAGTTTGGCTTACACGCTTCATCTTCTTCATGATCCTTTGATACACCCTGAACTACGACGGAAACAGAGTCAACAGGGTTAGAATACAAAGACGTTTGAACACGACAGACTTCTGTCAAAGTAAAGAGACCGAGTCTGTGTGGAGTTTGGAAAATACTCAACATAAAAAAGGGGTGTCCTGATACGATATTGATATCGGATATCAGTCTGATAACAATATCGGTCCGATATCAGCAAAAAAAAACGAATATCGGATTAAATCAGCCTGCTTCTACAATTTCCGATATAAGCACTCCGATACAAGCAGTCCATTCCAGACTCCGCTCCAACACTTCTATCTAGCAGCGTCCGGATCCAGCCTGTAGAGCCCATGTGATCACAACAACACTCAGTGCGTTTACATGCACAGCTTAATCGGACTAAGCTCATAATTCGGTTTTTTTGCCGAATCGAAGATTGAGATGAACACTTCCTTCTTCTCTGGTGTTGTTGTTCCGGGGTTACGGGGGCGTGGCGCACATGCATTGTCCGATCATACTCCGACTACGCTGGTTACATGGTAGAGAAAATTTGAATTCCAATCGCATTATCTGGGTGTCATAATCGGAGTTCTCCGACAAAGGTGTTTACATGCACTTCAGTTGAGCGGTCTTAATCAGAGTAAGGCGATAATTTGGTTTTCTCGAGTGCCATGTAAACGTACTGAGTGTGTACTTTTGCTGTGTTTGCGTTACGTCACAGCATTTCAGTTACCAAGTCTGAAAAAAGCAAAATCGGAGGCAGAAACAAGATGGCTACATCTACATAATTTGTTTTAGCGCTTGCCTAGTCTTTGCTTATATTCGGACAAGGTAAGCGCTAAAATAACTTTTGCCATCTTATTTCCGCCTCCGATTTTGGTTATTTCCGACTTGGTAACTGAAAGGCTGGTAACTCGGGTGTGACGTCATTTCCAGCTCGGACTTCTGACTTCCGAGATAACTCGCGCACAGCAAACGGAACTAACAAAGTACCAAGGAGTAGGAATGATGTCGGCCTTGTGGCAGTATTTTTCGTTTAAGTCCGAGAAAGACGTTGCCAATATCAGATCGGTATCGGTCAGTATTGAAGGCTACAGTATCGGTAACGTATCGGAAGTCAAAAAGTTGTATCAGGACACCCCTATAAACAAACATATGATTAACAATCATTCAAAGCTGTTCATGGTTACCGGTGTTATATCCTTCTCAAGTGAAATAGTGACGTCCAGCGGAGATCCTTTCAAAGTGAAGAACTCCCTCTGGACCGCTTTGATTGCCCTGAGGACACTGTCCCTCCCTGGCAACTGAATGAGGGCCTGAGACGTACAGAAGGAGAGATCAGAGGAACGGTAGAACCCGCAGAGCAGAAAACCAACGCAGACAGAGAAAACCGAAGCTTACGAAGCGAGCGTAAGGAAAAACAAACATGTTGTCGTCCGTCTTGCAAAACCCAAACCGAGAAAACAGTTCGGCGATGTTCTCCTCTGTGTAGCAGCCGTTTTTATACTGTGGCAGATTAGATATGATCAAGGTCCTCCAATTTGTCTTGTCATTCTGAAGAGTTTGGGGAAAAACGGAGAAAGAGAATGAGGGGAAAAATGAGGAATTACCAAGCTCTACGGTTGAAATACTACATCTGTGGGAACATAGACGAGTCCGAGGACCTACCCTCAAGAAGTGTTCTAGTTTGACGTATCCTGTAAAAGAAGAAGAAGAGAGCAGAATGATGGTATGCAGATATTTCGACCAGAATGTGAACAGATCCACCTTCTTCTCTTTTAGTCTTACCCATCGAGAGCGGATTAAAGAACGAATTGATCTTCTCCCCGCAAGTCCGTGGAGTGAACATGGGTGCAGGAGCTGTTTGCTGTATTTGTGTCATAGATCCAACTCGCTCAGCTGCCACATATGAACCTTTTGTCCCGGTCGGAGGTTCTGGCGCCTTGGATGCTGGTCCTAACGGGGTGCTTTGCTGGATACTTGTTGAAGCTTTGACAGAGGTCTCTACTGAACTGGTTTGACTCTTGTTGGGTTTGTCTGAAACTGCTGGTACGGCCTCTTGACTCTGAAAAGATATTCCCAGTTCTAGCTCTTTAGGTTTGGGCGTCAGTATGCAGTCATTCATCACCTTAGTGACTTCTGTTCCCTTCTCATCGTGGTTCCTTGAGCTCCCCGGTTTCTCAGCTTCTTCTTCTTCTCCAGCTGCCTACGTGTGACCAAACACAAGAAGAATTAAGACCGAACTGGTATTTCTCTAAAAAGACCAAAAGCTGAAACCAAGAAACCTACATCAGCGTCAATCAGGTAGGACAAAACATCAGGATAGAGCGACGTGTGTAGCTGCTCACCTTGGTCTTCTCTGAGCCGGACTTTTCCTTAGAGGGACTTGTTACTGAGTCTGTCATTGCAGCAGCAGAAGAAGAAGAAGAGGTGGTTGGAGATGATCTCTTTCCTTCAGCAGAGGACTGAGAAGATGAGGGTTTGGTTCCTTTGTCAGAGTAAAAGGAGGAGGATTTGATCTTAGCTAGCTCTGCGACCAAAGCAGGAGCCAGAGTCTTGACCACAGTCTCGAGATCAAACTGATCTGGCAGTGACTGGACACCTTGGAGGAGAAATAGACGAGTATTATTTCATAACCAGCTAACAGGAAGAATTGGCTTTTTCAAATATTTGTCATTTTCTTGAACCTGATGTTTCCAGCAGTTTCTTTGCCAGTCTCTCTGCACTGCCTGCCTTCCCTCGTCTCTCTCGTTCAGGGGATGACTCCTCCGTGGACGACGCCCTTTCACGTTTCCGTCTCGGTGGTGATCGCCGCTCACGGCTACTCCTTGGCGTCGACCCTCTCCTGTCCCTTCTTCGGGTAGATGATCGTCTCTCACGACTCCTTGAACGTGACCGACAGCGTGAGGAAATCCGACTATGTTTCGGGGAACGGGAGCGAGATCGAGATAGAGATGGAGACCCAGATCTGGTAGGAGAAAGGACGAAACTGTTTTATGCAAATACCCAATTTTAATCAAGATGTAGAGGCTCATGGCACATTTGTTGTCCAACAGACCTGCGATGGTGTTTGGAACAACAAGGCGATCGTGATCGGCTACGTCGTCTCTCTCTTTCACCATCTGAGCCATGATCGCAATGGGGGCTGGGAGACTTCGACCAGGTGTGGCCCTCATACCTTCAGGATGAGGTGGATTTTCAAACAGATCAGTTGATCAAAACTAAAACATTACCTGAAGGATCAATAACAAAGTTGGCCCAACCGAAGAACTTTACCTGGTCTTGCCGTCAAACTCGTCAGCCCACTCTGGGTATCTGTTGAAGACACCGCAGTTTAATCCGCAAAATGCCGTCAGGTAAAAAATCAGTTGAAATGAACATGAACTCTTTCGACATTAGTCATCTGAGAGTCAAGATCCAGAAGTTGAAGTGAAATACTGACTTTTTGCGAAGTTCTTTGCAGCCCTGGAAGTGATTGAAGCTATTCTGGTGAGCGATCCAGTCCTAGTTACCAGAACAAACAACATGAAAAGAGTCTCTATAGAGGAGCCTTAAAAACAGGTTTTTAAGTTCCTAATAAGGCTGGGCAATATGGCCTCAAATCAATATAACAATACAATGATCAGTTCACCTCGATAACACTGAGTATACCGATATGGTCGGTTTTTGTTGTAAATTTCAGTATTAGCAAATTTCGGTTTATCGCCCAGCCCCACCAAAAATTACAAAAAAGAGAGAGAAAAGTCCTCCCCTCACCTGCATATTAATACAGAATCTGTGACACAGAGAGCAGGAAAATGGAAACTGTTTCGGTGGAGCAGCTGCATAGTCGTTTATCATTGCTTTCGGTGGAGTCTTGAAAGACGTCGACTTTGCAGCTGGTTGTGGGTTGACATTCGACATCGACAAGTGATTGTGGGTCACTGATCCCACGGTTGGCTGAGGGGGAGTCATACTACGGTGAGGATTCCCAAGGACCAGAGGAAGATTGGAGACAGGGGCTGCTGGAGGCCACACCATCTCCGGCTGCTGTTTCTGTTTCTCCTGCGTATCCTGCTTCTGCGTAGTCTGGTTCTCCTCTTTCTGCTGCAGATGCTGCCCCTGGGTCTGTTGAGTCTGCGCCTGCTGCAGTTGCTCCTTCGGTTTTCCCAGCTGCCTGGTGACATGTTCAACCACCACAGAGCCTTTACCTTTGGTTTTACTACGGTCCTTGTGGTCACTGAGCACAGGACCAGAGTGGGTGGGATTCATTCCACTAGACTGAGGGGGAGGTGGTTGGATTTTCAGAGTTGACTGGTGTTCTAGCTCAAATTCGAACCCTCTGATGTTTGCGTTTTTCGTTGTCTGAGATAATGAGCCCAGGATACTTTGGAAAGTCGGGTTTGGTCGGGTCAGCAGTTGTTTGGTCTGATTATTACTTGCAGAGGGAGCAGAACTCAGTGCTGAGCTACACGAGGAGCTGAGGCTTGTAAAAGTACCCGCCTGCTTCTGTGAAGAACCCAAGACTGGATTGTGTCTGCTTACAGTGTCGTCAATCACCAACGTACTACCAATCCTTCCAACGTCTTCATTACTTTTTCTTCCCGTTTCATCACCAGCCCCTGACCCTGTATACTTGCCAGTGTGTCCATAGTCAATCACTCTACTTGACTGGAAAACACCTGTTGAAGTTTTCTCCTGTTGCATCTCTGCTCCTCCAAATCTTGGAGCTGGGTTGGGGTTCGACTGGACTCCAGTTGCCGCCCTCTTACTTTTCTGGAGCCGTATTTGGCGCAAGATGAACGGCAGGTTAGCTGGAGTAATTTGATCTTCAGAATAGGAAATGAGTTGTTTCAAGTCCTCTTTTTCGAGTCCAAAGTGAAGAAGGATGTCGGCAGCAGTTTCAGGAGAGTACTTGGGTTGGCTGGTCTCTGCAGAAGCTGCAGGTTGGTGTGAAGACTGACAGTCATAATCAACTAACCCTGGGATGGACTGCATATCACGATGTCCTTCAACAGAGGGGTTGAATCTAACTTCATCACGGCTTGCGTAGCTGGTTGAAGAAGACCGGGAATACGGTTTAGAGTCCCTAGCAGTGGGTCTGTTGTAGTTGGATGACCAGTCCATGGAGCTGCTGCCACCCTGGACATCCAAGTTGTGTCTTTGTCCCTGGTAGGTCGAAGACATCGGATGAGAACCCAACCGTGTGTCTGAAGAGCCAAACTCCTCTCTTAGTGCACCTGAAAAGTGGGCATCCTGGTCCAGGGACCGGTGCCCTGATCTTTCAACATGTCTAACTTCCTTCCTGGCTTGGTTCATATGTAGGTCCAGTGGTCTAGAATTGTTGCAGTCCAGCTTCGTTCAGACCTAAGATGAAGAAACAAAGTCAATGCTGTTCATTGTGAATACATATAAACTCTAACTCACAGACAGTTCTCTGTCTGTGGATCCTAAACTAAACGTTTGGCAGTAAGAGGAAAACAAAGCACATCTTAAAGTGCAACATCTTAAAACTAGAACCGTTAAAGCTGACTTTAACCGAGCTTTACGTCGAAATACCTTCAAAAACACTCGAAACCATTCCCTAACAACTTCATTTGTGAATGTAAATCCATCTAACGGATGAACCAGCTACAAACCGACGGTTGAACACACTAAGTGACTGACGGCAGAACAAGAGGCTAAAACTGGACGATACCGGGATCTTTGAGTCGATGTTTCGGTATTTTTTCACACCTTTCGTGGTTCAGGAGTATCGTGCAACCGTGAAGCGCTCCGTCGCATTTCCTCGGTGTCTGTTTTGCTTACCTGTCTTCGTCTGTCACTGCACAGGTTTTAGTTCCCCCGGACGTTATGAGGGCGGGACCTTCCCCTACCATCCCACGAATAATACGTTGGCCCCCGGACTGTTATGCGGAAACGCTAACGGATGTGACGCCATCGAGTTCCTTCAAAATAAAAGCTCGGCCGTTCTGAGACCATTGCCGTTTCGCCGTTTGATCAAACAGAGTGAATAAATGTACCAACGACAGATGACAATTAAACGGGTTTTTTTATTGGTGTTTGTAAAAACCAGAACGAAGATTAAACCACAACTGAATGGACCCTTTTACAGTAATGTCAAAAATAAGTACTAAGATAATAAAATGACAATCAAGCTTGCTCCTTCTGAGACAAAAAAAGGAGAGGTACAATACAAAAATATTCTTTAGCACACAAAAAAACATTTTAAATTTGTAAATGTGTAATTACTTTTAAAACTCATACATTTTGTGATGGTTTGACCTAAATAAATGTAATCCCCCATTATTTAAATATTTTATCACAGAACAGAGTGTTTGGCTCAAACCTGTGTACAGAGGATCTGACCCCAGAAGTCATGATTGACACATTTTAAAAAGAGAAAGAAGTTAAATACTATTTCATGACAAAATGTTCAGGAGAGGAAATACAGCTGCTTAAGCATCATCAGAAACAGAGCTCTGGGGTGAACTTCTCGCTGATGCATGTTGAAGCTTCTCGTAATATTTCTAAAAAGAGAAGAAAACAACATTGTTAGTCTCAGGTTAAACTTCAGCACACTGATGTTTTCTTTGTTTGTGCTCACCTTCAGGTTGTCGTAGTGTTTCTGGCTGCTGCAGTGGGTCTCCTTGGCCGTGCTCTCGTTGTGGTAGAAAACAGAGCAGAGATTACAGAAATAACCCGTTTTAGGGACCACAAACTCCTGACCTGAAGAGGAAAACAGACATGAGAGTCTAAGAGAAGGGAAAAGCACCAGAACGTCATCTCTCCGGACATAACCGCAGCCTAGGACTCACCGAGGGGGTTGTTGGGTTTGAATGATGGTAGTCTGAAGTCGGCGGGGACAGAAGGAGACTGAGAGCGAGATCGTTTGGCTCCAGGTCCATCGAGCTCTCTCCTCAGTTTACTCAAAGCTAAGAGAAAAGAAAGAGAAGAAACCAATAAAAAAAGTCCGTCTCACAGAGATTTCCAAGAACCGGTTCCAAATGGTTCGATCCATCGACATCATTTACATTTTATCTTAACGATTCCCTTAACGATTCCTTTCTTCCGGGTGCCTTGAAAATGGTCTCACGAGTGCCAGTCTACGTGAGCGGGAACAAGGACAGAGGAAAAAACATGGTGGATGATATGAAAAGTAGGCAGAAACGAGCTAAAGCGTGGCTTAAATCTACTGAGAAAGACGACTGAATAGTCTGAATGAAATCATTAAAGGCACACGCTTTTGAATCCACCCAATGGTAAGGAAAACTTCGATTATTTCACCTTGGTATGTAGTTTTCACCGCGCTCCCGTCAGGGGTGCATTCTACGGCACAACACCTGTTGAACACCAGTCGTCAGCCGCTGCTGCCCCATCTCAGCACGGCATTGAAGGTACATATGATAGGGTGACCATATGTCCTCTTTTACCCAGATATGTCCTCTTTTGGGGGTAGTTTATAAAATCCTTTAAATGTCTGTAACGTGTATCCGTTGATTATTAAAACAGTGCAGAGCATCAGTGCTAACTGCAGCTCTGCCCCTCTGCTCACGTCTAAGCAAAGACACTGACACGACGCTCGCACGCGCTGTCTTTAGGAATTTAGAATATGCCTTTAACTAAGTTAGAAATGCATAAAAATATTAATGAAATCTTATCAATTCCCATACCTACTTCTTTCTTGTTTGCGGATGCTTAGCTTGTCCTGTAGAAAAGCTGACACAGCGGTCTAAACCTGCTGCCACCTGTCGGACGACTCTCACCTTTAATCTCAGTCCTCCTCCTTTCTTCCTCCTCCTCCCCCTCTTCTTTTTCTTCCACCGATTCTTTGACTGTTTTGTTCTCCGGCTCCAGCTCTGGTCTGACAGGAACAGGGTTCACAGTACTTTGTGTCTCTGCTCCTTCCTCTGCGGTCTTCTGGACCTCCACTTCAGGCGGATCTTTGTCCAGTGAAGAGGAAGGCGGTTCATGAGCAGGTCCTTTTTCCTCGTCTTCTTGTGGACTCACGGTTTTCCCTTTGGTGGATTTTCTCACTGTTTTCAAAGACAATAATAATCCAACATGAATCTGTTTTTCTGTGTTTTGGAGAGATTCCTTCTGGTAAACAATGCAGCTCAGGGTTTCTGTTTTGGGATTTTGGTAATGAGAAACAGAGACGTGTTACCAGGAGTCCGTCTGGCTCTCTTAGCTCGGCCTCTTCTCCTGGGTGTGGCCATTTCTTTTTCCTCCTCTTCCTCCTCCTCTCCCACCTCATCAACAGTCACAAAGTTCTTACTGTCCTCTATGACAAAAAAAAATGAAAAAAGCTTCAGTCTTTTTTTCAGATAAATTCCTGTAGAAATATTTTAACAACACTCTACATTAGAAGTAAACACACCTGCATCGTCATCTCGTTTGCGCTTCACAGGTGTCGAGGTTTTCTCAGCTCGGTTTTCAGTCTTTTTTTCTTCATCTGAAGTTCCTGGAACCTGAAAAAAAAATGCGACAGATCTTCGGCATCAGAGCGAAGCACACAAACCCAGGTTAACACGTAGAACTCCACTTGATCGCCGCCGGACAGAAAAATAGCAAAATATAGCTGAGGGTTCTAAGGGTTAAGGATCATCCAGAATCCCAGCTCTGAGAGGAGGCCAGTCTCCTCACAAAAACCCTCTGCTCTCTCTTTGGGAATTCATGGACCGCCTTTAGACCTTCACCTGAACCCTGTCTATCACAACACGAAATGCATTGTTTCCCCACTTGAATCAAAGCATAGGAGAGTATCATCTAGGACACCGATCTTAAACTTTACCTTCTGGTTTGAGGTGTTAGGTGATTGTTGGTCCTGGCTCAGAGGGCAGGTCTCAGGTCCTTCCGTCTCTTCTTCTACAAATTCATCCAAAGTGACGAGTAGGTCTCCCTCCTGGATTTTCCCGCCCTCGTCTTGATTTTCCCGCACTTCTTCTTCCTCTGTGGCGTCATCTGCTCCCACCTCGTCAAGAGTGACCAGCTCCTGGGCATCGACTTCATCCTTCTCATCCTTCTTCTCACTCCTCTCCCTACTCCTCCCTTTCCCTCCCCCTCCTCCTCTTCTGCTCCTCCTCTCTGCTCTCTGTACTTTAGTGGATTGTTTCCTCAGTTTCTCCACCTCCATAGAGTCATCAGGGTAATCCTCTTCTTCATCACTGACCTCATCCAGGTTCATCAGAGAACTTGGTGTCTGTTCTTCCTGAGGTGTATTTTCTGAGTGTGTGATTGGTTCTCCCTCTTTCTCTCTGTTTTCTGAAGTGATCCCTTCTTCTTTACGAGTATCAGACCTCTCTGCAGCACACAGGACATCATGACCCTTTTCTGAACCATCAAGTCCTGGATGAGGACTTTCTGTCTTGTCACCCAGTTTTTCAGAAGCTTCTGTACCTGTAACATCTTCATCAGTTTGTTCCTGTCTTTGTCCTTCAGATTCCTCTTGAACCTGATCATCCCCCAGAGAATCGACAATCTCATAGATGGGCTCTTTCTCCTCCCCGTTAGGAGATGTTCTCTGCTGTTCTTGTTGGTCCAGGACTCCTGCAGTCCCTGATGGCTCTGAGGGGAGCTGATCATGGACCGACTCATCTTCCACCGAATCAACGATCTGATACGTCGTCTCTTCTTCACCGGAAACTTTTGCAGAAACATCTTCATCGCTCTTCTTCGATGCTGCATCATCTTTCTTTGATGTTTCGACCTGCTTCTTCGGTCTCCCCCTCTTTCCTTTTCCTCTCGTAGTCCGAGTCTCCTCGTGAACAACCTGGTCCTGAACTAAGTCAAAAATTTCTTCTGTCTTCTTTATTGGTGAGCTCTCTTCTGTCTCTTTTGGAGGAGTCTTCTCTCTGCTCCGTGACTCTCTGGCAGGGGTTTGCCTCCTTCTCGTTGTTGGCATCTCCTCTGTTCTGGTTTCCTCGGCTGAGGCGTCCATCTTGGTCCGTTCTCGTCTTCCTCTGGGGGAATTTGTTTCAGTGGCAGGTTTGTCATCCCCCACGGAATCTAACATCTTCTCTTCTTTCTTTCCTCTGGTGCTTCTTCTTCTACTTGATCGGTCCTTGGTGGAGTCCTCTTGAATCGAAGCGTCCTCAACAGAATCCACGATCTCAAACTCGGTCTCCTCGGTGACCTTTTTGTCCACAGCAGTGTCTGTCTTCATCCTTGGTTGGTGTTTTTTGGGAGGCTTCTCCTTCTCTTCAGTTGTGGATGTCTTACTTGTGCGCCCACTCCTCCTCGATGTTCTCCCATCGTTCCCAGCAGAGCCCTCCTCTTTCTGAGTCTGCTCTCCACCCTTGTCCCTCTCTGACTCTGTCCCTGGACTTGTTTGAGGTTCTTCCACTGAATCTATGATCTTAAAGGTGTCTTCCTCTTCCTCTGGTTGCTTATCGTCTCCCGCAGATATCATCTCATCTCCTGCTGCTCTCTGATCATCCACGGAATCCAGTATTTCAAAGGCGGGTTGGTCGGTAACATCGCTAACAGAGTCGTTCAAATCCTGTTTGCTGACACCTTCTTCATTTTGGATTTGGTTCTGGAGATTTTCTGGATCTTCTGAGGTTTGGTGAGATTCCCCTGGAAACATTTTTTCTTTGTCCTCCTCCTTTTTTAGGGTCCTATCCTTCCCTTCACTCTCATCACATTTTTTCACCACTGGAACTGGAACTTCTTGGCCCGGGGGAGGACAGTTTGTCTCCATTTTTAGGGGGTTTGGTTGGTTGTCAGTACTGCCTAAAGTCTGCACGCTCTCCTCATGCAAAGTCTGGGTTCCTGCAGGCCCGGTTTGCTGGTTTTCAAAACTGTTGTCTTGGTCCCCATCAGCAGCACCACTGATCTGCTTGTCTTCGTCATCAGATTTCACAGACTTTGCCCCTGAACTCTCTGTGTCTTTTCTGTCCTTCATAAGCTCTTCTGAAGGAGTCTCTGATGACGCCTCAACAGCTGCTGTTGGTTGGACTTTGTCCACTTCTTGCACAGCTGAAGATGAGCGTGTCCTACAGGAGGACCCCGGATCTGATGACCTGGCTGGAGACTTTGAGCTGCTTTGTTGTGCTTTCTGATCCGGAGAAGAGGAGGAGGTCTTACCAGATCCGGAGGAGGATGATGGTTTGTTCGGACTCTTGCTGTGCTCAGGTGAGTCTCTGGTTGGTTTGTGAACTGAAGGTGAGGAGGACGATGTGCTCTTTAAATCTTTGGAGGACCTTGTTGAGATCCTCCGACTACCTGAGCCTCGACTTCCTCTTTTGCCTCTGCACGAACGCTTGGATGTTGATGACGAGGAGTGTTGAGGCTCGGCGTTCGGGTCTTCAGCATCGTCTCCGACTTCATCAACTGTCACAAAGTCATCCAGGTTCAAATTCGGCTGGTCAAACACACGCCTACCTGAAGAGACGTCTTCTTTGAGATTATCCTGACCCTGCATGAAAAACAAGGAAGGAGGAAATGACTGAAACACTGAATCATTCCCAATCAATCACAATAACAGCAGTTAAACCATCAATGTCAGAGAAACTCATGAGAGTCCTGGTGAGACTTCGGTTGTTTACCATTCTTTGAGATGTTCCTTCAGCTGTATCACTTTTGGAGCTCAGGTCTTCTCCTCCAGGGCTCTAAAGATAGATGCAGATATGTCGTCATCTTTGACATCAAAAGTCTCGCTGAAGTTTTTGGGAATGATTCAGAGAATAAAATACACTTCCTATTTAATATATGCACTTCAGTAAATTTGGTGAAATTGTCTCGGAGCTGTTGGGACTCGACATATTTCCTCAATTTAAAAAAAATCACCAAACCAGGCCTCACCTCGTCCCCTTTACTCTTGGACCTGCTTGCTAGGGTGACTCTGTGCTGGCGGACTGCAGCAGCAAGGGCTTGTAGAGTTTCTGTGTCAATCTGAGGGAGTCCTTCAGACTCTTCTTCAGGCATGAGCTCTGAGGACGGAGGATCAGGGACAGAAGAAGTAGGAACTTTGTTTTCACTCTTAACCGCAGAGGCCGCCTCAGCTGTACAGACCAAAGATGTTGGCGGTTTCTCTTCAACTTCCATCTTCACAACATTTTCATCACAACTGGAACCAACAATCGAGTCAATGACCATCCCAGTCACTGTGCTCTGAACTTCCTCTGTCTTTACTTCCTCTTTAACGGCAGAAGCACTTAGTTCTGCAGCGAGGGGCTCAGAAACGCTGGATCCAGCAGGGTCGCCGGGTTCCACAGTAGATGGTAACTCAGCAGGAGGATCTGAGGTTTGACTCTCTGAAGCTGGAAGCTGGATGTCAAACCTCTCTGACGCCTCACTAGAGTCTTGGAGCTGCTGTCTCACGCTCCCCACGCTGAAATCAACAACAGTGAGGTCGTCAATCGATGAGAAATGCAGAATTATCTCTGGGGTTAAGTAAAAAAATAAATGTTGATATGTTTATGTGTTCAAATCCTTTGATAGACTTACCTCTCACAACCCAGAACGGTCGGTGGGATGGTTGCTCCATCAATGGCTTCCTTGTTCTCAGGTGGAGGAAGCTCAGGATGCTCTGGTGCTGCAAAATCAAGAAACATTAACCTCAAACATCTCCTCTAGAATCGTCCTGCTAACTGCAGATATATTACACGGACAAACACAGCGTCTGTTTGGATTTCTTACGAGTATTGTCTTTGTGAGGGTGCTGTTCTGTCATCTCCTGGTGGGTCTCTGGTTTCTCGGACTCTGGTTCTGATGGGGTGCTTTGCTGGACCTGTGTTAAAGCCTTGACAGTGGTCTCAGATGAAATGGTTTGGCTCTTGTTGGGTTCGTCTTTATCTTCACTCTGAGTTAATATTCCCACTTCCACAGGCTCTGCGACTTTAACTCCTGTCTTGTCTAGTTTTATTGGTTGATCCACATCGACAGCTTTGTCGGGTTTTTCCTCATTTGGAGGTTCAGTTCCTGTTTTATCTGCTGTCTCAGCGTCCTTGGACTTTCCTTTCAGCCCCTCCAAAGACTCACTTTCAGATTCTTTCAGCTTCTCTTGGTTGGACGGTACGACCACTTCAATCGGCTTGTTTGTGTCATTTGTGGCTTTCTCCTCAGCATTACCTTTTATGGTTGTCTTTCCTGTAGGTTTCTTGTCCATTGGAGTTTTGGGCTTCTCTGAAGCCGACACCATCTCTGCTTTGGAAGCTGAGACCTTTGCTTGAACCACTGTGTCCTTTGCTGGTTCTGTAGTTTTGGATTTATCTTTGGGCCGAGCTCCAGATTCTTTCACAGAGGGTTTTGTCTTTTCAGATACAGGTTTTAGTTTGGAGTCACCAACATCTGGCCGATTTTCAGCAGACCTGGTCTTGGAACTTGAGGATGCTTTTTGTCTCACTGAAGGCGCCTTTGCCTCTGTCTCCACAGGTTTTGAGGTTTTAGGACTCTCTTGTGTTGAGACCGTTTTCATTTCTGAGGTTTTGACTTTATCTTCAGTGGAAGCTGAAGGGGCAGCGATTTTCTTATTGGTAGATTCAGGTGTGGACACACTGGCTGTGGCAGGTTTCCTGTCAATACAACACAAAAAGAGAAATGGGAAGTCAGAGTTGTGGTTTTATTCAAAGACAGTTCAGTCTTTACCTTACAGGCCAAACGAATCAACATCCCCCCCACTCACTCCTACAAACACGTCTGTGAGAGGCATGTCTTACTTCTGTGGAGATGTTTTCGGATCCGTGGAAACAGCCTCCTGTAAACAAAGAGAAACCTGCAGTTTTAAATCAGCTGAACCATTGACAGTGTCACCACATGAGCGATCAGGTCCCATCCTCAGATAGAGATCACGACAAAGATTACGATACCTTGTCTCTGGCAACATTAACTTCTGTTCCACTGACGTTTAGGCTCTTGGCATTCTTAAGTTTTTTCGCGTCTTCCTCTTTCTCAAAAATCACAACTGCCTACGAAAGACCAAACAAAAACAATCAAGATTTCCGTCTCATAACTTTGCTTAAGGGAGAATCTTTACAGCTCCTCACAGCTGATGTACGTACCTCTCCTGAGGCCCTAAACACCACCACAGACTTGGTTTTCCCAAAGTGCTCCACAGCAAGAAGCACCGCAGTGCGAGGAAGAGCCTTTTGAACTCCAAGTAGTTTCACCATGGTTGCAGGTGACGACTTCCCAGACTGAAAAACGAGAGAGCGTGGCTTAATGTGACGGCTCTTTGAAACGGTAATCACGTCATGAATGTAAGTGCGAAAGAAAAAATGCAGCATTATCGTGTCTTTCACTCTTTCAGTTATCATTGAGGTCTTACATGGCCAACCTTTTGTGGTTTGGATTTGTCATAGTAGAAAAACTTGCCTTTCTCTTCTGCAGGTCAGGTTTGTCTTTAACAGGGTTTGTAGCCGACTCCGTCTTTGCGGCAGAAGAGGAAGAAGAGGTGGTTGAAGAAGATCTCTTTCCATCAGCAGAGGACGGAGAAGATGAGGGTTTGGTTCCCTTGCCAGAGGAAGAGGATTTGATCTTAGCTAGCTCTGCGACCAAAGCAGGAGCCAAAGACTTTACCACAGACTCGAGATCAGACTGATCTGACAGTGACTGGACACCTGGGAGGAAAAAAAAGACGAGTATTATTTCATCACCAGCTAACAGGAAGAATTGGCTTTTTCAAAGATTTGTCATTTTCTTGAACCTGATGTTTCCAGCAGTTTCTTTGCCAGTCTCTCTGCACTGCCTTGTCTCTCTCGTTCACGGGATGACTCCTCCGTGGACGACGCCCTTTCACGTTTCCGTCTCGGTGGTGATCGCCGCTCACGGCTCCTCCTTGGCGTCGACCCTCTCCTGTCCCTCCTTCTTGGCGTCGACCCTCTTCTGTCCCTCCTTCTTGGCGTCGACCCTCTTCTGTCCCTCCTCCTTGGTGTCGACCCCCTCCTGTCACTCCTCCTGGGAGATGATCGTCTCTCATGGCTCCTTGAACGTGACCGATGGCGTGAGGAAATTCGACTATGTCTCGGGGAACGGGAGCGAGAACGGGAGTGGGAGCGAGATCGTGATCTGGAAAGAAATTATAATTCAATAATTCAGGCGTATGTAAAAAAAAAAGTCTGATGCCTCACATGAAGAGGTGTTATGATACATTTCTCCGATTAACTCTGGGTCAGCTAATCCATTAGCCTCAAGTGTCTCTTGCTAAAATTACTCAGATTAGAATTCATGTGTGACAGACCTGTGACGGTGCCTAGAATGACGGGGTGACCGGGATCGACTACGCCTCCTGTCCTTTCCACCTTCTGAGCCATGGTGGCGACGGGGGCTGGGGGACTTAGACCAGGAGTAGCTCTCACGCCTGGAGGACCAAGCGGAATTTACAAAAGACGGGTCAATGAATGGCCGATCAAAAGTAACACATAACATCAAACAATGTGAAGGACGCTCCAGAGTTGGCCCATCAGAAGAACTTTACCTGGACTTGTCATCAATCTCATCTGCCCACTCTGGATATCTATAGTGAAGAGAATCAAAACACAGCTATTAAACCAGCAAGTTCTCAGTTTCCAAAGTCATCTTCTTCATCTGTGAGTTAGGATCAATCAACTCAACACCTTAACAGTTCCTTACTCAGACTGCATTTCTGAAAAACACGGAGATAAGAAGCATTCAACAAAGACAGAAAAGGACTAACTTGATACAAAGTTGTTTGCAGCTCTGAAGGTGAAGGCCGCTGTTCTGGTGAGAGATCCAATCCTAGTCCCCAGAACAAAAAGACAAATCACATTAATAAACATCTGGTTCACCTTGCAATGTTCTCTTCTATATTTTATTCAACTAACAGGAGCCAAAGAGGGAGTTCCCTTGTTGCCCAAAGGCTCCAGAGTTTGAGCATCATTGGTGAGATACTAAGTCCCGTAAATGAAAGTTTATTTATTTATTTACTTTTCTGCTTATCTTAGTACAAGTCAGACATATTATGCCAGTGCTCAAAAGAAATTTAACATTAAAACATCTTAAATGTTGACCAACAGCAAAGTCTTCCATGGAACCGGCAACATCCCAAGGCTAGGAGAGGAGCTCAGACGGTAGACGTAAGCAGCTGGTGTTGATTGATTTGTAGCCACGGTAAAAAGCCTCGGGAACACGTTTGGAAAGGTCAAATTAATCAGGAAAGCCAAGCTTGGGAAACCCAGTCAAGGGTTAAAAGTTTTTATAAAAAAAAAATAAAAAAAAGACAAAACATCTGTTAAAAAGATTAAGATGAGCTTCTGGGGTTTTAGATTGTTGGCAGGCGGCTCTCTGGGCCTTTGGAGTTTATGCTTCCTGGGGTCTGCTGACATCCCAATCTAGACTGGAGCGGGACAAAGGCACCGGCGCAGGAACACCTGGAGTAGACGGCAGGAGTCCGTCCCAAGTGTGGAGGGGAGGTGGTTCGTATGACTTCTCTATCCAGTAAATACAAAGAGTATCAAAAATAAAGTACAGATGTAGGATAGAAAATAATGTTTTGGATCCTCTTGTTTTTTAAGAATGGAAAATACTTACGCTGAGATGATGTGGGCAGTTTGAGTCGAAATAGTCAATGTTACTACAAACGCGATGAGTAAAACCAGTATAACACTAATGGCTCTGGCTGCAGGGGACGCGCGCGCGGGGGGGGGGGGTCATTGACAACTGTTTCAGAGAGGTCAAACTGAACAGTAGAGAAGGCCATCTTCTTCACATGGGCTGCTTCGCTCCCGTCTCGTCTTCTCAGTCCTAGGACCCGTTTCCAGGGAACATCTCAGGGTGTTCATTTTCCAACAACAATCTCAATTCTATTCATATGTCGAACAGTTACAGTGATTTAGAAATAACAAACATAAAAAAAAAAACAGATCTGATGGATTTTGATTGGGAGTACACGGAACATTCAGTCGATAGTGTGAAGCACAGTTCAGACCAAAAATTGTATGAGACAGTTTAGAAATGAAGCTGAGAGAAGCTGCTGCGGAGTGATCACACACGCCCTCAGTTCGACTGCTGCGGGCTCATGGCTATTTGTCATTCCACGACTAGCTAGTTTTAAAATGAAGGGCCACGCCACACCAAAAAATTGGTAGCTGCATCAGCTAGTAAATCCTAAGCAGTCTTGGTGAAAACAGAAGTTATGAACAGTGGTGAAAGAATCACTGAGTCGATTTGTCTGAGGACAGTTACTGCATGGAGGAGCAGGCCATCCCATAGAACAGTGTTTCCCCTAAGGCTGGAATCTACCTGTGGCAAGGGGGTGATTAATCAGCTGAGTGATCGCAGACGATAACTCGCTAATGCTAATACTTGATGCGCGCTCCGCAGGGCACCACAATCAATTGCGTGTAGGGGAAGCCCTGCTATGCTTTAGGCCTCATTTGACACACAAAGGGTGGGAGATGCCAGCGCTTCCTGTTGTGCTGGTGTGAGCTGAAAGGTTTTCGTAAGGAGTTAGCCAAATTCAAGTAGATCAGCCCATGCCTTTGAAATGCTTTGGTCTGAACTGGACTTATATTACTCTTTAAAGTAAAGGAAATTAACAACCCAAAATTTCAGATGAAAGGGGGTTCAGAAAGTCTTACACTCACCTGCATATCAGTACAATTTCTGTTACACAGAGAACAGACATGTGGAAACAACTTTGGTGGAGTTGCAGCGTAGTCATTCATCATTGTTTCATGTGGAATCTTGGACAGGGGCAACTTTGTTGTTGACTGCGACTTGGAATTCAGCATAGGTATGTGATTGTAGGTAACAAGGCCCGGGACCGGAGGAGGGAAGTTAGGGTGAAGATTTCCAGGGATCCAGGACAAAAGAGGAACAGGGGCAGCAGGAGTAGCAGAGGAGAAAGTTGGAGGCCACGCTGTTTGTCCCATCTGTGATGCCGGCTGTGTCTGCTTCTTTTGTGTCTGCTGCACCTGCTGTTTCTGTGTCTCGGGAATCTGAGTTGGTGCCTGCTGCTTTTGCTGCTTCTGGGTCTGCTGGGTCTGCTTAGTCTGCTGGATCTGCGTCTGTTGCGTTGGCGCCTGCTTCTGTGGCTGCTGCAGATGCTGCCTCTGGGTCTGCTGAGTCTGCGCCTGCTTCTGTGGCTGCTGCAGATGCTGCCTCTGGGTCTGCTGAGTCTGCGCCTGCTTTTTCAGCGTCTCCTGCATCTGCTTGTTTTGTGGCTGCTGTGGATGTACCTTTTCAGCCTGTGGAGTTTGCATCAGCTTCTGCTGTTTTGGTGGTTGCTGCAACTCCTTATTCGTGTTTCCCTGTTTCCTTACAATATGTTCCACAACTACTGATGTTTTACTTTGTTTCTGGATGTCACTTGCTTCGCTTCTGCCACTGAGCACAGGACCAGGGTGGCTGGGATTCATGCCATGGAACATAGTGTGAGCTGGTTGGATGTTCAAAGTTGACTGGTGTTCTGGTTTAGTTTCATTTGAAGTGAAGGGTTTGGATGCTTCAAATCCGAACCCTCTGATGTTTGTGTCTTTCTTTGTCAGAGATAATAAGCCCAGGATACTTTGGAAAGTCGGGTTTGGTTGGGTCTGCCGTTGATTGGTCTGATTATTACTTGCAGAGGGAGCAGAACTCAGTGCTGAACTAGACGAGGAGCTGAGGCTTGTAAAAGAACTCGCCTGCTTCTGTGAAGAACCCAAGGCAGTGCTTTTCCATTCTGTTGTATTCTTTTGCTGTGGTTGTGGATTTTGTCTGCATTGAACACTGTCCATTGCATACATACTACCAATCCTTCCAACGTCTTCATTACTTTTTCTTCCCGTTTCATCACCAGCCCCTGACCCTGTATACTTGCCAGTGTGTCCATAGTCAATCACTCTACTTGACTGGAAAACACCTGTTGAAGTTTTCTCCTGTTGCATCTCTGCTCCTCCAAATCTATTCAGACTGTAACTGTCACCCACTGCTCCAGCAGTATTGAGCTCAGGGTTGGGGTTCGACTGGACTCCAGTTGCCGCCCTCTTATCTTTCTGAGAGCAGATTTGGCGCAGAATGAACGGCAAGTTAGCTGGAGTAATTTGATCTTCAGGATAGGAAATGAGTTGTTCTAAGTCCTCTTTTTCGAGTCCAAAGTGAAGAAGGATGCTGGCAGCAGTTTCAGGAGAGTACTTGGGTCGACTGGTCTCTGCAGAAGCTGCAGGTTGGTGTGAAGATGGACAGTCATAATCACCTAACCCTGGGATGGCCTGCATATCACGATGTCCTTCAACAGAGGGGTTGAATCTATCTTCATCACGGCTTGCGTAGCTGGATGAAGCAGACTGGGAAAACGGTTTAGAGTCACTGGCAGTGGGTCTGTTATATTTAGAAGACCAGTCCAAGGAGCTGCTGCCACCCTGGACATTCAAGTTGTGTCTTTGTCCCAGATAGGTAGAAGACATCGGTTGAGAACCCAACCGTGTGTCTGAAGAGCCAAATTCCTCTCTAAATGTACTGGAAAAGTGAGCGTCCTGGTCCAGGGACCGGTGCCCTGATCTTTCAACATGTCTAACTTCCTCCCTGGCTTTGTTCATATGTACGTTCACAGGACTAGAAATGCCCGCATCTGTTGCAGTCCTGCTTTGTTCAGACCTGTAGTTTCTCAACTGAGGCATCAAGGGCGGAATCATCCGTCCAGAGTTGTTTGAAACAGCAGAGGAGGAACGGGAGGAACTAAGGCTTGAACCAGGTCCATGAAGGGATGATGCCCTCCGAGGGTCCCTCTCTGCATCGGAGCGCCCATACTGCCCCTGGGATGAACTCTGGTTCCCAGAAGCATACGGGTTATACAGTGGATGGGACATGGTGTTTGCTATCTTCAGGAGGTTGAGAAGATTTATGGCTGCAGCGGTTGGGGAGGGAGGGGCAGAAGATACATATGGAACAGATTTGTTGGAGTTGCTTGTAAAGGTTGCACTCGGATTGCCAAAAGACAGAGCGTTGCTTATCTGTGCTAATGCAATCTGAGCTTTTAGTTGAGCCAGCCGTAAGGTGGCCGCCTGCTGGCCAAACAGGAGTGAGCTCCCTGGGAGCCCTCCAACTTGAGGGCCCGTCAGGGGCCTGGGAGTGGGACAGGGGGTGCAGTGCTCCAAGGGTGATGAAAAGCTGAAAAGTTAAGAAAGAAAGGAAGGGATTATTTAACGGGACAGTACATCATCGTCATGGATGGGAGAAATCCACCATCTGGAAGATCAGGTGTTGGCTGTGAAGGCTGGTGCTTCCTGTTGGGACACACTGATGGCATCTCTTTCTCTTCTTGGTCTTCACTAGCAAGAAATGAAGGAGAGGTAAAAGCACAGATCAAGTGAAGAAACAAAGTCAATGCTGTTCCTGTGAATACATAATAAAACCAATAACTCATTTGTTCTCTCTGTGGATCCTAAAATAAATGTTTTGCAGCAGGAAAAAAAGCACATCTTAAAGTTCAGTATCTTATAACTGTAGATTTTATGTTTGATAATCGACTGTTTTTATAAAGTCCAGTATGACAACCAGACAACAATACTGGCTAACTAGTGAACCCATGCAAAAACTCGTATTTTACTCACAGACTCACTCTGTTAGAAATCTGTTAGTGTCATCAACCGCTCAGCAAGCAATTAAACATGCCAAATTTAGAAAAGGTACCAACACCACAGACACAGCAGAGAGATTAAATTCAGAGTAAATCGATATCGGCCAAAAACTGTAATCAGGCCCCCACCAGTTTCAAGTGCTGTGAAAAGTACTCCAAAACAGTTTCACTTCCACAAGAACAGAACAGAATATCCTCCAGACACCCTCTGACCCTGTACCCTTAATATCGGCACCGTGATTTTGGACCTTGCTTCCAAAACCCTGAAACTGTGAATAGGATGTTAACTTCAGCGTCAGCTCCAAAATTTCCTTAGTTGCTGTGTCACACAGAAACTTCAATTTTTTCTCATTAGGGATATTTAACTAACATAAACGGTTAACTAAAGCCGAAAACATCCAGGATCCGTATTGAGCGCGTAGAGCAGCACTGGAGTGCAGCCCCGCATTACGCTGCTGCTGCTGCTGCTACTACGCTCCAAATACGAATCCTGTACGCAATACCCACTGTTGCTCGACGGAGCGGATACGGAACGCGTTCAATACGGATCCTGTATGTTTCCGGCTCAGCAAGTGCATCTAACCAACAAATACATTCAACCAACATGACCCTTTAACAATCATGAACATTTAGCAAACAGCTACACCAACGGCTACAATCGTTAGCATTAGATCTCAGCGTCTGGATGATAACGTAGATGTTTGACTTCCACTCTGACAAGCCGTTACGGTTGACTCTACATTGAGCTGTAAAACAAAGCACCTTCAAAAACCTCGAAACTATTTCCCAATAATTCCATTTGTTGGCACAAAGTCAGACTGAACGAAGCGAAACTCAGCTAGCATGGCCGACGCGGCGTAACCAGCAACACTGGCGACAAACCGACGTTGAAACACTTCAGAACCAGAAGCTGAAACTGCACACCAACACAATCCGTGAGTTTATGGGTCGTTTTTTTGCCGCATACCTGTCGTTATTCAGGAATATCTTGCAGCTTTAATGGGCCATGTCGTATCTCCTCGATGCTCGCCGCAATTAACCCTCAACCGTCGGAAACTGCCGGGAAATGTCGAAACGGTGCCGGTGCCCTGCCTTCAAAATAAAAGCTCGGCCATTTGCATTAAAATACAGTCAAGCTGTGGACAGAAACTAGAGTTTTACCACTCTGGTCAATTAATTGATTGATGTCCAATCAATCATGTTTTTACAACAAATATCCCATAAGAAGCAGGTTTAAAACTTTTTTTTTTTAAATGCTTTATTCAGAGTTACCAAAATTATAATTCCAAACATAGCAGAGTTAGTTTAATACAGTGATTTCAATATTGAAATAACATATCATATCAACAATATGGGAAAGAAAAAAATAAAATAAAGAACAACAAGCAAACAGAGACATCAAAGTTACTTGGAATAAATAAAATTATTTATGCTATGCAAAATTTGACAAGGGTTTTCTTTCTTTTTTAAGATATATTTTTTGCTGTTCATATCGCGGGAAAATTCTTGAAGTTATCATATAACTTTTGTTCCTTCAAACCAGTAAAAGTTTTAAGAGAATTAAAATACATTTTACATTAGTTTATGAAAACAGTAAATCTGGGGGATGACATTTGGCAAGACATAAGACTACATTGCAACAGAGTTCATCATTCTTACTTGGTAGTATCGTTCCAAAAGTAACATCATCTAGAGAAATAAAAGATTTTATATAAAGATTTTCATTTTAGCGTCACTTGAAATAAATTGCAATTGACAACCTCACACTGCTTTTTATTAAAGGTACATTTCGCTTAAAGGCCCAACAGCAGATATATTGTGTCCCCACAGCCGTCTGAGAGCCTCAAGCTTTTGACAATAAACAGCTTTTGACTTTACAGACTGTTGACTCAACGGTGTATCAGAGGGTGATGATGAATATTTTCATTAAAGGATTATTCTCCGAGGAGTATCACAGCAAATTAATAAATATATCCTCTTTATCCCTTCCTCTGCACCACAGGGCTTAACACCTGACCACGACACAACAGCTGATTGGCAGCCCTGCAGCAGTGTGAGTGAGTGTGTGTGTGTGTATCTATGTTTGTCTTTAAGAGGACGCGGAGCCAGAGTATGTGTTATTTTATTGTCAGCTGTCATCGCTGTCCTCACAGAGGTCTACTCTCATGGCCGAGACCTCAGCGTGGACTACCTTGATAACCCACACAGATTTTATTGAGTCTCCTTCTCTGAAATTTAACCCTTAAAACTTCAGCTAATGTTATTTTTCTGTGATCAGGTGTATATTCACATGTGCCGGGTGTTTTTCCATGTTTTTCTGTTTATTTCCGTCCCTCTCTGGTCTTTATTTTCGTCACAGTGAAAGTTAAAACCTGGTTATGACATTTTTTGTTGCCGCCCACCCTCACCAATCATGCCGCCGGAGCCTCTTTCATCAACCAGCCTTTAGGTTATGTGTTCACTCCTGCAGCTACTGGGAATCCCTGCGCCCTCAGCAACACGCCCAGCGCCGCACAGATGGTTTTAAATGATCCTGCAGTGCTGACAGGGAGTGCGCAGTGTAACCCAAACCAGGCAAACCCTGCTGCTGCTATGCTCCAGACGTAATTAATCTTTCTGCAGCGCTGGCGCTTTAATATGTCCTGATATTTCTGACAGGCGATGTGAGGAAGGAGTCAAGGAGAGAGGAAGGAGAGGGAGTGGTCATTCTGAAATATTCCGACACTTGTAGAGAGTTTGACGGGTTAAAGTTGGTCTTTAGAGACCTTTAAATCATTTATTTCTGTAATTCTAGGAATAGCTATTTGACACATTCATGACGTTTTTTATTAATGACCCTGACTGGCTACATGTTGTAACTCTGCAACACAAAACCAAGCCAGGATCATCGTCCTATGAGCTCATTTTCATCCTCTATTAATAAGTGACTTGGCAGGAAGTACGGGACAGTAAATAAAGACGTGGCTCGTGCGACAGAGTTTTTGAGGTTTCTCTGGTGAGTCTGAGGCTGGAACCTCTGCTCCTTTTAGCGTCTTCACACCCACATGATAAAAGCTGTGAATATCCGGCGCCCACCATGCTGATTTCACTCAAAGGAATATTCTGGCGTAAAATTAAGTTAGGGTCAAACACACTGTAACACCGAGTTAGACACTGCCTCGAGAGATGAATGTTGCAGACCGCTTGCTTCTCTAGTTAAACCAACTTTAGTAACGACTGCAGGATAGCAATACACAGCGGTCTGAGGAGCCATAAACAAACCTCAACCAAAACGCCACAAATAATGCTCAGAACAGCACCTAACTTCATCGACAGGACATATAGGGTCACAGACATAGTACTAGACACCAAACATTAGTGTTGTGTCATTCGCGAACGATTCGCTCAAAATAACCGAGTCTTTAAAGTGAAGGTACTAAACCGAATCACTTCCACTTCCAGTTGAGCTGAAGTGAGAAATGTGGATTCTTCTAAATGTCCAATGAACGAATTGACTAATTTCTTTAGCAAAGAGACTAAACACAACTCACCTACTCTCTTCCAGCAGCCGCTTGTTCGTACAAAGACCTCCGGACGAGTCCATCGGCTGCAGCGGGGTGCCGCAGCTCAAGGAAGAACATTTATGATCATTACTTTATCGTTTCCTTGAAGTAATAATCTTCATATTAATTATTTTGCACTGCAGACTCGGTAGTTCTTCTGTCTTAGCGTCTCGGTCTGATTGTATTTCCATGAAGAAATGATCATAAATGTTCTTCCTTGAGCTGCAGCACCCCGCTGTAGCCGATGGACTCGCCCAGAGGTATTTGTACAAACAAGCAGCTGCTGGAAGAGAGTAGGTGAGTTGTGTTTAGTCTCTTTGCTAAAGAAATTAGTCAAAGTCAAAAAGATGTTTGGTGTCTAGTACTATGTCTGTGAACCTATATGTCCTGTTGATGAAGTTAGGTGCTGTTCTGAGCATTATTTGTGGCTATAGAGTGGCGTTTTGGTTGAGCGCGTGGCTCTCTGTATTGCTATCCTGCAGTCGTTACTTAAGTTGGTATAACTAGAGAATTAAGCGGTCGGCAACATTCATCTCTGGATTCTAACTCAGTGTTACAGTGTGTTTGACCCTTAATTAATTTTACGCTTTAAGAACCTGTACCTCGGCCATGTCAGTACACGGGTACAAGTGTGAGATCTTTCACCAGCGATCAGTCTGAATCCTCTCAGGAATACTTTTCCTCTGATCTCACACGGAGCCAGAATGAGTTGGCAGCCTGAAACGATAGTGATACCGCCTCATGTGGGCCAGAGTGACCACGTGTGTCTGATATAATATCATCACACTTTGGCTTCATTTACAGCTGAGGAAAAGATTTCATCACCGTTGAGCTATGTGTCATTTCAAGAAGCACACATTATACTTGACACCGTATCAGCTGATATGGAGATTTTCTATTTCAGGGGTCTGATAATGCGGTTAAAAAGATCCAAGGACAAGAATAATGTTACTTGTAAGTTTGGAATAATAAATTGAGTATTTTTTCCTGCATGCACACAACTGAAGAATCACGCCGCTGACTTGCAGCTCAGCACCAGGAAGTCCTGTCCACAGCGATCACGGTTAATATGTGATTCTGAGGCAGGACTGGATGGTTGACCCAGAAACTCTTTTCACGGCTAGATGAGCTAATAGAGCCGAACAGAAAGCGACCACGTCATCAGGAGACGCTAATGCTTTGCAAGTCTGCGATTTAGCACTAAAGTGAGTTCATCTCGACCTGGAGGTTATTTTGAGCGAAGTAATAACAGCCTGAGTGGTAAAACAAGCGGGGAAGGCGTGCAGCATTGTGTCAAAGTGTTGAGTGTCAACGAGTGGGAGAAAACGCAAGGACTCAGAGCGGGACAGTAGCTGCGTTTACATGGGCACAAATAATCGGAATAAATGCCCGATCGGGATAAAGATGCGTTACGTAACATGTCGATCGGAAGATTCTGATCGGAAAGGTCTGAGCTACTGTAAAAAAAAAATCGCCTATACAGACATGCCGTGATTCATTTTTTCGTCAATGGAAGACAATCTTTAAAAAATGAAAAAGTGATTTTTATCTCTGTTAAAAGTTGAACTTGGTGGACCACAAATTTCTTCTTCTTATTATTATTATTATTATTATTATTATTACTATTATTGTTGTTATTATTATTATTATTATTGATATTGTTCGTGTATTATAATTTTCTTTTGCTTGTCTGACAATTGTAATATATATATATATTTTTTTCCATTATTATTCACATATATAATACACACACCACACACAAACACACACACACACAAAACCACAAATGCCATTGTTTGTTGTATGTCTTGTATTGTCACACTGCACAAATTAAAAAAAAAAAAAAAGCACTAGGAGGGCAAAAAATAAAAAAAATAAAAAAAAGTTGAACTTGGTTAAAAGGGATTCTGGAGTCTGTGCAGTCAAGAGAAAGAGGGACTGAGAAATAAACTCGGATCGTAAAAAGAGAGCAGCAGCTGCGCTCTAAAATCCACCTGTTCTCTCTTTCTAACACACACACACGCACAGCTCAGACATTTACGAGCTGTTTGGTCATATGGTGAGTGTGTAGGCTAAATGTGAGTGCGACTGAGACGAGGTTATGGCCAAGGTAAGAGTACAAGGTCGGCTTGTCTCAAGGTGAAGGAGCCTTTAAATCATCATCAGAGGCCGTGTGGGGGCAGTCGGGTTATAAATCAGCGTTTAGTTTGAAGAACTTGTTTCAGTCTAAAAATCCTCATAACTTTAACCTCAACCATCAAATATAGACTCATGAATCTGAAACTTAATGATGCAACAGCGAAGAATTGATGTGTTTGTGTGATTCGAGCTTTAAATAAAATGTGACACACGCGTCGGATGACAGAGCTGAAATAAAACCTGAAAATAGAGACAAGGAGGAGATGGAGGTAAATTAGATTCACACTCTCTGTTCCTCACATACACATAAACACTCCTAAATCCAGCTGTCTAAATCCTCAAAGCTGTGCTGCAGAGTGAAGCTATTTGACACCTCGCATAGAAAGCGTCCTTAAGCCTTTGTGCCGCACACACACAGGACCGCCGTTTTCTTCGTTTCACCTTTAACTCCTTTGTTTATTGCATAAGTCTCATACCGATCCCGCTCATTATCGCCTTTAGCCCTCTCTTCCACTTTAGCTCACAAACATTTACACAGCAGGAGGATGAGGTGGTGTTTACTTTCCTTTAATGCTATCATCCCATCAATGCGAGCCAGGATCTATAACGGCGTTATGGTACGAGACGGTTACACCTGCGACATTCCCAGGCCTGCAAAGAGACACAGACTCTCCAGCGTGTCCTGGGTCTTCCCCGTCCTGGTTGGATGCCCAAGCCACCTCATCTGACTCCGTCTCACCCCATCTCTAAGGAGGAACTCATTTCAGCCACTTGAACCCGCGATCTTGTTCTTTCGGTCACGACCCACATTTCATGATCGTAGGAACGTAGATCGACCGGTTTTCCTCTTCACCACGACAGACCTGTGCATCGTCCGTAACGCCACATCGATCCACCTGTCGATCTCCAACTCCACTCTAGATACTTGACCTCCTCCACTCGGGGCAGGATCTCAACCTGGAGCTGGAATTCATGGACTCAGATTTGGAGGTGCTGGTTCTCATCCAAGCCACTTCGCACTTCGATACAAACTGATCCGGTGAGAACTGAAGGTCACGGGTTGATGAAGCCAACGGGACCATGTCATCTGCAAAAAGCAGCCACCAAACCAGACCACCTCAACGTCCTAGCTGAGCCCAGATATTCTGTCCATGTCCTAATGCTACATTCCAGTTGTACTCTGAAGTCGGAATTTCCAAGCTCCGAGGTTGGGAATTCATCTGGAACGCCCCCCTGAAGTCAGATTTCCGACTCGGAAAGTCGCACAATCCTCACCAACCCCGACTTGACGACAACATCATAATCCAAGATGGTAGCGGTTTTCCTGACTCGATAACTGGAATGCCACCAACTTGGGTTAACGTCATTCCAAGCTCCGACATCCGACTTCTGAGGTAACAGGAACGCAGCATAATTTGGAGGATACAGTTGAGTACTATTGCTACGTTCCAGTTACCTCGGAGGCCAGATGTCGGAGCTGGGAGTGATGTTACGACCAAGTTGACGGCATTCCAGTTAACAATTTCGAAAAACCAAGATAGACGCCTACATTTAGCCATTGTTAGCTGTTGTTTACAATTATCAGCTGTCATTAGCCATTGTCAGTTGTTGTTAGCTGTTGTCAGCGATACCAGTTGTCAACAACGCACAACACAGTACTTTTTACTGTTGATGCACTGCGCTGCCATCTTGGAATATCACATTGTCACCAGGTTGGGGTTGGTGAGGATCGTCCGACTTTCCGAGTCAGAAATCCGACTCGGAGCTCGGAAATTCCGACTTCCAAGTACAACTGGAATGCAGCATATGCCTTCTTTATGCCCCCCCTAATGTTTCTGGACTTGAACTGGACTAAAAACTTCTTATGAAATAGTTTTTTTCCTGGTCCAACAGTCGTATCATACCTCATACTTAGATTCGCACTTCAACACTGAAGCTATTATCTGCCAACATTTCTCACCACTGCCATTAAATTTCACAACACGTCTTTGTTGTTTTTTTGATCCCAGACATTATGGATACCATGCATAGCCAAGGAAAACGTTTAAAGCCCTGGATTTCCACACATGAAGCCCCAGCACACACAGACGTAACGCTCACACAAACAGTTGTCTTCTTGTTTTAGCTGTAAGGTCGGTCGGACTCGCCGAGGTTAATACCAGAGGTCTATTTCACACTTGCTAATTGTGCTGCATGCACACATGGCCGTACGAGAATGTGGTCACTCCAGACTCAGCCTGAACATTGTTGTGTTTTCAGGCTGATTTATTACGGCTATGGTGCGTTAAAATAATCTAAGAAATCAAAATTATTTTACACTAAAAATATTCCTGACAGTGATTAGAGAAAATCTTGTCTTCCTGTGCTTTCCATACAGGAAACCGGTTTGACTCTGATTTTCAAACATCCCGTTGAGGACATAAAACTAAGTTGAGATGCACGACCTCTTTCCAAACAAAGGTACAAAGATAGATTTCTGTCCTCACCGGCGTGACGGGTTGATGGTTTGGATCCTTTTTGCAGTGCCGTTGGCTGTACCAGCATCAGAGTTAGGGGTCTCGCTGGTCTTCAGTGTTTTCCCTTTATCTGCTGAGACCTGTTCCTGGAAATCCCTGGCCTTCTTTTCCTCCAGCATGGCCAAACAAACAAAATGTACTCCCAGACTTTCATACAACACACTTTTCAAGTCTATAATCCAAGGAAAAAATCTAGATGTACTGGCAGATTTAGGCGTTAGATGTAAGTGATTCCTGAAGTCCTTCCACAAACAAAAAGTCCTCCAGTATTCCTCCTTTCCAAAAGTCCACGATTCCTTAAATCCAGTTCTTCGTGATCTCTAGTGTTTGGGATTCACATTTGCTTCAGAGGCTCAGCAGGACTTGAGCAATGAGGGACTGAGGCGGAGAAACGCTGCACCAGTCCCTCTGAGCCGGCAGCTGGAGGGAGAGAGAGGGAGGGAGAGAGAGAGAGAGGCAAGCAAGAAAGTCTGGAGGGCAAAGAGAGGAAGGGGAACTAAAATAGACACGTCTGGAGGTTTTGCAGGAATACCTCTCACAAGTTGTTGACATTTATGAGAACGCAGCTACTAACGGCACTTGGATGACAAGGAAGTGCTGTTTGGATCAATATGAAGTGGTTTCAGAGACGGTATCCTTACAGAGTTATTGCGGCGTAAAATTAAGTTAGGGTCAAACACACCGTAACAACGAGTTAGACACCCCCCCAAGAGATGAATGTTGTCGACCGCTTGCTTCTCTAGTTTGACCAACTTTAGTAACGACCGCAGGATAGAAATACAGAGAGCCACGCCCCCAACCAAAACGTCACTCTATAGCCACAAATAATGCTCAGAACAGCACCTAACTTCATCAACAGGACATATAGGGTCACAGTCATAGTACTAGACACCAAACATCTTTTTAACTTTGACTCATTTCTTTAGCAAAGAGACTAAACACAACTCACCTACTCTCTTCCAGCAGACGCTTGTTTGTAGTGAGACCTCAGGCCAGTCCTTTACAGACTACAGCGGGGTGCCGCAGCTCAAGGAAGAACATTTATGACCATTTCTTCATGGAAATACAATCAGACCGAGACGCTAAGACAGAAGAACTACCGTGTCTGCAGTGAAAAATGATCAATATGATGATTATTACTTCAAGGAAATGATAAAGAAATGATCGTAAATGTTCTTCCTTGAGCTGCGTCACCCCGCTGTAGTCTGTAATGGACTGGCCCTGATAGCGGAATATCTCTTTGACTAAAGTGTTTCTGAAATGAAACCCTCACAAAACTCCAGAGCCCCCACAACCTTATCAGGACTCCCCACTACTACAACAAGAGACATGAAAAACCTTTCTGTTGACTTGACAACTTTTACAGGAAATACATAAAATAAATGTATGCAGAAGAACTCTCCAAAGACATGATTGTAGATTTAAAAACAGCTAAATAACAAAAAGTGGACTGTGTTAGGGCCTGTGTCCACTGACACTGTTTTTTTTTCTTTTTTTTTTTTGAGACAACTGTCCCTATAAATTTTAAGTGTCCTCTCTCCTAACCCCCAGTTTTCACTGCATCCGAAATGGCTACAATCTGGAGTGGCAGCGATTCTGCCATCCGCCAATTCCGTTGGTGAGGCAAACGTTGTAGCGGATTATAGACAGCAGTAATCGCGAGAACTCACAGGAACCTGTGGATTCACATGCAATTGTGCAATAACAAGTTGTCTCTATATAGACAGGGGCTAACCATACAAGCAGTAGATTGTGTCCTTCCAGAGGAGGAAATCTACTTCTAGACTTCTAGAATCAGCATCTCCTCATCCACAGTGTCATCGAGGTGAAATGCTGCCTGTAAACCTTGGACTTGTTCGTCCCCACCGTGCATGGTGTGAAAGCCGTCCTGGATGCGGTGGAAATTGGGGGTAATGGTACAAGAGGGTTAAGAAAGGAGTAAAAGAAGAAGAAGATAAGGGTAGGCTAATGTCAGTTATTTGGCAGCATTATCCCCAATTTTCACTGCATCCTGAACGGCTACGAAGAGGCTGCATCTGCAGATCGTAGCTGATTGCAAACATTCAAGTTAATTTGTCAATTTCCACCAGCTTCTTTCACAAGAGTGCCGACCCTTATCTTCTCCTTCTTTTACACCTTTTTTTACCCTCTCCTATTCTTACCTCCAATCTGTGTTTCAGGCGGATCTTATTTCACACCATGCAAACGGGCGGAGACGAACAAGTGAAAGGTTTTTCACCCTAATTCACCTTGATGACACCATGGATGATGAGATGCTGATTCTAGAAGTCTAGAAGTAGATTTCGGCTTTGTTATGAACAAAGATATTTACATGTTCAGTAACAAACCTAAACACTTTCACCTGTGATTTGATAATCTGATGAGCTCAAACCTTTCTGGACTCTGTGGGTTAAATGTTTCCTGTGAAAAATTGAAATCATCAAAATCAAGATCAGAGCTGCTATCGTTCCCTCCTGGAGAGACCAATCTCTCCAGGAGTCCCTAATTTTGGACTCTCTGATTCTGGTCTCTCAGGTTCAGGTTCACTGACAGTCTGATTCCTCTCTGTTAGAAAAACAACAAAACTTATTTCACTGTTTCAACTTCTTATTGACCAAATTCAGACTTCTGATTTTAACTCACCAGTCACATTTAGATAACATCTGTCCAAGTTGTTCCCAGACTCTGTGAGGACTTCACACTGATACCAACCTGTGTCTTCAGTCCTGAGTGAGGACACATGAAGTCTGATCCATCCCTCTTTGAGGACCTCCTTGTGAAGTGGAAGGTGGAAACCAACCAGAGACACAGACGCTCAGAGCCATGAGCAGCAGGAACCTGGAGACCATCTTCACCCTGTCAGAGGACAGCAGGTCAAAGGTCAGTGTTATCATCTACAGTCTGTCTGTTTTCAGTCAAACTCTCATTATATGTCTAAATCCGAAGACAACATTAAAGCTGCACTCATTTGTTTCTGACACTAGGGGGCGCCCACTCATCAAACTACACAACCAGGAGGAGATGAGAGACGAACTGATTAATCTGAAAATGTGGAATATGTTTTTAAAATTTCAGCTAGTGTTTGGCGGTATGAACAAAATCTTATATCATACCACAGTAATGGTATATTTTTCCACCCTGTAAATTCAATTAATGGTTTAAAAATAACCATACTTTCGCATTTGTTCATTTTGCTTTCATTATTAAACTCGGATTTGTAAAAAATGCAAACAAAATGTCAGACCAGTCTGGCAATTTTTTATAACATGGCGTCCCTTTTGGAGAAAGACTCTGCCGAGCTCTTTAGTCTGAGAGGAGCTGCTGCAGTTTTAGTTTTTGGTGCAGTGGGTGCACGCATCTTTCGGCTCTCATTATAGAGTTTGGCGTGTTTTGGCGTGTTTCTGTAGGTGGTGGAAGAGGTTTCTGGTGTTTCCTCCTCCAGCAACGACAGCCAGCCGATGTTGTGACTCGCGCCCTTTTTCGAGCGAGTTCCTCTTCCTCATGTTGGGAGGGTGGGTGGCTTCCGTTAGCTCGGTGCTGTTCTCTCTCTCTCTCTCTCTCTCCTGTATAAATGGTACAGCAAAATTTCTACCAGTAGACACTTTTATTCTGTCACACGCTATATATATCGTCGTACGGCCCAACACTAATTTCGGGTTTTTGATAATGACTTGAAGGACCTACAGAAACTGTGCAGGGCTGCTGAAATTCTCCGACTACGACTAGCTGAGGACCTGCAGAGTCAGCTCTGGAGTTAAAGAGGAAACTACAGGAAACTACACCCTCTACGAGTGAAAACTTCAGAAGAAGCTCCTGCATGTTAAGAACAGCAGGTATCAGCAGCATCATGTGAATCTGAACCTTAAAGGACTCAACAGGACAAGAGGAGCCGGATCTTTGAGGGTCAGACTGACTTTGTCCTGACTCGGACTCTCTGGTTTGGTTCTCAGATATACAGAAACAGAAGGAAACACGCTCACACACCTTTTTTTATTCAGGTAAATCTGGATCCAATCAGATCCATCAGAACCATCATGTCTCATTCAGACGGAGAGGAAGTCCCAGAGAGCGTGGCGAATGCTGATTGGCTGATTCCTTAAGACAGATTCAGACAGGACTGTGAGCAGGTAACCAGAGAGCAGCTGTTCGAACTCCAAACTCAGATTTTAAGTTCATGTGAGGAAAAGTCATTTTTACACTGTCAACAACTTTTTTCTTCAAGAGTCAAAGAAACTTCAGGAAAAAGAGTCAAGCTGAACAGAAAGAAGAAGAAGAAGATCAGGACTCTATATTATTATACTTTTGTTTATTAACCTGCACTGACCCTCACTTCAGTTATTAGTGTGTCTGTGTTCACCAACACAAAACAGCTCATTTGTTGAAGTTCAAACTCAGAACTTGGACCAGAAGGCTAGGCCGGTGGAATTTCAGACCTGACCGCATTTAATTTTGACCAAATATGGAACTGAGGGGCGAAAAACGTGTAAGAAGAGGTTCACGATAGGAGAGAATAAAAACCTCAAAGGGGAAACGGTTAACCACAAAGTCAACATGAGGCTACAGTAAACTCTCAGAAAGAGCGAACAACGAGGTAAGAAAAATACTTTCTTCTTATTTCACCGTTTGTTTTTTCTCTCTTCTTTTCTTATCAAAGCTCCACATTATTGAGTTATGAAGTGAATATGATTTCAGAGGAGCTCTGCTTTTCTTTGTAACTCTAATATTCACATTAAAAAAACCATCAAACCAGTTATGAGCTGTAAAAACTGCACAATTCAAAGGTGTAGAGTCTCCAAAGTAAGCTCACAGATCACTTCTTCAACCTTAGACTGAAATAATCTGTGAAAATGTCTTTTTGGTGATTTTATCAGCTGATCAAATCTGTAAAGTAAACATTGATTTGGTCCTAAAGTCTCAGGACTTTAGTGTTAAAGCAGTCTGACTGTATGTAACATATATACTTGGGTGACAGTCCAAGAGTGTATTAGTGTCCAAGTGTGAGTGTGTGAGTATCTGTGTGGATGTGTCTGCATGTGTCGTGTGGAATCAGATTTGTGTCAAAAAAAAACAAACAAAACTTCTTCAACATCAAACTAAAATAACAATTTGATAGAGAATAAAACTCACTGAAGCAAAAAGTCATTTCAAAAGTAAAACTTGAAACCTGCAAACAGATTATCTGTGTAGTTGTGTAAACTGTTGGTCTAACGGTTTTGTTAATACGTTGTTTTATTTACATTTCCTCCTGTGTCCTTCTTGCTGAGCAGGTTTTTCTTTTTTTGCCGGCCCTCCCATTTTCGCACCCTGCCCTGAATTCCGGTTTGCGAGTCTGTCAGAATCCTCTCCTGTGGACGGGACTTGTCAGGGGTACGTTACCATTATTTAATGAGTGACAGACAGTTCAGTGGCCGGTGTTGTGCCCTGAAACACATGCCTGCTGAGATTTGCATGCAAGTAAAGTTGATCTCTTTTAGTGTCCTTTATGTTGAATAGACCTTGTTGAATGACCATTTTATCAACATAAACGTTTGACTGGTGAGAAATTTCAGGTCAATGCAGAAAAAGTAAACCTATGATGATCGATTGAATCAAACTGTTACTAGAGAGTTCTGTGGTGATCGAGCCCACTCTATAATTGAGCGTATATCTACACCGAGAGGAAAACAAGCGACTAAAATCAAAGGGTTTCACTGAAAGGTTTAAGTCCAGGATGAGGAGTCGACCAAATTATGCAAGAAGAAGAAGAAAAAACTGAGAAACCTGTTTGTTCCTAAAGAAAGCACCAACACTGTCTAATACAGAAAGTGTGTGTGTGTGTGTGTGTGTCTGTGTGTGTGTGTGTGTGTGTGTGTGTGTGTGTGTGTGTGTGTGTGTGTGTGTGTGTGGTTCCTCTGACAGGGTGAAGATGGTCTCCAGGTTCCTGCTGCTCATGGCTCTGAGCGTCTGTGTCTCTGGTTGGTTTCCACCTTCACTTTCTTCTCCACAAAGAGAAAAGAGGAGATCCACTTTGAGACTGACTGAAACACTTGAACACTTCCATTAGAAAAGATGTTGAAAGACTCACATGTTCCTGTGTTTTTCTGCTCCTCTCTTTCCCTCTCTGTCTCCTCTACAGGAACACTTGTAGTCAAAGTGGCTCAAAGATCCTATCAGGCAGAGGAGGACCAGGACCTCATCTTGGAGTGGACCTTCAAACCCAAACCTGACAGCTCTCTGAAGACTCTGAACATTTTCTGTGACATGTTCAACAATCAGAAGGACCCAGTCCTGTTCCATCTCCATGAAGGAGTGGAGGTCCCACAGAAGGAGGGAGACTTTGTAGGACGAGTCCAGTATGACAAAGAGGTCCTCAAAGAGGGACAGATCAGACTTCATGTGTCCTCACTCAGGACTGAAGACTCAGGATGGTATCGGTGTGAAGTCCTCACTGAATATGGGAGCAGCTGGGACAGATGTCATCTCAGTGTGACTGGTGAGTTAAAATCAGAAGTCTGAATTTGGTCAATAAGAGGTTGAAACAGTGAAATAAGTTTCATTGTTTTTCTAACAGAGAGGAATCAAACTGTCAGTGAGCCTGAACCTGAGAGACCAGAATCACAGAGTCCAGGAAGGATCGGTTTCTACATTGGACTGACAGCAGCAGCAGTTCTGATCTTAGTTTTAATGGTTACAATTTTTCACAAGAAACATTTAATCCAGAGTCCAGAGGTCATCAGATGACAGGTGTGGTCTCAGTGTTTATGTTTGTTACTGAACCCGTGAATATCTTTGTTCAGAAGAGGTTTGAAGAAATGTTTCGGCTCAATAGATTATCAAACTACAGGTGAATGTTTTAAATTATGGTAATGGATGTGTTTTTACAGTTTTGTGTAAACCCCCCTTTTTTAAAATGACTCATGAACACTAAGTAAAACAACATTAAAATCTGGTTAAAAAGGGTCGACATAAACTCTGATTGTTAGAGACTCTTCTGCACCAGATTAGAACAAATTAATATTTAAATATTGAAGAAAAAAGTGTCTGAACTCTTTTCTGTGGACTGATATCTGATGATGTGATCAGCTGTTACTTTACTTTATTTATACATTTGCTTTTTCTTTATAAACCAGAAAAGAAGCTGTTTTGACTTGAATCAGTCAGGATGATCATTGGCACTTTTTATTCTTGAAGTAATTTTAAAAATGAAGTTTATTCCAGTTACTACAAAGTGTTAGATAAGTTTATGCCAGTATTTGTTGACCAGCAGGGGGCGCTCAGACTCTGAGTGTATTTCTGCATTTACTGACTGATGTCCCTGAGTTTACACCTGATTTTACCAGGTTAACCTTTGTTACAGTCGTGGTGTTTGTTCAACATGTCAAATATAAGTCACTTTATTCTGTCTGAAGGTTTTATTACTGATTCTTCACACTAAATCACAAAAGAGCATCACTGTAATAGTTCAGCTGTGAGGACAATTCAAATGGTTTCTTCATATTTCATTTTGAATCTGTATTTTGTCCTTTTTTAAATGATGAATAAAGATGAAAAACTGATCTGGACTTTGTTTTGATTGATAGATGTCACAGGTACAAACCCACTCAGTCAGTGAGGGACATTTCTCCAACCTCAGCAGCTCCAGGGCTGTTTGAAAGAATAACAAAACTTGAACAAATATTCATCATCACTGTCTTCTGAATCATCTAAAGTCTGAGGAAGATCTGAAGAAATCTGAGGGAGGAAGTCCTTAAAGTGTGACCAACGATCCACCTGTAAGAATCAGTTTTTTAGTTGACTGCTCAAGGACAACCTGAGAAGTCTTCAGGTCTCAGATAAACCTTTTATTATGCTCACAGGTGGAGGAATACATCAAATTCAAATGAGTGAATATACTAAAAAACAGTATCTAGGTCTATTTTCAAGTAAGCTTCAAATCTACTAACTTTACCGACAGTTATTGAATCGTCATTAGCGATACAGTAACAGAGCTGTCGCCTCTGCTAAACTAGCTAACGCTATAATGTTAGCCCAGGTTAGCACACTAGCTGAGTGACTGTAACACTCAGGGCCTCTCCAGATTAGTTTAAATCATGAAAAGTAAATTAAATGTATTTTACCCTGCGGCACACGAACAGTGTTGGTCTTGGATGTTGTTATCTGGAATCGTGACGACTGTTAGCGAACTCTTCTCCCGCTTGCACTGGGATCTGTAAACACTCACCTCCATTTTACCTGTGGTCTCATTCACAACATCTAATTCTAAATTCTGGACACATCCCTCCAGGCCATAATAAAGTCCCCTTTGAAGGCTTCTCGAAGAAATCACGTCTTTCTGTGCCCAGAATTGGTCGAGACTTTCTTTTTGGGTAGCGATGTGACACCGGCGGCGGCCATTTTAGAGCACTGCTCAGTCCGAGTTAGCAACAGTAACTGAGGGGGGCGGGGCTTAGCGATAGGTCACTGTAATGTTTAATGTTTAATTAAATAAAAATGTAAAGTCGGACGATCCTCTCTTAATATTCCGGGAGAATGTCGAGTCAGAAAATCCATCATACATTTAAATAATAATAATAATAATAATAATAATAATAATAATAATAATAATAATAATAATAATAATAATAATAATAAATTTTAATGTGGTACAAATTAAATAAAAAGACAATTTCATTTCATGCTGAAAATCTAAATGTTTATTTTACACACATTTGAGGTGTGAAGAAACTTTAGTTTGTGAGGAGAATGAAGAGGGGAATTAATGAGCCGGGGTGCGTTGTGCCCGGATGACTTTCTGGAGGGACCGCCCTCTCCTCAGAGAAACTTTGGGAGGGAAATTTTCGGGTCTCCATCTTCTGAACTTTTCAACTGTGTTTTTCAGGTTTGAACGCTGTGAAATCCACAAAATTGTACCCTTACACTTAAACAATGTTAAACTAATCATAGCACGAGTTTTAAGTGTTTTGTTGACGAACTTTATCGTGTTATTCGTACTTAGAAAGGGAGCTAAAAATAGCGCCGCCGCTCAGCGCGGGAAGCGATCATTCTACAACCTGTGTAGCTAAAAACACGAACATCCTCGATATTTGAGTTCACTGTAAGCATTAAGATGTGCATCTCCAATCATTACATTTAAAGCGAGAACCCCGAACACTTGACATATAAATTAGTATTACCTGTTTTGGTATGAAAAAGATGTTTATCCGATTCAGACACAAAGTTATTGAGTTATTTCGTTGAAGTGAAAAGTATTGTTACAGAGGCTTGTAGATGAAAACGCAACTGTTGCTTAGAATAAGAAATGTTATTCTGTAGGATGTCTGACCTTTTTGATAAAAGCAGTCTTATATTGCAGTATATTATATTCTTATATTGCTGTAAGCAGTTTTAAAGGGCAGGTTTACTGTCTTCTAGCATCCTGTTAATAAATATTGATTCATGTGCTTTGAAAAGTTGCATTCTGCCTTTCAAATGGGTATTTAATGAATGTGGAAAAGGGGAGAAATCACATGAAGTGGACTTTATTAAAGAAACACACGGACACTATTACTATGGACATTCTAACACAGACATTATAACATTAAGGAAGGTTTTTATGGTTTTATGTGTTTTTGGCTTCTGTAATAAAGAGAAAATTCTGGAAGGAAAAATGAATGGCTCGGGTCTCTATCTTCTGAACTTTACTGCAGTGGAAAAGTTCTGAATAAAGAAAATCATTTGTTACGTTAAAACTCACCTGAGAAACCGGTAACATTAACATCAGTTTTACATAGTGAAGTGGGATTTTAGGGTTGGGTTTATTCAGACGTTTTTTTTAGGCTGAGCAAAAGTGAAAGTAAAGAGGACGTTGAGATAAACACGGACGCGGATTCTTCACGACTGCCCTGAAAAATGTCGGAAAAGACATGAAAATACCGTCAGCTGTGATCTCTGCCGGTGTTTGGATTCGTATTGATTGAACTCCTTCAAGGTAAGTCATGTTTTCATGTGGATTTATTGATTATCAGCGTTAAAGAAAACTCTGAACTGTCGTTTTTACAATAGAGAAGTAAGGGGAAACGTCTCGGTTTGTCTTCTGTCTTCTATTTTGTTCAGATCGTTTCTGTTTTATCTGTAATCCAAGAAAAATGGCTTCAAAAGTCCAGAATGTGATAATATACAGAAAAGCTCCCTTCAGTTTTTTAATGTCTATGGATAAAAACTGCATTTAAAACTTTGGTCTGACTTCAGAAAGGATCGGTATATTCACTCCTTTTAACCAGAAAAGACAGATAATGTGTAATTTAAGCATAAAGGTCACAACAATTCTGCTGAAAACACATTAAAACGGGATAAACGCGCCGTGACGCGGTTACTGCGACTCGACGGTGCAACTCAGGACGCAAGTAACTCTTCGCTGGAGCTCAGCGGACTACAGACAGTTGTCAGCAACAACTTTAAGGAGTAAAGCACCGTAAAAGCTGGACCTCCGTGTGTATTTAAAAAAAATCATAATGTGAAAAATTTACGAATCAACTGTCATAAAGAAAATAAACTCTAAAAATCCTAACCATTACCACGTGAACTAAAACGTTTTATATATTTACTCAGTCTAAATTTGTATATCTGTTTTTTTAGATGCATCTCATGTCTCTTCCTGGTTGTGTAGAGTTTGATGAGTGGGCGCCCCCTAGTGTCAGAAACAAATGAGTGCAGCTTTAATGTTGTCCACAGATTTAGACATAAAATGAAAGTTTAAATGACGACAGACAGACTGTAGATGATAACACTGACCTTTGACCTGTTGTCTTCTGACAGGGTGAAGATGGTCTCCAGGTTCCTGCTGCTCATGGCTCTGAGCGTCTGTGTCTCTGGTTGGTTTCCACCTTCACTTTCTTCTCCACAAAGAGAAAAGAGGAGATCCACTTTGAGACTGACTGAAACACTTGAACACTTCCATTAGAAAAGATGTTGAAAGACTCACATGTTCCTGTGTTTCTCTGCTCCTCTTTTTCCCTCTCTGTCTCCTCTACAGGAACACTTGTAGTCAACGTGGCTAATGGCTCCTATGAAGCAGAAGTGGGCCAGAACCTCACCCTGGAGTGGACCTTCACACCCAAACCTGACAGCTCTCTAAAAGATTTCCAAATTTTCTGTTCCATGTTCACTGTTCACAAGGAGTTGTTCCTGTTTAAGCTTCGTGAAGGAGTGGTGTTTCTCCAGTCTCAGGCTGAAGAGTTTGTAGGACGAGTCCAGTGTGACCAAGAGGTCCTCAAAGAGGGACGGATCAGACTTAATGTGTCCTCACTCAGGATTGAAGACTCAGGCCAGTACAGGTGTGTAGTGTGGAAAAACCATGGCTACAACTTCAACACCTGTGAGCTTTCAGTCACAAGTAAGATGAATCTGAAAATCTGAGAAAATTTTTGATAAATATATTATTAATTGTTTAAGTTTTCATTGTGGACTTTTTTTCAAGTTTGTCTTCACTTAAATGACTCTTAATGTTGGTCTCCCCACAGATCGGACTGTCTCTGAGACTGAACCTGAGAGACCGGCCTCAGCAAGTCGAGGAAGGATTGGTCTGTACTCTGGACTGACAGCAGCAGCATCAGTTGTGATGCTGTTCATTTTTTACTGTTTAATAATTCGCCTGCGAAATAAATGTGACAAACAGACAACTGAGACAGATTCAACAAGATCTTTCAGTTTAGGAGACAAAGAACCTTTGTCACAAGGTAACTGTCTTCAGGAGGACAAAAGCACAATCATTTCAGTCAGGACCACAGAGTCAGAGAAAAGTTCCTCTTTTTTGATGCAGTAAGTTATTTCTGTCTCTTCTCTGAAAGGTCTCATCCTTTGCCAAAGTCTGAGATGGACAGAACAGCAGCAAAGACCTGAGAAGCAGATCAGAGTCAAATCAGTGACAAGACATTAGACCAGACACAGGAGCAAAAGGAGGAGGCGGGCTGCAAAGCTCCACTTTGTGGCCAGCCTGGACTAACACTTGGCACTTTGTCACTTTGTCCGTAGATATGAACCGAAACTTCATTCAAGCTGACAGACTTTTTTATCCATTTTGGTGCTGAAGCCTGCAGGAAATCATTTCGAGACTGTTTGAGTTAAAGTATCGCTGCTACAGATATAAAGATGTGAATCCAAGGAAAACTTGGTCCATGATTCTCTAAAGACAGAGCTCTGACCCTGCTGATGTGTCCGACAGCTGCCATACGAAAACACTCTGAACAGAAAAGTCTGTTTTCAGCCGTCTTTGTTATTATGATTTTTTTTAAAGCTTTTTTTTATAAAGAAAGAAAATCTGCAACTGTAAAAAAAAAAAAAAGAGAGAGTTGAAGAAGAATTAATCAGGTTTTTGTAAATATTGTGATTTTGTATTTTTCTGCTTTTACTTGAATTAACTTATAAATTAAAATAAAATCAGTGTTTGACTCACCAGAGATCATCCGTACTTTATTACTTCACACAGTCTGTTTCATTATTTTTTTATGTACAACCCAAATTCAGACAAACTGGGGCAGCATGTAAAATGTGAATCAAAACAGATTTTGATTAAAGTCCGTACTTCATCAGCAGGACTCTTCTCCTACAGAGCCATGCTGTTATCGTCCCTGTTGTCAGGATGTGGTTTGGGATCATATGAAGGTCTTCCCTGAAAAAGTCTTTGTCTCCATGGCAGCAGATGTTGCTCCTAAACCTGGAGATGTTGTTTAAAACTTAGGATGCAACATCTATGATTTCTAACTCTTTGTTGAAAGGGCAACTGGACTTACTTGAGACATTTCTAAGTCCGGCCCACTTCACCTCATGTGTCCTCCTGATAAGGACCTGCCCATCATAGTGAAAGTGGAAGTTATCGCTGCACCATGAAGTCAAGCTCTGAGACCACCAGGTAATGTTTTTTTTATTAATTTGATATGTTCATTATTAACTCGGTCTTTTAGTGGAGCTCAGGTTGGATGAGGTTCTGTCAGACCATCATGGGTCAGTAGAGAGTCCTGCCAAAGGTTTCACTGAGGACTTTTGGGTGTCTTCAGTTTGTGGAGCTCTAACTGTTCTACACACATTTACTAATATGTTAGTGGATTTGTTCAAACATGGTTTGGAGCAACTAATTGACCCTGAACAGTCTGTGTTGTCGTGCTCTAAGAATTAAAGAAATCAATGATCAAAACCACCTGAAAACCAGCTTTGAAGAGTTTTCACTGCCGGCAGATGGTCAGTATACACCACACTATCTAGTGTCTCAGAAATAGAAGGGGACTGTTTGGATCACAGTGGCTGTTTCAGGCTTTTGTCCATTGAGGATAACAGAGAAGATGAGCAGAAGATCTGAGTCTTGAGCTTTGTCTTCAAGATAGATAGGGACTATGTAGATCTGATAGTTTAATGATTTGATTTCACCACCAGAGGGCGGCAGAGAAAACTAGTCTTGATACTGACTTTGTTGTGATGGGAGAAGCCAGGGTAGAAAAGCTGATACAGGAGAGATGAGCTCTCCTCTCCTGGTTCTGGTACTGACTCAAATGTGTGTGTGTGTGTGTGTGTGGTTCCTCTGACAGGGTGAAGATGGTCTCCAGGTTCCTGCTGCTCATGGCTCTGAGCGTCTGTGTCTCTGGTTGGTTTCCACCTTCACTTTCTTCTCCACAAAGAGAAAAGAGGAGATCCACTTTGAGACTGACTGAAACACTTGAACACTTCCATTAGAAAAGATGTTGAAAGACTCACATGTTCCTGTGTTTTTCTGCTCCTCTCTTTCCCTCTCTGTCTCCTCTACAGGAACACTTGTAGTCAAAGTGGCTCACAGATCCTATCAGGCAGAGGAGGACCAGGACCTCACCCTGGAGTGGACCTTCACACCCAAACCTGACAGCTCTCTGAAGACTCTGAACATTTTCTGTTCCATGGTCAACAATCAGAAAGACTCAGTCCTGTTTCATCTTCGTAAAGGAGTGGAGGTCCCACAGGCTCAGAGTAAAGAGTTTGTAGGACGAGTTCAGTGTGACAAAGAGGTCCTCAGAGAGGGACGGATCAGACACCATGTGTCCTCACTCAGGACTGAAGACTCAGGCTGGTATCAGTGTCAAGTAAATACAGAGTATGGGAACAGTTTGGACAGATGTGATCTCAATGTGACTGGTGAGTTAAAATCAGAAGTCTGAATTTGGTCAATAAGAAGTTGAGACAGAGAAATAAGTTTTGTTGTTTTTCTAACAGAGAGGACTCGGACTGTTGGTGAGCCTGAACCTGACAGGCAAACCTCAGGGAGTCGTGAAAGGATCAGTCTCTACCCTGGACTGACAGCAGCAGCAGCAGCAGCAGCACCTATACTCGTTGTTTTTATTGGTTTAATATTTTACAGAAATGAAGAAAGGTCTCAGATTATCCAAGCACAGGAGAATCTTTTAAAATTAGATAATGGGTGGTTTTACAGTTTTGTGTAAATATCTGTTTTTGATTATTCCTCATGAGTACAAAGTAAAACTTTAACATTAAAATCTGGTTAAAAAGGGTCGACATGAAGCTCTGAATACTTGAGACTCTTCTAAACCAGATTTGATCAAACTGATATTTAATTTTTTTTTCTTTAATTTCATCATCTATACATTTTCTTTTTTAATGAATGAGATGAGGAGTTGTTTTGACTTGAATCAGTCAGCGTGATCATTGTCACTTTTTATTCTTTAAGTAATTCTACAAATTACTTTTACTCCAGTATGTAGAATTCATTAAATAGGTCATGGTAGTATTTGTTCACCAGCAGGGGGCGTTCAGACTCTGAGTGTATATCTGCATTTAGACAAGTTCATATCAGACTGCTTTTTGAGGTTAATTGAAGCCTGTTTGCTTTAGTAACAGATATTTCCTATTTTACCAGCTCAGCTCTTGTTACAGTCGTGATGTTTGTTTAACATGATGAATATAAGTCACTTTATTCTGTCTGAAGGTTTTATTACTGATTCCTCACACTGAAGAATACTAGAGCAGCACTCTAATGGTTCAGCTGTGAGGCCAATTCAAAGTTTCTTTCTATTTTTCTTTGTGTTTATTTTGTACTGTTTATTATTTGTTCGTCTGTTTGTTTGTTTGTTTGTTTGTTTGGATAAATAAAGATGAAAATCTTACCTGGACTTTGTTTTGATTGATAGATGTCACAGGTACAAACCCACTCAGTCTGTGAGGGACATTTCTCCAACCTCAGCAGCTCCAGGGCTGTTTGACAGAATAACAAAACTTGAACAAATATTCATCATCACTGTCTTCTGAATCATCTAAAGTCTGAGGAAGATCTGAAGAAATCTGAGGGAGGAAGTCCTTAAAGTGTGACCAACGATCCACCTGTAAGAATCAGTTTTTTAGTTGACTGCTCAAGGACAACCTGAGGAGTCTTCAGGTCTCAGATAAACCTTTTATTATGCTCACAGGTGGAGGAATACATCAAATTCAAATGAGTGAATATTTGAAAAAAACAAAGTTTATCAGTTTGAATATTAAATATCTCTGTTAAGCATTTAGTTAAATCGAGGTAAGTTTGTGTTTTTATTTTACTCAGCGTCACATATCCACCAGAGTTCGTGTCTGTATTTTTTTTAATCACGTGTTTTTGTGGCGTATTTAAAAACAAGTTAAACTTTCACTTTCATTTTGACGTTTCTGCTGATAAAGCTCCCCTCCCCCTTCCCCGTAACTAACTAGAGTTCAGAACAAAGACTGACAGCAGCTGATGCAAACACACTGAAAGCTTTCAAGTCTTCGAACAGATCCCTGCTGACTCTGATACAAACCTGTGAGTACTGACTGTTTTATTATAAATATGTATTTGTATCCTTTAGTGTTGTTAGTCTGTCGTTGTTGTTGCTGTTGTTGTTGTTGTTGGTCTGTGTTCATAAACTCCTTTAAACGACCGTCAGTAAACCTCTTCAAATCTGCTTAGAGTTTGTATATTAATTATTGAGTTAGTGGATAAAAAAGGTTCAAAACTTGAAACTTTACCGAGTCCAGAAATTCAACGACAGTCAGAATACAGTTAACCAAGGAGAAACAAAAAAAAAAATTCAACAAAAGTGGAATTTAAAACGTTTTCAAATTAATTAACGTATTCAGTTCTAATCGTATTCAGTTGTCGTTTAAAGATTAATCGATTCGTCGATGTAAAGTTTTGTTTTAATTTAAGCAAAGCCGTGTTTTGGACTTTGATACAGGAAATGTGCACAAGCGAATGGCTTTAACAGCAAACGCATGTAACGTCGTGTTTTTTCCGGATTCCTACCACGGTCTCTTTAAACTGTTATGTGTTGTTGATCTTAGATTACCACTGTAAATATTTATAGATCGATAATTGATCGATTTAAAGAATCAAAAATTTTAAAAAAAAATAAAGTTTGTGTAAATTGACATAAAATCAGAATTTGGTGGTTTGAACAAGTTTGGATATCTGCCGTAATTATTGAGTTTGTGGATTAAAAAGGTTCAAAACTCCAGGATTTGGTCTTTAAACTTTAACGAGTCCTGAAAATAAACGACAGTAAGAAAACATTTGACCACGGAGACACAAAAAGTGGAATTTAAAACGTATTTTTACGTATTCTGTTTTAATCGTATTTGGTTGTCGTTTAGAGAGATTAATCGATTCGTCGATGTGAAGTTTTGTTCGAATTTAAGTAGAGCTGTGTTTTGGACTTGGACACAGGAAGTGTGCACTTGCAAGTGAGGCTCAACAAACGCATACACCCTGATGTTATTTCCGGATCTCTATCACGGTCTCTTTAAACTGTTATTTGTTGTTGATCTTAGATTACCACTGTAAATAGATCGATAATTTATGTTTTTGTGGAAAAGGGTTTATTTTTTTTAAATAAAATTTGTGTAAATTGACATAAAATCAGAATTTAATAGTTTGAACATCACTTTAAGAAAAAAACTTTTTGAAACATTTCGTAGATACTAAATAAAAATTAGATTTTTAACCCTAGAACACTATCGCTAACACCATCACTATCGCCGGGAGATTTTTCCTCGAAATAATACACGCAATAAAAAATACTTGTCATCAAAATATATCAAAATAAGACAAAACATCACAAATTAAAGTAGTTTTCTTCTATTTTTTTTAACTGTGCAATGTCCAAAGGGAGGGAAAAACGTGCCATGTGGGAACCATATAAAAGTGCAACAAAATAACTAAAATTAGGTATTCATCAACAAAAAAAATCCAAAAAATAAACTTTAAACTTGTTTTCTTTTCCATTCGTTCTTGGGGCATGTGAGTCTGCCCTGGTGAAGGCTCAGGGTCCTTGGCACAATAACAGCTGCAGGAGAGAGAAACAAAATATGGCAGATTGGGAGTAAAAATGACTCAAATATTTCTTATCACCATAAAGACTCCCTTGAAAATCACTGATCTGTGATAGTTAATCATAAACACTGCGCTAAATAAAGATAGCATGTAAATCCCTCTCTCTTTCTCTCTTTCTCTTGCTCTCTCTCTCGCTCTCTGTCTCTCTGTGGTTTAGACATGATCACTGTTGAAATGCTCCCCGTCAGCTGCCTTCACGCACTTCCTGCCATCAGCTGTCAGAGCCTCATCCATCGCAGACACATGGACAGGTTGGTCTTCATCGTCTAACACCTGTAACCATGACCATAACCTCTCTGTGGTCACTTCTTTTGTTTTCTGAAGGGGTCACAGGTCAGGTTCGGTTAAAGTTCATGTTTTTATTTTCTAACAGGAGACTCAGAGGTCGTCTTGGTAGAAGAGCTTAAAGTTGAGACAGTGAGAGAGTGCTGATAACCACACCCATCCAGGTACGATAGAAGATGTTTCTGTATGAATTTATCTGAGATAGTTCATGGATTTTAAACGACAGCAGTGAGTCGTCTATGAAAAAAACCTGTAATGGCTGACCTTTGACCTCCTGTGTTTGTGTCTCTTCAGCTGTAGAAGATGATGGCCTCCATGATCCTGCTGTTCTTCAGCCTGACCTGCTGTGTCCATGGTAAGTTGACTCAAATGATTTTAACGGGTACTAACAGGTCCGGTGGTTCCCCTTTAGGGCGGAGAACTTTTAATCCTAGGTGTCCAAAAAACAAAGTCACATTTGGACTTCAAATTTGGTCTCTGAAATGAAACTTGAAGAGTCACTTTTTAATTACAGCTTCAAGAGTTTTCATTGGTCCAACCTAACGAGAACTTCCATCTAACACTAATGCTGCGTTCTAGTTCCCTCGTAAGTCAGATGTCGGGGCTGGAAATGACGTTATACCCGATTTGACAGCGTTCCAGTTACCAAGTCGGAAAACCAAGATCGATAGTTACCCGTTGTCAGTTGTTGTTAGGAGTTGTTGGCGGTTGTTAGTTGTCGTTAGCTCTACCAGTTGTAAACAACGAACACAGTGTTTTACTCTTACAAACACCACAGCACCGTGTTCACAGTTAGACGTTGGGCAGTACAACATGAAACATTATGAGAGTTATTGTTACTCTTTACTGTTGATGCACTGTGCTGCCATCTTGGATTATGGCGTTGTCGTCAAGTCGGGGTTGGTGAGGATCGTCCAACTCTCAGAGTCGGGAATCCAAATTCAGGGGGGCGTTCCAGATGAATTTCCGACTTGGAGCTCGGACATCCCGACTTCTGAATACAACTGGAACGCAGCATTAAACTCATACCTCACAAAGATGGAGGAACTCTGTGATCCGATAAACGGCTGTAGCTTCACAATGAAACACTTCAACATTCAGAGCTGGTTGTTTTTCTGCTCCTCTCTGTCTCCTCTACAGGAACAGTTGTGGTCAACGTGGCTCACAGCTCCTATCAAGCAGAGGAGAACCAGGACCTCACCCTGGAGTGGACCTTCACTCCTAAACCTCAGAGCTCTCTGAAAGATCTCTTTATCATCTGTGACTTTTTGACTGACCAGAAAGACTTGGTCCTGTTTTATCTTCGTGAAGGAGTGGAGGTCCCACAGAAGGATGGAGACTTTTCAGGACGAGTCCAGTGGGACAAAGAGGTCCTCAGAGAGGGAAGGATCAGACTTAATGTGTCTTCACTCAGGACCGAAGACTCAGGCTGGTACGCCTGTAATGTGAAGACGGATATCGGTGGAAACCTCCGTCTGTGCCGCGTCACAGTGACGGGTGAGTCGATTTAGTAAAACTGGAGCTAAAAATGAGAAAGTAGAGGAATAAAAAAATATAATGAACTGACACAAACTACAATCTTTATTGACTTTATTGAGGAATGTGGCAGTGATTCCGAGCCCATGCAGCAACTCCCACAATGGAGTCATGTCTGTTTCTCATGCGGCGCTGCCCAGAAGATCTTTGTACAGACATTTCTCCAGAATCCAGATAATAACAAAGTCTCTGTTTGTCTCCTTCCAGCAGCCAAGAACCAGAACAGATCTGAGAGAGAAGCAGAAAGTCCAGACATAGTGATGTGGGGATGGACAGACTTCCTCACTCAAGTGGGAATGATAGCAGGAGTTGCTGCGGTGCTCTTTGCTCTTTGCCTTTATATCTCTCGCTCTTTTCCTGGTTGTGGCCGTGGTCGTGTAGTAGTACATGTGATTGATGTCATATCTAAGGAGCGGCGCTATCATGGTTACATGCAACAGCAGTTCTGTCATCATGATATGACAGGGAGAATCTGAATGTGCATGAGATGAGAACAAAGTAGGATCCTGAAAAGCATAACCACCTGCTCACCTGACTCTATCCTGCCTGTTACCATCCATCAAATCAAAGAGAGCTTAATTATGTGTTCACTGTCTACTTTATTTTTTATTAAGCTGATCTGGGTATGATATTTCCATGTAAATCTCTATATGCTGAACTTTTCTTTCCTGCTCTCTAACCTGATATGATGATTTGTAAAAAAAAAAAAATGATGTGAAATGTGCTCTGTATAAAATTTGGGTGGAGCCGAAATCAGGACTTCCCGTATGTTTGCACTGAATCTTTGCTGCTGTAAATACTGAATAGAATAGAAGAATCAAGAAGTTTATTGTCCGAAATTCATCTTTCGACTGTCTTGACTTTTTGAGCTTTTGTATCACAGTTTGTACTAGAGACACTTTAAGACATGCTGACTGTTCTCATAACCTCGAGTATTTTAATTCACTCAAAAATTTTACCTAAATATTTAAATTCATTGTGTTTGTCTGTTTTGTTTTCCTTTAAATCCTTTTAAACATTCATTTATAAGTGACTGTATGTTTTCTCTTTGCATTGTAACAGTGTCTTTGAGTTCTATGAAAAGTCCTTTGTAAATAAAATTGATTATTATTGAAAAAAATAAATCAAATACATATTTTTATTCTAACATGTTGGTTTATCCTATATCCTATATTATCCTATCCGTAGGGGGCGCTCTTTACTCAATGTCAAAAACCACAATTGACCTATCGCTAAGCCCCGCCCCTCGGATGCAGATTAGCCAATGGCGGTTTAGTATCGTTGCACCGGGACCGGAACTCGAATGTCCGTAGCTTTTAGCGCCATAGATAACTATAGACGTGTTGATTTTTCACCTGTTTTATGGCGTTAATTTCAGTAAAACACAATTAAACATGGTGTGCATGGGGTAGATGTAATACCGACACAGGGTATCCCGGCAATGGTGTGTACTTCATTCAATTTTCGAAACCAAAGAAAGGCCGAAACAAATGTCTGCTATGGATTAAATTGTGTAGCAGACCACACAGCCAATTTAACGTCCAGAAGATCAACAAAGATGTCTACGTTTGTTCTAAGGTAAGCTTTAAATCTACTAACCTTACCGACAGTTATTGAATCGTCATTAGCGATGCATTAACAGAGCTGTTGCCTCCGGTAAACTAGCTAACGCTACAATGTTAGCTCAGGTTAGCACACTAGCTGTGTGGTTGTAACTATCTCCACAAACAAAGCGCGAGTGAATTACCTTTGAAAATCAACGCAAAAACGAAATTAGAGCTCACAAGACTCTTGGGACGCGATTTCGGCGAATTTAAACGGATATTCGCGTCGCGATATCCAATCAGCTCGAAGGTTGCTGGGTGACGTATGAAAACGGACCGTTGTTCACTGCTGTCTAAACTGGGGGACAAACTGATCGTGTCGGTGTGTGGGAGTCACGAATTCTGTGAAAGCTTTTCTTTCAATTACCGAAACAGGAAGAAAATGAGCTCGCCTGGAGGCAGGTGAGTGAGGAGGTCGGATTATCTGGTAAATTGTAAAAGATCTTCGTTTATCACTTGATCTCGCCGGTTGAATTGCAGGGATTAAAGTTGAAATTACTGTTGACGCACGTATGAAGCGAGAAGATGATTCTACTCGCATTTGGTGTTAGCGCCCCATTATTATCATCTATTTTATGGCGTTAATTTTAATATCACAAAAATGAACATGGTTTAAAAGGTGCGCATGGGGTAGATATAATACCGACAAAAGGTATCCCGACAGGATGGACAATGGGGAGTATTTTATTCCACTTCCAAAACCGCAGAAAGATCGAAACAAATGTCTGCTATGGATTAAGTTGTGTGGCAGACCACACAGCCAATTTAACGTCCAGAAGATCAACAAGGATGTCTCAGTTTGTTCCGAGGTAAGTTCTAAGGTAAGCTTTAAATCTACTAATCTTACCAACAGCTTTTTAATTGTCATTAGCGATACAGTAACAGAGCTTTCGCCTCTGGTAAACCAGCTAACGCCATAATGTTTGCCCAGGTTAGCACATTGGCTGAGTGACTGTAACACTCAGTGCCTTAGTGTAAATAATGAAAGGTCAATTAATTTAATTTTACCCTTCAGTACAGTGGGGATAGGCCATTGTAATGTTTTATATTCTGGGAGAATTCCGAGTCAGAAAATCCACAAAACATAGACGTAAAAATAATTAGTTTTAAAATCAGTTTTACAAAGTGAAGACGGTCTTCAGATGGTTTCTGTACGGCAGAGCAAAAATGAACGTAGGACAGTGGGGTAAACAAGGATGCAGATTCTTCACGACTGACCTGAAAAATGTCGGAAAAGAATATTTCTGTAAATATTGTGATTATGTATCACTCTAATTTTACATGAATTAACTCATAGATTAAAATAAAAACAGTGTTTGACTCACCAGAGGTCATCCGTACTTTATTATTTCACACAGTCTGTTTTATTTATTTTTTTATGTACAACCCAAATTCAGACAAAGTGGAACTGCATGTCAAATGTGAATAAATACAGAGTCTGATTAAAGTCCGTATTCCATCAGGATGTATTTCATTCAGGATGTGGTTTGGGATCATACAAAGGTCTTCCCTGAAAAAGTCTTTGTCTCCATGGCAGCAGATGTTGCTCCTAAACCTGGAGATATTGTTTAAAAATGAGGATGCAGCATCTATGATTTCTAACTCTTTGTTGAAAGGGCAACTGGACTTACTTGAGATATTTCGCCTAAGTCCGGCCCACTTCCCCTCATGTGTCCTCCTGATAAGGACCTGCTCATCATAGTGAAAGTTGAAGTTATCGCTGCACCATGGAGTCAAGCTCTGAGACCACCAGGTAATGTTTGTTTATATTAATTTAATATTTTCATTATTAACTCGGTCTTTTAGTGGAGCTCAGGTTGGATGAGACCTATGTTAGTGGATTTGTTTTAACATAGTTTGGAGCAACTAAGGCTTCACCAGCAGGGCTCTGATCTGGTCTAAAAGCAACTCTGCACTCCGTTTCTCTGCAGCAGTCAAAGCTTGATCTCGGTCAAACATTAGGATCACAGTGGCTGTTTCAGTCTTTTGTCCAACGAGGATAACAGAGAGGTCGAGCAGAAGATCTGAGTCTTCAGCTTTTTCTTCAAGATATATAGGGACTATGTAGATCTGATAGTTTAGGAATCGATTCCACCACCAGAGGGCAGCAGAGAAAACTAGTCTGGATACTGACTGAGGGTTTTGTTGTGATGGGAGAAGCCAGTGTAGAAAAGCTGATACAGGAGAGATGAGCTCTCCTCTCCTGGTTCTGGTACTGACTCGGATGTGTCTGTGTGTGTGTGGTTCCTCTGACAGGGTGAAGATGGTCTCCAGGTTCCTGCTGCTCATGGCTCTGAGCGTCTGTGTCTCTGGTTGGTTTCCACCTTCACTTTCTTCTCCACAAAGAGAAAAGAGGAGATCCACTTTGAGACTGACTGAAACACTTGAACACTTCCATTAGAAAAGATGTTGAAAGACTCACATGTTCCTGTGTTTCTCTGCTCCTCTCTTTCCCTCTCTGTCTCCTCTACAGGAACCTTTGAAGTCAAAGTGGCTCACAGATTGTATCAGGCAGCAGAGGACCAGGACCTCACCCTGGAGTGGACCTTCACCATCAAACCTGACAGCTCTCTGCAGACTCTGAACATTTTCTGCACTATGATCAACGATCGGAAAGAATCAGTCCTGCTTGAGGTTCATAAAGGTGTGGAGGTCCCAGAGAAGGAGGGAGACTTTGTTGGACGAGTCCAGTGTTACAAAGAGGTCCTTAAAAATGGACGGATCAGACTTCATGTGTCCTCACTCAGGGCTGAAGACTCAGGCGTGTATCAGTGTGAAGTTGAGACAGAGTATGGGAGCAGCTTGGACAGATGTCATGTCAAAGTGATCAGTGAGTCGATTAATTTCTCAGCAGAACTTTAAAAAGACGTTCAGTTCAGTTTCTGTTTGTTTTTGGATCCAGAAGAATCTGAGATTAAAGTATCATTGAGGTTTTTATGGACCTGTTCCTGTTGATCTCTTGTTTGTTTATTCTTCTCCTGAATGACTCTCACCTGTTGGTTTCTCTACAGAAAAGATTGATCCCTTACCGCTGATACTGTCTGCAGCAGTAATAATAGGTTTGTTCGTTGGTTTATACTTTGATCTTAAACGACGTGCCGACCACTCCGCCTGGAACTGACCCACCGAGGAGAGAGGAGAGTCCAACCTGAGGGCCTCAGTCCTCCAAACCAGTGCAAACAGACGAAGAGAAGAGAGAGAAACTGAACTCTGAACCTCAACATCAGATAATAATTAATGAAATGACTTATTTTAATGTTTGAAGATTGATTGATTGTGTTGATGTGTTGGTGTTTTAGAGACCTGAGTTGAACCTGATTTGTTAATGGAGAAAATGTGTGAGTTTAATGTTCATTATTTTCTGTTGGAAAATGTTAGTTTGAGATTATTTAGATTTTTAATGTTTTCTTTGAACCTTTAGATTAAATCCTCTACACTCTGAAGATCTGTATGACCCACAATAGCTGTAAATAAATCTTGTGGAGAGCTTCTTCTTGGATCTTGTGTTTAAATGTGCCCCACATCAGCTGTTCATCGTACCTCCACCTCTGCAGAAATATCATTTTTTCACACAGTTTTCTGGAGTCCAGACTGAAGGAAATGCAGCAGCTCAGCAGAGCTCTGACACCAACAAAACAGGCATCTTCATAGCTGTCAGATAGTCCATCCATCCAGTTTCTTCTGCTCATTCAGAGACAGCAGGCTAAGAACCTCAACTCAAATGCCAAAACCACCTTAAGGGACTACTTTGGACATGAAGGAGCAGCAGGTCTACTCTGAGCTCTCCCTGAATGTCCAAACCTCTAACCCTGTCTCTGAGGCTGAGCCCTCAAGTCTTTGCCTCTATATACATTTTTCTCCCCCCTGGTTGAATGTTGACATGTAGTTACTATTATGGGGCGCTCACACCAGTGTGTGTGTGTGTATATGTGTTTGTATCACCTGCTAAGGGACTATAGATGTAAATTAGCAATGTAGCTAACTCTGGCATATTTACATTTGTATTATTATACTTTAGTTCAGTAACGAAGCTGCTCTACAGTTTGCAAAGCGAACTGTCCAAAGTAAGTCCAGTTGCCCTTTTCTAAAGACTGTCTCTGTCCACCAGAGACTTCTCTGGTGGTTCAGGATCCTGCCTCTCTGGTCTCCTCATTCAAGGCTCACTTTGAACCTCTTTAGTGGATGGGTTAGGGTTAGGTGAGTCCGCCTCTCCAATCTGTTGGAAATGAAGCTAGTCGCTTTGGAGAAGTTTCTCCTCCTGCAGCTGCTTTTAAAAACATGAAGACTGAGAGTTAATCCTTATTGATCAGCTGTTTAAGTCCGACCCACTTCACCTCATGTGTCCTCCTGATAAGGACCTGCTCTTCATAGTGAAAGTTGAAGTTATCGCTGCACCATGGAGTCAAGCTCTGAGACCACCAGGTAATGTTCGTTTATTTTAATTTGCCATTTTTATTATTAACTCGATCTTTTAGTGGATATGTTAGTGGATTTGTTTAAACATGGTTTGGAGCAACTAAAGCTCCACCAGCAGGACTCTGATCCGGTCTAAAAGCAGCTCTACGCTCCGTTAAACAGCAGTTAAAGCCTAAACTTGGACAAACTGCCTTGTTTGTGTCTTTTCAATATTTGGATCACAGTAGCTGTTTCAGTCTTTAGAGAGAACAGAGAAGACAAGCAGAAGATCTGGGTCTTCAGCTTTGTATTTGTAGTGGTATGAGGCACCATGGCCTCAAGCTCGGCTCTGTTTGCCTCTCAAGCTCTTAGCCAATCATAGTGCAGGCAGAGGGTATAAAAGTAGGCTGCGTTCCTCCACCTGACCTCTCGCTTCCTGCCTCTTCGGCCCGCCCACTTCCGGGTCGTCGCCCATACTGCTCACCTCGGAGCACAGATCTGGCATTTGGCGTCTGGGGACGAGACTGTCGGGCGCGTTCACCGCTGTCATCCAAGCCTAGGTGAGTCATGGCGAGCTACCTTTTGTTTGTTGTTGTTAGCCAGGTGCTAAGCCCCTTTCCGCTCCTTCCCTCATAGTTGTCGGTCTCCTCGTGCAGCGCGTGGCTGTCTCCGCCTGCTGTGCAGGCTTTCTTCACCCCTCTCCCTCTTGGACAGGACTAAAATTCACGGCGGACGAACCGGACTTTGCAGACACTGAAAAGCTAAGTATGAAAGGCCCTGTCTCATTATGGCTTGTTAGCCCCCGGCTACCTGGATACTGCTGCTGTGCTGCTGCTGTTGCTTCGCTGCCGCTTCGCTGCCGCTTCGCTGCCGTTATTAAACGCCTCCGCTGCTTCCGCTGTTTGCCGGCCTGCTTCGGGGTGCGGTCGGCTGCCTCACGCCGACTCCCCTTTGTTGACTTTGTCCCCCAGCAGCCGTGCTAGGTGCGGAGCGAGTGTGTTACCCGGGTGGACGCGACTGCGAGTCCCCGGTTCGGACTGTGTGTGAGGATGTGTGTTTGACTTTTTAAAGGCACTCTGTGAAGGTCGCTCATTCATTTCGTTTTTGTTCTTTTTGGGTAATTTCTTGGTTTGGTTGTTTTCTTTATTTGTTTTGTTTAAGTGATTTGTTTATTTTTTGGAAACGTACTTATTATACTTTAATGGGTAATGTTTTAGTTGGAGATCCTTTTTGTTAGTGCTTTGAATGAATTAATTTTTGGTTTTCTGAGTTTATCTCTGGCCAGAGAGTCGTAATTTGTTTCCTTTGTTTGATTTCTGATTCATTTTGAACATTATTACCCAGTTAAATTGATTAGTTATTGATTTGGTTATGTTTTGGTGTGTTTTCTTTATGAGTCCCTTGCCCTAATTGTGTTTCTTTTCCCCCTACAATGCTGACGGCCAACGGTGGTGGTGGTGGTGGTGATCCCTGAGTGTGTGCGTTTTATTTGACTCCCCGTTTGAAGATTTATTTGTGTGCACCTTATGTTTGCTGTGAGTGGGGTGTTCTCTTTTCTTTGGACGTCACCAGTTTTGACCCCTCCTCTAGCCCGTACGCCTCAGCCTGTATCCCTGTTTTAGTTGGGCTCTGTCATTATCATATTTTGCATCTTATTAATTATGTTGACCTTTTATTAATAAACTTTGTACGTTGATTATTGACTCTCGTCTCCTGCCTCCCTGGTTGAACGAACCTGAGTGCCTCAGATATCTAGGTAATTGACCTTTAGATACAGGTCCTTGGGCCCTCTCCCAAGGTGGCGTTGTTGGACAACAAAGTTCGGGTGGTACCCAAACTGATAATATATAGCTCGTGCCGCCACATCTTCAAGGTAGAGAGGGACTATGTAGATCTGATAGTTTAATGATTTGATTCCACCACCAGAGGGCGGCAGAAAAAACTAGTCTGGAAACTGACTGAGGGCTTTGTTGTGATGGGTGAAGCCAGTGTAGAAAAGCTGATACAGGAGAGATGAGCTCTCCTCTCCTGGTTCTGGTACTAACTTGGATATGTCTGTGTGTGGTTCCTCTGACAGGGTGAAGATGGTCTCCAGGTTCCTGCTGCTCATGGCTCTGAGCGTCTGTGTCTCTGGTTGGTTTCCACCTTCACTTTCTTCTCCACAAAGAGAAAAGAGGAGATCCACTTTGAGACTGACTGAAACACTTGAACACTTCCATTAGAAAAGATGTTGAAAGACTCACATGTTCCTGTGTTTTTCTGCTCCTCTCTGTCTCCTCTACAGAAACATTTGAACTCGATGTGGCTCACAAATCCTATCAGGCAGAGAAGGACCAGGACGTCACCCTGGAGTGGACCTTAACACCCAAACCTGACAGCTCTATGCAGACTATGAACATTTTCTGTGGTCTGTATAAGGATCAGAAAGCTTTAGTCCTGCTTGAGGGTTCGTAAAGGGGTGGAGGTCCCATTGAAGGAGGGACACTTTTTAGGTCGAGTCCAGTGGGACAAAGAAATCCTCAGAGAGGGACGGATCAGACTTCATGTGTCCTCACTCAGGACTGAAGACTCAGGCTTGTATCAGTGTGAAGTTAATACAGTGTATGGGATGAGCTTGGACACATGTCAACTCACTGTGACAGGTGAGTTGATTTATTCTTTAGCAGAACTTTAAAAAGACGTTCAGTTCAGTTTCTGTTTGTTTTTGGATCCAGAAGAATCTGAGATTAAAGTATCATTGAGGTTTTTATGGACCTGTTCCTGTTGATCTCTTGTGTTTGTTTATTCTTCTCCTGAATGACTCTAACCTTTTATTCTCTCTCCAGGAAAGACCCTTTTCATTGTGCTGGTTCTGTATGCAGCAGCAATGATAGGTGTGCTCTGTGGTGGTTCATTTCTCATCAAACGATACTGCTGCCAGTAAGACAGATCCACCGAGGAGAGTCCAACCTGAAGGCCTCAGTCCTCCTCCACTCCATCCAACCCTATGCAAACAGATAAAGAGAAGAGAGAGAAACTGAACTCTGAACCTCAATATCAGAAAAAAATTAATGAAATGACTTATTTTAATGTTTGAATGTGTTGGTGTTTTAAATTCATTACTTTCTACTAGGCCTGCACGATATATCGTTTGACTATCGTCATCGCGATGTACGTGTGTGCGATAGTCACATATTGGAGGTGAATGAACTCATTTAATTTCAAGGGTAACCGACTGAGATACACTCCATGTGACTCTGCATGTGCTGTGCAGCGATCCACCAATCACCTTCGTCCTTAACTCAGTTGCCAATCAGACTTAATTCTCAGTTGCCAATCAGACTACCCTGCCAGCTGTCAATCAAAATCAGGGAGGAGGAAACCCACCCCTGCACATGTTCTGCACATGGAGGGAGACGTGTGTCCGCTGAGAATTACTTTCGGAACTTTACTGACTGTTAAGCCTAACAAATAAGAACTGTATGGGTTTTAAATCGTACATTTCCGTGGACCACTCTACTATAAGCAGTGCGCGTTTTGCGAGGTGCATGCAATTCTCGGAGGACATGCGTTTCTCGGCACAACACCGCTAACAACAACAACAACAACGATCGCAAAATGAACAACGAACAAGCGAAAACCACCGAAAATGAAGATTTGTTGCCAAAAAGAAAAGGAAAGTCAGTTATCTGGAATTATTTCGGTTAAAAGAAGGATGATGTCGACCAAAACACGTGTTCTGTGTTCATCTGTTGCCACAATAACGTCCCAGCACAATAAAAGCTAAAAATATCTCTGAGACAGACAGAAGCCGTTCTACTAACATTAACAAAAAGAGGTAAGATCAGAGCAGATTAACTGTCCTCAAGATTTCAGCAGTGCAGCATAACATTAAATGCTATTCAGGTCTTCTGGTGAAAATTCCTGTATTTTTAATATCGCAATATATATCGCAGGGTTGAAAAAATCGCAATATTATTTTTTTCCAATATCGTGCAGCCTTACTTTCTACTGGTAGATGTTAGTCAAGATAATTTAGATTTTTACTGTTTTCTTTGAATCGTCGTTTTGATTCTATCATCCACACTCTGAAGATCTGTATGATGCACAACAGCTTCAAACAAAACTCTGTGAATAACAACAGCTGTAAATAAATCTTGTGGAGAGCTTTTTCTTGGATCTTGTGTTTTAAAATGTACGCCACATCAGCTGTTCAGCGTACCTCCACCTCTGCAGAAATGTCATTTTTTCACACAGAGTTTTCTGGAGTCCAGTCTCTGACACGAACAAAACAGGCGTCCTCAAAGCTGTCAGAAAGTCCATCCATCCAGTTTCTTCTGCTCAAGATCTACACTGGTCCGCCATACAGATCTGCATGTAAGATGTGTGCTTTTGGCCAATCAGAACGCTTCATTTTAACTCGAGCACCCCCCCTTCCTTGCTGGGATTTGCACCTTAGTTGATTTCACTGCTGTAGCTTGGGTGAAATACATAGACTGTATATGCTATGGACAACTTTGGTTGCTATGGAGCTGAGAAGCTCTCGGTAAAGCTCTCCATAATTCCGCATTCTGCAGGCTACGTTTGCTCCGCTAGCTAGTGTGAACACAAAATGGACCGTGTTTTTTAATCCATTTTGACTGTTTCAATTATTTGAAAAAAATGCAACGTGGTGTTGTAATTATTTCGGGTTAGTACGCATAAAAATTTCTCAAAGTTGGCAACCCCCTAATTGTCTCTCCACATGCAAAGGAATTAATAGAAAAAATAGAATTTGATGGTTTGTAAATTATATATCGAATTTTCAAAAAGAGTCATTTTACACCGAAGCTGAAAAATTCCTAATTTTGATGCAACCAACCGTCTGTAGAAGGGCACGACCACGTTTACCGTGATGATGAGTTTATCGGTTTGTTCCTATCGGAGAGCTGCCACAGTCCGGCCCACTGAACCTCGTGTGTTCAGCAGATAAGGACCTGAGGGTGGATGTTAACGTCTGCTAGTTCATGCTTCACCAGGAACTGAAGCTCTGTCGCTCTGGAAACCAGCAGGGTAATGTTTGTTTCAACTCTTTTATATTTAAACTGTTTTTTAAAGATTTGCTATGAAGTGAACGTTATTACTCCCAGATTGTGTTTTCTTGTGTGTTAATGCTGAAACTTATTTTAACCTGCAGAGTAATGTGTGAAAAAATAAAGACCCAAATGGCGCTGACTTGGTAGGTGTTTTTATTTGGACTTGATCTCATGTATTATCATGTGAACTCGCTAAATGACCTTTGACCTGATGCACATGTGTGGTTCCTCTAACAGGGTGGAGATGGTCTCCAGGTTCCTGTTACTCATGGCTCTGAGCTGCTGTGTCTGTGGTTAGTTTCCATCTTTGTTTTATTCTCACGTTTCCTTCAGGAACAGGCGAAGGTTTAATATTTGATTTTTGTGACCAGGTTGTTCTTGACGCCCCTTTTGTTGAGAATTGATCGCTGCTGTTTTGGGATTTTGAACAATGTCAAGTTTTTGGCAAAGTTGAGACGGAAAGACCCGGTTTAAAAATAAGCTGGTTTCTTTAGGGAAAATTAAGGGTGCAGAATTTGATAGTTTGGAAATTATGAAAACACATTTTAAATTGATAATAGTGAAAAAAAAAACATATGGAAAAATAGATGGTTTTATTAGAGGTTCACCACTCTGTGATAGACTGTGTGAGCTCTCAATTCAACAGGTTCAGTGTCAAATGTGAAAGAATGGGTGGGTTTTTACTCTGATTATGAGTACGGGTTGATATTGAATAATGCAAATATAAACTATTTGTGACCATGATCCAGAAACACCGGAGACCTCCCTGAGCTCGAACCAACTTCAGAGTGGTCAGACTACTCACAATCTAAAGTATGTTGCCATAAAACCACCCGGCTGTTATCTTGGACTCATGTGACTTGACTTCCCTCTTATCTCACATTCACACTCAACTTTATTTATGCGGCATCATGCTGCTTAAGGATACCCAGCAAGGAAAATAAAAATAAGAAAGAATCCAAAATGACAAGACTGGATCACATTGGAACCACTTCAAACCACTGAAAAATTACCAAATTAAAAACACTTTAAAAAATTAAATCAGTAAATTATTTTTTTCTGTCTCCTCTACAGAAACTTTTGAAGTCAAAGTGGCACACACTTCCTACGAGGCAGTGGAGGGCCAGAGTGTCACATTAGAGTGGACGTTTGAACCCAAACCCGACATCTCAGAGCTACAGTCTCTCAGTATTTTCTGTGATGTGCAGATGAAACAGAAAGACTCGCCCGTGTTTCAGTTCCAAGAAGGATTTGAGATCTCACTGACGGATACTGAGCACTTTGTAGGACGAGTCCAGTGGGACGAAGACCTCCTCACTAAGGGGCGAGTCAGTCTTGAAGTGTCTCCGGTCATGGCCGAAGACTCAGGCATGTACAAGTGTGAAGTGTCTTCAGACTACGGCACCGACTGGGAAACATGTAGCCTTTCCGTGACTGGTAAGTCGACTCAGAAGAACTTACCTCCAATTTCCACCGCATCCGGAATGGCCACGAAAAGGCCGTATCCGCCAATCGTAGCTGATTGTAACCAATCAAGTAAACGTGTCCATTTCCACCGGCCTCTTTCCGTTCGTTGCGGAACACCAGACTCCACAGCTGATCGTGAGAGTTCTATTTTTTCTGGATGCCAGAGCATGGCGGATAAATTCAGCACAGATTTACCCGTGCTGGAAAGGAAGTCGGGCACAGACACAAAATAAAACATCCGGCGAACGGGCGGAGACAAACAAGTAAAAGGTTTATAGACGCCATTTCACCCTGTTGACACCATGGATGAGGAGATGCTGATTCTAGAAGTCTAGAAGTAGATTTCCTCCTCTGGAAGGACACAATCTACTGCTTATATTGTTAGCCTTTGTGGCTAACAACAACTTGTTGTCGTGTAATTTCACATGAATCCGCAGGTTCTTGTTGCGATTCCTGCCGTCCCTAATGCGCCATGAAATTCACCTCACAAACGAATCTGGTAGGAATTGGCGGAAGGCGAAAATCGCCGCTGTTCCAGATGCGGTGGAAATCCCGGATTAAGCAAGCTCAAGATTCAGATTGACCTGAGGTTGTGAAATTATGTTTTCATCAAAGTGTTCTTTCTCCCTGTGTTTGTTTCTTTATTTACAGCACCAAGAGTCCCTATCGGTTCTGTCGCTCAACCTGAGGCCTGGACCAGGATCAGACTCTTCTGTGGACTGTTTCTGTCATTTGTTGTCCTCTTTTAAATTTTAAAACATTTTTAGACTTTTTTAACGACCAGAGGACTGCCATGATACAGCTTTGAATACCTATGAGCATGCCGGCAGTAAAACTGTCACTACTCTTCTGACACCTAAGAGGCGCTCCAAGCAAAGTCTATCGAGTGTTTAAAGCAGCATAGATGTTTCAGGCCAACATAACATTTTCTTGCTATAGGCGACTTTAGCATCTGTGTAACTCTTGGCTTCTCAAAAAGGGAATACTGATACCTGTCAATCAGAGAAACCCCGCCCCTTATTCTTCACTTCAGTATAAAGTCGTTCAAATGGGTAATTCGTAAACATGACATAGTTGACTTCTTGTTCGTTTTTCAACTCCATCATAATTGACTTCTTTGTCGGTCTGGATGTGTTAAACATGCCTACCAGTTTTCATGAATGTTGGTGAAGTTATGTATACAGTGAAAGAGTTATTGCCAATTCATCCCTGTATCCACATTAAGCTTGTTCATTTTTGCAGTGTTGTTGTCCATTTTATAATGGAGCTCTATGGGGATTGACTCACGTTTGAAGCCAGCCTCTAGTGGCCATTTAAGGAGTTGCACTTTGTTGTTTATTTTTTACCCTAAAGTTGTTGTTTTTTTGTAACTCTCACACTTCATAAGAATATTCTGTACTTATACTATATTTTTGTATCTAATACATTAGAAAAATAATCGACTGGTAATTCTTTGTCTTTTTTACTTGCCTGCCTATCTACTCACATTTGGCCTACCAATCTACTCTATAAACCTTCGTCATCCTGGCATTTATATCCAGTTCCTGTGCTGTTTTTTTTGAGAACATGTTAAATGCAGCGTTGTTGTCTCATTGTTTATTTTCATTTCAGTATTTTTTACAAAAATATGCAAAAACACGTTTCAAAAAATCACTGCATATGTGCTAAACAATAACAAAAATTCTAACATCTTACATAGATGAAACCACAAAATCCTGATTTAAAATGTACACACTTCTGAGAAACAGTACTTAGCATAAAAAAAAAAAAAAAAACATATCTACAGTACTTCTGGTGCGCGAGTTGTCATGGAAACACCACAACCAGGCAACAGAGGCAAATTTAAGTCAGTTTGATATCAGCATGGAAACACTTTCTCGACTACAGACTTTCTTCTGAAATTAATAAATTCTTGTCGATCTGTTACCTTGTTCGTTAGCTAACATATTTAAGGTGGCTGCAGCTCTTTACTCATGACAGTAAACAACATCTTTTACATTTGTACAACAGAGATAGCCAACAGTCGACAGAGTTGTGTTAGCTTCCTAGAAACGTGGTAGCTTTATCAAATAGCTTCCATCTGCAGAAACACAGCAGAGTAAAACACTTCCTGTTTACAGTTGAGATTTGTACCGTGGGTATTAACGACAATCATTCATTCAGTTTTCCTTGAAGGGCTGAGGGTCATCGAGGTGCTAGGAGGAAGAGGAGAGGGAGAAAGGAGAGAAAGGGAGGACAGAGGAGGACGCCCCTGGAGAGGTGAGGAGCTGGTCGCACAGCGCCGGATCATCCAGGTTTATCTCCACAAACGGGTCACTGGAACAAACGGCTAAAAGGAAAAACAGACGGACACAAAAATAAGTGTAATATTTGAGACAAGGTTTCCAAAGATGAAGAGTCAAAAGATGACGTTGATAAAGACCAAATGACTTGTTTGGTTCAGCTTGGCCAAATTAAACTTTTTATCATGTTCTCCCTTTTTAAATATTTTTAACAGCAAATGTTTCCAGTTTACTGACCAATAAGATATTATAAAGAGGATTTTTTGGGGTTCTTATCATATATAGTGGCCAAAGGCTGGCAGCTGTGTTTTGGTATTTATACTTAAAGAATTCTTGGAAAATGTTTTCTTTGAAAACAGTTTTAAAAGTTTTAAAATGTCTCAGCAATAAAAATTCATTTTTCCTTACAGTTGCATAAAAAGTCTTTACGGGCTTTAACATTTATGCCCACTAGATGGCACCAGATGACCTTGTCTATGACGTTACATTAGCCAATCAAAGGTCAAAGATAAATGGGAAGTGTTTCAGAGTGTACGTGGGAGAGAAATCAAATAAAGATCAAATACAACAATATGAGAGAGGTAACAAATTTCTCCTTTGCGATAAATAGGAACATCTTGTTGAGAATTGCAGTTTGTTGTCTGCTGCTGCTTTTCTAACTGAATGCAAGTAAAGTTTCGTAAATCTTGTCCTCTGTTTTTATTTTTTATCTTACATGGGTTGTTGTTGTTGTTTCCATTCAGCTGCTCCTCTCCAGCCATGTCAAAAAACAGGTTGATGCTGTTGGTAGAGTGGTTGTCGGCTTGTTCATCACCGAGAGTTGGACTTGCGGGCGAAGTCCCTTCATAGAGTTCGTCTGGCTCTTCTTGTGGAGCTGGAGAGAGGGACCGGAGCCCAAAGAGGTGAGACATCAGAGACGGGTAAGTAAAAATGCTTACACATCAAACATGGCCACCAGTACCTGCGCATGATTCTGAACCATTGTCTCCGTTTGAACTCTTCTCTTCGGACTGGACGGCTGTGCCGTTAGCGACCGGCGTGGGTGAGAGGTCATCGAGGATGACTTGATCTTTAGGGTCCGACCGGTCTGATGTGTAGACGACACACAAATCAAAACACTCATATCAGGATAAACACATATACAGTCATATTCCAGCAGTTTAAATGAAACCACACATACCCAAGTCATCCACGTAGACTTGTTCAAAGGTGCCGGCGGGTTCATTGAGATGGTTGGTGGTGACAGGGCGCTGGAGGTCAAATGAGTACGACTAGACAAACAAACAGAAACGCTGAGTGTGTAAACTTTCACCACTGAAATTAAGTCAATGTCGGTCCCTTTCCTCTATAAATACAGCTGCCTTACCCTGGAGACCCTCCTGAGAAGGTAGAGGATGATGCACAGGACAATGATCACCAAGATGATCAAGACCAGGGTCACATAAACTGTTGAGACAGACGGAGAGGAAATTCAAATATGAGTCAAAGTCAAAGGTCAAATCATCAAGAGAGTATGACGATGAGAATAAAAGAGTTTAAAGTCTAAAACCAGAACGGAACAAACAAGCGTATTTAAGGTTTTAATCGTGGACCCTTAGAGAGGTCGAATCAATCAGGTGTCAGACACCCACTAACGTAATCTGAAAACAAAAATAAAGATTTGACCCCAAAAGATGGGACTCAAACACCGAAATCTAAAATGATGTGTCATTAAAGGGATATTCTGGCGTAAATTTAATTTAGGGTCAAACACACCGTAACACCGAGTTAGACACCCCCTCCAGAGATGAATGTTGCCAACCTCTTGCTTCTCTAGTTATACCAACTTTAGTGATGACCACAGACGTGGTAGTTCTTCTGTCTTAGCATCTCGAACTGATTGTATTTTCATGAAAACATGATCATAAATGTTCATCCTTGAGCTGCGAAACCCCGCTGTAGTCTGTAATCGACTAGCCTGAGGTCTCTGGAAGAGAGTAGGTGAGTTGTGTTTAGTCTCTTTGCTAAAGAAATGAGTCAAAGTTAAAAAGATGTTTGGTGTCTAGTACTATGTCTGTGACCCTATATGTACTGTTGATGAAGTTAGGTGCTGTTCTGAGCATTATTTGTGGCTATAGAGTGGTGTTTTGGTTGAGGTTTGTTTATGGCTCCTCAGACCGCTGTGTATTGCTATCGTGTGGTCGTTACTAAAGTTGGTATAACTAGAGAAGCAAGCGGTTGGCAACATTCATCTCTCAGGGGTGTCTAACTCTGTGTTACGGTGTGTTTGACCCTAAATTAATTTTACGCCGGAATATCCCTTTAACTGAACTCTTGGTAAACTGGGACTAGGACAGTAGTTAAAAATAAATGACAATAATGAAATGAAATAAATGACACCGCTGAGCTTATGAATGACACCTTCTCACGCTGAAGAACTTCCAGTTAAAAAGTCGAGAAATTCAGGGATTATTAGTCCTGGTTTTAGCAGAAATAGCAGTGAGAGAAAAAATAATTAAAATTGCAAACTGACCAGAAAGTAATTTATCAGACGAGTTAATGTTCTAGAAAAATGATAATAAAAAAACCTCCTTACCCCAGGTGGAACTGACCTCCTTATCGGTCGTTGCTAAAAGAGACAAACAGCAGGTTATTATTCAGTACGCTGAAGGTTAAAGGGTTATTTTTAAACAAGTACAGAGTCTAGAAAGTAACCAGAGTTTAATGTTTGTGGATTTCCCCCTCACTTTTTACCAAGAGTCAACTGTTGAGGCAAAAAAGTTGCCAATTTTTTTTCCTTTTAGCCAAAACCTAACCCTTGTCTATTGACACAACAACAAAAGTACTTGTTAGGTCATGTAAAAGTGACAAAAGTGCTGTGCAAGTGGAATGTAAAAAGCTACATAAATAAAACAAATAAAACAGCACTGGAATAATAATAATAATAATAATGATGATAAAACCAGTTGGAACAATGAGACAATAAAGTCAATTTTGTTATGGATAAAACAGAAGGAATAATAAAACTGTAACAAAGAATCAACCGAGCTTTACTGTGTCTCTTTATACGCTGATGATACCGTTTTATACACCAATTTCTCGAGTTCCAGTTTTAGAGATTTATTTTGAAGGATCGGACAGTTTCATTGAGTTTGACTGTTCAATAAAATCTTTCTCTAAACACAACACATAAATGTTTTTTTTTCATTTTATAAAAACTTGGTCCCTAAAAGTGACTGCTTTGAAAGTTATCTTCCACTAAATTAAACAAATAAAGGGTCATCTATATTTTTACAACCTTGCTGTTCCTTGATCACCTCCCTTTTTTTTTTTATCATAATAAGAGTTAAAAATAACATTTTTGCCGTGAAATGTGATAAATATTTAAATTTGCATCATTAAAATTTAATCCCTTTAAGTCATCATATTGGATATTTGGATTGCATGACTAATGCTTGCAATTATGTACAGTATTGATTAGTCTACAGACCATTTTCTAGATTTCGCTGGTAATTTTTTGTATATTTAAACTTATTGAAAATTTTAATTTATCTTATATTCAAGCATTTTCTTTACTTTTGTTGTTCACATTTAAAGCATTCAATTATCATCTTAGAAAAAGGTGAAACAGCGTATTTATGATTTGTTTCATATAAGCAGAGCGTGTTTCTTGTTTTGTTTTAGGTTTATTTGTGTAACTCAGAAAGTGTTGGTTCAAACTGAACTTTGGAGACGTGTCTATGCCTGGAGAGCTGAAGTGAAATAGCAGCCGTCGCCTGCGAGTCTGAATGTGTCTGTTTGGTGGTTTCGGTGAGTTTCAGCGCGTTTGCAGCACTTTCAGAGAACATGAGCATGCGATGGTTGTGGTTACCACACACACAGGAAGACAAACTCAGACTTACAGCTCACTGTTGAAGGTTTCTGTCCTCCTGAAGGTGATGTGCTGCTGCTTCTTGTTGTTGTGGAAAGCTCAATCTTCCCGCCATCGTGGGCACCGGTGGTCTGGCTCTGAAGTGGAGGGCTGGTCGAGGTGACCCCCTGTGAAGCTTCGCTGCCATTGACCTTTGTTGGATTAGAATCAGAAGAGTTCCCACCAGGAACCAAACCATTTGTATCACCCTCAGCCTGTCAAACAGCACATGGAGATTCAAAAGTTCAGTGTTACAGTCATGTTAGTAATCTTATTTCCAGGGCGCTTTGTGACAGCGAGAACTTCCTGCTGGAACTAGGTATCTATTAAGGGACTTTAGGTCTGGAACCAGGGTTGAAATTTAGTTCTCGAGGAACTTATGGACCCCTTGAAAAGTTCCTGCTTAGAAGGTAACACTTTCCAATCTTCCAGGGTCTTCAGATGACCTCATCTGCATACAGAAAACCAGGTCCTTCAGACAACAGCAGGCAGGTCTTGACACTAACTTTGTTCACATGTTCTCCTAAGTTAAAGAAGTAAGGAGCACACAAAGAACTTTAGGAACACAATGAAAATTGATCAAATAGTGTGTATCTTATGGTTGACAAAAGTACTATTATTTGAAATCAATTTTAAGGTCTTTTGGTCACATGACATGTTGAAGGAAAACAGCCTTTTCCTGAAAACATCAACCGGTAATTTATTGACGGTCCCTCATTCAACATCTGACGTTGACATAAAGAGAAATAAAGAGGCGTGTCTGTTGTCCGACATTAGTACTTGTATTGAAGACTCAGAAGTGGCTAGAAGATTAGTTTTATAGTTTTACTTTAAGAACCCCTCTAAGCAGTAACATAGGCTTCCCACTGCTCCCTGCCCAGTTAAGCCCTCTTTCTTCTTTACTTCTGGTTTGTTATTTGAGATCCTGTTTATTATTGTTACTGCAGCGATGTACAGTTGTTATTGTTGTTGTTGTGCCCGATGTCATTCATACAGCGGAGATATACGTCCTTTCAGTGTTGCTGTAATTAGGCTGATATGTTTGTATCAGTGCGCGTGTGATTTGGTGCGAGTGTGTGTGTCAGCTGGGAGAGTGAGAGGAGAAAGTTTGAGAAGAGGAGACGATCGGAGCAGCTTTGTGTATCCAACAGATTCATTCATTCTTTCGGTGAAGTTTTGTGGGATTAATAACCCGCACAACAAGTTGTTTTTAATCCTGTGAAGATTGTACCTGAAGAGGAACAAACAGACTTTGAACTGAAGTTAGATCGCCGATTAATGTTAGCTCTCGTTTTCCCGACAGTGGCTAGCTAGGTCTCGCTAGCGGCGTCATTGTCCTTCGTATCCCAGCAAGCATTAACTGGCCCCAGTTTAAGGACTTTAGTTCACCCCCTCCTCCTCTGGACCACATCTTCACCCCCTCCCCGAGAACAGCTCCCATTCATCTCCCGTGGACACCTGAGCACATAATCCCTCAACATCGGGACCTCTCCACAGACCTCCATCCTGGCTGCATCAGAATCCTCACGTCCTCCTTTGAGCTCCAACCCCGGGCAACATTGGTACCATTAGGTTTAGTATTAAGTAGGACTTAGTATAGTTAGACAGGACATATTTTAGTGTAAGTTTTAGTGAGTCAATTGTGCATAATTTTGTTTGTGGTGTAATAAATGTTTATGTTGTTCCCTTTATATCCTTGTCCCTCCCCTGTTATTTAGTGAGAGTCCACAGCATCTTTGTCCATAGTAAGGGACGCCAGGGAGCGGTGGCTAGCGCCCTACTGTACCTTACAGTTCTCAGTTAAATTGTGGTCCTACGCTACAATTTTTGGTCCTTCGAGCCGGATGAGTTAGCATTGCCCCCATGACTAGTAGTGGACTATCAGCAGGAGATAGGACTCCACCCGAATGCCCCAGACGTATCCGTCAACGTCCCAGATATTTAGATGCTTATGAAGTTGATTTGCCCCCTAGCCACAACTTTGAACAGTCACATGGAGGCAGTACTAGAAGCCTTATTCAGACCAGGCCCCGCATGTTCGATCTACCTATTAACCGTAGCATGGATAATATACACAAGATAGGTGTCAGTCCCTCTTTACGAGCTAATGAGCTATACAAGGCTGATCCAATGAACATGTTTGACATGAATGATAAGGAGCTCCTCAGACCCAGAACACCTACCCCGCCAGGAAGCCCTGACTCAGTGCGTTATTCTACATCAGGGAAAACTAACAACAAAGAACTATTAGAGCTATTTAAACTGCAGATGGCGACAACAGAGGAGGCTACACGCCGTCTAGAGGAAGCGGCTATACAAAGGGAACAACTGCAGGCTAAGATGCAGATGGAGAGGGAACGCTTACAAGCAGAGCAACAGGTGGTGCTAGCCAGGCAGCAAGCTGAAACCATAGCAGCGTTAGCTAGACAACAGGCTGAGTTGCAAGCTGAGAGGGAACGCCGACAAGCTGAGAGAGAGAGTGCACACACCCAGGCTCTGGTAGCGCTAGCTAAACAGAACGATGAAGCTGCTAGACAGACTATCCAGTTACTTACCGAGGCCTATCAGAGTCAATCCGCACGCCCCTCCGCCCGATCTTCCAGGCAGTCCTCACGCAGAGAGTCGAGACAACACTCCCCAGCTCGTCTGAGCCAAGCTGTATATGGCACTAAGGCAGAACCCATAGAGGTAGCTATACAGCTATCCAACAAGCTACAAGCACTAGACGATGAAATGCGAGATCACGCAAAGTTCCCAGCTCCCCATATCTCCTCTGCCTACCAAGGAGACCGAAAACCTATTTACAGCATACCTGCACAGTTGAGCCAACCGCCTCCCCCCCTAGATGGACACGGCACAGTGACCCCTCCTCCAGCAGCTAGCTCACAACCCCAACCTAGTTTGCAGAACCACGGGCCCTCTAACCAAGGTCAGCCGTTCTCACCATTGATTAATCAATATCCTAGTTCTCCTGTCCAGTTCGCCTCTCGACCAGCAGCCATCTACGGAGTAGAAGAGCCGACCTTTCCTGATTTCACTAAAGAGGACAGGTCCCAGTATACAGAGCTACGCATGTGCTTGGGAACCCTGCTCTCTCCATCCCAAGATGAGCGTTATAAATATGCCCTCCTGCTGAAACATGTCAAGGTTCCTCGGGCCCATAATATTGTATTAGCACATGCACACTCCACTACCCCTTACTCCGATGCATTAGCAGATCTTGATGACCGCTACGGGCGAACATGGGACTATGTCCTCCAAGAGATGAGGGACATAGAGAAACTTCCTCCAGTCAAAGATGACCGGACCCTTGACGACCTATCTGTACGAGTACAATCTCTAGTAGGCATGCTCCAGTCCCAGCAGGAGAAAGGAAATCATGAACTCCACGCCAGCTCCAATGTAGAGCGCATCCTCGACAAACTTCCCAAGTTCAGACAGGAGAGATTTAGGCGTCAACGAAACTACCTCCACGCACCTCAGCACGAGTTGTCCCTGATGGACCTCTCCACATTCTTAAGGATGGAAGTTCGGAGCCTCAGATTGGACCCCTCCCTACGGGGCGGCCCAACCCCAGGAGATGTAGGAAAGAAGAGCAGAGGTCATGGGAAACCAACTACTGTGATGCTTCAGACAGAAGACTTCAAGCCGAAACCGACCCAGTCAGCCCATAAGAAAGAACCTTCCACTCCGAACAAGAGCAAGGTGAAACCTCACTGCCCCTTCTGTGATAAAGAGCACTGGCTACATGCCTGCGAAGACTTCACCAAGATGAACAAAGAGCAGGCCACAGAGTGGATCAAAGTCAATCGGCGATGCTGGAGGTGTGCCCGCCAACACAAAGCGTCAGAGTGCAACCTTAAGAAGAGGTGTAGGCAATGTCAAGCTACCCACCTGACCATCCTGCATGATGTTAATCGCAGAGAAACGCCTACTGAGTCAACGGCCGAGGTACACTACATCGACCCAGCAAAGAGCGGAAGTTCCAGAGTGATGTTGAAGATAGTAAGAGTCCTCCTACGCTACAAGGATAGAGTACTGGACACCCACGCTGTCCTTGACGACGGCTCTGAGAGAACACTCTTACTTGCATCTGCTGCAGAGGAACTGGGAATCAAGGGACAAGAAGAGAAGTTGAACCTCCGCACTATTCGTCGAGATCTAAAGACCATAAAGGGTGAGAGAGTCACTTTCACCATATCCCCTACTGACCAGCCAAACAAACAGTATGCAGTGACCGACGTCTTCACTAGCCAGCAGATTGGTCTGTCTCAGTACGATTATCCTATAGAGCAACTCAAAGAGAGGTTTGAGCACCTGCGACGCCTACCGGTACCACTAATTGATCAAGTCCACCCAACCCTCCTCATCGGCTCTGATCACACCAACCTTATCGTCCCTGTCAGTGCAGTATATTTTGGGCCCCGAGGGTGTCCAGCAGCCGTTAAGACAAGATTGGGTTGGACTCTCCAAGGTCCATTCAACTCTCCCCGCAATAGAATAGCACCAACCTGCTGCCTGTACAGCAAAGTCACCTCTGCCGACGCCACTCTGCTGAACCACGTCGAGCGCCTGTGGCAACTGGACGTTCTTCCCTTCTGTAATGAGAAACAGATGGTGCGCTCCAAGGAGGATAAGTACGCCGTGACACTGCTTGAGCAGAAGACCAAGAGGATAGACGTCAAGGGAGTACAGAGGTATGCCACTCCACTATTGAGGAGAGAAAACATGCCGACTTTGCACGTATCCAAGGAAGTAGTCAGCAACTACCTGAGGAACACGGAGAGACGGCTGGCCAAGGACCCGCAGCAAGCAGCAGTTTACCGAGCTGAGATTGGCAAGTTAATAGTAAGCGGTCATGTAAAGAAGATAGACAACTTCGAAGCGGGAAAGTCAAGAGAGAGTTGGTACGTACCGCACCACAAGGTCCGACACAATGGCAAAGACAGAGTAGTCTTTAATTGCAGTTTCCAGGTCGGCAAACAGTGTCTAAATCGGTACCTCCTTCCCGGCCCCACCCTTGGGCCATCACTCCTAGGAGTCCTTGTGCGCTTCCGGCAGGACAGAGTGGCAATCAGTGGGGACATTAAGGGAATGTTCCACCAGATCCACCTTCTGGAAGAGGATAAACCCTTACTGAGGTTCCTGTGGAGGGATGACCCAAGTGACGAACACCCTTCTATCTATCAATGGGAAGTACTACCATTTGGTACTACCTGCAGCCCCTGCTGTGCGATCTTCGCACTGCAGAAGCATGTCACAGACGACCCAGAGGCAGGAGAAGACATCCGCCACAGTATTGAACGCTGTTTTTATGTAGACAACTGTCTACAGAGTGTCCCCACTGAGCATGAGGCCGAAACCATCCTTATGAAGCTGAGGACCTTGCTAGCGAAGGGAGGATTCGACCTGCGTCAGTGGGCAAGTAGCCATCCTGGGGTGCTCAGTCAGCTTCCCCCTGAAGCCAAAGCCAAGAGCAGCGAGACCTGGATGGCCCAGAGCCCCGGAGAGGCTCAGGAGATGACCTTGGGTCTCGTATGGCACTTCCAAACAGACACCCTGCACTACCGTCACACCCCACCTACGAAGGAGCGCATCACCAGAAGAAGCATTTATAGTACTCTTGCAAGTCAATACGATCCACTCAGTTATATCCTCCCATATACGACTAGAGCCAAGGTGCTGGTGAGAGAGTTGTGGGCAAAGGACCTGGGCTGGGATGACCCTATCCCTGATCACCTCGCTGCCAAGTGGAGCGAGTGGGAAGAAGAACTTTCTCTCCTCGGTGAAGTTACTCTTTCACGCAGCTACTTCCCTCCGACCGTCGACCTGAGAACGAGTAAGATAGACTTGCATGTCTTTAGTGACGCCTCCGAGACTGTTTACGGATCCGTGGTCTATCTCAGAGCAATCGACACCGCTGGTGACGTCCACATAGCCTTCGTCCTAGCCCGCTCTCGGGTAGCCCCTCGTAAGCAGCAGTCCATCCCACGCCTGGAGCTCTGTGCGGCCCTAGTCGGCGCACAACTCGCTAAGATGGTAAAGGACGAGCTCACCCTACCGCTGCAGGAGACCATCCTGTGGTCCGACTCCATGACTGTGATTTCCTGGCTTCAATCCGAATCCTGCCGCTATAAAGTGTTCGTCGGAACAAGGGTTTCGGAGATCCAAGACCTAGTTGGAGTGGAGTGTTGGAGATATGTTGACACAGGAAGTAACCCGGCGGATATAATCACTAGAGGTGCTACCCTCGCCACCCTGTCTCAAGCGAACCCTTACAGTTGCGGACCAGACTTTCTTCGGCGGCCCGAGGAAGACTGGCCATTACCACCATCCATCGCTGAGAACCCAGACGAGGCAGAGTTGAAGAGATCACCGTTTTGTGGATTATGTCAGGTCCCACCTGCAGATGGCCCCTGCCTTGATGACAGTCCTACACTCGAGCATCTGCAGAGGGCGACTTTTCTTTGGCACCACCCAGACCTCCCGGCCACTACAGACCTGA